AGCTTGGGGTAGACCTGCTAAATGTTCTTAGCTTGGCAACACCCAGATCTATAGATTATGAGATGTTTGTGTAGATCAGACGAACTATCTTAACACTCCTTTCATGGCGACTAGATGCATGCTTGAACTGCTCCCGTAAAGGAAGTACGGAGAGGAGGTGAGCTTCCCGTGTACGACTCTCCACCTAGCGTTGGGCCCAGGCCAGGCCTTGCTAGGGCGAAATGGCCCTTGCAGGACGTAGGCAGTGGTATATAGCCGGGGGAGAGGTGCGCGATAGTGCGAAAGAGGCCATTGCTGGTTGCCATTGCGCCTTCACAGCAAGCTGTAGAGCTATAGCTTGCTGTGAAGGCGCGCCTTCAATGCGGGAAGCCCTGCACATTCAGCCGGGTCTGGCCCGCTTTGACACGCGTACTAAGGGAAAATAGATTGTAGTTCACGGAGCCAAGGGTTTCCCGGATGGGCCCCGTCCAGACGTGTAGTACGTAGGCCGTTCGGACCCTAAAATATAAGCATAAAACATCATATCGTCTCAAAGGGCTTCTACCTTAGCTCATCTTGGCTGCCAAAAATGCTGTTTGTCCCTGGAAGGAAGCTTTTTCCATCTGCGGCCCGTTCTCGGCGATAATGTTTCCTAATGTGCGTAAGAAGATAGAGATTTGGCTACGTTCTCTTTGCCGAGTTCACCTCTAGCATTACTAGCACTAGGAACTCCATTCACACTGGTAACCAGTCGATGACGCCGGATATGGGCGTGTATTTTGCCCATTCAGTGTTCATTGATACAGTATCTCTGTCCAAGTGCTAAAAGTAGGGGCCTCGCAAGATCGGCCCATAAGGTGGCATCTACGATACCCATGCGCTGTCGCGTATACTTGCGCCAGGGATCCAGTACGGACAGTTCCCAGGTTTGGACGTCCTTGCGCATCGCCATTCCATAGACAAGCAACAAAGTGGGCGAGCAGTTAAACACCTAGCGAAGGCAATAATGAAGTGAGTGGGCTTTCTCCTGAGTTCGGAATGCTGTACCCTTGCCATTGCGGCTTTCTCTACGTCGGCTACCTGGCCATTATATTTTCAACCGTCGTTTGCTATAGTTGTGCACAATTCGACGATAATCTGGGCAGCTATGCCTCGTATACGTTTAACGGACAGCTGCTTCACCCATCGGGCCAACCGGCGAGGCGACGGCTTGGACAGGCAGGGCCAGATGTAAATCGGGATACCCTAGCTGTTATCTTCCTCGTGACGGATCTTGGCCGGAGAGGCAAGTGGCCTCAGGCGCCTATACATTTTGGTAGCGTTACGGGACCTACCATACGGACATCCCTCATAGGCTGCGTCCCACACTCACAGACCACCGGCTTACCTGTGCTCTCACCGCTGCACCGTACTTCTCCCTGTCTTCACACGAACGCTGTCCGCCATCGGTCACAGGCAGGGACAGACCAAGCATGCTGCGAACTTCGCTCCAGATGTGCAAGGAACACTTGTTTCCCACGACTCCCTCATCCGCCTATATCTTCACTCATGAGCACCAGGTGAGAGCTGGAGGGCTGGTTGCTGCCCCTTCCTGCTGACCGGAAACATGGCCTGCTTTTGGTCCAGAGGCCCAGTCCATGCGACCTGGTTTTCAAGTTCTGCGCGGCATTTGGAAATGCAGCGGTACTTTTGTCAAGCTTCCTGCGGGGGGCCGTCCAAAAGCCAACAGGGGCAACTGCATGGGCCCTATGCTGGCCGAGCTGCCTCCCCAACTCCTTACACACACGGAACATACCGCACCGGCACTGGATGCCGCACTCAGCGGTCCTACCCAAACGGTTGCACAATGTTGTTGTGTCCCCACATATTCCTTTGTACTCCTTTCCTTGTCCACAGGTGGAGCTCCTGAAGGAGAGCCTGGGCCAGTGGCTGCTACCCAACGTGGCAGTGCTGCCCATCCAACATGACACGTGATGGCGGGGAACAGGGGCAGCTGGCACTCCAAGCGACTACCGATTGATGGGAGATTGGCGTTTGTCTTTCATGCCGGAGTTTGCGAGGAAGATGGGCCAAAGGTATGCAGCGGGTCGTGTGCCTGTGTAGGCGACGCTTGCTTTGATGGTTCACTGGCGCTCCCAAACATTGGCGTATGGTGCAAACAGGTGGTTTGCTTGAAACGGCCCCTGCTTCAAGGTATTACGTTTGCATGCCATCCAATGTACTTGCCGCTCATAAAGAAACGCATCCTGTAGCATCCCAACCTGTCCCTGTTCGCAACCATTCCCACTTCCCAAGCCTGGATAATCGCGCCCCTCTCCTCACCGATCTCCCAAACCACCCCTCCTCGCATCACCCCCCTCTACCTTCCATGCCCAGCCTCCGTACCCCTTGCCTCCCTGCCCTCACCCTTCCCGCCCAACCCCATACCACACCCTGCATCCTAACCCACCCCTACTTTCCTTCACCCACTCCCTTGCTCCAGATACCTCCTGCAGCTAGACGATGACTCCTACATCTTGGAGCGGGTTTCGGAGAACCTTGTGGCGCTGTTTGACCGTCAGCGCTACCTGCTGGGCGCCCGGCAGATGCAGCAGGAGAAACCAGCGTCACCTGGGGCCTGCCGGAGCTTGCACGCTACTTCCTGATAACGCACAAGGTGCATCCCGCGACGCTGTTCCAGTTCTGCGAGCCGCCAAGCATTGAGGGCCTGTACTCGGCGTTCCAGAAAACGGTAGGCGTGGATTTGGGGCACTTCCGTTTGGGACTCCTTGAGAGTGCTGCGGGGTCGAGGCCCTGCAACATGTGCTCCTCCTGAGTCCTCGTGTGTCCTAGTGCTTGCCATCCACCGGAATCTCATGGTTTCGACTCCCACTGCTGTGCCGTACCTCCGTCTTTGGCGGCGCAGGAGCACACGTACCTAGACACGCAAGCTGCTGCTGTGCTGGAGCAGCTGGGGCTGCCCCGCACGGGCGGCTGGAACCGCACCGTCCTGTTCGGCAACTGCCTCATGTACAGCCTGGAGTGGTGGTTCCGTCAAGAGGTGAGGTAGCGGGTTTGCCAGGCGACATGCAGTCATACGGCTCATACCACCATATGTGTATAGCTGCCGCCTGGGTGCATGCATGATTATGTCCTTGCGGACGACTCACATGCATCTCAACGCAACTGCTGCTGCTGTTGGTGCTGCTACAGGTGAACCTCTTCGTGCAGCTGTGCCGAGCCAGTGGCGGTGCCTTTGCCTACCGCTGGAACGAGCAAGGCGTCATCGCCATGCTGTGGCAGATCTTTGTCAGTTTTACAAGTTTGACTTTGCCTATGCGCATCGGCTGTCGGCGGAGAAGGCGCTCTGGCGAGCACGACAGGGAGGCTAGCGGTTCAGTCTTCGGTGTGGTTGCAGAAGGGTGCTTTCCTTGCGCGCAATACCCACCGAGGGGTTCCAGAAGGGCCCCTGGCTTCGTGTTATGCAATACATGTGATTCCTGATGAGCTGTTCTTTCTTGTGTACATCCATGCGACCTGAAAGAGCCTTGGTAGGCCGGCCGGTCGGTCTCGGTTTAGTATATGACAAATTTGTCTTCATCCTGGCCGGTACTGTTATCATGGCGACTCCCGATACCCCCCGGAGTCCCCGGCACTGATCCCCCTTAGCAGGGGCTGCCACCGTAGCCTGGGTGTGATTGCAGGTATACCGGTATGAGTGTTGACGCCTGTTCATTTTGATGAATATGAGTGATAAGTTAGCATTGCCCAACGTCGAGCGGCTCCTCATACGTGTACTGCCACTGTGGTGGATGGCAGGGCGCGAATCGTCGATAACTGTCTATGCAATGGACCAATTTTGCCTTAAGCTAATGAATGCTCTCTTGTGCCGCGGTCGTGCTGTGACTGCCGTTGTGCTGTGACTGCCGTTGTGCTGTGACTGCCGTTGACCGTTGGCATGGTTAAGGAATGCTACAGATGCCCTGTGGATACTGCGTTCCCAGCTCGAATTAAAACAGAACTGCCATCCAATAAAGAAGGATGGTCAGGAGTGCAGCTGCATTTGCTGCGTGATCTTAACAGGATCGTGTCCGTGGGACTCTGGTACGTACGATGAACGGAAGATACTCTGGTTGCGCACTTCTTACCACGGGTCTGTTAAGGAGCGCGGAATTTAGGTTGTGCATCGCAGGAGCAAGGGTCAAACCAGGTGCGGCGGCCAACTGCCATCTACCGTACTCTATATGGCTAAAACCTGAACGCCATAGGCCCATAGCATCCAAGTGAGCCGCTTCATCTATATAAGTTAACATAAATTAACGTGCCAATGCATGCACATCGATACAGAGCTAGCCAGTGTGAAGCTGTCTCTTCACTTAGTTTTTTAAAAAATGATGATAGCTTTAACTAAGTAACGGACGGTGGTATATTTTCATAGCAATAAGAAAGGCTTCTAATTGAGACAAAACTATTATCCGTAACGTATCCTTGGTCGAGCGCTATTATTGATCTGAATGGATCGTGATGTAACCCAGGAACATAACTTACATTAGAATGGGCAAATTTAAATATGCGTTTGCTGTGTTGGGCGCGGTTTTGGCTGTCGCGGGGCAGTTTCCGTCCGGCGTGCGCTCCGCGACCAGCAGAGCGCGGCGACAGTACCTCATACCCCTCATGATGCATGGTAAGTTTTCTTAACTTTATTCTCAGTTTTTCCAGGAACATGAAAATTGTAAAAAGGAAGGATGTTGCGCCCACTGTCTCCCTACATGGTTGGAACATGCCCATGTGCGCCATGCATCCGTGTACACCGGATGCCATTGAGCTAATGGGCCTTCCCGGTGGGTCCCTCATCATCTCCACCATCACGGAATGACCCTCGGACTCTTGCAAACCTTGCTATTCACTTCCGCGCAACCCCAGGCCCCAACAACCAGATCATTGCAATCAAGGAGACGCTAGCTCTAGCCCGGCTACTGGGAGCCTCTCTGGTGCTGCCCGACCTGCAGACACACGAGTGGACGGACGGGCGGGAGGAGCCCATGCGCTTTAAAGAGCTCTTCGATGTGCCGTACATCAAGGTGGGGGGCCGCATGACGTGCCGTACATCAAGGTGACGAAACACCGCCTTCCTAACCCCAGGTCATGGGTTTTTTCCGTTACCCGCCCGGCCCGCCCCTCCCCACATCATAAGGAGCATTTACCCCTGGTTGCTACTGTCGCCATTGTTAGTACCACAATGAGCAATGAGACCGCCATCTTACCCCACCTTCCCCTTACCCCACCTGCCTGCTAACGCGCTCACTTCATCAGTCGGGACACGGGACTGGTCTTCACTTCCCACTCAATTTCCCCCTTCTGCCCCACCGGGCCCCCTCCCCGGCAGGCCCATGTGGATGCCGTACTGCTGGAGGAGCTGCCGGGGCGGCTGCTACTGGAGGGGGAGGAGGAGGGGCAGCTGGAGGGGGAGGCGGGGAAGAGTGGGCTCGGAGCAGGTGGCGGCCCCTGGAACCGCACGCTGGACGCGCTGCTGCTGCTAGTGCCGCCGGAGCAGGTGAACAGGGGGGCTGCAGTGCATGGGGCCGGGGGCGGCGTGACTAGGGGGATTGGGGGGTCAAAGACCATACCGAACCATAGGAAGCCACAGGTTGGGGCAAGACAATGGGGATAGGAGCGGCAATGGGGATGGGCTGTGACATAAGGTACCACATACGGGAGGTCAAGGGTTAGGTCTACAGGCGGGCATTGCAGGCGGCCTGTGGGTGCTCTGCCCGATTGCTGCCGACATGGACGTGCCTTTCTTGCATTGTTTGCTGGCCTTTGGAGGGGAGTCCGGGGGCTGCGGCTGCGGCTGGCGGTGTAGCGGTGTAGGACTGAGTGAGTTGAGCGGAGTCCGGCCCCGGCGCATGCAGCAGCCGCAGCCGCATGCAGCAGTTCTCCCCGCCCTCAGTTAGTGTATTTCCCTTCTCAGAGGCATACCGGTATCCTTCCAAGGTACTGACCCCGCTTCGTAACCCCGATGCCTCCCTTTTCCTCCCTTTCCTGCTCGTAAACGACGCCTCTGCTCGTCCTGCGCTCGTCCGCCCGCCGGCCTCCAGCGGCAACTCCTCCCCGACCTGCTGCGGGCTCTGGACCTGCAGCTGCCCCCCCAGCAGCACTGGATCAATTCCCCCGTCACCAGCTGGCTAGGCTGTAGCCAGCAGCGCATAGCAAAGCTCAGGAAGCTGCTACAGCCGTACCGCATCATTGCAGTACAGACGTTCCATGGGCTGTTGTACGGCAGTCAGTGGCTGGCGGGCCCTATGTTGAGTCCCTGCAGTGATGCATGCTGCGAGGAGTATAAGCAGCATGCACTGTCTGTGCGCAAATCGGAACCCTTGTTCCGTTTGGCAGACCGGTTTGTACGACAACGGTTACGATCCAAGCCGTTTCTTGCCGTACATTTGCGGCCGTACCCTGACCCCTGCGTGCGGATTTGGACACAAGAGGATACACCGGACCGGACGGTAAGGACGCTGGCCGGCTGCTACCGCTGTCGCTTTTACTTTGTATGCTGTACAAGTGTGTCTTAAAGGACTTGTTCTTCCTGAAGGATTCTCCCAGATGGACCGCAGTTCACAGGTGGTTTGTGGATTGTGATTTGTACACGACCGAAACCGCGTGCTTCCTAGCGATCCAAGCCGGTGCTTGTCTCGCCCTGACAGTCCCCGCCCCCGCCGTGCCATGCCCTCGCACAAACTCACCCTCCTTCTCCCAACTGGCAGGAGCGGCTAAGAACGTACTGCAACAACGATTACCTGCTGCACCGGTGGGTGGTGACTGGCGGTGACCGGCGGGATCTGCTATGAGCAGAAGCGACGGTTCCTAACCCACATGGCCCACTTAGCCAATCATTCCGTACCTATCCACTGCCCGACCCTCACTTCTTTTCCCCCCTCCCTGCCCTCCCTGCCCTCCCTGCCCTCTCTCGCGCTACCTTCTCATTTAACACACTGGGTATTCCTCTTCTCCCTCCCTCCCTCGCGCTCCTTCCAGGTTCGTGCCCGGCATCCAGCACCTGATGTCCGCCTACCAGCTGTCCACCCTGTTCGTGATGTCGCCGCCCCTCATCCGGCCAATGGTGCGGGAAAAGCTACGCCAGGCGGGAATTGAACCCGTGTTCATGGAGCTACAGGACGTGGTGCAGCAGCAGCTGCCGCCAGCAGCAGGAGCAGCAGGTGCGGCCCGGGGCGAGGGGCGGTTGGCTGAGGGGCGAGGGGCGGCTCGTCGGGGTAGAGGTTTAGAGGGGAGGGTTGGGGTGAGGAGCAGCAGCTGCGGAGGGTCTCTTGCCGACACACATACCGGCACATGCGTCCCCGTATGTAAGGTGTTGGCGCTGGTGTGTGGTGTGTGGTGGTGGTGGGGGCGGCGGTGGCGGGTGTTGAGAAAAGAACCAAAGAAGGCACACACACACACACGGCTAGAAGCATGCGCATGCAAGTGCCTCAACCAGACCACGTTGCCGGCCCCACGCCCCCGACACCGCTTCTCCTGTACGGTAATGAACTAATGGTTTTAAGAACCCTTACCAATAACAACCAGGTGACAACGAGGCCGGAGGCAGCGGCAGCAGCGAGGGGTGGCAGGCCGCCAACCTTACCTTCTCCCACCTCGCCATGGTGGAGGAGGCGGTGTGCGCGCGAGCCAAGGTGTTCGTGGGAACCAAGGTAGGGGGAAAAGAGGAGGAAACTGGCGAGCTGGGGGTGGGGGGATCGATCGCCTACATTACCTCTATATACCGGTAACCCCAGCCATCACCCCGCTCCCCCCCCCCTTGCCTTCTGTCTCTCATGCCCCGCAGCCTCCTTCCCGTTGCCTTGCCCTAACTTGCGGCCTCGATCGGTTCCGTTTCTGTCTGACCCCCATGCCTTCTGTTTTTTCTGTTGGCACCACCGGCACCATCCCGCCCCTATCCTCTCCAGGAAAGCAGCATGACGGGCACAATCGTGCAAGAGCGCCTAGCCCACCAGCTGCCCCCGGGGGACTCCTACTGCTTCTTCCGCCGCCCCGGTTTCGAGCAGCGGCCCATCTCCGTACCCGAGTATTACGTAATCAACAACCGTACGGCGACCCGCGGCAGTGACCTGTGGCGCACACGGCTGGAGGAGAAGGGGCTTGAGGGTGGGAGGCAGGATAATGGTGGCAGGGGCGCGGTGCAGCAGTCCGTATCTGCGGTCGTGTGAAATGTTGTGGATGAACGATGGTTTGTAAGGGTTTGTGAGGTCGGGAGGGAAGTGATTGTTGGCCGTAGCACCGGGACTCCTGCGTGCCATGCACAATGTTGGGTATCTGCAAAGGAGAGGTGGAAGTTGACTGGTGGTCCGAGGGCCATCAGGCCGCCTGAGTGTCTCGTTAAGCAGTTGGTGGATTGTGTCGAGGGCAGGTAGAGGGGGCTCAGCACCTCCTGCGAATTACCTATCTTGCGTGTGGTATTAACGGTACCGGTATACTGTCTGGCCACTAGAGTGACGAAAGAATCCGCATGTTCGTATGGGTCGGATCCCGCTGTCATAGAGACAGTGGTCAAGGCGGGGGTGGGCTGAGGTGGGCCCTTCTCACCCTTCTTGCGTGTTGTTGGCGGGCGGCTGCACTGTTTTGGCCTCGTTCTGATTCTGCAAGGTAGGGTGTCCTACTGGGCTCCTCTGGCGTTTGCCCGCGCTGCTGCCTGTGTTGGGGTTCTGTTTTTCGGGCGATGTTGTCGCGGTCTTTTTAGAGGATGTGTGTTTTGGTGTTTTGCCCTAATGTTTGCTTGTACATGTTTCTGCTGAGGGGTCGTTTTTTGGCTTCCACCCTCAAATTTTATGTCTCTTGTGGTCCCTTTTGGGTTTTGTTGCCTGTTTCCTGTTGGCCCGTTGTGGTGTTGTCTTCGCGGCGTGTTCCGTTTCTCTTGCAGTGTAGGGTTAGGTTCATCACCCGTGTTCCCTTTTAGGGAACCATTGTAACGGTCATTCATTCAAGGAGAGGGTAAGCAACCCCTTACTGTGTGGGAGTTTGGGCAAGCAGGTCATAGGAAGCGAGGATAGATCATAGCACGCTTTTTTTTAGTATTGTACGGATCATACCACGCACGCATTCCACGCCTTCCATGGCTCGCCCTGACGCCAACTGCAAGCACTCTGCATGTGTAGACCGTAGCGACATTGCGAGAAAGCTTTCGATGATTCCAAAAATCCAGGACTCTTTCAGTTCCATGCTTTGACGCTTGAGGATGTCCTCGCAGGTAGGTTTAATAAGCAGCTCCTTAACGCTACCTTATTATACCCTCCTGAAGTATTGAAATTTTACCGCCTCGTAATCAAACATCGGCAGCTGTCGCCTGACGAATATGATGCCCTGGACCGCATCCTCGAGGCAGTCGATCGCAACTATGCACCGCAGGTACTAGACGCTCTTAGTGCTGACCTCGTTTATGCAGTACTGATGCCGATGTGCTGACTGTACTTTGCAGCACCCGGGGGCCATTATAGCATCAGGACGTGCTGGCCCGCTGGCGGACCAAACAAACTTCTGGGCGGCTGGAGGTAGGACTATTGCCAGGTGTTTGGTGATTTATACTGTTTCTTATTTGGCAATAGATGCAGGCGCAAAACTCGGTGCCAACAGCACCCCAGCTGTCAACAGGGAACCCGGAGCGCTCAACGCGCAGAATCCCCAGAAGCCGTCGCCTTGTCACCTTTCTGTCATGGATTTTGTCACGGGCGTGCAAGACGCCTCGCTGGGCCAAGGTACAGCGGTGCAGACAGAGCTTGGGGCTTTCGCGGTGGGGCGACTTGCAAACCAAGCAGCATGCACGGCAGTAAATCCCCCACCCGCCATGCACCATAGCTGGCAGGCCGCTTGCAGCCGACCAACGGACATGCACACTGGCCCTCCGGCCTCGTGCTTAGGGTACGACAACAGGGCCTGTGCAAGCAAGACCACCACCAGCGACAACAGCAGTAGTAGCCCCAAGTCCCCTGCGGCCAAGCGACCAAACCTTTCAGCCCGTGAAGTGTCGGCTTGGAACAGCCTGCCTGTAGGCCCGGTGCCGTCCATGCATCCGTTGGTCCAACAGTCCCTGCTGCTGCCACCGCAACAGCAGCAGCAGCCATACCTCGGGCAGCTGCCAGTGGCAGCAAGGCCGCCGCAAGGCGCTCCTGATGCGCCTGTGCCGCCGGGGCAAACAGGACATGTACCGGTACCCGAACCAACTACGACTTACCCGATGCCAGAGTGCTGGGCAGGACGGCAGCAGCCACAGCAACCGCAGCTACAGCCACATCAGCATGGCCACGTGTACCCGCACGAACAGCGAAATCAGCAAGGGCAGCAGCAGCAGCAGGCGGCCGCGCTGCAGTGGCAACAACCGCCGCAGGTCCTGAGGCCGCCCCATGTGGGGCACCATGCTGGGCAGCAGCAGCAGGCAGCAGTGGTGTCGCCGCAGCAGGATGGCATGCGGGAGGGGCAACAACGAGGAGGGGTAGCGCAGTTGCGGCAACAACAGGGCACATGCGGGGAGGCGCATGGCGCGGCATCCCCAACAGCAGCAGCAGCGCAACCACCGCCCCAACCCACTGCGCCGCGCCCTCCACCAGGGCGACCCTGGGCAGCGGCACTCGCAGCACCTCAACCGCAACACGCCGCGGGTCTAGCCAGCAACAACAGCCAACCACAGCTGCAACCTGGCGCGGAGATGGCTTGCACCTCGCACCTTGTTCAGCAGAAACAACAACAGCCGCGACAAGCGCCACACAACGGCCTACAGCAACAGCAGCAGCAACAGCAGGCGCCCCATCCGCAATCCTACCATCCATCCAATCCGCAGCCGTGGCGACCGCAGCCGCACCTGCGGCAGCAACATCAGCCACGCATGCAGAGGGGGCAGCAGCAGCAGCAGCAGCCCCCGCATGCGTCACAGCAGTGGAGGACCATGCTGGTGCCGCCACCCCCGCCCGCGGCTCTTCTTGGTGTGAGCCGCATGCAGTGCGCGCAGCGGCCAGCGGCTACGTGCCCGCAGGTGGCTGCAGTCGCCCCCGGCAGGGCTCACCAGGCAGCAGCAGCAGCTGCTACTTCGGTGCACCTGCAGCAACAGCCGCAGCAGTCTGCTGTTTCCAACCCCCAAGAAGCGCTCGCTGCTGCTGTCCCGCACCATCAGCAGCGCCAGGCTGGCGTGTCGGCTGGCATGCCTGTTTTGCCCAGCGCTGTTTCCCTGGCCAGTCAGCAGCATCCTGCGTCGGTCAGCACGCATGCGGTGGATGCAGCAGTGGGTGCTGCCCCCGACCACCCCTGGCAAATACAGCATGGTGCTCGTCACGCTGCAGGAGCTGTGGTTGCTTCCCCTCGTCCGACGAGGACGACGGCAACACAACCGCAGCATCATCACCAATCGCAGGAACGACTATCTTGTGATGACGTCAACCAGCAGCACAAGCAGCAGCAACTCGACTGCCACCAGCAGGGCCAGGTCCCTTTTGGTCATTATCAGGAGCAGCACCCCCAGCAGCAGCAGCAAGGCGCTCCTCCCACCCACCCATGCCAGCTTCCCTGGCAGCAGCATCAACTGCTGCTGTCTACACCGCCCCTGCAGCAGGCGTCGCAGGCGGTAGTGGCGGCAGCTCCCGCGCCAATACCCGTACGCGTATCACCAGTGTACGACAGCTTCAGTCCTGGGGTGCCCGTACAGCAGCCGCATGCACACGACCGGGCTTGCATGGTTTCATGTCGCCACGATGACTCCCGGCGGGGGGATTGCGGCAACAGCGGGAGCGCCTCTTCAGACGTCGCTGTGGCCGGGGTCTCGGAGGCAGCCGTGCCACCCTCTCCAAATGGAGCCTACGCGTTGGGAAGCGGTAGTAGTAGCGAAGATGCAGACGCCACCGCTGTCGCTGTTACAGTAGCCACTGTTGCTGCTGCTGGATCGGGCAATGTCGGCGCCTGCACGGAAGTCGTAGCATGCGGTGCATGCCAAGCCTTGCCCCTTGGTTCGGAAGGGGGCCTAGGGCATGCTGGCACCTCCATCCCTTCTCCCAGCCTCAGCCCAGAACCGCCTGAAACAATCACCCCAGCAACGGGGAACTCCAGTTCTGCTGCAGCTGCTGTTGCCAGGAGCGCTGCCAATGGGGAACCTAGCGGCGGCAGCGGCGGTGGTGCTGCTGCTGCTGCTGCCGTTGGTGGTGGTGATACGGTGGTGCCTAGCCGGCGCCGCCTGCCTGCCTCCTTCACAAGCCTCAGCAACAGCAGCGGTCCAAGCAGCAGCACGGGCACGGCAGCGGCTGTCCTGATGGCGCCAGGGGCGACGACGACGGCGGCTGCAGCAGCAGCTGGGGGTTCATCAGGCAGCGGGGGCAGGTGCGGTAGCGGAGGTGCGCGGGCGGCGCTGCCGTCCATTGCGGAGGTGCGGGCAGCCAAGGCGGCGGCAGCAGCAGCGGCAGCAGCTAGCGGGGGCGCACGACGTGTCCAACAAATGCCAACATTGCAGTTTGTGGGCAGCATCCGGTGGGTGGTTTAGGGATACGGATGCAGGAGGGCTTGGGGTGGCCAGTTCCCTCCCTTCTCTTGGGGAGGCAAAGGGTAACAGGTGTAGCGGGAATGGCAATAGAGCCAGTGCTATTGCGTTGGATTACTGAACACTCTTGGACACGCATCGGCTCACCCCCTGCTCTGGTTGTTCCCACTCCCTGCCCCTGCCCCCAGGTACGCCACCACTGCGGTGGAGGTGGACTGGCTGTGCGGGCAGCTGCTGGCGGCCGGGCCGACCACAGTGGGACTGGACATGGAGTGGCGTCCGCAGTACGTGGCAGGTGGGCTGGGTTGCAGGTGGGCTGGGTGGTCGGTTGGGTCCTCATCATCATCCCGCTCTCTCCGCAGGCTCAGCGGGCAATCCGACAGCGCTGGTGCAGATCTGCTACCAGGTGCCTCCGCCACCGGCGCCCGCAGCGGGTGCAGCTGCTGCTTGCGGCCCGGCACTGCAGCTGGACGCAAACAGCGGTGAGCTGCCTGCTCTTTTGTGCGCAAATGTTGAAGTGCTCCCGGGAATCCTTCAAGCAAAGTGCCAACGCGACTGCGCCACTCTTTTGTCTGCCACCAAATACTGTGAAGACGGCACCTCCGATAGTCCTTGTACACGTATCCTGCACCGTACAGCCCGGTTGCATGTGTCGCCTCAATCCTTGACACCCCCCGCCTCCCCCCTCGTTGCCCGCAGGTCGCCACTGCTGCTGCCTGCTGCTTCACGTGATCCATTCGGGCATCACACCGCGACTGAGGCAGCTACTGGAAGCCGAGGAGCCGCGAAAGGTGGGAGGCGTGTAGGCCGCATGCTGGCAGCCGAGCCTGCTGCCCTGGTTGGCCGGCCGGCCTGGTATGGATAGAGGGGCTGTTGGTGCTACTTGGTTGCTACTGCTGGAGCCTTGATCGACACGGCCATGGAGGTGGTGTGACGCATCACCGGTAGTAATGTACGTTGTGGGCACTTGCTTAATAGACCCTCAGGACGGACCTGAGTTTAGACCGATGCCCTGCCCCCCGCCCTTGCTTTCTGCACTTGGCACATCCCCCCAAACCAGGTTGGAGTCAACATCACCGGGGACGCGCAGAAGCTCCGACGTGACTACGGGGTAGGTGAACACCGTACGAAAATAGGTTTATGGCTATATTTGGTTTATGGCGCATGCCTTATGGCTTCCTATGGTTTGGTATGGTCCCTTGGCCCCCCCTCCCCCCTTCACCTCGCCGCGCAGGTGGACATGCGGGGCCTGTTGGAGCTGGATGCAGTGGCCAATGAGCGGGTGCTGCAGGTGCATGGTGGTAGCGGTTGCCGTAATGCTGGGGGCGCTTGGCGGGTGCTGGTGCTGGTGTGTGTGTCTTGTATGTGTTGGCTAACCGTCAGCTGTTCCCCCATACCCCACCCCACCGGCTCGCAGCAAATCGAGCACGTTACGGTCAACACCGAGTACCGCTCCCGCTGGTCCCTGGCAGGTGGGGGCTGGTAGGGGTTGACGTGACGTGACGGGAGGCGAGGGGCCTATGACACATGCTAACCCGGTGCCTTTTTTACTACTGCTTGGGCTCTATAGTTTATTACCGGTATGGCGGCAGTGAGTTGAGCTTGGCCTCCAAATGGCACTCATCCACTTTGCCCCTCACTGTTGCTGCTGCCCCTCTACCGCCGTCCCGTGTGCCCCCCTTGTTTTGTAGCGCTGGTGGGAATAGCCTTGCGACGCCACCTGCCCAAGCCCAACAGCATCCGCTGCGGCAACTGGGAGAAGCGGCCACTGGACGCTGCACAACAGCGGTAGGCGGTGTGCGCTTTGCGGTGTCGGCCTGCTGACAGCCGACAGCCACATCAAGTATGACCCTGCGGTTACGTGTAAACTACATAACTAGCTTATCCAACACATTGGGAGGTAGCTGGTTTGCTTACATGCATTGCCTCCATCTCTCTACCCCAGGTACGCCGCTCTGGACGCATACGCCGGCTTGGCAGTGTGGGCGGCACTTAATCGGTTGCCGTACCGCCTCAAACCACCTCCGGTTGCCGTGGCTGGGGCTGCAGCTGCAGCGCCAGTTCAGCATCCGACAACACCCGCTGACACGGCTCCGCAAGCAGCAGCAACACCACCGCCAGCACCCATCTCGACCTCCACTACGCCGACTGGAGCAGACAGGACGGTGGGGGATGTGGGAGTTGTAATACGCGCCGAGGCAGCAGCCGGCAGTGCTGCCGCAGGCAACAACAGCGGCAGCGCCTGCAGCGGCGAGGTGATCCAACCCAACAGTGGTCCAGGGGCTGTCCTGGCTGCTTCTGATGCGACCGGCAGCGGCCCGGGTGCTGAGGCTGGGTGAAGCAGCCGTTTGTGAAGGCATGTGCAACTGGGAGCAGTAGGCTGCGTTGGTCGTAAAGAGGATTGGAAACAGGGGTGTGGGATGCAGAAGACGCAGGGGCGGATCAAAAATTACATTGTTATTGACAAGGTCTCGCAGCGTATGCGCATATGTACAGTTATGGATAGGTCAAGCAGATCTGCCAGGGTTCCAAACACCCTGGGGTCGAATAGGACAGGGTGTTAATTAACTCGCGCTCACACCGTTATTCACACGAAATGCAATGGCGATCACGGTACTATACATGGTTCGTTAAATGCATATGCTCGCTCATATTATCCGGCGTCATTATCATGGATCGGCCGTACACAAGCAAAGCGCGCCTCACAAGACACGTGTAAACTAGACCAAGACTCGCACTTTTTGCGGCTGGGTGGTGTCAAAAGTGACTTAAGCCTCAAGCGTGTCTTTTGGCCTTGCGGCCTACCTGGATCTGCTAGTATGCTGCCGTACACAACAACGTCGTGGGGCTGCCCTGATGACCCTACAGCACCTACAAACCTGAAGTCTGTGAACTACCTACTGATCCGAGCTTCTTGCGGCCGTCAGTGAAGGACCCCGTCTCCCACACATCAGACCTCTACCTGAGAGCACCGGTTGTGTGGTGCTGTGCTCGCCATGTTAGAGGCGGCACGTGGCCCAAGGAAATTAGCCGTACCGGACACACTTTTAATACAGCCTATTGCTACACGTCTATTGCACTCGTAGGGGCCACTACACAACGAAACTATTTCGCACCATTCACTCCTTCCGTCTAGTCTCCCCCCTAGCTTGCTGCGCTGCTAACGCCTCCAATCGCCGAGCCACCGTCGTCAACAACTCAGCCGGCTGCGGGGCGCCATACCCACCTCGGTCAACACAACCCTCCTTCCCGCCTGCCCTCCCCTGCCCTCGCCCCTGCGCGCATCCGCTGCCCACTTGCACCCCACCTCCTCCTCCTCCTGCCCCTCCGTAAGGTGCGCTTGTGCTGTCCGCAGGGGGCCGACCAGCACCCTCCCCAGCACCGCCCTCCCACCTCTGCATGCTGCCGCGCAGGCTGCACCCCCCGCCCGGTAGCTCCACGAGCTCTAGCGTCGCCGCACCGCTGCCACCATGCGGCCCCCTGCCGCCCCGGTGATTGCCGCTTTGGCACTCTACTGCAGCCGGACCCCCTGACACCGCTGCCACTGAAAGGCTGCTGTTACCGTTGCCGCGGTCGTGCTTTCGGTGGGGTCCTCCGCTTGAAGAAGCGGTGTGAGTGGTGTTGTCAGCCTTTCCTGGTCGCATGAAGCCCTCTATCATGCTTGGAGGCGGCGGAGACCCCATCAGGAAGGCTGACAGCTCTACCGGGACCTGGCTGGCGGAGGGCGACGTACCCAGGACGCCTGACACTGAAACCTGCGGCCCGCTGTGGCGGCTGCCTAGGGTGACCCGTGGGTCTGCTGCTTGATTGCTGTTGCAGTCGCGCTGCTGGGATGGCACTGGAGCAGCAGAGGCAGCAGCAGCAGCCCTGGCAGCAGCGTCGTGAGCAGCAAACCCGTTGTGTCCGCCGCTGCCGCATGGCTGCAGCGGTTGCCTGCGACTCTCACGTAGTGGCGCTACACCGCCGGAACCACCTACTGCTTGTGCCGCTGCAGTTGCTGGTGTGACTGCGGCAAAAGGTGAAGGAACGGAGACGCTGCATGCATTGTCCTGGGCTGCTTGTGGTGCCGCTGCAGCCCATGAGGAGCCTTGATGGCTAGCATTGTTCCGCGGCGCATGTGCTGCTGCAACCAGTTTCCTGGAGCCCTCAACCCCTGAAGCCGACCTAGCGGAAGCAAACAACGACGCAACGTTCGCTGTCGCAGCTGCCGCCTTTGCGCGAGCCGCAGCCTCAGACTCCGCCACCAGAAGTGCCGTACGCTCTGTCCTCGCCTGGTTGACCTCCCCAGCGAGCAGCCGCATCCATGGCACAACGGCGGAGTGAGGGCCTGTGTAGAGCTGAAATTGCTGCTCCTCGCGCTGCGGCTGCGGCTCCTCTTGAGCGTGCTGGTTCGAGGACTGCACTAGCCCTTGTTCTAGCGGGTGCTGCTGCTGCGGCGGCGGCAGCAGTGTTAGGGCTGCGGCTGAGCGCGCGGGTTCGCTAGCGTGATTGTGCTGGGAGCACTCCTCGCCAGGCTGCCGCTGTGACCGTTGCTGTTGTCGTGACTGCAGTTGCCCTTCACCTGCCGCCACCGCTTCCTGAACACCTCCTCCTGCAGCTCCGCAGGATCGCTGGTTGTTACTGCGCTCGCGCCCACCAGGGGCATCGGGCATTACGGCAGGCGCCATGGCTGATTGCGGAGGCGGCGCCGCTGCCGCCACAGCCGCGTTTGGGGCCGACCCATGGGTCGCGGCAACCTCACCAGCGGCGACGGCGGCGCCGCTGTGGTGACGGTGGCTGTGGCGGAAGGAGTGCCGCCGGTGGGGCGAAGGAAGCTGATGCGGCGGGTGGCTGCCAGGGTGATGCATGTCGTACGAATGATGGTGGTGCTGTGGATGCTGTTGGGAAGGCCAGGGGAGGATGCCTTCTGGAGGTGGCAGCAGCAGGTGCATCGCAGCGTGTGGCGACATGCGGGTATGCTCCGGTGATGGTGGTGCTGCTGCTGTCAATGGGTGCGGGGGCTGCGGGTCTTGTGTTCCTGGCGCATGCTGCGGGTTGGAAGTATGTTGGTAATTGTATGGGTGTTGCAGGTGCAGGTGCAGCTGCCGTTGTTCCTGCTGAGGCTGCTGGGCGTGCCATTGCTGGTCGTGTTGCAACTGCTGCCCCTGCTGGGGCCAGTGCTGCTGCTGCTGGTGGTGGGGGAGGGGAGCACCTGTAGCAGGGTGCGGGTGCGGATGCTGCCAGCCGTGGTGATGGTGGCTCCGGTGGCGGTGGTGGTGTTGGCTTCGGTGGCGTCTCTCCGGCTGCGGCTGGTACGGCAGGTACGGCTGCCCGTGATGATGCCGATCGCGGGAGGGAGATCGCTCTGGACTCCGAGCTTGGCCCACTGTGGTTGGTCTAGGTGCCGCGTCTTCCACACCTACCAGCGGCCGGCGATGTACCTGCGAGTACGTATCGCAAGCACTAGAATTACCTAAACACCCTTACAGAGATGCTGAAAGAGGGGCTATGTCTACGAATAACGCCGCCTTACGAAGCCTTGCGTTACCACTCTAACCAGGCAAACCCTATGGCCAAGGTGCACCGCTATGCCGCCCTGTCGCTGTCATCGAATCCGCAAGCGTCCCATCAATCCCGCCTACCTCAGCCGCCGCCGCTCCCGCAGCAGTAGCACCGGCGCCTTGCGACAACAACGCCACCAGGGTCTGCGTGGGCATCACCGCCGCCGCCGCTGCTGCCGCCGCCGTCGCCGCAGCCACCGCCACCGCAGCAACGTCCGTCTGCATTGTGCAGCTTGGCGCCGGTACGGCACTGCAGGAACAGGTACCCGCTGAAGCCCCTGCCGCTCCCGCCTCCCCAGCCTGACGCGCGCCCTCCTGGCGCTCACCCCGCACACCCTCCGGCGACGCACCAGCAGTGGCAGTCGCTGCTGCACTAGCAGTTGCCTGACCTCGTACCTCCGTACACACTCCCTGCTGTTGCTCCACCGGCTGCAGCAGCGTCCTGGACGGTGCCGGCTGCAACACCGCCCGCTGCTCCTGTTGTAGCCGCTGTTGCTGAGCGGTCGCTGCCGCCGCCGCGGCCGCTGCGGTGGCCTCATGCCGTGTTCGGCCGTTCATGGTTTCAACCACCAAATGCACGGCATCGCGTAGCGGCATGCCGTATGCTGTTATGGGTGCGGTGGACCGAAGGCAGTCGGGTAACAGTCGGGAGCCGTCGTGAGGTTGTGGCTGGGAACGATTGGATGCGGCTGCGACTGCGGCCGTGATGGCGGCGGCAGCAGCAGAAGTGGGTGCGATCGTAGCATCCTGATCGATGTCCACCGTTGGGGAGGCTGCCGACCCAACTGCCGTACGCTCCCGTACAACGATTACGTAAGGCTGGTATTCGGGCAGGGAAATGGCTGTGGCGGCGGCCGCAGCAGGGGAGGCATTGCTGGCGTTCGCTGCTGCATGTTCGAATGGCGAGTGTGTAGGCGCCGCATTGCCGGTGGTTGATAGCGGCTGCTGCAGCTGCGGCGGCGGCGGGGACGGTTGCACCTCGGCTGGCTGCGTATCAGAGCCGCCCCCGGCAGGAGGTGCCGCAGGCCTGCCCGTCGGGCCATTGCTGGGCTGCTGCTGCTGCTGAGGCACCGGGTACGGCACGTAGGCGCCGTACAGCTGTGATGACGTCGGTTGTACGGCAGCTGGGTACCCTTGGTGATGTAGCGTCGGCGGTGGTGGCGGGTAGGGCGGCGGATGCGGCCAGCACCAGGTTGACGGGATGAAAGCGAGGGCCCCAGCCGCCATGCTCCCGACGGTAGCGTCTGGGTAGTGAGCAGGCGGAGGTGGGTGTGGTGTGTACGATTGCGCACCGTACGACGATGAGGGCGCAAAGTACGGAGATGGACGCGATGACCAGCCAGGTAAGGCAGGGGGATAGGCGGCGCTGGTGTCCATAGGCCTTTCGTGATGCCGCTGCTGCTGCTGTTGTTGCTGCTGACTTGAACCGTCTTGGTAGTGGTAGTTGTGATAGTACTGCTTGCAGTGGTGGTAGTGCACACCTTGCTCCTGGTGCGGCGACGGCTCCTTTTTCGCTTCCCGGCTTCGCTGCTGGCTGCCCTTTCGCTCAGAAGATGCCGCCGCTTTCCGCCGTCGCAGTTGCTTCTCACGGTCATGATGATGATGATGATCGCGATGATGACTGCGATGGTGATGGCGAGTTGGAGTTTCGGAGCGGTTTCTGCGGGCTGATCGCTCCGGTGACGGTGATGCGGATGAGGACGATGATGATGAAGGGGAAGATGCAGAAGCGGAGGCGCCGTCTTCATTGGACGAAGCTGAAGAGGAAGAGGAGGAGCAGAGGGAGGAGGAGAGCGACAAAGCTGCCTGGCTGAGGCACCTGTCCTCATCTCGGTTGCGGTTGCAGTGGCGGCGGCGGTGAACATGACCGACATGTGGCTTGCCAGGCGATTGCGACCGTGCATGGCGATCACGCCGCTCGCCATGCCTCCGATGCGTTGACCGCATGGCGCCGCTGTCCACGTCACCACCTTTCTGCCTCCGCTTTTGCCTCTCCTCCATGACACCCCGCCCAATACGCCCTACAACCGGTGCTGCTGATCCGGTGCCTGCCGCCGCTGCAGCAGCAGAAGGTTCCACCGCTGCTGCCACCTCAACCGTCTCACGAGGCGTGCCTCCGAGTTGCTGCCGGCTTGCTTCCAAGCGGCTTGCCGTATCCCCTCCTGTTCCCCCAATCGTACCAGCAGACCCACCCAGGGGCTCCCCCGCTGGAGTGGGTCCCTCCATTGCAGTCGCCCGTGTACCAGGGAGTACACCGCCAGGGTCAAGGGCTGCTGTGGCATGAACGGCAGCTGTATCGGGTGATGCTTCCTTCGGCATTGCCCCCTCGGAGGCGGCTGCAACACCGCTCCCAGAGGTCGCTTCCTTGCTTGTGGCAGCAGCAGCACCAGCAGTGCTTGCCGATGCTGCGGCTGCTGCGGTTGTGGTCGTCGAGTCAACGCCCGTGGAACGTTCTGTGGTGGAGAGGCTGAAGTCCAGCACCAGACTTGCGCCACTGCTTGTGAAGCTAGCCGCACCCGGGGAGGATGTCATGGAGCGCCGGCTAGCCCCTGGTGACCCCCTCAGCTTGGGTTTCGGAGTCCGGAGCTGCTGCTGCTGCTTCGACGGCGTGCATGACGACTCCTCCCCGTTCTCGTCCCATGCGTCGGTTGGGGCTTTGGCGGGATTGGCGGGACGGCTGTTGGCGCGGGCTAGCTGGCTGGAAGGCGGAGGAGGGTTGGAGGCAGCCCCGGGGGCCACGGCGGCGGTGTTGGATGGGTCGGGGCTGGCTTGTGGCGTTGTTTTGGGTTGTTGTGCAGTAGCTGCTGTCGTTGCGGTAGCGGCAGAAAGGCTGCCTTCCTTGGCTTCAGCACCACCGCCCGTGCCCTCCTTTACGTCAGTGCTGCAGACAGGGTTAGTAAGCGCAAGGGTGCTGCCTTCAGGGTCCTGTACAAGAGGCTGACCGGTATTCTCCGCGCCTTTCTTCACGGCTACAGGCCCGCTACCATGGTTGCTCTTGCTGCTCTTGCTACTGCTGCCGCTGCTGCTGCTGATCCTGAGGCCACTGCTGGCGTTACCGTCATCCCCCGCGCCGCTGCCAGCGCCGGCAGCACCAGGAGCAGCACCGCCATCGCCGCCAACAGCGCCCGGAGCGGTGGCGCTGCCACTGCCGTTGCCAGCGTTTGAAAGCCCAATGCTTCCATCGCTAGCGCCAGCACCTGAAGATACGACGGCAGCGCCAACCACCTGCACTGCTTGGCTCGTGACAACACCCGGTGGCTCTGCTGCTGCACCCTTGGCGGACACGCCAGTGCTTTTGGCAGTTGTGTGTGCGTTGCCGCCTCCGCTGCTGCTGCCCGTGCTGCTGGCTGTGCTGCTGCTGCTGCTCTCCCGCCGAAGGGTACCCGCCAAGATTCCCAGTGAGCTGCGAACCCCAGCAGCGGTACCAGTACCTGTACCAGCAGCACCAATTTGAGCCCTGGACCTGACGCCCTGTGCCGCCGCTGCGGCAGCAGCCCCAGTGCCTGACAGTACTGCTGCTGCTGCACCTGCTGCCTTCGCCTTTGCATCACTACTAGCAGCTGCTCCCGCAGCTGTTCCGGCACCGTTAGCCCCCTTCCCTGCGGCACTCCCTGCAGCACCTGGTGTGCGTTCCACGGATGCCCACAGCGTCGGCGTGCGCAGCGCGCTTGCAGGCGAACCGCCCGCGCTGCTGCGTTTGCGGCCGCCCGTCAGACCCGCCAACAGATCCACTGTGTCCTCATCCCCAAAGCTGCCCAAAGAGGAGTTGGGCGACGGCCCGGCGTTGTCCCCATCACCGCCGCCTCCGCCTCCACCTCTGGCTGCAGCAGCTGCCGCGGAGGGCGGCGAGGTTAGCTCCGGCGCGGTTGTGACAAGGAGGTCTGTCAGGGCCGGGAAGGAATGCCGGTTTGGTCGTGTGGCCAGGGGCTGCGTGAGGGACAGCAGCGGCATGGTATTCCGGACCAGGCTGCTTCGAGGGTTGCTGCTGCCGGAGCCGTCGCCGGTTTGCGGTGCGCGGGAGGCGGGTGAGGGTTGGGAGGGTAAGGGGTCGTCGTACGAAAGTACGGCTTGGTCGGATGAGTCATGGTCTGGTGCGTGTGCCGCTGTGAGGTCAGTCTTGATGGCTGGACTTGAAGAAAAGGGTGCTGCGGCTCCCCCTGTGGGGCCGCGGGCGGTCACAGCGGAGGCAAGTTAGCTGGTATGTTTGGGGAGAGCGTTGGTGATTGGCAATACCATGATGTGAATGGAGGGTCACAACCAGGCAGGAAGGAGCTTGCCCGGCTGATCTTATAAGATGGCAGCAAAGAAAGCAGTAATAGTGCACCCAATCCAGCCAGCACACCGCACCGCACCATGCATACCGTACCTTTCGCAGTCTGGCCGCCAGCTCCTGTCTGCTGCCCCTGCACCTCATGCGAAGGCAGCGCCGGCAATGGTACCGCGCGGGCTGCGACATCCCGCGTTAGCTGCGCCTCCGCGGCAAAGATACCACCCAGCGGCCCGCCCAACAGGGACCGAGCCGCACGTTGCTGCTGCTGCTGCGGAGCGGCTGTAACTGTCGCAGCAACCAGAGCCGCTCCCTTTCCCCCCGCCGCTGATAATGGTGGTGCTCCTTTCCCAGACGGCCCCTCCTCCCGGCCTTTCCCGCCTCCTCCCTCTCCGCCTGCCTCACTCCCGCCCCGCCGGGGGCTACCCCCAGGGCTGCTGCCAGCACTGCCCGAGCCGCTGCTGGGGAGCATCCAGTCGGGAGGGGCGGTGAGGGTACCCAGGCCCCCGCCGCTGCTCCTGACGGCCGACCCAGCCGCTGGCCTGCCGCCGCCACCGATGCCGCCAATGCCCAATAATGCGCCACCGCCAGAGCTGCTGCTGGATGCGGCGGCAGTGGTGACGCCGCCGCCGGTTGAGGAAGCGACACCGCCAGTGGCAGCGCCCAGTGGAGAAGGCCGACGGGGTCTGGAGTCCTGGCTGGTGGAGACGCTGTAGGGCTGGTCTTGCCGATCCTGCAGCTGCAGCGCGGAAGGCTGCTGCTGCTGCTGTTTCTGGGAGAGAGAGTCGCTGCCGGCAGCGCCAGCGGAGGATGGCGCACGAAGCGATCCTTGCAGGATGGGGCTCAGCGCCCCCGCGTCAAAATCATCATCGCCCTCCTCATACGCCCCACCGCCGCTGCTGGTGATGACCACACCGAAATCGCTGGTGCCATCGAAACGCAGCCTAGCGGGCCCCCGCTCGCTGCCTGGCTGGGGCCGCTGCTGCTGCAGTTGTTGCTGCGGCGGTTGTTGCTGCAGTTCGTTTGCCAACCGTCGTGCCTCTTGCAAGAGCGGCTCCACAGTCGCTGGAAACGCCTGCTCGTACATGTCGACGGCCGCCGTCAACGCAGCCAGCGCCCCCGGTGGGGCTGCTGCGGGCCCTGACACCACAGTGTACGGCACGCCCCGGAAGGCGGACTGTCGTACCGTCATGGCGGCGGCGCCGCCGGCTGACGACGAGCGACGCCCGCCGCCGCTATACAGTTCTACAGCTTGACGCTCGTCCATCAGTAAGTACACTACCACCAGCGCGACGTGGCAGTGCTGTCGTACAGGCTGAGCTGCATTGCGACTGCTGCTGCTACTACTGCTTCCGCTCGCGGCCTTTTTGGCGCCAGCACCAGAAGCAGCTTGTGACCCGTGGGTCACAGGAGCGGCAGCGGCGCCTAACCGCAGGGTGACGGCGGACACCGTGAGGCCCGGTTGGAGCGTGGAGAGGTCGATGCTGCAGTGCTGCCGGTTGCCCGGGGCAGCCAGGGCGCCGGGTGCCGCATGGCCCGGCCGCCCTCGCTGACTGCTAGCTACACCGCCGTGCGCCGAATCCAAAGCCTGTGATGGGAGGGGTTTTGCAAGGAAGAGCTGTGCTAAAGCAATGTACCACAACGTGGGAGTGGCCGTGAGGGTTACGAGGCCCTAACAGGAATACAGTCACAACGTCTACGTACTTCGCGAACTTAGGACGTCAACGCCACAGTCAGGATGCCCCCGCCCATACCTCCGCCCCGCCCCCCTCCCCAGCCACTCACATGCAGCTCGGAAAGGATGAGCGCCCACAGTTGGCTGTCCGTTGGACGAACCATGTGTGTGGACGCAAGCAACGACTCCCGTAACCCAGCTGACAGCCGCTGCTGATGGCCGCCCATGCCTCCACCTCCACCCTCCAGCTCTCGTTCGGATAAGGCAAAGTCAGAGAACAGTACGGCATCCTCCCCATGGACATTGTACGGCAGCGCGGTCGTTGTCGTGGAGAGCGGTAGTTGTGCCGTACTTCCTGCTACCGCCGTACTGGCGGCAGTGAGGTCCACATGGTGGCTGCTGATGCGATGGGGCTCGCAGCGGCGCAGCAAGCGGAAGGCGGAGGCGGTGGGCTCCGGCAAATCCGCCGGGGAGGCGGAGGTTGCGGTAGCGGCGGTGCCGGAAGCAGTAGCAGCGGTGGATGCTGTTGCGGTTGTGTTAGATGTCATGGATGAGGAGACGGCGTTCAGTCGGTGTAGGATGAGGGACTGAAGCGTGCCAGGCGGCAGAGGGGGCTGCTGCGGTGAGGAGGGGGCGATGCTGCTGGCGGGGTCCTCGCAGAAGACCTGAGGAGTGTGGTAAGAAGAAATGGGGTTGGCAATATGAGGCGTGGATGGTGCAGGGAGGTAGGGGGGGGGGTACATGCGGTTTTGGGTAGCAGAGGCGGAGTGTGCGAGATGGCCGTGATCGGAGGGTTTGGGGTTTGAGGGCGACTACGACAGACAAGGAAGATCTGCGTGCTAGCATCGGGTGCATAGTGTCTAGTGGTCCGTAGATATATGACTGTTCGCGGGGCCAATCATAATGCCTATCTTCGTTATTTCCCCCTGGGCCAAGATGCTGATCCCTTGGAGTCGCTCCACATGTCTGCTCCTTGAAGGCACATACCTGAAGCACATCTTGCGACTGAGCTAACTGGCGTTTCAGCTCGACACGTGTAGTTGCCGCAGCTATGGCCCTTGAGAGTTTCGGTCCTATCACTAATTCTGTGACATTTAGTAGTTCGGCGAGTTTTTGGCGCAACAAGCTGTGCGGGCATGAAGGATCAGACAGAAGGACCAGCATGTAGCCATTGTTGGATGCATGGTATCCCAGCAAATGCCTCTGGAGGTGAAGAATCCCGCTGCTTGCTGCCTCCGATGCAAGCGATGCCGCCTTGCATACGGCGCTCCAGTCAAAAGATACCTGCTGCTGGATGTTCGACGTCCAGACTGGCAGGCCATTATGCTGCGTATCAGTACAGACGGCAACACCAAGGAACGGGCGCAAGCACACGCCTGACATTGTCTTTTCTGACTGTGCTAATGGGTAATGACATAGCTATTTTGATCTCAATGAGAGATTATGTGAAAAGAAGTACAAAGAGGAAAGCTAGAAGCCTTTGGCAACAATGTATAAATTCGTCATGGTTTCTTTGCAGGTTTCGGGGTTTGACTTTTGACTTTGGTCATCACGAGCTCCTTTGCTAGGGAGAGTCAGTAACAGCATACCCATTTCAAAAATGACGCGCAAGAAGCATCAACCAACACCTGGCAGGCTAAGCAGTAACACAAGCGGTAACATGGCCCCTAACACGGCTAGGCGAGTCATGCCTTGTGCAGTAACCAAAACGTATAGTGTGTTAATGCGTTGCTTATGCTAACGCGTATAGGCGCACGAGCGCAGACGAGTTGAGAGACAAAATTGGATACACATTACTAGCTGTAAGTTTGCGTCTCTTAACCCAAAGTGCGACTATGAATGTATAACAGCCAAGATGGGTTAAGCAAAACTGCAGATGGGGCTTGCACTAACCTGTTCCTTTGTTTGTCGCCTGCAAGGTGAGCGTCGGCCTTCTTGGCGTCAACTACTTGCTGCCGAAAGACAGAGACGATTCCGATTCTGACAATCAACGGTTGTATGGCAGCATCGCCGTGTTTTGGTAGGTATTGGCGTGCAAGCACTGCCACGTGCAAAGTTAAGCATTGCCTTCAGTGCTCAATTCTGGACAGGAAAGACAACTAAGCTCCTTGGTATCCATGTACAGGTGCATGGTGGTATACGGCGTCATCAAGAACCTCATTTGGGGCAAGCAGGTGACAAAGGGCCTTGCGAGCCGTAACGCCAACATACCGTCTTTTGCCACCCCTTCCCGGCCCTTCAACTTCCCCTTCGGCCAAACCACACATGCACATGCGTCAGCCGACACTGGGTACATATCCAATTTAAACCCATACGTCATACCGTGAGCCACTGTGGAAGCATATGCGGAAGTATCCTGCACATCCAGATGCGCCCCTCCTACACCTCCCCTCCCTTGCCGCCTTCCCCTCCTCCTACCTCCTCACAACCCCCCTCCTGCCGTCAGTCCGGAAGTCCTGCTGCCGCGAGCACCGGCGCTAGCGGCGGCGCCACCACCATCACCAGCGCTGCTCCTGCTGCTGCTGCCTTGACACCGCCAGATGCGTCCAACGACTCCACCAGCACCGCCAACACCGGTGCCAGCCGACGCACCCGGAGAGCCTAGGACGCACGGGAGGCTGCCATGCTCCCTGGGCCTCGCTCTGAGGCTTAGTCAAGCACCCGCCCACACAGTTAGGGCGAGCTTGTTGGGGGCGGACTGCCTTATCCCCGTCCAAGTCATGCTAGGCTTGGGACGGGGGCGGGGAAAGGGGTTATGGGTGGCAGGAGGGCAGCAACAGGTGTATTGTGGGTCGTACGGGGGCACATTGGGGGCCGCCTTGGAGCCTGTCGGGGCGTTGGAGTTAGTTGCGAGACGTGTGGTTAGTTGCGGAGGCAGAGGTGTATCGGAGGAATGCGCTGCCATGTTAATTTGATGCACGCGAGTCCCCACAAGGAAGGGACACGACTAGCCCGCCGTTGTAACTAGAGGGCACAGGTGCCAGCGCAAGGGATCATCGTGCTGTATGTATGCACGGTTGTTTCCAAATACCGATACACTACGAAACAATACAAAGGTCAGCCACCTTGCTTCATGACCGTTATCCACCTCTCCGCGGCCTTCTTCCCACGATCCACAATGTATCTTAGTGTGTGTGTGGCAAGCAATGCAATGCAAGCCAAGCTTCATCCTGCTAGTCTTGTTCCGCCATCGAACATTTCATCCCCCATCCATCGAGTCCTCTTTCGCCTTCATACGTTTGTCACACGACGTACGTACTCCACATACGTACTCCACACCAAGGGTGCCGTTTTACCTGTGGCAGTCAGCAGTGGGGAGCGCACATGTGTACAGCATATGCACCCCCTGCCCCCACCCACCACCCTAGGAGGGCATACCCCGGCTCCAACACACTTGACGTTCAACACACCCGGCTACTCTACCTAACACGCTAGCATGCATCATGCTGCAGGCTCCTAACCAACATGCTACCCAGCCCATCTCAACAAATGCGTCGAATATCGTGCAGGGAACATGCAACACATGCGCCTGCGGCCCATTGCGCTACTACGCCAATCTCTGGTTTGGTAAATGTCCTAAAAACACTACAGGGGGCAAAACTCGGCTCGAGAGAAACGTATTCCTACCGTATCTAGAGAAAGGAACCGGTAACGATACCGCATGCCATGCTGCCAAAGCCCTTTTCCTTCTCCGAACTCCACCAAACACCCCTCCACAGACACACACACCGCTTCTCTCTTTCTCTCTCTCTCCCTCCCTCCCTCCGCCTTTCCCCGCGGTCCTCTCCTCCCAGGGCCACCGGACCTCGGGGACTCCCATGAAGCGCCCTCCCTCCCCCCTGCCTCCTCCCCTCCCCTCCGCTCGCCGTCTCACTTCTACTGCTTGACCCCCATCCTCACCCCCTCTACCCGCATGGGTCATTCTAAACGGGATTGGGACTCCAGTTACTTCGCATTTCACTTATTTGTCCCCTCTCCACCCCTGTCCCGCTCATACCAGCCCAAACAGCCCCAGCAGCTGGAACAGCATGAGGATCACATCCACCAGCAGCAGCCAAATGATGATCCACTCCAGCCGGGCGGCGTGCGAGTTGTTTTTGTGGTCGCGAAGCATGTCCAGCATCTCCTGCAGCACCTGCGTGTGTGTGTGTGCGTGGCGGGGGGGGGGGACAAGAGGAAGAGGAAGAGGATCATGCGTTGAAGGTGGGGATGGATACAACAACACCACATTGGCTACAGCAAGGTAAACCGGTAACAGGAAGTGAGGGCATGAGCGCGTGACACAAGCACTCCCCATTCCCCAAGCCGTTTCGAGCCACCCCCATTTATTCCCTCCGGCGGCAGCCGCCACGTGGGGCTTCACAAGGGGTGACCGCCATCGTTCAAAGCATGAAAACCCTACTTCCTCAATCTCCTCTACCTCCTTCCTCCCAGGTTAGGTCCCGGGTCTGTCATGTCGTGTCACATGAAGCTGGTGTTTTTCGGTGGGAGGACTTCATCTTTCGGCAATCACAGTACATTTCGCCTCGCGGACAGTTATTTTAACACACCTGGAACCGCGCGTTGAGCACCTCGGCCCGCGTGTCCAGTTCCAGGTACTCACACGCGCGCTCATACAGCGCCTGGGGGGTGTTGGCGGGTGGGAGGGCGCACGGGGGGAAGAGGAGGACGGAGAAGCTAACAATGGGGATGGCAGGAGGTCATACATGCAAACATGCATGATGGTGAGTGCAGTGGGGTGCTGCAGAGTGGTACGTACGGTCGAACCACCCTCCCCTCCCTCATCCCTCCTCCTTTCCCTTTCCACCAACACTTGAATTGTGGCACCCTGCCGCCTCCTATTCTATCCCCTTTATCTTGCCCTAACCTGCGCTTTCCCATGGCTTGGTGTGGTCTCAGATCGCCCGCCCCCGCCCCCCCCACCTGCAGCTGGTCGGGTGCGCTCCAGAAGAACTCGGGTGTGTCCATCACGGTGGAGAGCAGGTTGAGGGTGGAGGACTGCAGGAAGACCTTGCCGATTAGCTGCGCCAGCCGCTTGGTGGACATGGACACGCGGCCGTGCAGGGCCAGGTCCTGGGGGGGTGGGGGGTGGGGGGGGGGAAGAAGAATCCCAAGGTGTTTAATGATGCTAGCAAACAAGCGGACGAGCTCCTGGTGGTGGTGGGGGGAGGGTCAGAGATATATCGGCACCAGAACAAGAGGTTCGGGCAAAGATGATGGGGGGCGGGTGGGGAGGGGGTGAAGGTGGGCAGCAGAGGGGGGGAGGCAGAGGGCGGGCGGAGGAGGAAGGGAGGGGGGGTGCTTGCAGGTGGGAGGTGGCACTGGGGTTGTGGGCTCTGAGGCGGGGGACCCCAGGGAAGGCACCGGTCGCATGTGCTTGTGTATGCAGACGGCGGAGCACGCAGGTCTGCCCAACTCCCTGCCCCTTCCCCTCCCCGCCAGATCCTCCGTTCCTTCCTCTCTCTCTCTCCCCCCCCACCTGTTTGATTGATTGGTTGATGCTACTAACTATGCAACAACTACAGTTATTTGCTACCCCACCTATCCAGCGTAATGCGGATTGTGTTTCCAAATTACCCCCCACCTGTTTGCATTTCTTATATAATCCCCCCCACCTGCGGCAGGTGCTTGCTCTCCTCCACCAGCGCCACCACCCGCTCCTCGTACACGGACAGCTTGGTGGACTGGGCCAGCGCGTGGCTGATGGCCAGACGGATCTGCGTGTGTACGGGGTGTGTGTTTTGGGTTGGGGATGGGGATGGAGATTGGTTGGGGGCGGGGGCAAGGATGGAAGCAGGGGGCAAGCATGGAAAGAGCAAGTCAGCGGCAGGCGGACGTGGGGACTGGGAGGGCGTCAACGGGGCATTGCTTATAGGGTTCCACACGCAACCTCCTCCTCCCTATCCCTATCCCTGTTCGCTCTGGCTTCGGTAAGTATTCATTTTTTGGTAGGTGCATTACACGTACTGGCTTCGCTAATTCGGGCTGGGCGGGTCGGGCTGGCTCACATGTTGCAACCCATGTTGACGCCTTATCCCTCAGTCAGTTAGTTGTTTCCTCTTTACCTCCTCCTCCCCCCATCCCGCTCCCCCCTCCCCCACCTGGTGATCCGTGGCCTGCCTACGGTTGATGGTGATGGTGTCGTTCTGGATGTGCGGCGGCTCGCTGACGCTGATGTTGAAGCTGAACTCGTCCACGTCGTACTCCGCAAGCGGATGGCACTCAGCGGCGCGCGCAACGGAGCGCAGGATGCTCGTCTCCTGGGCGGCCTGCAGCGCCCAGAACACCACCACTCCGTACTGCAGGGGGTGTGGGGTGTGGGGGGGGAGGAGGGGGGGGTGTGGGTGTGGGTGGGAGGGAGTGGGTGTGGGCGGGTGTGGCTTAATAGGGATACGTATTCCGTACTTGGCTGGGTTATAGGCTTGCGTTTAGTCATCCTTGTGGGTAGGGAGGGGAGGGGCACGGTAGGGTAAAGGGAGAGAGGAGAGGGAGTGCAGGCCAACACGGGCGGCGGCGGCACATGCGAGTGCCGGGGAGGCTTGTGGCAGAGAGAGCACCCTCTTCCCCCACCCTGTCCCCGCCCTCACCTCGAAAAAGAACACGTCCGAGGGCAGGCTCCAAGCCGCTGCCGCCGCCGCCGCGGATGCATCACCGTCCAGCCCGCCCGCCATGCCGCCCATGCTGCTGCCTCCCCCTCCGCCGTACAGCATCCCCCCCGCGGGTGCGGGTGCGGGTGCTAGGGGCGCCACCCCTAGCGTGGTGCTCGTCCCCCCCAGCCGGGCGTGGATGACGTCGGGGTAGGTGTTGGTCTCCCAGGCTGCAGCGGGGGGGGGGAGGTGGGAGGGATTGGAAGGGAACATGGAAGGGTGTTTTGGTTGCGTGTTTGTGTGTATGGACGGAGGGTATTGACTGGGGGCAGCGGTACAGGACCCAATGTGCTGCTGCTGTCATGTAGCCGATCGTGAGGAGGATGTACACACCAATACACCCACACCACACCCCGCTGCCCTGTGCGCAGGCATCAACCCTGCACCTGCCGCCTCTGCCTTCCTCCATTAGGTCAACCATGCAACCACCCGCCCCCGCATCCTCGCACCACCACGCAATCACCCCCCCCTGCCCGCACGCGAACCTACCCGGGTGCTTGATCCGGATGTGCGATTCCAGCTTTTCCCGGTCCAGCGAATCAGCCACGCAGTACACAGTAATCCTGGAGGAGCACGGGAGGAGGGAGGAGGTGGTCCCGGAGAGCAGGGTGGTGGGTGGGTGGGTTGCAGCGATGTGTCACGCATGCGGTAGGGACAGCAGCTGCAGGGTGCCCAGGGAAGGGGGGGGGTAAGGAGAAGGAAACCGACGAGCTGTATGACGAGGCTTCAGCACGGGGGCGGAGGGGAGAGGATCAGAGGCAGCAGGGGGAGCAGCAGCAGTTGGGGGAGGCAGTGCTTGCATGACTCCAGTGGACCTCTATAGAGGCGCTAAGGTGTGCGTTGCGTACCTGGCTCTGCCGGAGGGGCCGGGCACTGCGGCTGCAATCTCGGGTAGGGCATGTGCTGTGTCATGCTCGTCAGGCCTCCCTGGAGACGCGCCCCTGCTGCTGTCTAGCGGTAGAGGCACGAACTGCGAGCATGAAAGTTGGGGAAGATGCATGTAACTTAGACGCGAGGAAAGCAGGGTGGTTGGGACGGGTTAGGGGTGGGCAAGAGAATGAGGATGGAGGGGAATTCGCGAGGAGCAGCGTGGGTAGACGCCGACGCTAGATACCTTGTCTCTTTGACGTATTCCCTGAGGCAGCTCGCTGCCGAGGACTGTCTTGTAGGATAAGGAATTTGCGCGGCGCAACCCTTGAGGACCATCGCGTGCGCTGGTGGGTCGTGGTTTAAGCTTATAGTCCCGATCTGATGTGGAGGGGGCTGCGTCCAACGGAGTGTACGGAACATCTGGTCGGCTCATTCAGGTTCCCGGCTGCTCAGTCAGAAAGTGGTGGTCACGGAAGAGCACTATGGGAAGAGTGCAAGCCAACTATTGCCTAGAAATAGCATGAATTGTACTCCTCAATAACTTGTTTGGACCAGAAAGGAAAAGGCATACAGCCAGAGCTGGAAGAGAAGAGTGCGTGAAGGCCTTTCTCTTTAAGGGTTCTGTCTTTCCTTCCTATGTGCTCTTAAACAAGACGCTGTTTATCCTAACCTTCAGTGCGACTAGAAGCATACACTTATCGCCTTCGTCGCTGACGGCTTCTTCAGTTCACGAACGTACATCTTCTGCATTGGACGAGCAAGCAATGCCCTGCGTCCTTTTCGGGCCACCAATCTGGCCTTCAATTGATCATGCTAGAGTGTCGTTTTTGTTATCTGGAGCTTTGCGACACTTAGGGCTAGCTTAAGCAGACCATGCCGACGACGGAGGAACTTCTAGACGCTATTGAGCGTGCATGTACTGTCGGTGCCCAAGAAGAGAATGAGGAAGAGCCTTACAAACATAAATATGAAGCTGCGGATCTGATCAAGCGTGTCCTTGGGGAGCGCGGGATTTTGGCTTCGGCGCCTGTTGTCGATGGAACTGGCAAGGACAGCTCAGGCGACTCCCCAGCGGCGCAAGAGTCATCCCACCCAACTGTTAAAACGGATGATAATGGTTCCTCTCCCAGCACCAGCGAGGTACCCGAAAAGCCATCGCATCTGGAGCTCGCGACCGCAGCAGCCCGCATCCGCTGTGGCCTCATTCTCCTAGATACCGACCTCCTAGCAGATGGCGAAGCCAGCATCCTGGCTGGCCTGCCGCTGCTCGAGACTTCTCCTGACACATTCCTGGCATGGCTTCTGGAGTCGTACAATGCCCTAGGTGCACTATACAGGTGCGCACGGCCGAATCCCCGCCTGGACCATCCAGGCTGACACCTTTGCCAACATCATCTAAATTACCTTTCTCCACTCCTCTCTCCATTTTTCGCAACTCCTCCATCCATCCATCCTTCCTCGCGCCCTTCCCTCCCTGCAGCCAGCGCGGCGAGCTGCAGCGCGCCCTCTCCCTGCTCCAACGCGCCGAGGCGCTCTACCAGCGGATCACCGGCACCGGGACGCGGCACGCGCACCTGCCCCACCTGCCGCTGGCGCACCTGCAGCAGCAGCAGCGGCAGCAGCAGCAGGGTGAGGGTGAGGGGAAGCAGCAGCAGGAGGAGGGGACGCAGGAGCAGCAGCAGGTTGAGTCCCGTCCTGGGGGGGCGCCCCAAGAAGTTGGGGAGCAGGGACAGCAGCAGGGACCGCAGGAGCAAGGCGCCACCACCACCTCTAGCCAGGGTGAGGCCACTGCCACCGAAGACGCTGCTGCTGCTGCTTCTGCGGGTGCTAGTGCTGCATCGGCAGAACCGGTGGCACCGGGTCAGCCTGACGCCGCTGAGGCAGCCGCCACCACCTCCGACAGCCCTGATGGCGCGGATGGCGGTGCGGCACCCACCGCAGCCGGTCAAGAAGGGCAGCAGCAGCAGCAGCAAGAGGAGCAGCCTGCACACTCGTCGCAGCAGCACCAGCAGCAGCAGTCGCCTGCCGTACACTCCCATCTGCCACGCAACGACGACGCTGCCGTACAATCGCAGTACACCTCCACCCTGTTCTACCTGGCCCAGGTACGGCGGCGTGGTGCCACGGCGGGGCATGTGAACCCCCTTGTACACTAGTGAACCCAGTAGTACTATATTAGTAAGGAGCATGGGGCGCGCAGACGTCTCTCTTTCTACGTGCCTTGGGTCGCCCTTGATTGCCCCCGTACACGCAGTCGGTCCAGAGACTATCAAAGCAACCAGGGTAACCGCTGGCGGTGGAGCCGTCTGCCGTCGTGCCGCACAATGACATGGCTGCTGCTGCCGCCCCTTAACCCCTCCCAACTCCCGCTCACCCCGCTCATCCCGTCGCTGCTCCTCCTCCTCCGCCCCCGCCCCCAGGTGTACGGCCACCTGCAGGTGGCGGACCGCTCCGCGCTCTACTGCGCTGCCACGCTGTACCGCCAGCTGGCCACAGGTGCGGGGGGGGGGTGGGGTGGGGTGGGGTAAAGAGGAAACAGCTAACCGACCGTGTCGTAACTCACTGACCGTGTGTGGAGGGTTGGGTGGGGTTGAGGGAGGTAGAGGGAGGGAGGCAGGAGAGGAGAGGAGAGGCAAGGCGATGTAGGGTGAGCGGTGGGGCGGTGAGGTGGGAGCATGTGTGGCGCGGTACCGAGGGGAGGCGGAGAGAAGGGAGGCCCCTGCAGTGGCCTCTGCATGGCGGGCCAACCGCATCGGTACTCGCACCTTCCACCCTTCGCCGCCCTCGCCTCCCCTCCCCTCTCCTCCAACGCAAGTACAAAACCCATGGCGAAGGCTTCCTGTCACTGCTCACTGTGCTTTCTTCCTCCTCCAGCTCTCTTCGCTCCTCCTCCCTCTCTCCTCTCCTCCTCACCTCTCCTCCTCCCCACCCCAAGGCACCTACGAGCTGGACACCTGGGTCAACAATTGCCTGCAGCTGGGCGGCTACTACGCCAAGGTGCACGCCTTCGGACTGGCGCTGTACTGCCATGCGGCGGCGCAAGCGGGTAGGGGGGGGATGGGTGTGGGGGGTTTGGGGTGGGTGGGTGGGAGATGGTGGCGCTTCTCGCCCCCCTCTCTTTCCACCCCCATCTCTGCCGGTTGGGTTTATTGCACGTTACCCCCCCTCCCCTGCCCCCACCCCCCGCAGTTGCGGATCGCGACACAGCTGCGGGGGCGCAGCTGGGGGAGGACATCGCGGCGAACATCAAGGTGGGGGGATTAGGTAAAGCGAGCCGCGGAAACACGGACCCCGGCCGTAGTCCCTTGGTGAGGGGAGGGGGGAGGGGCAGCACCCTCCTGGCCGCAACTGGGGGCTGCGTTGGGCTGCGGGTAGGGCTGCTGCTTCTGTTAATAATGCCTGCCGTCTTTGGGTTGCTTTGGTTTGCGCCGCTGCTGACCCATGGGTCGCACCTACCTTCCCTCACACCCCCTCCTGGCGCCCCTTCCCTCCTCACCCCCCTCCTCATCCCTCCTCACCCCTCCCCCCGCCTGTCGCTGCCCCCAGCTGGCCACAGCCCGGGTGTACAACATGCGACTAGCCGCCAGCCACTCCCAGCACGTGGAGGGCAAGCAGCTGGAGATGCACTACCCGGATGTGTCGTACTTCCCGGACTACCTCAGGTATTCACCAACAGGCGATGTACGGCGGAAAGCAGTTGTTGTAGTACGGCACATGTGGGTTTTGCGGCGCCATGTTTGCCGTACACGCACCGAGTGCCCACGAGGTGCACATGTGTGTGTATGTGGTGGGGTTCTAGAGGAGCTACGAACCAACCCCTGATTCTCCTGATGGTTCTCTAGATGGGCCCCTTGCCCCCCCACACGCAAACACCACCCGCCTCCGCTTCCCCCCTCCCATGATGACGCCTTATCACACGGTCAGTTAGTTGTTTCCTCTTCCCCTCCCCGCCCCGTTGCAGGTTCCCCGGCCTTGCGGTCCCCTCCCCTGACTCCTTCCCTTGGGGCCCGGCGGCCCTGGCATCCAACTTCGAGGCAGCTCGGGAGCTGTTCAACACGGGTGGGGGGGTGAGGGTGAGGGTGGGATGGGTGGGTACCAGCTGTGGAACTGTGTGTGTTTACTAAACTGGAGGCGAGTCGAAACGAACCATGAGGCTGAAGCTGTATGTGTGTGTATTGCCCGTATACCCAGGCATGCCGTACTTCAAGTCCGCTCTGTCGTACTACCAGCTGGACGGCTGGGTGACGGAGCACGTCAACATCCTGATGGACATGAGCAACATGTACCGGTAAGGGGGGGTAATGCAGGGGGGGAAGGGGGGGGGATGCAGCGGGGGGGGGGGGGCGGGAGGTGGAAGGAGGCGGGACACCCGTACCCGGAGTACGGCAGTACGGCAGCCGAGCACTGAGAGTCGTGGCCTCAGCACCGCCTCCCTCGCCTGCTTTTTAGCATCCACCTCCCCTCCCTCCCTGGGCTCCCTCCCTTATCTGTGGATTGTATGGTTGGGTTCTTATCTTTGACCTCCTTCCCCTCCCCTCCCCTCCCCTCCCCTCCCTCCCTCCCCCCCTGGCCCCCTCCCCAGCTGCCTGGCTGGTTTCGAGGCCGACCTGCCCCGCTGCGCCGCCATGCACCGCTGCCGCGCCCAGCTGCTGGAGCCGCTGTCGGGCGGTGCGCTCAACCCCGCCTTCTACCCGGGGCTGGCGAGGTCGGTGGAGCTGGAGCTGGCGCACGTGTGGCGGGAGGTGGCGGATTTGCGGGAGGCGCAGGGGGGGCAGGGGAGCAAGGTGAGGAGGGGCGGGTGGGGGCGGGAGAAATTCCAATGTGTGGTGTGATAGTGATACAAATGGGTTGAGAGAGTGGGGGGGGAGGGAGTGAGTGAGGGGTTAGACAGGCAAGGGCCCCAGGTTTGGGGCGCTGTGGGGTGAGTGTGTTAAAATAACTGGGGTGAGTGTGTGTGTATGGGGGGAGAGGGGCTGGGTACAACACATCCGTTCGTTCCTATCCCGTTCTTATCTACCCTGGCGACCTCCGCCTCTCCCTCACCTCACCCCCTCTCCATTCAGGTGGTTGCCGCCGCCACGTCAGCAGTCAAGTACTACAACCGCTTCCTGCGCTCCTTCGTCAGCTCCGAAACCGGCCAACTGCCGGATCGAGTGGACCCCGACAACGAGCCCTACTTCCTCATGGCCTCATTCGGTCTGGGGCGCATGATGCACCGCATGCGGGAGGGAGGGCCGCCCACGGGGGGTGTGGCAGGAGCGTCAGGAGCGGGGGCAAAGGGAGGCGCGAAGGGAGGTGGTGACGATGCCAGGTGGGTCATGCATGCGGTTGTCTACAATTGTGTGTGTATAGTTGAGTAGGACAAGAGCAAGCAATTGGGAGAGGTTCACATTTGTGTGTGTGTATGCGGGCGTGTTTGTGTGTTGGCCTGCTAAAGTGTCCTTCCCCCTCCCTCCCTTCCTCACCCCCCTCCCCCAGTTTCCCGCAGCTGGTGCTCGCCGCGCACCAGCACCTGCAGTGGACCGCCGCCTACGTGAAGCGGCACGGACTGGAGCAGTGGACGCAGGAGGCGCAGGTGGGGAGGGGGAAGGGGAAGGAGGGTGGGGACTGAAGGGTGGCGCGAGCGTCTGGGTTGGAGGGAGAAGGGTGGGGGCTGGGGCGAGCGGCTGGTCCCCTGCAGGCGCTGTGACCTGCCGGCAGGCGGGTTGCATGCCGCCTTCCTTCCTTCCCCTCCATGGCCGTCACCCTGCCGTACGTGTTCGGACCCGGGTTTTGGTGCTACCCCCCCCCCCGCCTCCCCGTGGCAAGCCGCTTCGCCTGCCGTACTGCCTTGCCCTTGCTTGCGGTTTCCTTGGAAGCAGGGTTTGGTTCCTCCGTGGCCCCCTGCCCCCTCTCCGTATGGTCTTTGCCCCCTCTCCGTCCCTGGCCTTTACCCTGCCTCCCTCCTCTACCCCCCTCTATCCCCCTGCCGTCCCCTCCCCTCCCCTCCCCTCCCAGGCCGCAGAGGAGCTGAGTGAGCTGCTGGTGGAGCAGATGCGGCTGAGGGCGATGAGTGCTGCGGCGAGGGGAGGGGGCAGGAGGGGGTGAGGGAGTGAGGGGCGAGGAGGTGGCGAAGGGGGTGCGAAGGAGGGGGTGATGACTGACGAGGGCACTGCCACATGCGTGGAGGAGGATGCATGCATGAATGGATGGATGGATGGACGTGGTGAGTATGTGTCGGGTTGGTAGCGGCATGTACGGTGGCATGTACGGTGGCATGCGCTGCCCGTTGCGGGCGCTGTGTTGATTGTGCACGTGCGTCTTGTGTTTCTTCTTCAGGAAGGAAGGGGATGCGAGGTTGCCGGGTGTGGGGAAAGCGAGCCGAGGTGGGCCGAGGCTGGTGAAAACAAACGTCTGAGCGCGCGGCGCGCGATTGCACGTGTTTCGTTTCCCTTATGTTCATACAAATGCACCTGATTTGTCCCGGGTACGGCGGGCGATCTCCGTACTGCCCACGTCCGGCGCCGTACGGCACCGCTCCGTACGGCCCAATTGTCACACCCGGCGTGCCCCGCTCCGTACTGTCCAGGCGGCCCAGGACGACCCCGTCCGTACGAGGAACCGCCGTACCCTGCCGTACAAGGACCCTTATAGTCAAGAGGAACAAAATTAAATAATTGCATGGCATGGAGGAACAGGCAAAGCGCAACACTTCCAAGATCGTTCTATATACCAGACAGGAACGACGGTGACGAGTAGCGAAGGAAGGGGCAAGTCAGCAGGCAGTATATACCTCTGGGACCTACGTCTACTCTTGTACCCTTGTACCTACCTCCGTAGTTTCGAGGTGCAGGGGCGTCCAGAGGCTGAGTCCGGACCCGCCGACCTAGCACCCGCCGACCTACCTAGCACCCGCCGACCTAGCAGGGTGCAAGGTCGGCGGGTGCAAGGTCGGCGGGTGCTAGGTCGGCGGGTGCTAGGTCGGCGGGTGCTAGGTCGGCGGGTGCTAGGTCGGCGGGTGCTAGGTAGGTCGGCGGGTGCTAGGTCGGCGGGTGCTAGGCCGGCGGGTGCTAGGTCGGCGGGTGCTAGGTCGGCGGGTGCCAGGTCGGCGGGTGCCAGGTCGGCGGGTGCTAGGTCGGCGGGTGCTAGGTCGGCGGGTGCTAGGTCGGCGGGTGCTAGGTCGGCGGGTGCTAGGTCGGCGGGTGCTAGGTCGGCGGGTGCTAGGTCGGCGGGTGCTAGGTCGGCGGGTGCTAGGTCGGCGGGTGCTAGGTCGGCGGGTGCTAGGTCGGCGGGTGCTAGGTCGGCGGGTGCTAGGTCGGCGGGTGCTAGGTCGGCGGGTGCTAGGTCGGCGGGTGCTAGGTCGGCGGGTGCTAGGCCGGCGGGTGCTAGGCCGGCGGGTGCTACGCACCGGGATGCTGGGTTGTCCTGAAAACATTATAAAACCCCGGGTCCAGTCAGCGTTGTTACGGGTATATTCGTATGTACCGGTACGGCACGGCTGGGAAGCATGTAGCCTGAGGACGCTAAACAGAACCATTGTACCGGTCATTCATTCATTCATCTGGTTCCGGATGCACCTGCCGTAAGGATCTTGTACTGCACCATTGCACAGGACATGCTGCATGTGCAGCACTCCAGGACGTGTGGTTGTCGGAGTGCCATCTTTCGGCAATCACAGTACGTATCGCCTCGCAGCCAGTTAGCTCAACTGCACACGGTAATGTTGCTTTGTCCTTGGCCCCCCTGGCTGCTGGCTCGTACGGACACACTGTACACGCGTACAGGCTGCAATTGGACTTGGCAGCCAATACCAACTCAGGCACCCCTACCCTGCCACCGCGAGGAGTCTTCGTTTTGAAGTCAAGCAGGGATTGGATTAACCGCTACCCAGCTGGGTAGCGGTTAGGGATCAGGTGGAGTTGGAAGTCAGGCGCGTACGCTGGGACGCTGACTGGCACATGGGGGGGCACTGGGCAGTCTCCTTGGAAAGATTGTTTGGGGCAGCAAGCAGGGGAATCGTGGTCCTCTTAACATCCTTACTCATTGTGCATTGATTGTTCTTGCCGTTCGCTAGCACGCCGCGGCTGGTAAGACGGCTGCAAAAGCCGCAGCACTCTCGTGGCTATGGCTTTGGCTGTCGTACCAAACATTCTAGCCGCCGGAGCTGGTCGGGGCGTTAGGGCGTTCGGGAGCACAAGGTCACGTTTGTTGGATCCTGGATGACTCGTGACCTGAGCTGCTGTTGCCCGTGTGCCAACCGACACCAATGGATGCGGCCTTGTAGCAGTCCGAGCGGCCCAAAGGCAGGTGGTGTACACGTTACATGACATATGCGAATTGTGAGGTAGGTAGGTATCGTATGCTACTATCAGGCCGTACATGCTCGCCTGCAATGCTATAGGCCCCCTGTGTTTGATGCTGCCCGACAGTGCCCGCCCACCCAACCTACACACCGACACAACCCGAAAGCTCTACCAGTCGCTACCCCTCCGCTACATAACACAACTGCAACAGTCCTCCTTCTCAGCAGCTAACTTCCACGACCGACTACACCCATGGTCCCATGCTCACACAGGAAACGACGGACTCGTTTGCCTCATAACCTCCTGCAATACCCCCTATTCGACCCCTCACCCCCGGTGGATTATACCACCGCCGACCCAACTTATGCGGCGTCCTGCGCTCCACCCTGCTCCAAGATGTGCGACTAACAAGGCACATGCAACAGGTGTCAAGAGAGCGCAACAACTCAGCGAGCGAACAGTGACCCACGGGTCTCGGGAGGAGTTCCTCTTTCGTCAGTAAGCCGCCAAGCAAGTCCCAGAGGCCCCTTTGCCAAAACAATTTCATAATCGGTGCAATAGCTACCTCCTCCGGAAACGGTGTCCAAACTCTTATTGTCCAGAAACTCAAACAAAGGCCCGGAATAAGGCAAATACCATGCTGCATGGATGACGGACATGTATTTGTAATTGTAATAACCACAACCTCGAAACAGTTCTATGATACGCTGTGTAGTCCCAACAACCGAACCCAAACTAAAAAAACCATTGGCCATAGCCGTTGTCCCTTCCAGGGGCTGCCGTTGCCCTCGTAGCAACTGTAGCAGTTACTACGGCATCAAGGAAACCACCACGCAACCAAAAATCATGTGCCGTACATTCGCACACCACCCTTACCGTGCAGCGCCCCACGCCTTGTCCAACGACATTTCTTATCTCTTCCAACATACTAGCAAACAAGGCTAAACAACAATTCAATGGGCGATGATAACGACGTCCAACGTCTTGCTTGTGATGATATCCATTACCAGCCCTCTGCTTTTGAGGGCAACAAATAACCGTACCGGTAAATAACCGTAAACCAACTGTCGTCAATGGACCGTGCCCGCTGTACAACACCGGAAGTAAACGATACATCAAGGGTGTGATTATAACACTATTCCGCAGCGCCAACAGTAACAGCGCGTGTATCAGTCATAACGCAACGCAGGACCAACATCCCTAAACAAACCACGAACAAGCAGAAATACCGAACTGCCCGTACCAGATCGTTAGCCTTTATTGTCGCCCATGATTGCGCGCGTAAGCAGCCATCGTAACCCCTGCCACCTCGCAAGCTCGAAAGCAAACCCAACGTTTTCCGGCACCCCCGGGCGCATGCGTCGCGCGCAACATGTCCCCCCAAAACATCTTAACAATAAACAACATTGCACAGACAGCCCATGTGCGGGCTTGCAAACTCGGTCCATAGCAGAGTTCAGGCATTACACCAACCCTATGTTCGCAGTTTTAGGCGGGCACCGGGCTCCAGCCTGAACCGCTCTGCTATCGACCAACTGAAAATACATCCAAGTTCCTCCATCCTGCAAACACAGCTCCTGCTAAACACGACAGCGTAGAAAGCAGAATGGTGCCGTATAGCCGAGGCACGGCGCTGAAAACATGAAAAGCAACCACACCGGCAAATGAAGGGGAATGGGAGGAGAGGAAAGCCGCTGTTTGCTGCAATCGCAAATGCAACTTCTCCCCATACAAGTACACCCTCATGCACGCCCTCATACACCGCAAGCATGCGCCCCCGCATACAGCCGAACGCTCATCCCGCTACGGTACACAGCCGTTGCGAGCCTCAAACAACCAAGCCATCCCCTTCCCTGCGTGCCAACCAACCGTTTTCCCCACGCGAAGCAGCCCTTTTACCGTACAAACCTCGAAAGCCAACACGGATGTAGGGCGCCTTGTTTGGTGCAAAGCAGTCACATGCCGCAAATGTCCAACCAACCCAATCCAACGCAACATTGAAGACCGTCAGCCGTAACAAACGAGGCCGCCGAATACAGTGTACGATACAACAATTGCCGGAAATGGTAGTAATCAGCAACACCACCACGTAAGCCGCATTGCAGAATTCGTCGTCGAAGTAACGTGCTCTGGGATGTGCTGCCCCTCGCAATGCTGAGCGGCCGCTGTGCTTCCAAACACACCAAGCCTTTTCGCAACAAACTCTCGTTGGTGTTGCAACAGGCTGTCGTTGCTGTGTTTTGTATTGTAATTCAAATGTCATCAAACACAAGTTCCAAGAGAACGGAGCCGCTGCCGCCTGACACAAGGGCGACGTAAGCCTCCTCCTCAAAATAGCGATATACCTCCTGTCGGGCTCAGCAGCCCCTTGCCGTACCGCAACCGTACGAAATGAGTGTTTTTGTCGTATTTTTGCCTCGTCCGTCTGCTGCAGGGGCCTCAGGGGCCAAACGCAGCATACACACACCTGCGTGCATCAACGTCTCAAGCAAACGTCCCAACATGTATCGTACTTTTGAATGCCACAGCCACAGCCACCACTGCCAACAGAACGAAGCACTTCAGCGGATGAACGAACGAAAGCATTTGTGTTTTGCGTGCACCAATCGTGTTGTACATGCAACGTCAAAGCTTCATGTCACGCAATCAACCGATAAACCGTCACAAAACGAAGAATTGTTTCAACCATTTCGTCGTTGTCAAGTATGTGTTACATCATCTCTTCATCTTGCCGTACAACCTGCCCACGCAGCCACATCGTCTTCATTCCAATTACTCTTCCAATCTGCAGCTCGGTGCAACCATTCTCCCGCTGCCCCCTTGCAGCCATCCATGTCATACATGGCCTTCACAGCACACCCTTCATTGCGGCGAGATGCCCACCTCCTTCAAGCCACTCGAGAGGAGCCCTTCCTGCCCACATACTTCTCGAACAGCCCCCTCAGGCTCTTAAACGATGACGTCAGCACTGTGGCAATTTTGCCGCTGCCCTTGGCGCGGCTGCTGCCGCCGCTGCATCCGCCACTGCCGACAATAACGCTGTCGTTATCGTAGTCACCGTGGAGGTCCCTCACGGCACCGGAGCCAGCCTTCCTATCGCCTGCTGTTGATGACGGCACGGCGGCTCCGGCCTCCGTGCCCGACCGCCGTGACGGTCGCGCCGCAACAAACGCCGACACAGCGGCAGCCCGCCGTTCCAATACCACAATTGGCTGCTGCGGCGGCGGCGGCGGCGGAGGCGTAACGGCCTCGTCTGCAGAGCTGCCGGCCGATGACGACGTCCCCAGCTCAGCGCATGACGTCAGCATAAGGCCCCCATGCGGCCCCGGAGCCGCCGCCGCCGCCGCGTCAGAAGAGCCGTCGTACGAGCTGCTGAGCTCGCTAGCAGCGACGGCGTCGAGGTTCCCGGCAAGAGCCGAGACGGGTACGGCAACCGGCGTCGCCGCCAAGCGATTGAACTGTGCAGCAGCGGCGGCGGCCGCGGCAGCGGCGGCAGTACCTGAAGGTGAGGCTACAAGGCCGCCGCCGCCGCCGTTGCCGGCTTGGGGCGCCGACGAGGGGGGAAGCGGAACCACTACGCTGCGACGTGAGGAGGAGGAAGAGCTGCCGTACAGCTGCTGCTGCTGTTGTTGTTGCTGTTGCTGAGTCAGGAGTTGTTGGGTGCCGCGGCCAAGGCTGTGGCTCTGTCGAAGAGCAGCGCGAGGAGACAAGTTGCTGCTGCTAGCGCTCAGGGCTGCGATGCCGTTTCCGTTGTTGCTGATTCTGCTCGCAGGTGCCGCGGAGGCCGTCCATGCGGCATGCGGCCCCTGCGTCTGCAGCACTGCGCCTCCCGCCTGCCGCTGCGCCGGCTGCTGCTGCTGCTGCTGAGGCGACTGCGGGGGAAGCGGGGGCGGGTACGGCAGCACCCGCCTGGAGCCAGGCGATGACACGCGGGGCTCGCAGGGGGCTGACGGCAGGGGGCACATGGGCTGAACACGTGCGGCATGAACGGGCGCCAGCGGCGTCACAGGCGCGGTGTTGGCCGCCCCACCAACTCGCCCCGCACCTAGCGCCATTCCGTTGCTGCTGCCGATGGCTCGGTTTGCTACTGCCGCCGCCGCCGCCACCGGCACGGCTCGCTCGTAGGAGCGCCTGGGCGGGCCCTGCAACATCTGGAAAGTCGGTTGGTGGCTGTTGAGCGGTTGCTGCTGCGGGGGCTGCTGCTGCTGTTGACGCTCCTGGTGGTGATGGGCTGCCAGGGAGGCGAGAGAGGCACCCGGCCCCAACACCAGCTGTTGCTGCTGCTGCGGAGGAGGAGGAGGAGTCCGGGGGCGCAGCTCAGCAGAAGCCTGCAGGGGCTGCTGCTGAGGCTGGGTAGCTAGCTCGGCCGGCTGCTGTGAGAGTGGTTGCTGCTGTTGCTGCCTACTGAGCCGTTGCTGTTGTTGCTGGTGTTGCAGTAGCTGCTCGGTGTTTAGCATGCTGCTGTGACTGATGCTGCTGCCGTGGATGGGGGCTTGCGGGCTGTGGAAAGCGGAGCGGATGGGTCGCTGCTGTTGCTGTTGTAGCAGCAGCAGTCGCTGTTGCTGCTCGCGTTGCATGAGCAGCAGCTGCTGCTGGCGCTGCTGCTGCAGGCTGCGTTGTGCCGCCCGCACGCAGGCGCAGTGCATGGCGGCCTCAAAGGCCTGCAGGCCCTGCAGGAAGATCTCAGCACCTGGGGTGGGGCAGATGGGGACCACGTGTGCGCACACACAGGCATGGAGGCACATGTGAGACGGCGGAAGATGGCCACGGTAAGAAACCATGGAGGAAGGCAGCGTCCATAGCATAACAATTCCGCCTACCATCATGGACTTTCCCATGATATGAAGGAGGCGTTACTGCCGTAGCAAGCTCTGAAAGCTGTCATAAGTTGTCATACTTTGCCGTAACACGCCACGCAACAAGCCTCCTGCCTACCTGTGTCCGGGCAGCGGCAGCGAAACACGAAGTTAACGTTGGCGACGTCGCGACCCACGATGGCTTCCAACTGCCTGAGGAACACTTGCAGACCGTCCGGGCCCGGCCGTACTTTCATCCTGTACGGCAGGAATGAAGGATCAGGGCATGGTTATGAAAGATTGAGTGGAAATGGTGAGGAGATCGTGGCTAAGTTTGGCATGGCGCACGACATAGAAAGATCTAACGAACCCCTAGCCAGAAAGATAAAATATCACTGACAAATATCTACTGCCCGAAACATGCGACGCTTCGCGTATTCCGTGTTGCTCAGGACTAATTATCCCAATTCAATTGGATTGCGAGCAAAGTGTCATTGTCTTCCACGTTGCACATATCTGCCACCTATCCTGCGTTACTCTTTTTCGAATTTCCTGGCATTGCAGCAACCAAGCCCTTCATATTCTGATCGCACCTGCAGCAGGTGTTGTTGTAGTAGATGCTGAGCACAGGTATCGCGGGTGGCAGGGCGCTAGGCGTGAGGACCTCCTTCCAGTCCGGAAGCGTTCCTTTGCAAAAGCGGCAAGACTTCTCCTCCCTGGTGCGAGACAAGGCAGTAGGAAATGTGTCAAGTTAATGGCGCCCAGGCCCTGGATATCGGAAATTGCCAAAAGCCAATTCGATGTTCACCCCACGTATATGCATAGAAAAGTGCTGCTGGCGCGATGTAATAAACACGGCAAGCTTAACTTTGGCAAGCAAAGAACATGCTTTTCCTCAGGCTGTAAGGGAAAGCGCCAGCTAATCATCCAAAGTGGACCGGCGCTGGACGTTCACGCTCAATAGCGCCCCGTCGCGTTAAGCGACTCAAGTTGTGTGCCCCAAATGCGCATGGGATGCGACCCGCGCCATAAATGCAAGGGGTACGCCGAAGTAGGATGCGCTCTATCCCAAATCCTAACCACCCGCAAGCGCTACCTTCACGCACCGATGTTTTCCCTGACTATGGTATTGCAGAAAGCATAAGCGCAGTTGGCCCATATCAGGGCGCATGACCACTGTCAAACCCATATGCTAGCACTACACAGTAACCTTGCCTAACACCTCTTCCTAAACACTTACTGCTTTCCGGCAGAATAGAGTTGCCAGCGTGCCACGCATTTCCGATGAACACGCGTTGGGCACTTGCAAACCTTTGGTGTTGGAAGGGAAGCAAGGAAGGAATTAGCCTGGCAACGCACCTGAAGCCGACGTCAAGGCTGAAAGGAAATATACATTTGACCAATTCCTAATGTGTCCTGTTCGGAACCATGAGAATTCGCTGGCCGATAACGCAGTGCATCCCTACCTGAACTAGCGGCTCGAGCTCGCCATCGGGCTTGCGAGTAGGCCCTTCAAAGCATATGTAGCAAAACTCCTCACTATCAACGTCCTGAGCTTCTGTCATGGCTTTCGGAGGCGAAGCCGGAAACTGAGCAGGGTTAACCGTCGTATTACGTATGGCGTAGCATACAAGCTTGTCTTGAGCTGTAAGGGCTATGTAATGTCAGAATTGGCCTCGTCAATTAGCTCCTCAGTATATTATAGGCAGATTTTCTGTGCCTGTACGGCAGAATGGGCTTCAGCGGCTTTCCGCCAGCATGGTAAATGTGCGCTGGCTTGGTGTTCTCTGTTGCAGCAGCTACAAAATCCTCCTTTTGTTACCTGTGGCGGCAACGCCTCCGGTTGGACCAGATACTTCGCGGAGGTTTTGTCGGATTGCCTTCAAATATATTCTACATGTAGAAATAAATTAGCGCTAAGCGACTGTACCTTTGGCTCCGTTGGCAGACGCCTCGGAACTTTCTCGCTTTAATGTGGTGTTGAGTTTTTATACTGTACCTCACCTTTCTGCTTTGTTTGATAGCTAGCACATCCGGCTAGCCGTTCAGCTGTTCAACATCGCAAAAGACGGCGTCGGCTGCTAGTAACGCCTCGTTTAGCTGGATAGAGCTGCGGTAGGATGTCAGGTAAGGAGGCCGAACATTTCGTATGCCAGTACCTTAACCACACTTCCTGAAGACATATGGGTGTATGACGAAGTTAGCTGTAAGGTTCATCGCCCATCGCCTCTACACGTGTGGTAACCACGGTTTGTGCCGGGCACTGTTGTGGCCACCTGAAAGCAATGAAGTCTAAATGATAGTAACCATGCGGCTGCGGCAGTGTCGAAAAACGAAATAGGGCCGCAGCTTGCTGTCAGTAACTCCCGGTGGGATGCTTGCACAAGTGCGCTGCCAGCCTAGCAATTGCCGTCAAGGAACTAACCCAAGTCACAGAGAGAGTAAGGGGGATGATTCCCAAGCCTTCGAATTTGTGAAGTCTAGGTTGCTGTCAGGTCGAAGCTGTCCCGGGCTTTTTGGACATCGTCTGTCACCTCACACTGGATGAGCCGTCCTTGGCTGCCTTTCTGGAGTGTCGTTAGGCGTAGGGTGAGATGCAACGGTTCCCCTGCAAGAAAAGCTGTGCAGTGGTAGTTGGCAGATGGCCAGTGAAACATCCAAGATATTGCTAGGATGGCACGACGAAGGGGACGAAGGGGTTTGCGGCGGGGATGAGGATGACATCCTGGTATCTTGGGTAATGTGAAGGTCTTGCAGTGCACCGCTCAGCGCAGACGACGCCGCGCTGCCTGTTGCCACCCAGACGGAGAGCCTCATCGCGTGAAGTGTGGGACAAGAGGGCTTCGGAAGCCTTGTGCTGCTGTAAGGCCCGATCCTGCTGCACCATTGTCGTACAATATCCGTGGTAATACCGTACATGCGACCACGAAAATGAACCGAACAATGGTTTCCCAACCGACCGTTCGTGCTTTAGCGCCAATGCACCATTACTGCCCAATATGGTGGTGCCCCACAGTATGCGGTTGCATGCATGATGACTCCACTAAAATGCAATAATCTTACGTCCTCCGCAATCGCAGCAGCCCTGCATGGACACGGACGACCTGTCTCAGCACGCCGCCGCCAGGAGCCGATAGAAGTACGACAAGCCTGGGCAACAACGGCAATGCACATGTTCGATTACTACGGCGGCAAAGTCCATCATTGTACGGCAACGTAAAACCACTCAAGCAAAAATTACGCCAACCCTGGAAACAACGTTGTGCAACATTATGAGCAGCAGTATTGGCTGCTCATTATACTGCTTACCTCTTTTTTTCTTGTCAATCCTACTTGTCAATCCAGTGTTGGCTTCTTGGCTCACTCTGACTGTCCGGCTACCGCTACTAGCAGCATCCCCTGCACCGCCCCACAACAGCACTCACAACAGATCTAACAACAGCACTCACAACAGCCCCAGCAACGCAACCTGCAACCCAACACGCGTCAACAAGCAGGAGACCTCGCGGCCTCAGTCAGTCAGCGGCGCCTCACAGCACATCCTCCATATGTCATTGGGCGCACTGCCTCGGTTAGCCACGTATCGGTACACCGGTACTATGCACCTGACCGCAACAAAAAAAGGACAAAGCACAAGCAATCGACAACGGCTGCACCTTCCTCCCAACAATGGGCTTCCTCGCCCCCTCCAGCCACTCCTCCTCCAACCGCTTTGCCACCCAACTCGCACTCCTACCCCCCATCCCAACCCCTTTTGTCCTCCTACTAACCATCATCCTCTCCCCAAACCCTTGCATGCAACCTTTTGCACCGCACCACCCTCCAACCACAACCACCACCACCAACCCCCACCATCATCATATCACCATCATCATTATTGTCATCCCGGCAGCCCCCCCCCCCACGCGCCACCCGGCTACCGCACCGCCCGCTGCGCCATCAGCTGCGCCTCGTACTGCTGCAGCGCGGCGGCGGCAGCGGGCCGCAGCGCCTGTGCGTCCGGGGAGGGGGAGGCGAGCACGTCTCGCAGGTAGTTGATGGCGTCGGACAGTAGCGCGAGGGACTCGCGGCTGGCCGGGGGCTTGGTGCGGGAGAGGCCGGCCATGGCTAGGGCACACCTGGGGGGAGGGAAAAGAAGAATCCCAAGGTGTTGGGGGAGGGAGGAGAGGGGACAGGGAGAGGAGGGCAAGGGAGAGGCAGGGAAGGGTGAGGTGAGGAAGAGGGTGAGGGGTTGGGGGTATCGCCGAGACCTTTCAGTAAGCACTTTCCGCTTGACCATTACAACGACTGCTGCTACCCCGAGTACCGCTACTGTGCCTTAACCTACACGGTTTTCCAATCTCCCCACTCCCCCACCTGTACTTCGCGGGCACCATGTCAGGCTCCCCCTCCAACACCCCCTCGAACTTGTTGATGGCCGAGGTGTACAGCTGGGCCACAGCCGCCAGCACCGGACTGCTGCTGCTGCTGCCCAGACCTCCTCCTGCTCCTCCCCCTCCTGCCACAACTGCTGCAGAAGCGGCCATGCCCTCGGGTGAGGCGGCCAGCAGGTCAGCCCGGATGACCAGCGCCCGGCCCCAGTTGACCAGCGCCCGGCTGCTCCACCCCTCCATCTCTAGCACCTGACGTGACGTGGCAGGGAGGGAGGGAGGGAGGGACATGAGGGAGCTACCGCGGCAAAGCGTGTGACATGGCAAAGAGTGTGAGCGATAATCATCATCCTCGCACACAGCCTCGCAAGGAACTTGTTAACACAAGGAATAAGCTCCTTAGCTCCCCCCCAGCTAGCTACAGAGTTCTACCAGCACGTTATCTCTGTGCTCCGTTTCCCTCTCTCCCCGCCCACCCCACCCGCCCTTCCCCTTGCCCTCCCCGCCCCCGCCCTCCCCCTCACCTTCATAAACATCACCCCCGCCTGCGTCAGCAGCGCATTGGCCTCCCCCGTCATTGCCGCCTCCGCTGCCCGCTGGGCCTCCGCCTCGGGCAGGCTGGCTGGCGGAGGGCCGGAGCGCAAGGCCTCCAGGTAGGCGGCCTGGGAAGGGGCGGGGAGAGGTGGGGGCGGGGAGAGGTGGGGGCGGGGAGAGGTGGGGGCGGGAGCAGCAAACCGGGTGCCCAACAGGAGAGAACGAAGAGAGACCAAAGCGCAGAAGGTAAAAAGGGAGGACCGGGGTGAGTTCCCTCCCCCCCTGCCCCCCCCCCTCCTACCTTGAGCTCCCCGCGCGCCAGCAGCGCATTGCCCAGGTTGCCGTACGCCTTGGCGTCCTGCGGCGCGGCGGCGGAGGCGGCGGAGAAGGCGGCGATGGCAGCCTGCACCAGCGTGTCCGCGAGCCCGTAGTCCTGGGTAAGGGAAGGGGTGGGTGGGTGGGAACAATGTAAGTGGGGGAGAGGGGAGGCAAGGGGAAAGAGAATAAGCCATGTATGCACGCTTCCTCCAACCTAAGCGGTTACCCGAGCCCCAGCAGCCCTTACCTCTCCCTTGCGCGTCTCCTCCCGCCCCAGCCGCAGCAACCGCAGCCCCTCCCCAATCATCTCATTCGGACTCAACCCCTCCAGCGACCGAGGCAGGTAGTCCGAGGCGGCAGGCAGCGGCGACATCGAGGGTACCACCGTCGCCGGCTGGGGCGGGGTAGCAGCGGCAGCGGCAGCGGCTTGCGGTGGCAGGGGAGGTGGCTGGGAGGGAAGCGGCGTGGATGCGGAGGTGGGGGGTGCTGACAAGGGGCCGGCAGCAGCATTGGGTTGCCCCGTCACGGAGGTTGCTGGCCACACGGGCGGCGGCTGTACGGCAGCAGCGGGGCTCCAAATGTACGACGGCGGAGGCAGCGGAGGTTGCGGCGAGGAGGAAGGAGGAGGATGATGAGGGTAACCATACTGGGAGGGTGGTACTGCCGCCGGTGCTGGTGCCCCCATGGATTGTTGCTCTTGTTGTTGTTGCTGCTGTTGTGGTTGTTGTTGCAGGAAAGGTTGTGGAGATGAGGAAGATGCCTGCATGGTTTCAGACCAGGATTGTTGCTCCTGTTGCTGTTGAGGAAATGGCGACGGAGGCGGCGTCGGCGACGATGCCGGTTGCTGTTGTTCTTGCCGTACTTGCTGCTGTTGCCAATTGTACGACAAGCCTGGCGAGCCGTACATCCGTTCCGTGTACGGCAGTGCGGCATCCATGCTGGCGCCGTCAACGCCGCCGCCAGTATACACGACGCCAACGTCATTGTACGGCAAGGAGGGCGGTGAAGGCGATGGTGGTAGCGCTGCTGAGGAGTAAGCAGAAGGAGGTGGGTACGGCCCTTGCTGCTCCTGCTGCTGCTGCAGCGGCGGCGGCGGCGGAGGGTACAGAGGTTGCTGCTCTTGCTGCACCTGCAGGGGGTACTCCTGCTGCGGTGCCGGGAACTGAAACTGCTGCGGATGCTGTTCATGTTGCCCTGGGGCACCCCACTCTTGCTCCTGCTCCTGTTGCTGTTTCCTATCTTGCTGCTGCTGTTGTTGCTGCTGCCGCCGCTGCTCCTCCTCTACCTCTTCCTGGGTTGGCGGCAGCGGCGGCAGCTCCTCCATGCCTCCTTGTTCAAACGGCGGCAACCCTTCAATTTGAATATGCCCCGCCTCCGCCACATCACCGCCTCCGCCACCACGGCTGCTGCTGCTACTGCTGCCACGAGCCTCCGCCGCCGCCGCCGCCGCCGCCGGCGACCCTGCTGACCGCCGCCGCGCCTCCGCCAGCTGTAGCATCATGTCGTACGCCTCCTGACGACTTGTCGCCGCTGACGGCGCCGCCGCCGAACCAGCGCCGCTGCCTCCGCCAGCACCGCCGACAACCTCCGCCTCCGCCGTCAGCCCTGCTTCGAACGCCAAGATCTCAGCAAAACGGTTGCTGTTGACACCAGCATCGCTGCTGCTGCTGCTGCTGTCGTCAGCAGCCGCTGCCGACGGCATCTCCGCAAGTGTCACGGGGATCGCGGCGGAGGTAGCGGCGGTTTGTGCGGCTGTAGCATGCGAGCTGCTCGCCATTTCGCTAACCTGCGTCGCTAGCGATGCTAGCGCCTCCCGCATACCCGCCACGGCCGCCTGGAGCTCTAGTTGCTGCTGCCGGGCCGCCTCCGCCGCTGCCGCCGCCTCCGCCGCGGTGGCGGAAGCCACCGCCGGTGGCAGCTCCGGAGCCTCCGCCACCGCCGCCTCAGATGGCGGAGGCGCTGCCGCTGCCGCCGCCGCCAGCTGCTCGGGTAGCAGCGCCACCGCCGTCGTCACCCCATCCATCTTCGCGTCCACGTCCCTCAACAGCCGCGCTACCGCCGTCACGCCGTCAAGCAGCCGAGCCAGCTCAGCCGGCGGCAACGGCTGCTGCTGCAGCGGCGGCGGCGGCGGGACGTTGGACGCGTCGCCGTCGCCGTCGCCACCAATGTCGAGGACCGCCGGCGGCGGCGGCGCCACCTCCGCCGCCGCTGCCAGCTGCTGCCGCTGCACCTCCGCCACCTCCGCCACAGCCACCTGCAGCTCTGTAACGCCCAACACCACCGGTTGTAGCGCCGCCGTCAGCCCATCCAAACTCTCCCGCAGCACCGTCTGCGCCGCCAGTACGTCATTCCGTACGCCCTCCGCCTCACGCGCCGCCGCCGCCGCCACATCAGCGCGCGCCTCCGCCAGCTGCTCCGCCAGCGCCTCCCGTACGACAGCCGCCACCGCCGCCGCCAGCTGCCCTCCCTGTACGAGTGAGGCTTCCGTACCCGCGGGAACCCCCTCCACCAGGCGTTCAAGGCGGCTCAGGCGGCGGCCCAACGCAGACCATTGCTCCTCGTCCATGGGGGCGGGTCGTACGGCTGTCAGACGGCCTGAGCGGTTGGGAGGGGTTGGGTGCGGGCGAGATCGGCGGATCCCAGGACGTGTTTGGTGGGGGTAGTACTCAACAATCAATCGGACGGCTGGGGGGCAAGCAAGCCGTTTCAGATCCCGTACTCCAGTCAATAGGTACCGGTAAGCGCCCATGTTAGTAACTGGTTCAGCGACAGCCCGCCGTCCCCTCCTTCCGGCCCGTGTAAGCCCCTCCCGCCCCCCCCGTGTAAGGCCCTCCCCCTCCCTCCCCCCCCCGGTAAGGCCCTCCTTCCACCCCTCGTACTCCCCTCCCGCCGCTCACCGAACGCATCCGCCTGGTAGTCCAGGATGCGCCCCACCGCCACCTCCACCTCCTGACCCAGGAGCGCCTGGGGGAGGCGAGGGAGAGCGAGAGGAAGCGGAGGGCAGCAGCAAGGACGAGTTGTGAAACCTGTTGTCAAAGAATGCCACTTGGAAAGGGCTGGTTGGGGCTCCACTTCTCCCCACCCCGCCTTCCCGCCCCAACTTCCCCCCTCCTCGCCCCTCCGCCCTCCCCCCCACCGTCACACCTGCAATTGCTCTGCCGACACTGCCACCACCGGCATCCCGGCCGCGCCCACGCCTCCCTTCCCCACCCCCGCTGCTGCCCCCATGCCCAGCACCCCATTCCCGCCTCCGCCCCCTCCTCCGCTGCTCGCCTCCACCGCCTCCGCTGCCGCCAGCGCGGGCGGCAGGGCGGCGGCCAGCATCTGGGGCAGCCGCCGCACCGGCTCCATGGACCTGCAGGGGGGGGAGTGAGGGGGGAGGTGAGGGAGTGAGGGGGGGGGCGAGCAGCAGCAGCAGCAGGAGGAGGAGTTTACTGATAACGCCGGGGAGAGAGATAGGGAAGCAACAGATGGACACAGGGACAGGGACAAGGAGGAGCAACAAGGACAAGGAGAGGGGTCATGAGTTTGTCATTACGTTGATTGGGGGCATTGGGTACCCAGGGTTGGGCTCGATTGGGCGACTTTCCTAGGCGGTGCCCAGGCAGACAGAGCAATAGAACGGGCCCATTAGGAAGGCGCTCGGAGGCGCCCACACTAAGTTAGCACATTGTACGGTGGCGGTGGCGGGCGGTGGCGGTTGCGGCACTCTGACAATGAGAATTAATCGACTGCTCGTCCAACCGCAAGGATCCAAGAAGTCGTACGCACTTATATGAATTGGACTCTATGACCTGTAACGCAACGGGTGCAGTGCGCACTGCACCCGTTGCGTTACAGGTCATATAGGAGCGTACGACTTCTTGGATCCTTGCGGTTGGACGAGCAGTCGATTAATTCTCATTGTCAGAGTGCCGCAACCGCCACCGCCCGCCACCGCCACCGTACAATGTGCTAACTTAGTGTGGGCGCCTCCGAGCGCCTTCCTAATGGGCCCGTTCTATTGCTCTGTCTGCCTGGGCACCGCCTAGGAAAGTCGCCCAAACTACCCCGCCCTGCGGCCTGCTGGGCTCGATTGGAGCCCCCGCACCCCCCCCGGCCCCCCCACCTGGCCACCCCACCCCACCCACCCACCTGGCCACCTCGTTCCGCACTCCGCTCTGCAGTGTCGCCTCCGCGTCCGCCAGCGCCGAGTTGAGCGACATGGACAGCCGCCGCAGCCCCTCACTCTGACTCACCTCCAGACCCGACAGAGAGCCCTCCACGGCCTGAGGCACAGTGGGGCGGGTTGAGGGGGTGGATGGGGGCGGATGGGGGGGAGCGGGCCAGCAAGGTGGGTCCTCTCATCCCCTCCCTCTCATCCAAACAACCGCTACAACGGTATCTGTCCTGTACCTGCCCCTCCCCCCTCCCTCCCCCGGACCACACGTTGGAATTTCTTTTTTCCCTCCCCCGTTCCCCCCCCCTTGCCCCCACCGCCAGCCGCGCATCCAGCCTGGCCAGCGCGCTGGTCTCGCTGTTTGCCAGCGCCTCCGCCGCCCTCCTCAGCTCCGCCCGCACCCCCACCAGCAGCCCCTCCAGCGCGCCCCGCTGCTCCGACTGCAGCCGCTCCGGCAGCAGGGTCAGACCCGCTGCAGCTTCGCGGGCACTGCGACCTGGGGGGGAGGAGGGAAGGGAGGGAAGGGGGGGGTGAGGAGGGGTGCAAAGTGAAGCTGCAGGAGTCCCAATCCCAGATTCCGGGAAGGGGAAAAAGGCCGCACCCCGCACCCCAGTTGCCCCTCCCTCCTGCCTCTCCCTCCCTATTCCCACCCACCCCCCATTCCCACCCGCGCTCAGAATGGAGCCCTCCAGCGAGCTCAGCCGCGCCTCAATGGTGGCCAGCCGCGCCGCGGTGGTGTTCTGCCCGCGCAGCTCCACGCGCACCTCCTCCAGGGCGCCGCGCGCATCCGCAAGCAGCGAGGAGCTGTCGCGGGAGAGGGAGAGGCGCAGCGTGTCATAGGCGCGGCGGTTGTCCTGAGGAGGGAGAGAGGGTGGGAGGGAGGGGGAGAGGACGGAGGATGCAGTGTTTGGAGAGGGTGGGTGTTCAAGGGCTTCATGAAGCGTGAATTGTAATGCAGGGTTCCAGTGGCATGGCGCGCAGCGGGGGCTACAGCGTTGCAGAGTAGCTATGTTGGTAGGAGGATAGTACCGGATGGTGGGGTAATCGTGGGTCGAAGCCGCATACCTCGGCAATTAAGCCTTCGCGTTGAAGCGCAGAAAGCAGCGATACTACTGGAAGCACCAGAGGCAGGAAAAGCATGTACGTTCCCGGAAACAGGTTGAGAATGGCCGCCAGCGCACCACCGACGGAACCAAAAATTGCGACGACATCCAGAACTGTCCAAAATCGCTTTTTAAGTTTAATGTTTGGGTCTACATTCGGCGCAATCGGCGGTGGGCCCGGCTGTGGAGCAGCCTTGCATGCAACACGGCCGAGCGACGACTGCTGCTGTATCCCGCCAAACTGCTGAGGACGTCGCCACACAGAACTGGTAGTAATACGAGATTGCAAGCGTATCGGTTGGAGAACCGTCCTAGGCTTGCCTGCCAGGCCCGATGGGCCAACCTGGGGCTTAAGCAGCATCCCAACGCTTAGTGAATTATGGCTGTGTCCTACACATCCTAACATAAAATTAAGATTGCTTATACCGACTAGGTTCCTGAAGTATTAACTGACCATCTAGATTGGCGCGAATAGAATTCCGTGCGTGTCAGCAAGCGTACGGTGACAACGCCGAGCAGTCCCAATCACCACTTCACTACTTGTGCATAAAAACACAATACTTGATCAATACTTGACGTTTCGATATGCTCTACCCATGCATGACTGACCCAACACCGCCCAACCGCCGCGCCTTGGCCAGCTGTTGACGGCTCTTACAACGCGCGCACCACCTCCGGCCACCACCACCAACCTCATTACGCTACAGCACCCGGCCCCGCCCCTTTATCCCCTCCTCCTCCTTCTGCTGCCGGTCCCCCTGCTGGCCTCGGTGTTGTCCGATCCGAGCCAACAACGTACCGTACGACATTCACCAGCCCCAACCCAAATCCCCTGCCTCCTCCTCCTCCCCCTCCCCCTGGCGACTTCCCCCCTCCGCTGCTAACCCGATGCCCTCCAGATGCCGCCGCCGTCGCTGTCGCAGCCGCTGCTGCCGGCGGCGGAGGCGACGCTAATACGGCAGCTGTTGCCGGCTTTGGCGGCGTCTCGTCCCTCAGGAAGGCAGCAAAGGCGTCTGTAAGCGACGCGGGCTCCTCACCCCGACCTGACGAGGACGTCATCGCCCCTACTGCTGCTGCTGACGCTGCTACCCCTGACCAGCCCGCAAGCCCCCCTCCTCCCCCTCCTCGTGACGTCGACCGCGGCAGGCCCTGTCCTGACGACGCCGCTGAAGGTTGCGCGTGCTGCCCGTTTGCAGCGCCACTACTGGTGCTGCTGCTGCTGCCAGCGACCTGGGACCCTGACGACCCACCACTCGTAGCCGACCCCGCATGCTGCTGCCCGCCTCCTCCTCCTCCCTTGTCCCCATTGCGCTGCCCCCAAAACAACGAGGATGCCAGCGAGGGGCCTGCTTCGGCTTCCTCACCACCACCACCGCTTCTGCTGCCGCCAAACCCGCCGGCTGCCTCCTCCTGCGGACTGCTGCTGCCTCCCCCCTGCTGCTGCTGCTGCAGCTGCCTTGCTCTTGCTTCCGCGGTTGCGGTGGCGGCATTGAGGCTGTCCATCAGCTCGCTGTTCAGCTGCGCCAGCTTCTCTATCACCTGGCAGGCAGGAAGGCAGGCAGGGAGGAGGAGGGAAGGGGGAGGAGATGACAATCATAGGGAAGAAAACACTTGGTGAAGAAGATGAAGGAGAAGATGAAGACAGCCAGGGAAGAAGCGGGCTTGTACGGGTGGGCAGCCCTTGGCAACACCGCTGCCAGGGCTCACAGCCCTGCGTTTCGTTGTAACTAAACTACCCGGTGGCTTCACCTCTCTCGCATATGATGAGTGGATGCCAAACGCCGCCCGGGTGTCAATACAAACCACCACCATTTTCGCTCTTACCGCAACCTTCCCAAACCGCATGAGGGATCGCCTCCTCCCTCCCCCCCCTCCCCGCGCACCTTTGCATTGGTCTCCAGGTTGACGCTGAGGGTGCGGCAGTGCGCGTGCAGCCGGCTGAGCTCCGCTGCGGCCGCCTGGCCCTGGCAGCTGCTGGACTCGGCGCGCTGCATGAGCTGCTGGATGACCTGGGGGGGAGAGGCGCATGCGGGGGACGGGAGCCACCGTAAATGCCTCCATGGGCCAAGGCGCAATACACCCACCCACTGCCAAACTCTCTAAATGAGCTGCCAGTTGAAGAGCTGCCAGTAGGCGATCGCCCTCAGGCCCCGCTCCATCCCTTCTAACCTCTCCCTCCCCCCCTGCAGGAGTCGGGATATGGGATTGGGACTCGTTGTTTCACTTATATAATCCCCCCCCGCGCTCCCCACCTCCAGCCTGCTGTTGGCTGTGTTGTTCAGCGCCGCCAGCTCCCCCCGCAGCCCCTCCAGCTGCTCACGCAGGGAGTCGCGCTCGGCGGCCAGCAGCTGGGGGGGGAGGGCAGGGAGGCGAGCAGGTGAGGAAAGCGACGGAGGGAGGGAGGGGAGATGCCTCTTGGTACATGGTAGCGGTAGGTAAGCGGGTTCAGCTGGTGCTCGGCCGTGAATCTGTACCGGTATACGGCAGCTCGCTCTTTTCCCCCTATTACCACCGCCCATCTAACCCCCCTCCTCTGCCCTCCCCTCGCCATGCGGTTCGTCCAATTTCTCCATGTTCATCCCCCCCTAGTGCTTCTACTACAAGCGTTTCTCCTCACCACCACCACCCACTACCATACAGCTCGCCAGTTTCCTCTCTTCCTCCCCCTCCCTCCCCCCTCCCGCCCCCCACCTGCGCCTGCTGCTGCGCCGCCGCCGCCTGCTCTCTGCCCCGCTCCAGCTCGCCCCGCAGCACCGCCACCTCGCTGCGCAGCGACAGCAGCTCCTCGGACAGCGCGGGGGGGATGCAGGTGCGCTGGGGGGGAGGGGGAGGGGGAAAGAAGAATCCCAAGGGAGAGGGTGAGAGGGGGGGGGGAAGAGTGGGGGAGCGGGAAACGATACCGGTATGACATGTAAGGCATCCACACCGAGGGAGGGGGAGGCGGAGGCGGAGCAATGATAAGGAACTGAATGAAGCACCGCCCCTCGTACCGAACCCTCTGCCACACACGCTCCTTTCCACCCCTCTACACATGCGAGCAGTCAACCGCCGCCCTCCCACCAGCCTAGTGTCATACAGCTCTTCCTCTGTGGCCCCCCACCCCCCACCTGCGCCGCCTCCTGCGCCTCGCTGCGTGCCGCCTCCAGCTGCCCCCGCAGCTCCGCCAGCTGCCGGGACTGGGACTGGTGGGCGATGTCTAGCTCCAGCTGGGCGGGGAAGGGAGGGAGGGAGAGGGGTTGAGGGAGGGAGAGGGTGAGAAACGGAGGGCAGACGGGCAAACGGGAGGGAGATAAGGAGGGAGGGAGGGGTAAGGAAAGGAACGGAAAGACAACCATGCAACCAAACCGTCACCTAGTGCTTGGCCACCCGTCCGACCCCATATTCTGATGCCAATGGCTGGGCCCCTTCCCTCCCTCTCCTCCTCAACACATAGTCCTTCTCCATCTTCTCCATCCCTCCTCCACCCCTCATCCTCCTCCACCCCTCGCCCCCTGCTCGCCCCTCCCCTCCTCCCCCTCCTCGCCCCGCCTCGCCCCCCCCGGCACCTTCTCCCTCAGCGCCCTGTCGCACGCCTCCGCCCCCGCGAACAGCAGCAGCAGCAGGTTGAGCCAGTACTGCTGCTGGTCGGGCGAGTAGATGCGCTCCTGGGCCAACCCGGCTACCCTGTGGGCGGGGCGGGGCGGGGGGAAAGGGGAGGGGGGTAAGGAAGTGACAACTGACTGACTGAGGGATAGGGGAGAGGGGAGGGGAAGGATAAGGGGCCCGTTGTGAGCGGGATGGGAGGAGGGTATGGGGGAGGGGGTTGTGGCTTGTACGGGTGGGTGTGGGTGGGTGTGGACAAGGAAGCATATGTGTGTGAGTGTTGCTGAGAGGGTTGAGAGGGGGCAGGCGCGTGCAGGGGAGGGTTGGTGCATGGTTTGCGTCTGAGGAGGGCGAACGTGTTCTGTCACTTCTGTTCAGGCGCGTGGCCGCAAATGCCGAGGAAACAGTTTGTCCGAGCGAGGTGAGGGACTTACTCCTCTTGTAGCCATTGCCCCCGTTGCTCCCACATGGCCCGCGTCTCGTCGGCTGGAAGAGCGGCGGTAGCTTCACTGCTCACGGCAGGGCAGCAGAAACAGCAGAACGGCATAGAGAGAAGGAGGACAGTGAGGCAGGCGGGGACGGTCAAGGGAGCAGGAAAGGGAGCGCAAGGGGTGCGGAGTGTGGCAGAGATGTGACCCCAGGTTTCCCTCTTCATGGCCCCAAACATCCACACGGGTGAGTGAAGCGGCTCGTACCTGTACCTCTTCACCATCCGCACCAGCTCAAACATCCGAGGGTAGCTGGCCCGAGTTGTTGCGGGATCCAAGGGCAGAGCGCGTAGCTCAGCAACCAGTGTTTGGGCATTTTGTAGCAAACTCCGCTGCCTCCCTGAATCCACTGCGCTCTGTGCCATTTTGCACTCCTAGACGTAAATCCTTGTCCGCCAGCCCAGGGTGTTATGCTGCTTACGCCTTTCAATGGGCTTCGCTCCGGACACTATCTCAGCTATCCTGAGAGAAAAGCATACGAAACGCTGCCATCCGACATAGGTTACAAACTGCAGTTCATTGCTTTCGTCTTCATAACAGTTGAGTTCCCAGTCGTCTGGCTGTTGTGCCGGATGGTACTTTAGCGCAGTTCGGATTCCCTAGCTAGGTAAGGGTGATGTCAACAATAATATGTAAGGACTTCGAAGTTAGAAGCATAGCACGCCTGAACGGGAAGTGCCGTTCTGGTACCCCTTTGAACGTGCTGCTTTAAGCATCCAATTGCGTATGAGGGCTCAGCAAATGTGTATCAGCTATGTAAACCTTCAAGTGCTCTCAAAGGCATGAGAGCACCATACATTTTGCGAAGGCACGCTGGCTCGCTCACGTGTCCGAACCGTACGATCACTAGTACAAATCAACGGCAGGCCAGTAGGTCACCTCCGCGTGGCTCACAAACCCCTCCCTGCGCACCAGTGTCAATCATGCCTTCATAATAGGTAACAACAAATCGCTTGGTACGGTACGGTTGGCATGCACTTGTGCACGTCCATGTCTGAAGGTGGTAGTTAAACGACACCATTGTTTTGACTGGCGCAATTAGCTATCATGATAGGGGGCCACGGCGAGAGTACTTGTCAGTACGCAGCATCATGGCGAGAAGAGTGCGGCATGCCATCTACCGGACGTCACAGTTGCTCCTTACAGGAGTACCCCTCCACTGCCATGGCGCTGCTGCATGAACACGTCCGCGCCTTAGCGCCAAAGCGACCGAAAAGGCAACAGCAACAGCAAAAGCCAGACTACCAAGCAACTCCAGACTCCTCGGCATTCCAAACACCTCAACTAACGACCTGCTATTGGTACATGCAAGTATGCAGCATCCTGCAAGCATCCTCACGGCTGGGAAACGAAAAGCAGCCTTCAACGCCCTCTTCGTCAGTCTTCTTATCCAACACCCCATAGCAATTCCATCGCATCCTGCATCCCCTGTCAGGGCCGACGCATGTCGCTTAACCAACTGACACCCACTGCCGGCATCCAGCCCTGACACGCCCCACCCACGCAAGCAAGCTGCCCCCTCACGCTGCTGCCTCCAAGCGGTCGTAGCAGTGCTGCAGCAGCGCCGACCACTCTTCCGCCATCACCGCCTCACACCAGCGCGTCAGCACCGCATCACCGTTGCGAGCCGCCTCGCTGCATGCAGCCACCCACTTGCAGGGGGTGAAGGATGACCCGTGGGTCGCTGCCAGCTTCTCCAAGCGAGGGTCGCCAGCCGCGTGGCGGTGCATGGCAGCCAGCACGCGGGGCTGCACCTCATGGGGGCCGGTGGCGGAGTACCCTGTACGACATCATCGCGTGCGAGTACGACAATAATACACAATGTACGACAATAAGAAATAGGTGGCTGGGCCATGGAATGCGCGTCACCCGTGATGTGAACGACAACAACAACTCTCAGCAGGGCGAAATGCATGTACGGCAACGTGACACTTGAAAAACACACGGGATGAGGGCAGTAGAGCGAGCGACTCACAGTAGTTGGAGTTGTTGAATCCGTTGCCGAACTCGCCATCACACAGGCCCTGCAGCGAGCGGGACAAACAGCACCACAGGGAGAGCAGCAGCATGACAGGGCACCGTGTGAGAGCATGACGCTGTCTGCCTGTAGCCCCCATGAACAACCTCCCTTCTCCCCATGTCATTTGGTGCACCCCGGGTGTCCTTCTTTTCCTTGTATCTCTCCCCAAATCAATTCCCAGTACCCACCACACCGTACTCACGGTCTGAAAACACCTGTCCATTGCAGCACCTAAGACTATACCGGTAAGCTACACGTAACGTCTTAACCTCCTGCCCTTCGAACCTCTCCCCCACCTCTGATCGGTGCACCAGCGCATGCGTGTACGCGGCATCCTTGGCCGCGGGGCTGCCGGGCAGGGGGGGCCCGGCGAAGGGCGTGGGGGCGCCCCAGCTGAGCGGGGTGACCAGGTTGTGCGCCTGGTCCAGACCGCTGCAGCAGGCAGGCAGGGAAGGTGCGAGGGAGCGGAAGGGAAGCAGAAGGGGTTTGGGGTTGCTGTACTCAGGCGACCGGGCCTGTGGTGGTGGTTATGTGAGTTACCCTAACGCTTTTATTCTTTAGGGCCCCTAGCCGCCCTTCCTAGGAGATGTGTAAAGTGCCAAATTCGCCTACGCACACGCGCGCCCTTCACCTTAGCCACCACCCACACCTTAGCGAACCCATATGGCCATATACTCACTCCCTACCACTCACCCGCATGCGACATACAGCAGCGCGGCTACCACACGTGCGTAGTGCTCCGCAGCAGTTGGGTCCGCCCCCCGTCGCTCGGCCTCGGGGGGCATGACGTCCGCGGGTGCCAGACCTTGTACGGCAGCCGGCAGATGGGAAGAGGAAACGTCGGCGTCGTACATCTATCATAGGGGTGGAGGAACGGAGGTGAATGCGAGGGTGGCGTTTATTGTAGGCGAAGTAATAATATTGGGTGAGGTGGGAGGTGTGTTGAAGCATTCGTACGGCAGCCAACCCTTTTTTCCCTGCAGGTGTTTTGGGGGATGGATGCAGGAAGTCGTGCTCGTGTAGATCCGTTAGCGGGTATAAGCATGATAGGAAAGGCCCTTTGCATCATAGGCAAAAACCGCTGCATCCTGCCTGGATGAAGAGGACAATCCAGACTGGTAAAACGATTCGTCGTACCATAGGAGTGGACTGAAGCCGCATGGGGTGAGTTTGAAGGTACTCCAGGACCTTTTGTACGCGATTCGGGTAGTTGCGCGAGCGGCCCTTGGGCCCGCGTCCGGAGCCATCGCCAGCTGATGCCGCAGAGGCTCCCATCGTTTGAACTACGATTGTCATGGCTGCAAACTGCCTCGCTGGAACAGAAAGTCTCAAAAGCGTCCTCAGTCTCTGAGATGATGCACAGCCTATAGCTTGTGTCAACTTGGGTTTCATCTCGACTTTATGGGTATTACATGACAACTCATATTAGTTAGAAGTTTGCTTCTTTTTAGGTGTGCTGACTGCCGTGACAGCCTCAACAGGAGACCTGTTCCTAAAGATCCACGGTACATTAGACTGCAATCTAGGTTTGCCTAAAGCATTATGCTAAGACATTCGCTCTTTATTGCACCTCAGCACTAGGAGTGTCCTTTCTCCTTGCGGGCCTTCCAAAAGCTAGCCCCTCTCTGTGCGCGAAGTCAAGTGACCTGCAAACTCTTTAATTTTGCCTCCCTGCTGTAACCTCTTATAGTCAACATGGCTGACACGCACAGAGCGTGGTCTGGGGGAGCGAACCCACCATCAGCACAATTTTCGTATGGAAGGGCCAACAATGGTGCAGACGATAGTGGCACAGATACGGATGATGAGGGCCGCCTTATCCAGCAGGTTGGAATTGCGCAAATCTAAATCGTGGGCGCTGTCTTTGGCGGGAGCTTAATGCCCTCTAGCAGCGAACTTATCCTCCTCCAATTCAACGCAGGCTGCAGCTACAGCAAAGATGCGAGATTCGGAGCCACCTCAGGGGCGGCCGGCAGCTTTTCCGACCTCTGCTCGGCCGCCTCCCATGGCAGCACCACCAGCGGCATTGCCCCCTAGCCGCGCGGCTCCACCGCCTCCGCGCCCCGCTCCGCGCCCTCCTGCAGCAACAACAGGAAAGGGCAAGGCTGCACCTAAGCGGCCAGCTGGCGCGATCACCCTTCGGACGCTGCTTGACGCGGGCTTTCTTGTGCCGGGCAGCAAAGTACTTTACGTTGAGTACAAGGGCATTATTACGTGGGCCGACCTCACGGAGGAGGGGAGCATCATCTGCGATGGTGGGTAACGATATGTAAAAGGGAGGGGTGGGAGTGGGGGGTTAGGGGGAAAGCAAGCCAGGCGTCTCTGGTTGGAGGGGGTGTGAGGCGGACCGCTCTCGGGTATCCCGGAGGGGCCCGTCGCGGAACAACAGGAAGGTATTGCATGCTTTACCGGTACTTACACGTAGGGCGGTGGATTTTTGGGCGGGTAGGTAAACAGGGTTTATGAAACAGCAAGGAAGGGGATGTCTCCCACCCATATCTTGACCGCTCCATGATGGCTCTGCCCTCCGCTCCTCCCTCTTGCCACCCTTTCCGCATGGCGGCTTTCCACAGGCCAAACCTTCGAGTCGCCCTCCGCCTTCTCCATCAGCGTCAAGCGCAAGCTGAACCCGGAGCGCAAGGCGGATGACGGCTGGAAGGCGGTCAAGTACGCTGGGAAGTAAGTAGTGCCGGTAACGCGCTTCTTAAGTACCGCTGTATGGGCGCGGTGGTCGGCCGCGCTTAAGCACAGCGTTGCTACCATGGTAACCCCTGTGCCAGCCCCCAGCACTACCAGTATGGGTTCACTGAGTTGCTGCTTTCAACCCTGGAGCATAACCGTGTGTAAGGCCTAGGCTTACACGATCCTCACCAGTAAGCCTTAACCCGTAACCTGCATGCAGCTCCTGGCCCTCCATCCGGTGCCTAATCATCGTTTTCCTGCGCTCCCTACCCCCCAACCCCACCCCCCAACCCAGGCTCCTGGAGCACTTCAAGGAGCAGTACCTGCGGCAGCAGCTGGCGGCCTCGGGACTGGGGGGCGGCGGCGGCGGGGGCGGGGCCACCGCCGGGGCGGGCGCGGCTATGCGGGCTGCCACTCCCAGCGGAGGCTGGGGCGCAGGCGGGGGCGTCGGGCGGCCCTCGCCACACTCCAGCGGGCATCCCTCGCCGCTGAGGGACGGAGCCGGAGATGAGGGTGCGTCAGAATTGGGGTTGGGCGGGCAGGCGGGCTTGAGCGGAAATTGGGGATGCTTCGACACCCGCACATGCCCAGGCATGGCCGAGCAAAGCGCATCCCTGTCCGACCTGTGACCCACATGGAGCTGCACTCCCTACTGGCCACCGCAGATGGGCCTCCCAACAAGCGGCAACGTACCGACGGTGACGATGCGGCCCCCGGCTCCGGTGGTTCGGGCGGCTCTCGTCCTGGACTGAAGATTAAGCTCAAATTGAAGGTACGGCAATGCCGTACCGCGCAATTCGTATATGCGCATGGCTTGCTGTCTGTTATGCGCTTGTTCAGCATCAGGACTGCTGCTTGTCGGCGTTAACCCTTTCCAAGGGGCCTTATTAACTCCGTTACCCCGCATTTCGGCCCTAACAGGATGGGCAGGGAGGGGCCACACCCGGGGGGCGCCAGCCGGTGAGTTGTTACACTGTTACGGGACTGGGGGGTGGCGGGCGGTCAGCCGGGAATGTACAGGTGCTTTTCCCCAGCTTCGCCTTCCCCAGCTTCGTCATGCACCCGATTTCTCTCGCGACTGTCCCTATTCCTTACCTGGCCCTAACCCCTTACCTGGCCCGCCCAACCCTCCCCCCTCCTGCAGCCCACTCCTGCCCGCACGGGTCCGCTGATGCCGCTGCCTGCGCCGCCCCTGGCTGTCATCCCCTGCGGCTCCTACATGGGCTCGCCGGGCAGCGGGGAGCCGGAGGCGCAGCCCTTCAGGGTGGAGGTGTCGGACATGTGGGTCCAGGGGCGATGGGATGTGGGTCGGGATTGGGACACTGGAAAACGTTTGCATCGTGGAATCCTGTGGAAACGTTGGAAAACATTGGCCCTTTCACTGCTCCTCCTCCTTTGCTCCTACCAACTTCCCAGGCCAGTCATCCTTGCCCCTCCCTGCCGCCCCCCCTCCCCACTCTGCTCCCCAGGGTGCTCATCGTGATGGACTTCCACGCGCACGTCTCCTCCGCCGAGGTGGGCGGGCTGCTGGGCGGCACCTACGACGAGGCCTCCCGCACCCTCACCATCACCCGCGCCTTCCCCGTGCTGGAGCTGCCGCCGCTGCCGCCGGCGCTGGCGGGACCCGAGGGGCGCGCGCCGGTGGCGGTGGAGTTTGACCCGACCGACCTGGCCAGGGTAAGAGAGGGGCCGGACAGGTGGTGACGTGCTGGTGATGCCGTTTGTCAGCTGCTTGGGACGTCGGGAGTAGTGTGCTGCACAGGAAGGGCACATACCACTACTCTGGGGGTCCCTATCTCTGCATGCTCACCCCGCCATCCCTGCCATGTTCCGCATCTCTCTCCAGGTTCGTGAGGTGATCCGCAGCTGGGGTCTGCGCTGCGTGGGCTCCTACCGCTCGCACCCCGCCTACGCGCCCACCCCCAACGCGCTGGACGTGCGCCAGGCGGCTCGCGCGCAGCAGGAGTCCCGCACGCACAGCGGCGCGGAGCCATGCGTGTGCGCCATCGTGGCGCCCTACGACCCCGCCTCGCCCAGTGAGTGGGCTGACGGGGCTGGGCTGCCGGGGTCACGGCTACACCGCGGATTTGCGTCTTGTGCATGCAAAGTGGCATGCGGATGGCCGTCCATCCTTGCTTGATTTGATGTTTCGTGTGGTTTAAACCGCTTTTGACCTGCTTGCTGCGTTGTCATGTGTATCTTTTCACCGTGTATGTGCAGACGCTCCCGCCAGCGATATCACCTGGTTCCACGTGGAGTACGACAGGAGCCGCCCGCTGCCGCCGCTGCCGTCAGCAAGCGCCCCAGTGGCGCCACCCGCTGGCTGCCGGCCCATGGCTCTGATGATTGAGACGGCGGAGCACCCCACTTCGCACATGGACATCATGAACCTCGTGTCTACGCAATTCCAGGTAAACGACCATGCCAGGTTGCTCTTCCTCAAGCACTTATCGCGCTTGTTCTGATTGCGGACTGCACAGACATTTTATTTTTGCGATATGCCCTGAATCCGTATACCTAATTCGATTGCTATTTCTCCCTTTCTCGCAGCACACGGCACGGACCTACGCCGTGCGTCCCACGCGCACCCCGCTGGCACTCCAGTGGCGACCCATGAGTCAGCTGCCGTACGGCGCCCGGCCTCAGACCTGCCTGGATAAGCTGGTCTCCTCGGTGGTGTCGAGGCTGCCGGACATGTTTGAGGGGGATCTGGGTATCACGTACGGCAACATGGTGCGAGACATGGTGCAGCACGAGTTTGCCCTAGCGGAGCGGATGAACCAGCAGCGGCCGACCCGTGGGTCCTCGGAGGACGGTGGCGCTTTCTACGTTGGCGAGGGTCGCGCGCGCCGTGCCGCGGCGCGGAACAACAACCTGATTGCGGCTGCACGGTTTGAGAGTGAAGAGGAGGAGACGGAGGAGGAGGACGACGAGGTCAAGCTTGATGACGATGATGAAGCGTACGAGGATGATGACTGAAGATGGAGGTTATAGCTGGGGCTGTTGCATGCGTTCTGGGAAGACGCAATACTGTGCCGTACAGTAGGGGTCGCTTTGTAGACACGGTCCATGGGCCGCTTACTTGCTTTGGCGCATGGTGGCAGTCACTGCAATTGAGGCCTGCAAGCTGCGCGTGGGACGGTGGCAGCATGGATGGCATGGCTGTAAAGAGGCTGCAGCCTGACAGTGAGGAAGGCAGGTGTGGGAAATAGGTAAACTGAGTTTGTTTATGTCTGGGCTTCTTCGGTCGTGGGGAGCCCCCTTTCTTTTTTTGCGGACTTGTCCTGTCCCTTCCTGGCTGGGCCAGGCTAGTTAGAACCGTGCGTTGCATGGTTGGGGCGAAGTGCTTGATGTAGTTAGTAATGGCCGGTTGGCCGTTCGGGGAAGGTACTAGCTTCGTAAAGGGGTGCGCGGTCGTCTAGTAAACTTGTGTATGGCTCGCAATGATGCACTGACCGGCATTTTTGCGCGTAAGAGAGGATTGTTGGAAATTTGGGAGAAAAGGGAGCGGAGATGGGCGTATGGGGACAATTTGACAAAATGGGGCCAGCCCCTTACCTCTGCGGGAAAGGGCGATGAGGCACGTGGGCGGTCATTTAGGTTACGTACGTCTGCTTGGCCGGGAAGGCCCAAGTGTAATCTGCCGCGAAGACTCGTTAATTTGCCGAGTATCGTACAAAACAGACCTGAAGGCACAGGCAGTTGCCTGAGAACTGCGCTACTTTTTTCCAAAAAGCAGTGCAAAATCGATTACTTTGCATAGAGCATGTGTCAGTAACAATTGTACGTTATGAGTGCGCCTACTCCGGCAGGTGGCGCGAGGCCGTACGTATTGGATTGGATCCCTTCTCGACGTCCTTGCTTTTTGCGGTAGACAACCACAAAAGTAATCTTATATGCCTTTTAGCGTACGAAATCTATACATCAATATCTTACACAGCGGTCGCTATGTGTCCATGTATTTAAATAAGGATGAGAGCTGGCCGACAGATTTCTATGTTTAGCTGTTTCAGGCACCATTCCAAAACCACGGACGAACTGACAGCATTTTAGCGTTTGCTGCCCCTACGGGTACTAGCGATTTGGTGCAGGACTTCAGCGAGTGACCTAGCACGCGCACCGCTACTATCAGCGACACCTTTACAATACTTCCATCCCAGTAACGTGACCCTTCAATACAGCAAATATGGAAGACATGGAGGTAACATCGAGCGTCTGCCACATTCCGCGATGTGTTCATTGGTACAGCTTCCCGGAGTCCAAGTGCAACCTTCGCCCCTGCTTGCTAGGTTGACGGCATGGAAGTTGACCAAGGACGCCGTGCGCGTGCTGTTGAGAAGCTTAATGGCCGGCTCCGCCAAGCTCAGCAGGAACAGCAGCGGCCAGGGTTGAGCAACGCGCAAGCCAGAGACATCCTCAAGAACCTTGGCGAACTGTTCACAGGCGGGAAGATCACCGTGGACAATGCTTTCGACCTTCAGGCCATCGAGGCGCTAAGTGTAAGCGCTTGTGCCTACAACCCAAGCCCCACTCCACACTCTCCGTATGCTATGTACGCCCCGATACTTGCAATTGCACGATCGACCCCTTGCACATAGAGCGCATGCGTAGGCTGCGCCCAACGTCGTCCCCACATTCCCTTTTCCCACCCATGCAGACGTTGGTCTTCACTGACAGAGACGCAGCTGCGCGGTGTGGTGAGGGGCACTTTCAGGTAGCGGGTTTCGGTCTGGACATCAGCCTGAGGATCTACGGCAAGCGCGTTGACGCGGTGTACAACCATGCCTACAAGACCCTCGAACGCAAACAACCAGCAAGCAAGGACAACAAGGACGATGGTAGGCATGCCGTACCCTACCCTATGTTGCCGCTCAGCTTTGACCAGGCAGTGCCACATACTTGCATTACGAAGTCGCCGACAAACTTCAAGGTATCGTTGTTCGTCAATTGATGCAGACGCCGATGACGCGAAGGACCAAGAGGGGAAGGAAGGCGGCGAGGACCAGGCTGACGACGAGGGGGAGGGCAATGCTGGCAAGAAGGCCGGGGCCAAAGCCAAGAAGCGGCAAGGACCCTCCAACTCCGAGGCGACGCTAGCTAAGGACAGCGACCTCAGAACACGCATGAAGGCGAGGATCTGTCTTTGCTGCATACCCAGGGGGTTCACATTTGCCGCTTGCAGGGATAGGCCAGCTACCGGCATGCCGATTGGCTGGCGGGATGCGATTCTTTGGAGAGGCTTCGCATGTCGTCGCCGTAGTTTTGCTTTACTAAACGCAAGCAACCTTCGCATGTCGTTTACAGGAAACAACCTTTGACGTCGACCCCTTCTTTGTCCGCACTTCTCGCTTGATTGACGAGAACAGCCCGCAAGGTATGTGACCGTGTGGTGTTGAAACGAGGTGTCAAAACAACTGAAGCACCCTGCGCCATGATATGTGACAAGTTGCGGATGTCGGGATGTGGGTGTCAGTGTGAGGACTAACCGTTCGCTCAGCACCCTGGTCTTGGTTCATACCTGTTGATGGTACAAGTACGGGTTATCAGCTATCTGGTGCGGCCGCATGACATCACATGTCGCTTCCTTGCAGGTCTGCTGCTCCATAACCTGCCCGTGCTGTACGGCTCAGATGTCGTCTTCGACGCAAACGTCAGGCAAGTGCACCGCTGCAACCCCCTTTAATTGTTCGGACAGGGTTGTGGGATACCATTCGGATACCTCAGGAAGGCGTCTTTCGCCTTTGGGTGGGCTACCACCATTCTCACGGGGACTTCCGGGGGACAGTGTGTTACAAGCAAAGCTTGTTACTGCGTTCGTATGAGCGTTAAGTTCCCAACGGTCCGCGTTTGCAGGCCCCAGGAGCTCTTGAGAAAGGCGCAGGATGACGCCAACGTGGCTGGAGCGGAAGTAGATGCAGTGGTGAGAGAGCTTGTCGTACATCAAACTCAGTTGACGGGACGGGAATGAAACCGATGCGCTAGCAGTGTACGAGCAAATCGCTGCTGCCGCATGTCGGAGCACAACTGTTGCACGTGCTCTTCCATTCGTGCTCCTCATGGTGTCTTGGATAGCAGGAATTGGTCACTGCACACTTTTCATCCCTTACAGGTTGACTTGTCCGTACTGCCGTACGCGCGGGAGGTGCTAGCGGCAGCGGCGCGGGCACCCCTGAGTCCCGGGATCGAGGAGCTCTACGGGTTACTGGAGGTATGGCTTACTGAACGTACCCAGCGGCTGAATTAGGGGCCAAAGGAGTGCATGGCCATAGCCCTTAGTTAGCGATGGGCGCGGTTAGGCGCCTTCATGGCGTCATCTGGGGCTTGAACCAGATGCCATTCCTCATGACGCCATGAGTCATCCAACATGAACCCCATCATGACGTCCAAAAAAGCATGTACGCTAGGGTATGGTGTGAAGGCAGGCGCCCCCTCGAAGCCAGCGTGCTTGATGACAAGGTGCGTTGTCGTACGCTGCTGCTGTGCCGCAGGACCGGTCGGGTCTGCCTGGGCTCCAGGTGGCCGCAAGCGTGGATCCCCAGGAGCTGCTGCGGAAGGCCCTAGGTGGGTCACCTTTCTAACCTAGCTTGGTGTGGTTGGTGGTGGCGTGCTAGGATCGGGAGGCCGCTGTTTGCGGTGCTCAGTATTGCTGCCACGTTTGGTGTTTGCACGCATGGCATACCCGCCTGGTATGTGTGCAAGCTCTGCCACGCATGTCCGCCGGCACCGCCCTATGATGAGATAATTAGTAAGCAGAGGTACTCGCTGTTGGCTGGGCATGTTTTCCGTGCTGGCCAAGTGGCGGCGTGACGTTCTGTCCGGTTACACCATGCAGCCGCCAGCAACCGCTGGTGGTGGCAAGGGTCGCGTTCATTCGCGCACTCGCGTCCATACCCCGAGGAGGGCGGCGGGCTGCAGGGAACGCGGTGGAAGAAAACTACGCGCCGACCGGCCTGCTAGAGCCATGCCCAGATAGTACAGCGGCATCTGGGGAACCGTACCATGCAGAGAATTCGGCGAATCTGAGGGCGGTGCCGGCGGCAAAACATGTAGCATACCAACGTCGTAACCTAAGAGAGCTTACCACCTGTTGCAGATTGCGCCCTTGGGGTAGCTGCCATAATGCCTTGACCCCCTGACTTCCCTCTTCCCCAACGTTCCCTCTGCCACCGCTGCCCAATCGACCCGCAGCCGAGAACAAGCGCGAGCGCATGCAGGCGAACCGCAACGCGGAGGTACGGCAGGTCGTGCAGCAGGTGGAGGATGCCATGGATGTGGACATGGCGGATGCGGCGGACGCTGGCGTTGCTGCTGGTGGTGATGACGGCGACAATGCTGATGTTGGCGACATGGGCGGTGATGCGGCGGAAGCCCCTGGGGGTGGCGCCGGGGCAGCCTATGCCGGCGATGGCGGCGGCGATGACGGGTACTATGCCGCTCAGGACTTCGGGGACGACGACGGGCCTGCGAGTTTACCGTCGGCTGCTGAAGGCGCTGGTGTTGGAGGTGCTGGGCCCAGATTCGGAGTTGGCCGAGCAGCTTCTGACGATGAAGCACCCTACGGCTTCGGAGATGACGAAGGAAACCTTGACGACGAGGTGCGTTGCGTCATTGCATGGAAGCTGGGAACTGTGAGGGATCTGCAACGTGAAGAGTGACGGATACATGTTTGCCCCTCCAACGCTTTACTCTCTTTTGCCATTCTCTCATCCATGTGCGCCTCGCAACTGGCTTGCCGCCCTTGCTTCCACCTTCCGCCCCACAGCTCGTGAGGGCCGCTGAGGGGCAGGCCTCGGATGATGCGTCCACGCTGCTCAGCCTGCTGGAGGGAACGGCTGCAAGCAGCGCGGTAGGCGGCAGCTCTGGGGCGCTGCAACGCAACTGGTGGAGGAGCGCGACGCGTAGACCAACCGCCTCCACGGGCGCTGCGGCGAGGCCGCGGACACGCAGGTAAAACCGCGCTGGGTTGTGAGCCGGTTTTGGTTTCCCAGCGCATCTGTGTCAGCCTTGTTCGGTCCTTGTTCGCTCCTGCTGCCGCACGAACCCCGTGGAGTGTACGCGTTACCCCCCTTCGCCCGATGGCCACAGGCCCAAACCCGAGGAAGTACCAATCGACTGGCACGCCACGCCGGTACCACAGCTTGAAGACGTGCGCCTCCACACCTACAAGACGGCACGACGCGACGCCTCCAACAAACTCTGCCTGCCGCAAGAGGAGCCCCTACGACTGGAGGACCTCAGCTGCTACTTCTCCTCGGCTCCCATTTCCGGCACGCTGAGTCTGCCGCTGGGCGGCATGGGCTTCATGAGCACACACGGGCTCGGAGGGGGCGCGGGCTGCGGCCGGCCCGTGCAGGAGACGTGGCGGGCAACGCTTATTGCAGACAATGCACGCGAGCGTCAGCGCCGGCGTGAGGCGCGGGCTGCGGAGCAGCAGCGGCGGCGCAGCGGAGCCGGTCCGATGCTGCAGCGGCAGCTTGGCGGTGGTGACGTGGAAGACGCTGACGGAGGCGACATGGGTGGCATGGATGGGGCGGCGTTCAACGGCGGTGGTGGAGAAGACGAGTACCGAGGCGACTATGGCGGTGGCTACGATGACGGAGGTGCGTGCTTTGGGCGGCCTAAGCGGGCCTCCGCACCTTCCTTGGTTGGCCCTGCTCCTGCCGTGTAGGCTTGGTGCGAATTCTATGGGATCCATGCAAGCAGTACGCGACTGCACTCAGCCGCCACTTCTTGTCAATCTTGCTGATGTACTCTTCCCTGTCGTACTGCGGTGTACCTGCAGGTGCGGCTGACGTGGGCGGCGACTTCAGTGATGACGAGTCAGAGGAGGACAGCGGCCTGGGCATGGCCGGGGGACTGGGCGGCAAGGCGGCAGGTCCGACGCTGGAGGAGCTGCTGCAGCCGCCACGGCGCGTACAACGAGTCACAATCAAGTTCGACAAGACGGCGGGCGTGGCGGATGTGGCGACCCTCAAAACCAACATAGAGGCGTCCCTCAAGTGAGTGCTTGTTGGGCATATGTTTGCTGCAGTGTGTGGCTTAGAAGGGATGATCCTTGCGCTTGCCAACCGCCATGGCGTAAGACTGCGTACGTTCCCAATCGTTGCAGCGAACCTCCCTGTACGGAGCTGTACCCTGTTGGACCCTTGCGTTACAGCTACGCAACTAAAATAAAACTAAACCTCCATGTGCTGCTACTCACACCCCTGCAGGCAACTGGCCGTCTCCACCGTCACCAACCGACGCCAGTCCGCGCCCATTGCACAGCCGCCGACGCTGTCCTTCCAGACAGTGCTCGACAAGGTGGCGGAACACGCCGTGGTGGCATCCCAGGGAGCCGCGGCTGCTCGCCCAGCCGCTAGCGCCGTCCCGGCATCGTTGGCTGGCGTCAGCACGCACCTGGCCTTCATTTGCCTGCTGCACTTGGCCAACGAGAAGGGGCTGGCGCTGGGCAACGGAGGCAACCTAAACACGCTGCTCATTACCGGGCTGGGTGATCTGGTTGCTTAGGGAGGTGTACAAGGTGCTGGGTGTGCCTCTACTGTTTGTGCTGAAAGCAGAAATGCTGCCGTGTCTCGAGGGTATACAGTCATGTACGCTTACTCTTCAGGACTCTCTCGCCTGTTGACCGCCTTGTAACAAGTTAAACATTTCTGGCAGCCCCTTCGGACAGTGTAGTTCGAAGTGGCAGCAATGTCTTATGCGCCTAGGCGCCTTAGGTACAGGGCGAGCACCTGACGCCTCGAATCTGCCAACACACTTTTGCCACATGCCCATATCAGATATCAAGAATGCTACTGAACATCTTTAGCGTCGGGTCACGTGCTAAACAATTTGCTGGAACCTCTTGCAAGTATGAGCAGAACAGTGCCATAACGGGGGTCAATGCGTAGTAGAGCATGTAAAACCCCAGACCGAAGCGATCTCATGGCCTGCCCATGTGTTGTGTATAGTAGTGTGTGTGGTCGGACTGCAGCGGTTCGGTCATGCTGTTAGGTACAGTTACAGATAGGGCTGCGTTGCATGTGTAATGACGGCGCGCTGAACAGCGGCAGTCGTTTCTCGCTTGTTACCATGACCAATACTGCGGTTGCCCAGCGACACGTTACCAGGTACCACTTGCAAGTCCACCCAGCTGTACCCCAATATTTCTAACAAACTCTTCATCTCTACTCCTGCTGCCAACAACACCCAAATCAGGCGTTTCTTCAATGTTGTGCTTAGCGACTGTCAATTTCCGAAGACGGTAACGAAGTTGGTCGTATGAAGCTGCACTGCCTTTCAGCTCCTTTGCAATATTGCTAGCAGTCAGTTTATTGCTGGTCGACTGGATGGTAACAACCGCTTCCTGAAAGGCCGCCTCGTCAACAGCAGTCCATCTTAATCGCTTCTTTGGTGGAAGACTATTGTCGTTGGGAGAAGGGCGCATATACTGCTGCCCAACTTTGTTGCTATGTAGAAAGTTATTGGCAGATCTATAAGTCAAGTCAGTGCAATGTGGGTTACCACGAACTTCGTTCAACAAGACCTTAGCACTGAGTTTACTGCCGCGCGCAAGTATGGCCTCTGCGGCTGTACACAACGACTCTATTTGTTGTGCACTTCTACTCAATCGTCCCATTGTTTGGTATGCTTAAAGCCATAAGTGTCGGCGCAAACAAGTACTTGAAAGGTAAAGGTGCTATGGTTACCGGTAAACACCAAGGGAAGGCTAGAAGGCTTTCAAGTTGTTAAGGCACGAAGGTCTTGAACTAATCAAAGCATACACGGCTTCTAGTGCGCTGGTGGCAAGGTACGACATTGGTCTCATTAACTCAATGCTTCTTGCTCTGTGCAAATGCCATATTGACATGTCCATAGTCAGCACTACAAGTATGCGTAAACGTTTGCTTCTGGGCAGGTTACCAAAGTACAGGAGACTTGTTTTGTATTCCATTAGCCTATCCATTTCTCTGTTAGTTTCATAACTTTATGTTATTGAATAGTTTGAAAAGGCACACCTTGAAAGCAACGGATTAGACTTTCGGTGGTTTCGGAGAAAAAATTCCTGAAATCGGCCGGGTTCTTCACTAAGGCTGTTACCTTGCTTCCAAGCCGCGGCCTAGCGGAGCGCCTGGAATCAAGGGCAGGCCAAAAACCCTAAAACCCCTTGAAGCCGGGCAACCTCGTCTGCCTTTGCCTGTCGCCTATTGGCGAAACGGGACGCGTATAATGCACACACGGTGGTAAATCGCTGAACACGCGGTCACTCTAATACTCTGCAGCCCTCCATACTCCCTGAATCCGGCCCTGTCACAACAGCAACAGCCTTAAAAAGTTACAAGCGCAATCGGTGCAAGTCATTCACAAACATAGCAACCGGTTAATTGCCATCACGGAAGAACTACAGCTGCGCTACAGCCTGGTCACGATCTGCTCACTACTGCCAATCAGGGCACACGGGGCATCAGCATGCAGGCACTTCCCCGTGTACCCTGACATCACATACAAGTAGATGCGTGCTCAAGCCGCGAGCTTTGTGCTGAAAGCAGAAATGCTGCCGTGTCTCGAGGGTATACAGTCATGTACGCTTACTCTTCAGGACTCTCTCGCCTGTTGACCGCCTTGTAACAAGTTAAACATTTCTGGCAGCCCCTTCGGACAGTGTAGTTCGAAGTGGCAGCAATGTCTTATGCGCCTAGGCGCCTTAGGTACAGGGCGAGCACCTGACGCCTCGAATCTGCCAACACACTTTTGCCACATGCCCATATCAGATATCAAGAATGCTACTGAACATCTTTAGCGTCGGGTCACGTGCTAAACAATTTGCTGGAACCTCTTGCAAGTATGAGCAGAACAGTGCCATAACGGGGGTCAATGCGTAGTAGAGCATGTAAAACCCTAAAACCCCTTGAAGCCGGGCAACCTCGTCTGCCTTTGCCTGTCGCCTATTGGCGAAACGGGACGCGTATAATGCACACACGGTGGTAAATCGCTGAACACGCGGTCACTCTAATACTCTGCAGCCCTCCATACTCCCTGAATCCGGCCCTGTCACAACAGCAACAGCCTTAAAAAGTTACAAGCGCAATCGGTGCAAGTCATTCACAAACATAGCAACCGGTTAATTGCCATCACGGAAGAACTACAGCTGCGCTACAGCCTGGTCACGATCTGCTCACTACTGCCAATCAGGGCACACGGGGCATCAGCATGCAGGCACTTCCCCGTGTACCCTGACATCACATACAAGTAGATGCGTGCTCAAGCCGCGAGCTTTGTGCTGAAAGCAGAAATGCTGCCGTGTCTCGAGGGTATACAGTCATGTACGCTTACTCTTCAGGACTCTCTCGCCTGTTGACCGCCTTGTAACAAGTTAAACATTTCTGGCAGCCCCTTCGGACAGTGTAGTTCGAAGTGGCAGCAATGTCTTATGCGCCTAGGCGCCTTAGGTACAGGGCGAGCACCTGACGCCTCGAATCTGCCAACACACTTTTGCCACATGCCCATATCAGATATCAAGAATGCTACTGAACATCTTTAGCGTCGGGTCACGTGCTAAACAATTTGCTGGAACCTCTTGCAAGTATGAGCAGAACAGTGCCATAACGGGGGTCAATGCGTAGTAGAGCATGTAAAACCCTAAAACCCCTTGAAGCCGGGCAACCTCGTCTGCCTTTGCCTGTCGCCTATTGGCGAAACGGGACGCGTATAATGCACACACGGTGGTAAATCGCTGAACACGCGGTCACTCTAATACTCTGCAGCCCTCCATACTCCCTGAATCCGGCCCTGTCACAACAGCAACAGCCTTAAAAAGTTACAAGCGCAATCGGTGCAAGTCATTCACAAACATAGCAACCGGTTAATTGCCATCACGGAAGAACTACAGCTGCGCTACAGCCTGGTCACGATCTGCTCACTACTGCCAATCAGGGCACACGGGGCATCAGCATGCAGGCACTTCCCCGTGTACCCTGACATCACATACAAGTAGATGCGTGCTCAAGCCGCGAGCTTTTGCCGCTTCGTCACAGCTCCCTTGCCCTTTGTCGTCTTCCTCGGAACCTTGTCATCCTCCTTCTCCACCACAGCCTCCTTCACCTCCTCCTCTTCCTCGCCGTCCACGTCGGCATCTCCCTCCTCAGCCGCCGCGGCCGGCTTGGTCGCCGCCCCACGCCCACGACCGCGCTTGGCGGCGCCCCGCTTGCCGGCTGCGCGGCCGCCCTGCTTCCGTGGCGACGTGTTGGCCCGTTGCTCATTGCGCTTCATGCGCTGCGCGTGTTAAGAAAAAACAAGAGTTCATGTATTTCCGTAAGGACCAGAAAGATTGTTAACAGCCATGGCATAGGTACAACAGGTATGGCGGAGGTCGAAGGGGCGACCATTGGACCCGCTGCTGACGGCGTATACCCCTCAGGACATCTTCCCAATCGCCAGGCACCCATGCGCCCCTTGCACCTCCTTCTCTCTTCCCACCCCCCCCCCACCTACCTTTAGCGCCGCCCGCACCTCCTCCACATCGCCCCCTTGGTCCTCCAACAGCCCCTGGATCAGCGCGGCGTCAAACTCCGGGAGCTGCAGCGCGAGAGCGGCCGCCTCAGACGCCCAGCGACCCGCACCCTCCGCCGCTGCAGTCGCCGGGGCACCCGGACCCACCGCCGCCTCCTTCCCGGCCGCCGTGTCTGCCTCCACCTGCGCCACAACACCGGCCTCATGTGCCTGACCCGGCTGCGACGGCGGTTCCCCGCCCTCCGAGGGCGCAGCAGCAGCAGCAGCAGCCGGTGGCTCAGCTGCTGCGGGCTCCGCCACCTCCATTGCCTCCGCCTCCACCCCCTCCGCGGGCTCGGCCTCGCCGCTGATCTGCCGTCTGAGTGCCTCCACCTCCGCCCGCTTGGCGCGCAACTCCGCCAGCTTTTCCCTCGCCTGGCCGGCCATGTCGCTAGGCAGCAGGAAGGAGGGACCCGGGAGAAGGAAGGAGGCAGGGGACTCTTAGCATACAGCTGGCGGTCCGGGCTGCCGGTGTGCGGGGAGATTCACTCCGACATTCATGGGCATAAAGATTTGGGAGCCGTGCTGGCAACCCGAGTGACCACGCACCCCCCGCCCTGCCCCACCACTCACTGGTTGACCTGCGCCACGCTCATGAAGTCCTTGAGGTCCTTGTTGCAGCGGGGCGCGGGGCAGTACTTGTGGGAGGTGCAGGAGCGGGAGGGGCGCGCGTTGAGGCGGGGCTGCAGGGAAAAGGGAGGGGGGGGGAGGGAGTTGAGGGAGGTGTCAAGGAACCCACCTGTGCAACCGTGCAACCATGTCACCCCTGACACCCCAGCGGCCCATCAGCCCTACCCCAGCCGCCTACCTTGCCAGCCGGGCTCTCCACCTTGCTCTGCAGCCGGAAGCCGTTGGGGATGGAGGGGGAAAGGGAGTGGACAAAGGGGTTGAGCCTCAAGACCAGCGTTTGCCCACTAAGCCGCGCATTACCAGGGACATCATCTTACAACAGCTCAGTACCGGTATGTTCCTCCTCGTTGCTAGTTTCCTTAACCCGTACACCCCCTCCTTCCACCCTCCCCCCTAGCCAACCTTGAGGCACTCCAGGCAGAAGCGGTGCTGGCAGACCGGTGTCAGCACGGGCCGCTCAGTGACTGTGTGGCACAGCAGGCAGCTGCAGGGAGGGTTGGGGAGGGGGAGGAAGGGTGGGTAGGGGAGGGGTCAGGGCCCGTAGCACCGAAACAAGAGGAATGTGGTACGCGTCTCTTTGCAAACCAGGCTTGAACGCCTCAGCCAGACCATACTCACTCCGCAGCTGCCCCTATAGCTGACCCCTGAAACTGTCACCCACCCAGCGCCCCCTCATGTCGGCACCCACACCCACACACACACCCAGCCTCCCCCCTTGTGCCATGTCTGCACCCACCCGTAGTTCTTCGTGACCTCCTTTTCGAGCCGCTTCACCTCCTTCTCGGCTTGCTGCAGGAACGGGGGAGGGGAGGAGGACGATCCCGAGGCAAAGGGGCGGTCGGCCGGGACTGTGGAGCCGGCTAGATGGAAGCCGCCCATCAATTCCCCAGAAGGCGCCCATCTACAACCAATCCTATGGCTCACTTCTACCGCCCATACCCACCCCGCAGCCCCATGGTGTGGTGTGGTCCAGTGCACATGCAACCCACCTCCAGCAGCTGCGCGGGAGTGCGGGGCTGCTTGGCGGGCTTGGCGGCGCGACCCGCCGGCAGCGGCCGCGTCCAGCCCCACTGCTTGCTGACCGGGTCGTAGTCCCTGCGGAGGGGAGCGAGAGGTGTTGAGCGGGGTGGGGCGGGAGGGTACACGGTATGACGGGTATGAGGGCTCACACAGCCTGGCCATGCAGCCACCCCACAGGGACTTCCCTACAAACACATAAACACACACACACCCCACAGGTGCTTCCCTATTGCGGTACCCAGTTCCCGCGTCCTTCACCCTCCCCCCCAGCACCGTCCTGCACTCCCACGACCTCACCAGTAGGGTTTGTCGCCCATGCGCGTCACCACCTCCCCCAGCTCCTCCGCCTGGGCAACCTCCTTCTTGGCGAATTCGGGGAACTACACGGGGCGGGGCGGGGCGGGAATGCAGCAGCGGCAATCAACAAACCAGGCACACGCCTGGGTTGCCTTACCCGGCCCTGACGCGAGACAAGGGCATGCGGCTCCCCCGCCAACATGACCAGGCCTCAGCCCGCCTCCGCCCTCCATCCCTTCCCCACAACCTGTGGTTGCATATGGTTCGGTATGGTCTTTGACCCCCCCCCCTCACCCCGCGCGGCTCGTCTCCCTCGTCGCCAGCCGACCAGGGAGCAGGGGCGTTGTCGCACCGCTCAAATAGGTACCTGCAGAGGAAAGGGGGCAGGATTAATGAGAAGTGCAGCAACGAGTCCCAATCCCATATCCCGGCTCATGCAGTGAGCGCACTCGGAGACTATCCTGGAAAACACGCAACTCAGAGAAGGAAGGGGGGCGGGGAGGGGCAAGATTTCGTTAGGGATCCTGAAGACAGAGTGAAATGCGCGGAGTCTTCCTTCATGCTGGCTCCAAAGTGCTCCCCTCCCTCCCCAACCACCCACACTTCCTGCAACGACCCGCGCTTCATTCCCTACAGTCCCCTTACCCTCGCAACCCCTCCCGCCTCCCCTCCCTCCCCCCGGCCCCCCACCTGCAGACCAGGAACTTCTTCTCCCCCGGGCAGCGCCAGCAAGCCAGGATGCGGTAGATACCGTCGTACCGCACCGGGTTGTACGTCTTGGCGAGCGCAACCGCCTTGTCCTCACTCAGCTTCCCCTTCCCCTTCTCCTTGTCCTTGCCCTTGCTCCCACTCGCCTCCTCCTCCTCCTCCTCGTCTTCCTCCTCGTCCTCCTCCTCCTGCTCAATCTCCACCTCCTCCTCCTCTTCAGAGTCCTGCTGCTCATCGCTGTCCTTCACCTCATCCGCCTCCTTCGCATCCGCCTTGGGTGCATAGGCGCTGCGTTTCTCCTGTTGACCCGAGAAAAGGGGGCCGAGGAAACGCAAGTGTTAGGTACCGTTATGAGGAAAGGGGAGAGCCCCCCATCCCATCCCAGCCCAGCCGCGCCCGCTCCCCCGCCCCCCGGACCTTGCTGCTGCGGACGACGCGCACCGGCAGCCCCTTCTCGCACGACACCTTGAGCGCCAGGTTGTACCGGGTAAATTCCTGAGGGGGGGGGCGAGGCATGGGGAGGGGTGCGCTAGAAGGCATGGGGAGGAGGAGACGGGGGCACGGGAAGGTGTGAGTTTCGACGCCTCCGCCGGCGGTGCAAGCCATAGCTGCCTACTGGCACTTGGATGTGTGCAGGCCGCAGGACAGGTCGACCAGCATTTATCTGCATGGGGTTCAGCACGCGGCTACACAACGGTTCCCTCCAACACGCACCTGGTCCTTGCTGTGCTCTCCGTTGCGCTTGTTGCCGCTGAGGTCCTGAGGGGCCGCCAAGTGGGGAGCAGAGGGACAAGTTTTGGGGGGGCGGGTGAACACGTGGAGGCTTTGTGGAGGGGGCGGGACATGGATGCATTGACAACAGGATGCCCACATTGCTGAGGGGCAGGCGAGGCGACACATGTTAGCTACGGCCCCACGGGTCACCCACGGGACCTCCTCCTCCCCCACTGCCCCCCCCCCACCTTGCCCCCACTGCCCGTGTACAAAAAGTACTCCCCCTCATCCACGTCGTCCGTGTAACCGCCCGACAGCACCACGGACTGGGCGCCTGGGGGCGGGTGGGGAGAGAATAATTTGAGATGTGGGGAGTGGGGGGCCATAGCCTGGGCGCAGCGCATGGGAGCCCTGGGCCACGATATAACGTTGGGCCCGGGCACAGCCAAACCAGATCTTGGCCTCCGCACGCACGCACGCATGGTTCACGACCCTCAGGTCCCTCACCCTCCTCGCCTTCACATGCCTTCAATGTGGCATCCTCTTAGCACATAGATACCCGCCCCCGCCCTGCTGCCTCTCACCCCCCCCCAACCTATTGCACTCATCCCCCCTAATCCCCCCCAACCCCCGCCTCCCTCACCCCGGGAGCCCTGTCCTGCAATACCCGCCACGTGCGGCAGGTGCACGTTCCACATCCTGCGGGCATGAGGGGCGGCGGGTGTCAGGGACGGGACAGGAGCCCAATGCCCAATGCACAGCAGCAGTGCAGTGCAGCAGCACAGGCGGCAGGCACGCACAAGCCTGTGCACATGGAAAGGTGTCATGCCAAGCACAGCCTGCCCAGTCGAGCCCACCGCGGCCAGCAAGGGTTGTCGTCCGCAGCAGCAGCTGTGCCCCTTACCGCACCCCCCCCCTCGCACCCTCCCCCTCCCGACCCCCACCCGCCACCCCACCTGCACGCCATGCGGTTGGGGAACATGTCGCCCACAACCACACCCTGGGCACCCAGGGCATCCAGCAGGAGGGGAGCAACGTGTGGGAATACACCACCACAACAGCAGTGGAGAACAGGCGTCGTTGGCCAGACAAGGTGTATCCGTGGGCGAGGGGCGTTGGCATCTGGGAAAGCCAGCCAGGATACCGGACAGAGTCCCACCAGTGTAAGGCCCCCCCAACATTCGTCCAACAAAACCTCTTTGTGCTGGCGTGTGCAGGCCTCACCCGGTTCCCCTTGGGGTCGAACTCGGGTCCAATGGGTCCAAAGTGGTCGGGCGGGCAGGTCATCTTGAGCTTGCCGCTGCAGGCGTTGGCCATGCCGGTCCTGGGAGCGGCGGACAGGCGCAAGGAACAGGTTGGTGTGCCGCACTGTCGGGTGCTACGCAAACGGCGAACACCAACCACATGCGCCGCCCTCCGATAGGAGGAGAATCAAACCACAACCTGCACCCCCCCCTCCGGTTCTCCTCCCCTCCCCTCCACTGCTCACTTCTTGGCCCGCTCCGTGACGTACGCCTCCTCCGGCCTGTCGTCTTCCTCCTCTTCCCGGTGCATGCGCGCCACCTCAACCCGGCGGGTGCTGCTGCCTGCGCAGCGAGCCTTGAGCGAGCGGATGTAGCCCACCATGGACATGTTGATGCTGAGAAGGGGTGGGGGGTGGGGGGAGATAGAAGGGGGCAGCGTGGCGTGCGGAGTGGGGCGGGGTGGGATTGCTGCTCCTGGATTGCTAGACGGGGGGATTGCTAAAGAGGGAAGTCAGCATGGCTGTGTCACAAGGCAATATGCGGTTGCAGGTGAGAAGCTGACAAGGGAACACCGGTTTGCCGCCTGAATGGGGGGATGTGTGTGGAGCTGCCGGGAGGTGCGACGCATGTGCGAGTGCTTTGAGTTTACCGGGCATTGTCGATGAAGGAGGTCGGGATGTCCTTGCGGCAAAAGGGGCAGTTGCGATGTTTGGCGTCCAACTTGCGGAGGTTCTTTAGGCACCCCAGGCACAAGTTGTGCTGGCAGGGCAGCTGAGGGGTAACGGAGGGAGGGAGCGGGGACAAGGGAGTCGGCGCTGGAGGTGGGGGGCTGAACTGGAAGCTCGAGAACATCTTTGAAAAGCAGCGCGTTCCTCGAGCAGTGATCGAGAGAGGTCAGAGGGGTGTGCAAGGGGAGTTGCACTCCTGCTCTTTGCGTCCATTTCATCGCCCCCAGCTTTTTATTATAGTGGTGGCTTCCTCCATAACCTAGATGGCCGTCACCCTGCCGGGCTTACCGTGACTGGCTTCTCTAGCGTGTCACAGCACAAATGGCATGTGATTCGGTCCTTTTCTTCCGGTGGCAACTCCTTGAAGGGATCTGCAAGGCAAAAGGCCGCTCTTACGTTTCTTGTTCTCGTATCGACGCCATCCATATTGAAAATGCATACCTTCCTCAGCAGTTGCCGCTTGGACCGTCCATCGGGCCGTGTGCAGCTCCTGTATGCGCCTGGCTTTCTCAGCATCAGTGAGCGTTGTATCTTTTTGAATGTCTGCAATCTTTCTACGCTTCTCTGCCTCTTCTTCGCTAAGCATTGCCTTCGGTGGTGACGCGACAGCCATTTGAACAAGTTCGAAGATGTCGAGGTACGTAAAGTTACACGCCGCAGGATGCCTCGTAAGTGCCTTCCTTTACTAGTCAAGGTGTCATTGTAGTAAAACAGTAACAACAGATGCCTTGGGAGTAACGTTCCCAATTACCGCCAAATTTCTACAACGGCTGCCGTGCAGCATAGTAAGCCTTATAACTAACTTCCGGATTAATCGTAGCAACGAACTGTGAACCCTTTTATGGCATACAGCAGCGATTCAACTGTTCCGGCCGAAGGGAAACTTTGCAAGTCTTATCCCAGCCGCCCCTCCCCAATTGTGCCCCTCCCACTCACGCTCCCTCGCCCCGTGCCCCTCCCATTTGCGCTCGCTCGCCCGGCGCCTCATACATCTACTCTCACTGCTCTATCATCTTACCCCGCAGTTGTTCTCTAGGTACTAACTCGACCTGACAGTGCAGAGCTTGCCAGCCAAGATACAGGCAGCCGAAATGTGAACAACATGCGCCTGCCTACGTTTGGCCGCACGCACGAGGCATCTCAATCTTCCTCGTCGTCCATGCTCCAGGGCTCACCTGACGCCCCGTAAAGGAAATCCAAAACAGCCAGGGTATCTCGCTGCAGGCTAAGGGCTCTAGATGCGTATGGTAGTACCGGTAGACCTGGATTCTGCGCGGGGAGCGGCTGTTTCGGGTGCAAACCTGCTGCGCGGGGAGCTGCACGTTTGAGCCCGAACAGCCGCAACACCCGAACGTGACCTGCTGGCGCGTGCGACCTCTCGCACGCTCGGAAGGCAGCCGACTGCTGGCCACCCGGGCAACCGCTCAGGGGCTAAAGGTTCCTTGGTGGTCATGTTACACGGTGCTTTGGTTGTTTAAGTAGGGTGCTGTTGCCGCAGTCCTAGCGGCCCCACCTTGTACCGGCAGTCCCGGGTGCGTAACGGGTGTATGTAGGCAGCTCTTGAGAGACACACGTGCCTCACCAAGACGGTCCTCGAGACAGCCCCAAGTCTCCAGTACCGGTATCAGACTGGCACAAGACTGACGGGGGGCACAACACATAATAAGATAATAAGTCGTTGGGGGCATTTGGGGGGACTTGCCTTGTTCATGTTCAATGGCTATCGTGCCCCGCCGTGTTACAGCAGCAATCATGCCACACCCCACTGCGACATCCTGATCGCTGCGCCTTCTCGTCCGAGTACCGGTACGCTCTTTTAGAGCACATCACACCCCCTTCCTCAACGTCGCATACAGGCTACGACACCCAAGGGCACCCAAGGGAGCCAAAGGGGCTGGTGTAAACATCCCACCCATGTTCCAGTCCTAGCCACCGTCGTGGTTGCCGTAGTCACCATTAGTACTACAGCTACCACAGCTACTGCTGCTCCGCCAAATGCTCCAACATCACCTCGTACACATCCGTACGCAGCCGTACACCCTTGTCAGCAGCCACCCCGAGCAGCTCCGAAACCTCCCGAGATGATAACAACAGCGGCCGCCGTCCCGTGCTACTGCCTCCGCTGCCGCTACCACCGCTACCACCGCCATGACCACTCGCTGCTGCTGCGGCCCCTGCAGCTACCGCCCCCGCCCCTGCTGCCATCGCCCCCGCTGTCTCAGCAGTTGCCGTACCTCCATCCGCAGCGTCCTCGCACCCCAGCAGCTCCAGTCCCTGCAACCAGACCTCCTTAGATAGTGGGACCTCTCGTACGGCACGAAGGAAAACACGCTTGGCGTACGACAGGTGTGTAGCAGCAGCTGCCGCCGTGGCTGCTGCTCCGGCCCCGGCCCCGGCACCGTTGCCCATGCTGCCCGCCCTGGCTGCTGCGGCGGTGGCCTCTGCGACTGCCGCTGCCGCCGCTTCATGTGCCAGATAGGTCGCCCACACGGCCGCGCATGGAGCGAGATGTCGAGCCGCCGCCGCGCGTTCCAGCAGCCGAGTGACCCGTGGGTCAGCTGCCTTGCGGAACACGTAGGGCTGAAGCCGCCGCTGCTGCTGCTGCGGTTGTTGTTGCCGGGAGGCGAAACCCCGATCCATATGGGCATCCTGGGGCTCGGGTTCCTCCGTCTCCGCTGCCATCTGGGCCCACCAGACTGCAGCTGCGGCGATTGCGGGGGCTGCTGAGGAGGGCGAGGTGGGGCCTGCGGGGCAGAGCATCACCGATACCGGGAATGGACCGGGGAAGGAAGGAAAAGGGCTCAACAAGAGGTGTCAGGCGATTTTCCCTCCAATCCCAAACCACACTCTCCTCCAGTCAACCTGACAACCGCCATCTCTGCACTGCACGCTTCCCCCTACCGTGACGGCCATCCATCTGCCACATCGCATTCCTCGCACCCCTCGCACGCACACGCCCGCGCCGCCCTACCTACGACCGCTCCTCCCTCCCTCGCCGCCTCCGCCTCCTCCGCCAGCTGCTCCGCCGCCCCCTCCGCCGCCCGCCGCAGTCCCGCCGCTAGCGCCGCCAGGTCGCGACGCAGGCGGCAGCGGCCCCGCAGCGCGCGCCCCAGCTGCACCCGCAGCGCCAGCAGCAGCGGGCTGTGCGGGTAGAGCTCCAGGGCCTGGACAGGGGCGAGCGGGTAGGGGGAGGAAGCAGAAGGGTGAGGGGGGAGAAGGGTCCATGAAAACGAAGGTAGATAGATAGGTAGGGAAGGGGAAGTGAGAAGTGAGGAGGCGAAGCAGGTAAGGAGGAGCCATGAGAAGGAGGAAGCCGGCCAGCGTAAGAGAGCCGGAAGGGGCCTGAAGGGACGCAAGCTCCCGGCCGCCGAAAGCCACCATGCAGGCATGCCACACCTGCACACACCCTCGCGACCAGTTTCCACCCACACACTCCTCCCAGCGAACCTCTCCCAATTGCTTGCTCTTGTCCTACTCCTTGTCCTACTCAACTACACACTCACACACTCCTCGCAGTCTCCTTAACGCACTCGCACTCGCACCCGCACTCACACACACTCACACTCGCTCACCTGCATCAGCACATCTCGCACTCGGCCCGGCTGCACACCGCCGCCTCCGCCGCTGCCGGTCCCCCCCTCAGCGAGCTCCGAAACCAACAGCCCGCAGTACGACACCGCCAGGGCCTCATGGTAGCCGCTGGCCTGCCGTACCGCCGCCGGCACCGCCGCCGCCGCGTGCTTGAAGACGGTGAGAGCCGCCGCGGTGCCGCCTCCGCCGGCTGCGGGGAAGAGGCGGCCTGTGAGGCACTCGAAGAGGCCGCCTAGGTAGAGGTGGGAGGCGGAGGGGGCGTCCAGGGAACCGCCCTGTTGGGGGCGGGGGATGCGGAGGGATGAGTGGGGGAGGATGGTGATGATGTGTGGATAATAAAACACAGCGAACGGCGGTGATGCCACGGTTCTGGCAGCGCCCTGAAACCCGCATGTTCACCCAAACAGCACGAATCCGCATGCTGCGTTGCCCCCCCCTGCTTACCCTCGTGGCCAGCAACCCGGGAATGCGCGACTCGAAGCCCCGTCGTGCCGCCGCCACATCATCCCGCGTCACTGCGCCACCCGCCTTGTACGGCACATACGTCACCGCCGCCGCCGCCGTCGCTGTCGTACAACCACCCGTCGGCGCTGCCGCAGCCGCCGCTGTAAGGAACCACCTCAACACGTGATGCGCACGAAGCGCATGCTCCAACGCCGCCGCCGCGGTAGCACCACCACCTCCACCGCCACCACCGCCCCCTCCTGCGGTAGCGTCAGCCGCCGCCGCCGCAGCAGCAGCAGCAGCCGCCCGCTCCGCCTCCACATACTGGTGCACCAGCAGCGGCAGCAGGTGCCGCTGCTGCTCAGGGAGCGCCGCCGCCCCCGCCAGCGCGGCGTCACGTATCCTCCGCGCCGCCCGGGTCTGCCCCGCCGCCTCCTCCAGCGCTGCCAGCGCCGCCAGCAGCGGCAGGCTATTGCGGTGTTGGCTGAGGAGGCTGCGGGCGGCCTGTCGGGCGCGATCTAGGCAGGGCAGGGGCTGCTGTTGGGGCTGTTGCTGGGGTTCAGTGGGTGTTGGTGCGGCATCAGAGGCGGTGGTGATGGTGGCGGTGGTGTCATCGTCTGCCAGGGCTTGGGAGGCCTCTACCAGCAGGTAGGCTAGGCAGAGCTGCGGAGGGGAGCGGTGGGGGCGGGTTGGGGTGGTGGGGGTGGGGGTGGGGGTGAGGATGGTGGGGAGTAGTGAGGAGGGCTGCGAGCGGAAATGGGGGCGAGGCGGATCAACAAACCGTCAACGCACAGAACAAAATTACCAGTGGACACAGCAACTCTCGATATCGCAGACCTCAACACCGCGCAAGCGGACAGCCCCCACCCGCACCCCACCTGCGGGTGATCCTCGCACGGCCCGCCCGCAATCAGGCTCCGAAGCGCCCTCGCCACGAACGCCCGCCTGCTCTCATGCTGCAGGAACCAAGGCACGCCGCTCGCATGTGCACCTCTACCTCCAGCACAGCCTCCGTCTGTCGCGGCCGCCGCCGCCGCAATCGCCGCCGCCGGCCCAGGCATCAGCTGCTCACACACCGCCACCAGCGCCCGCTGCGGCAGCAGCCGCATGAAGCCATGCGAGCAGCAGCCCACAGCAGCTCGGGCCCTCAGCTGCTGCTGCTCCGGTCCCCCTCCCCCTCCCCCTCCTCCTCCTGCCGCTGCTGCTGCCCCCACCACCCCGGGCAGTGGCACCCCCAGCAGCGGCACCCCCAGCAGCCCCAGGCACCCCAGCACCAGATCCTGTCGTACCTCCGGGTCCCCCACCGGGAACAACCCGTCCCGGATCTCCTCCAGCAGCACCACAGCCTGCGGGTCATGCGGGCCCTCACCCTGCTGCTGCTCCTCCTGCATGGCCTCCCCGCCTGCTGCTGCTGCTCCGCCTCCTCCTGCGCCCCCCGCCTCCTGTTCCTGTTCACCGTCTGCAGAGGCGGGGCAGGGCGGTCTCAGCGGGCGCCAGGAGCGGGCGGAGCGCTGCCGCTCGGTGCGCAGCCAGCGAGCCAGGATCTCGGGGGGGACGCCCTGGAGCGGTGGGGGGTGAGAGGGCCCGTGGGTGGGGGGAAGCAGCGGGGGCGGGAGGGGGCGGGGGTGGGCGGTGGGGGTTAGGATGCACTGGGAGAAGAGCGGAAGCAGCAGGAGGAGGAGTGGGCAGGCGACCGAGCAAGGGCAAAGGGAGATATGGTACTGGGAGGGGAACGGTGGAGGGCGTGGGCAAACAGTTGCCGTGCCACCTGGCAGGTTCCCTACCCCCCCCCCCCCACCCACCCACCACCCCCGCCCACCCACCTGTCGCTGCATCTCCTCCAGTTGCTGGTCTAGCCGCAGACCCAGCTGCGCTAGCAGCTCCGCCTCACTCAGCTGCGGGGGGGAAAGCGGGGGGGAAGGGGGGGTGGCAGGGGGGTTGCGGAGTGGGGAGGGGGAGCGGAGGAGGGGGGGAGCGGAGGGGGAGCAGCGCGAGTGGAGGAGGCGGGCGGGAAGGCGGAGGGGTTGCGTGTTGGGTTGTTGGGTGGTTGGACTAGCAACGGCCCCCTCAACATGGATGGGAAGAACCGTGGGTAGCACGCACGCATGCATGCACGGTGCTTGCCAGATCGCACCGGGCTCACCTCCTCGCCCTCGGCCTGCTCCTCCTCCTCCTCCTCGCCCTCCTCCGGCGCCTCGCCCTCCTCCTCCTCCCCACCATCGCCCTCCTCCTCACCACCTTCTCCCCTCGGCACCGCTGCCCTTTCACCCTTGCCTCCATTGCCTCCGTCCGAGCCCTGTACCGCTCCTGCGGCTGCTGAGGACGGAGGCGGCGGCAGCGGCGGCGCAGGAGGAGACGGTAACGGCGGCAGCTCCATCCAACCACTCCAGCCACCACCGCCACCGCCACCGCCACCGACCCCTGGGTCATCGCCCCCGCCTTCGTCGTCGCCATCGTTACCTTTCCCGCCTTTCCGTTCCGACGGCTGCTTTTGGCGGTTGGCGGTGGCAGTGTCCGCGTCCGCATGGGATCCTGATTTGGCAACCCATAGGACCTCATTCACCTGGCGATACCTGCGAGCGAGCAGGGCGTGGCAGAACGTTTGTGTTAAGACGTTTGCGTCCGTAGTCAGCGCAATGGACTACAGGAGCCAGCTTAGATGCGCGCAGGATGTTAACAGCTATCGTTCCGTTGTTGTCCTGCATTGTTGCTGTCTAGTACCGGTAATGTAATGTACACTTTCATATCGTGCTGCGAGAGTGAGACCCCTTATCCTGTTCATGCAACAAATGCCCCTGGAACACACCCGAAAGATTTTAGACCCACCACTTTGCCCAGCCCGCAGCGCCCTCCTCGCCCACACGCGGGGCCCCGCTCTCCCAGAAGTTGTCGAACAGCCTCAGCAGCGCGCCGGGGGACAGCCGACCCGCGCCACCAAAGCCGCCGCCGGTGCCGCCGCCTCCCGCACCTGATGCTGCTGCGGCGGCTGCTCCTTGATCCAGACCCTGTCAAGCCAAAGACATGTACAGAACGAGAAAGATAATGAGAGACGCAAAGGTGGCGAAGGAAGTCGGGTAATGGGTATATCTCGTGATTCAGCCGTCTGAAAGCAGCCATGGCAGCAACCGCCATGGTACGGTAACAACCCCAACAGTAACAACCACCTAGCCCCAACCACCTTCCCCAACGTCATTGACAAGGACAACAACAACCACCTCCAACCACTCACCCCGGGGGCGAAGCAGTGGAACTCCAGCAGCGCCTGCATGCGCCCCACCGCCACCTCAGCAGCGCCCGCACCCAACTCCAGATCCAACAGCTCCAAAACCAGTCGTACACACTCGCGATCCAGATCCGAAACCGCCGTTTGGCCGGAGTTGCCCGGGCCACCATCCGAGGACCTTGTGGCTCCCGGACCGTCCTGGGGCAGTTGCTGGGGCTGCTGCTGTCGGGCTCGGAGTGCCCTCTCGGAGGCCAGGGCGTGAAGTGCGCTGCCGTACGCTTTCTGCAAGCAGGGATATGGCCCATATGGGTGCAAGGGTTTGCGTGGGGTTTGCGTGGGGTTTGCGTGCCAGGAGAGGAAAGAAGGCGCCGCCGGAACGATGGGTCACAAGAGGGGCAGAGGTGTGTCAGATGTGCGCAGAGGTGTGCAAAGGCCGCTGCGCACTTGTGCCCCGAGGAACAGCGGGGAACCGCCGCTACCCACCCACAGCCTCCTTACCCGCACCCCTCCACCGCCCCCTCCCGCGCACCTGCATGCCCCCCAGGCTGGCCTCCCCGAACGCGCTCCTCCTCCGCCCCAGGTACTCCCGCCACAGGCCCGGCTGCCCCCGCACGGGCGGCCGCCGCAGCAGCGTCTGCCAGCGCTCCAGCAGTGCGGGCGGCTGCAGCAGCGGCTCGGAGGCGGCCATGAGGGCGCGCAGCAGCAGCGGGTGGCCAGGGTGGGACTCCAGGGCTCGCTGGGGAGGGGAGGGGGAGGAAGGGGGGTGAGGAGGGGTGAGGGCGTGAAGGAGAGGTGCAGGGAGAGCGAGGGGAGAGCGAGGGGGTGGGTAGGAGGCGGGGGGAAAATTATATAAAAGTGAAAAAACGAATCCCAAACCCATAGCCCGACTCATGCAGTGAGCGCATGGCGGGGGGAGGGAGGTGAAGGGGATGGCAGGAAGGCGGGTAGGCACCAGAGGATGCACCTGGGTGGGGGGTAATGCAGATGCTGCCGGGCGGTCGCAGCGATGCATTGCGACGCCACACATGCAGCAAACCTGGAATCCAAGTACCTATCCTCCTCTTGCTAGCCATCCAGGCAAGACTTTCGGACCCCACGCAGCCCACCCGCACCCCAGTCCTCCACCCGCTCGCCCCCCGCCCCCCATGCCGCCTCCCCATGCTGCCCCCCCTGCCTCCCCCAGGCCCCCCCTCTTACCTGCAGTATGGCCAGCTTCTTCTCCGCTGCCGACCCCGCCACCTCCGCCGCCCGCCGGGACAGTGTGCGGGCCACTCGGTCCTGGAAGGCCGCGAAGCGCAACCACAGCTGCGGGGGGAGGAGGGGGAGGGGAAGGCGGAGGAAGGAAGGAGGGTGAAGGAAGGTAGCAGGGAGGAAGGTAAAGGAGGGCTGGAAGAACAAAGGAAGGGCAAGAGGCGAACGTGAGGTACAAGGAAAGGATGGGACCAGCAAACAAAGGAGGTCCACTAGAGCGATGCTGGGACCCCAGCCGCAGCCCCTGCCCCAGCCCCAGCAGCTCGTGACGAGCTGTGGCCACCAGTCTACCCCAAAGGGTGAAGCTGAAAAGGGGGCGCCTGCACGTTATTGCTCTGACATGCAGGCGCCGCCTTTTCAGCTTCACCCTTTGGGGTAGACTGGTGGCCACAGCCCATCACAAGCTCACTCGGCTCAGCGTGGGCGTGGGCGTGGGCGTGGGCTGGGGCTGCAGCACCCTCCAGCCCCTCCGCTCTCCGCCCAACCCTCCAGCTGCAAGCCCCTAGACACCGGAGCACTCAGCACCACCCCCGCCCCCGCCCCGCCCCAACCGCACTGCCCCTCCAGACACCCCGCCCCTGCCACCCACCGCCACGTCCCCCGGCGCCTCCCGCACGGCCACATTGAACTCCCGAGTCCGCCGCAACACCCACTCCTCCGCCGACTCGCCGCCAGCAGCCGCCGCCGCCAGTGCCGCCGCTGCCTCCCGCGACAGCCCCAAGCCGCCTCGCCGCTCCGCAGTCCCACCTCCCCCCTCTGCCGCCGCCAGCGCCGCTGCTGCCGCCGCCGCCGGGTCTTCTACCGGCAAGAACGTCGGCAGCGGCACCGCCATCCGTCCGCCGGGACCCCCGAGCCCGGCTGGCGCTGCCGCCACCGCCGCCGCCACCGCTGGGCCGTCCAGACGTGACAGCAGCCAACCGCGGCGCTGCCGCTGCGGCTCCCCCACGACCCCAAATCCTCCTGGACCCGCTCCAGCAGAACCACCACCAACAGCACCATCACCGCCTCCAGCGGTGTCACGGCGGCGGCCGTCAGCCGAGCGACCCATGGACCACACGGACTCCTCACCCGCAGCAGCCGACAGGTACACCCGCCGCAGCCGCCGGCTTCGTTCCGCCGCCACAGCCTTGCCCCCAAAGTACCGACCCGCTGCCGGTGGCGCCACCGCTGCAGCATCGTCCTGCGCTGCCGCCGCCCCCACCTGCCCCGGCAACATGCGATAGGCGCGCGCGCCCTTGGCCAGGCCCAGCGGATCCGTACGGTGGTACGACGCTATGTTTCCGCCGTACAGGCAGTCGTACACCAGGTTTTGCATGTCGCCACGCGTGTCGTAGTAGACCTCCCCCGGCTGCGGCGCGGCTCCTTTTAGGATGGGCTTGGCGGAGGCGAGGGTGGCGGCTGCGGCATGTGGTGCGATTCCGGCTGCGGCGGCCGCGCGTTCTAGGCGTAGGATCTTCTCCCGCTCGGCTTTTGCGGCCTTGGCCCTGGCCCTGGCCTTGCTGCTGCCGTGGCCACGGCTGCTGTCGCTGTCGCTGTAGCTCTCGCTGCCGCTGTCGCTGCTGCTGTCGCTGCTGTTGTGCCGGTGCTTCCGGCGTTTTCTGGACTTGCGTTTCTTAGACCGCTCTGCGCTCCTGTCCCTGCGCTTATGACTAGAGCGCTTGGAAGAGCGCTTGTTGTCATCACGGGAGCGAGAATGGGAACGGGAACGTCTTCCATGTCGCGGCTTGCTGTCGCGGTCATTGTGCCCGTGTAATGCCTTGCCTGCGGCATCAACGGCTGCGCCTGGCGCCATAGCGGCTGTGGCGGCTGCCGTCCCTTGCTGAGCTGCGGCTTTGGTGGCGCCATGAACATCGTCGCCATCCTCCTCTTCGCTGCTGCTCTCCAAGTACCGCTCGGCTGCTCGCAGGAACTCCGCTTGAGAAGCGTATTTTCCGTACGGATTTTGGGGTTCCAGCACGTCGTGTGGACGGAAGCTGGTGTTGTTGCTTAACCATGCCGCTGGGTCATAGTGTCCTTCCCCTCGCCGCTGCTGCTGATCAGCAGCACCTGATGCTCCAAGAATAGGGAAAAGACTCATTCCTAATAGCTAGCCATGTTAGGGGCCTACTGCCTCCTACGACGACAACAGATCGTGTGGAACCCTAAGGAACGTGTTTTTTTAAAGGAGTGTATGCCGTCTAATAAGCAGTAACACATGCTGCATGTTTCAGCTGTATTGATTGAGACGTGTAGAGAGCAGGCAGCACGCAGCACGGGGCTCGGTTCCAGTGGCTTCGGAGAACCGGACAACACCAAGCGACAGAGGTCGCCAATAGCTACTGTCTACGTCTACAGGGCTATCCTCGGCTATGTAACCCTACTGCGTTATTAAGATTAAGCTCAGATTGTTGGTTCAGGCTATCTGAGTTCCTACCTTTCACGTCTTATAGGAGTTCCCCCCAATAAATATCCACGCTTACGCCGTAGACGCTTTATGTAGCTTTGATTAAATTAAGTTGGAAAACTGGTACAGTCGCGGGCTGGGCCCTGCATAGCACAGCACATTCTTGGACGACATAGCTAGGCCTTGTCACAAATGGGTAGCTTTTCCAGCAAACCGACTAGAAAGGCTAAAAAGTGAGAGCGGAGCAGTGTGATGCGGGAGGCGTTATGGCTAGCGCTTGCTGGGGGGCTTGCACTTACGGGATTGCGCTGGTGCCCTCGCAGGCCAGTCGTAACAGAGGTTGACAGGGCTATTCTGTCATTAAAAACGCAACGAAAAAAGCTGGAAGACCAAGAGAAACTGGTATGAAACACCAGTCCCTGCTATGGTTCCTCCCGTCTGTCCGGCTTTTTTCGTATCCCTTCCTCTCACATCTCTTCCTTCCCCTTCCCCTTCCCTTTTTCGCCTCCTCCTCCCCCCGGCCGACCCAGATCAACGTTCGATTAGAGCGCCATGCGGAGGTGGCCCGGCAGCTAGCGGGCGAGGGCCGCCGTGACCGCGCACTGCTGGCACTACGCAAGAAGAAGCTGAGCGAGAAGCAGCTGGCGCAGCTGCATGGGCTCATCATCAATGTGGAAGAAATGGTGAGTGACCCGAGGGAAACCAACTAAAATAAAATCCGCAACCGAAATGAAACTTAACAAGGGGAGGATAGTGGTGAGGGGAGTAAACCCATGTCGGCAGAGGCCTGTAGCAGTTGGCAGAGGCCGCCTGCACACATGAGGGGAACACGGAGAGGGGTGATGACGTGGTATGACGGAGAGGCTTGAGTTGGGTTTTGTGGGTTGCAGGCTTGCAGTGCCGTACATCGTTGGAGATGGGAGTACGGCCGGGGCTGGGACTGAGGCCGCCCTGGCACTAGCTTAGGATGGTTGGGAGCCTTGCGCCACCCCTTGCGCCACCCCTTGCGCCACCCCATGCCTTACGTCATGCGTTGTACTCTTTTACAATTCACACACTGCCCGTCCCGCTCACCCGTCCTCTCCCTACCTCCCGTCTTCCCCCTCACCCGACCCCACCCCCTGTTCCTCCCCTCCCCCTCCCCCTCCCCCTCCCCAGCTCTCCAACATCGAGCTGACCAAGCAGCAGACGGCGGTGTTCTCCGCGCTGCAGAGCAGCAACGAGGCGCTCAAGCAGCTGCAGGCGCAGGTAGGGCAGGGAAGGGGACCCCGAGGTGTGCTTGGGGGGGCATACTAGTACCGCCGTTTGCGCACATGTCGCCTGGCGCCTACCTGCACCCACCTAGCTGCGTTTTGCATGCACCGGGGCTGTACAGTTGGTACCCCCAACCTGTGCGAGCCCCTCCTCCTCCCCCTCCCCCTCATTTCCTCCCCCCCTTTTCCCTCTTCCTCCTCCTCCCCTCCCCCTCCCTCACCTGCGGTCAGGTGCGGCTGGATGACGTGCAGCGGCTGCTTGACGACACCGCGGAGGCGCGGCAGTACCAGACGGAGCTGTCGGAGCTGCTGGGGGGGCAGCTGACGCAGGGGGAGGACGAGGAGGTGAGGGGAGGGGAGGTTGGTAGCGGCTGGTGGGATCACTGGTGCCAGTTTCTTTCTTCTGTTGTGGCGCTTGGTTTAACCTCCATGCGCTCCCCTCCCCTCTCTGCGCCCCACCGCTGTCCACCCCTTGTTACGTACCCCTCTTCCCGCCCCCTCCTCACCCTCATCGCCCCCATGCCATGCCCCCGGTGCCAGCTGTACGCTATCCTTACAATCTCAGTCCTGGTGAACCACCTAACCCTCCCCAACCTCCTCTCACCCGCCCGCCCCGCCCCGCCCCCACTCACTGCATGAGTCAGGATATGGGATTGGGATTCGTTGTTTCACAAATACATTTCCCCCCCCGCCTGCAGGTGGCTGCGGAGTTGGCTGCTCTGGAGGAGGTGGTGGCGGACCAGGAGCGGCTGGACATGCCCGCGGCACCCGCCACCAAGGTGGGCAGCTGCATGGCTGATACTAGAGCTAAGAAAACTTAACCATAGCATGAATCTTTTCTTCTTTTGGTTGGAGCGCATGCCAACAGTGTACCACGGTTACACTGGTCCGTGGTGGGTCGCGCCTTGCCAATGGCCCTTCCCCCCTTACAGTCACCCTGTACGACATGGTTCATGCTCACTACGGTGACGGCCCATAGCACACGGTGGGGTCTTAATATCTCACCGACTCACCCCATCCTTAACTTACCCGTTCCCGTCCTCCACCACCCCTCGCGTCCCTCGCCCCCACCCCTAGGTACCGGAGGCGGAGCAGGCGGCCGCTGCTCGGGCCGCAGCCCAGGCGGAGGAGCGGCAGGAGGGAGGAGGAGAGGAGGCAGGGGCGGAGGCAGGAGCGGCAGGGGAAGAGGAGGGCGTCGCAGAAGGGGAAGCCCCAGGTCGGCAACAGCAGCCGCAGCAGCGGAGGGTGACAGCGGAAGCGGCAGTGGCATCCGCGGCACAGGAAGACGAGGTGGAGGAAGAGGGGGAGGAGGAGGGCGGTCGACGAGAAGCCATGCTTGCATCATGACAACTTCATGGGGCGTTGCTGTTGTGGCAGTGTAGGGAGCGCATAGGGGCATCCAGGGGTGCAGTCATTAGGAATACGTAAGCGCGTAACACCCGTCTTCAGCGGGTGTGCAGCTTCTGTGGGTTCCGAGCCTTCCAGACCAACCCGGATATGGTGGGAGGCGTATGTGACTCGGGGTGACTGAGGGTGACTGAGGGAAGGCGAGTGAGGTGGCGTGCATGGCAGCGAGGGGGAGGCAGCGACGAGGGGAGGAAGAAGAAATGCAGGGAGGGAGCGTGAGCGGAAGAAAGAAGCATCTGGTCATGGGGGTGGTTCACTGGATATGGTGCATCCTGGCTGGCAAGAGGCAGCTGGGGTGAAGAACAGAGAAGAAGGCAGGAGGCACTCAATTGGGTATCTGGCTTTTGGGTCTCCCCGGGCCGAGGAGGTGGGAGTGCTGAGGAGAGCATTGGGGGCGCGGGTGCAGCTCACGGCTGTGTGTTGTTTGAACAGGAGAGCCTGGCAACCTGAGATGGGGTGTGATGGCGTTAGATGTGAATGGCGATGACGGCAGGTAGGGGCAGGCGTGTGGCTACAAGCTCCAGACTGCTGTGCCGCCGCTGGCATCGGACGTCTGGCGGGTATGTACGGTATGCTTTAGGATGGCCATGGGTCTTCTCTCTCCCCATGGCCTCAGTCATGGGATCATTGCTGGTGACTGTCCGGTGTTCGCCTGGGTCAGTACTGTAAATTTAGATAAGGTGACGCGAGGCTACCCATCGCTGTCCGCAAGGCACGGGCAGAACGGGCCAGTTTTTGTTCAAAATTTGGGTTAGGCCGCAACTCTGAAGGTAGCGGAATGTCTTGGAGGCTATGCAGATCCAGGAGCGCTGAGGATAAATCGGTTCACGCATGTGTCGCTGCGTCCCCTGGCTAGAGGTCTGGGTCTTCTGACATGGCCCAGCGCCTTGCTTCCCATGGGTAGGCTATTGAGAATGACCTATGACATTCGCTGCCACCGAGTCTGCAACGGAAAACGGCGCCTCTGGGCAGCGGATGTTGCAGCCTTGCGCGCAGGACTCAGCCGATTTCACACTTGCACAACGGCCCACAAGCTATTGGACTTAAGCACTGCAACCAGATGAGGCAAAGTGTTAAATTCTATGTAACGTATACGCGGCTACCCTTCGCTGCCACCTTCACATGACTTCTGGGTTCTTACGACCGTATAAATGTTGACGCCAAATACATACTGACGTCTATGATATTATAGTTATACTGACAAGCAGAAGCTAGACATATCACACGCGGCTTTTTGTCGTTCAGTTAGTACAGACACTTAGGACCTGCCTGGGACTTCGTACTTTGTAACCCGGCATCTTACAGTCCTTACTAGTTCGCCACAGCATACCACCTTTGCTTCCACTCGTTGATCAGCTCAGCTCAGGCCTCAGAGTTCACCCGTTCGCTCCGGAACTTCTTGTCACCTCGAGACAACGTAGCTTGGGCCTCATCACCTCGGAGGGGTTGATCCAATCATTCAGAAGCTAGAGGAGAGATGGACGACGAACTATTTGGTGATCTGTTAGGGAACAAACCCAAGCAGGGTTTGCCTCCTGCTGGTTCCACCCAAGGGCCTGGCGAAGGGCCCAGCAAGGCAATGCCTCCTTTAATTACGAACGGTGCCTTGGAGGACGGCGGAATCTCAGCGCCTGGCGGAAATAAGCCAGTTGTTACGCTCACCCCGGAGGAGCTGTCAGTAATTGTTGACAAGGGAGTCCAGATGGCACTTGATGCAACGTTTAACAAATTTGTAAGAAGCCTGCGGACAGTCCTGGAGGACATGGCACGTCACATCTCATCGCAGGATGCAACCGTGGCAGAGCTTCGCGCTAGCATTGACGAGCTCCGCGAAACTGTTGCTTCGCAACCAGCTGATTTTCACGTGCGCTTCACAAATTTGGACATGGCGGTCAAGGAAGTCGAGCGGGGCGTGCAGGCGCTTCGCGATCGACAGGAGCTGCAGGAAGCCCAGCAAATGCTGGCCATGATGTCCGCGAGCTCCGCACGCAACAAAGCAACTGCCTCTGCTGGCACCGGAGATGCCGCTGCCAGCAGCAGCACCGCTTCTGCTGCTGCGAGCACTCCAGCGCCTGCAGACGCTCCGCCCCAGCCATCGGCATCCTCCGCGGCTCCGGCTCCGGCCCCCTCAGGTCCCGCGCCTGCAGCGGCTCCTGCACCTACAACCGTCACGGCGCCTTCGCCAACGCCATTGCCGGTCCCTGTTGCCGCAGCGCCCCCTGCTCCTGCTGCTGTCGTACAACAAGCACCTGCACCGCAGCCGGGCTACGGTGTGCCGCCACAGGCGGCCCCCGCGCCCCAGATGCAGCAGCTGCCACCGCAGATGCCCGGCTACCCTGGACAGGGGGGCTCCATGGGCGGAGGCATGCCCGGAGCGCCACCGCTGCCCATGCAGCAGCCACACCCACACCAGCAGCCGCACCAGCAGCAGCCGGTGCAGGAGCTGAAGCAGCAGCAGCTGCAACCGCAGCAGCCGCACCAGCAGCAGCCACAGCAGCTGCAACAGCCCATGCAGCAACTCCAACATCACCAGCAGCAGCAGCAGCAGCAGCAGCCCTACTCAACGGCGCCGTATGCCTACCAGCCGCAGCAGCAGGTGCGTGGCGTGTACATGTATGTGTGGGTGGCCGGCCGAGACGGTCCATGCCGTTTTTCCTCAGCTTGCAGGTCGCATGTACAGGACTGGTAGCTGTTATCAGCCCTGCTTACAGAGCATGTTGCGTTGCAAGGGTACCCATAGCTTCGGCCTTGTAAGACCGGTACAGCTGTTATTTGTGTGTGACATACCCTCGGCTGTCCCTTCCCCTGTGCAGATGCCGCCCCCGGCAGGCGGCCCCATGACGAGCGCCCCCTCCCCGGAGCCGGGTTCCGGACCGTACGGCAGTGCGATGCCGCCTTCGCCGTACACCCCACCATATGGCACACTACCGCCGCCGGAGGCGCCGCGCGCCCCCGTCATGCCTCCGCCACACCTCATGGGACCGCCGCCGGGTGAGTTCCCTTTTCCTCCGTGGGATTGAAGATGCAGTAGCGTACTTGCCTGGGGTGGCAGCTTGGAGGCAGTGTCGCGGCTTTTAGGAGTCGTACGTCTTCCGGTTGCTGAGATAGGTTAGCAAGATCTGACAACATGTCAACAAGCCCACCATGTTAAGCCGAATTAGCGTGTCGGTGCGCCAAGTCCGCATGCATGTAGGCTGGCCGCTAGGATCCCAGCTTGCAACCTGCCCCGGTGCAACCATCAGCCATCCTGCTCGCTGCTGTCGCCCTTTCCTGACCGCTCCCGCGCGCTAACACCTACCTGCATGCCTGCATGCTGTTATCTGCGCAGCCGCCGCGGGCCCGCCACCGCCCCACATGGTCAGCTACCCGGCCCCCACCGGCATGCACTCCTACCCGCCGCCCCCTTCAGCGGCGCCCAACATGACGATGCCCGCGCCATACGGTCGGCCGCAACCCGTGTCCGGCGGGTACCGGGGCATGCCAGGTAGGGGGGTGGTGGTGGGTGTCGGGGGCTGAGCGGCATGCATGGGGCGTCCATGGGGGCTCAGAGGGATGGCCCGGGAGTAGCAGGCTGCGTGGGCGGGTAGCAGGACGATTGTGGTGGGGATGCCTGAATGTAAGAGGAAAGGGTACTAGACGGTATGCAGTACCTAGATGGCCAAAGTTGAGAGTTTTGGCGATTGATACGCCTTGCATGCTGCATCACCCAATCCTCTCCCTCCTCCCTCTCTTCCGGCTGCCACCCCGGCGCCCCACAGGCGTAACCACGGTTCCCTCCTCCTCCGGCGGTGGCGGCGGCGCCCCCACCAGCAGCCGCACCGTGCCGCTGGACAAGATCATATCCGACATCTCCCAGATGGGCTTCAGCCGCGGTGACGTGCTGGCCGCTGTCAACAGCCTGCAGGCCTCAGGCAAGGCACTCGACCTGAACACAATCATCGACAAGCTCACACGCGGGCTGTGATTGAGTGGGACGCCGTTTTGGGGCATCGCATGAATGGCTCCTTGCAGCTTGGCTGTGTAGATGAGCGCACGCATGCGCGTGTAGACTGTGTGGGCTGCTAGGCGTGAGGGCGAAACAGGCGGCTGTAGCTGTGTGCGCATGCCGGGTTGTGTTTGGGCGGTGTGTGTGTTCAGGAAGAGGTTCGCGAGGGTACCGCAGCCTTTGCGGGTTATTTTGTACTAGTAATGTAGTAAGCATGGAATACACTTTCCTGTGGGGTGGTGGACTGGTGGTGCTTTGCGGTCTTGAGTTAAGGAGCGCGCATTGCAGTGGTTGTGGAAAAGGGGCTCGTTTGGGGAGCCTGCCGCTCAGTTGATTCTGCATTTCGCCTAACAGGAACAGAAGCCGTGTTGTGGCGGGCAAGGGGTTGGGCTAGGCCAATGCCGTTGCTTTGCGTGGCCTTTGTTGGCGATCCGTGCCCCGAGGCGTGGTGTGGTGCCTTTCACGGGCGTTAGAGCGGAGCATTTGGATTGTTACACGGCGGCCATACTGGGGGACGTGGGAATTAGCTGGGCGCCAGCTTGCACCGATATCTCCTCACCTGCATGCAGGCTAGCATGAGCATGGCATGCTTTCAGGCAGGGTGGTGCAGCCCCCGGACGAATTCGAGGATGCAGCTCTGGTGGGAGGGGGTTTTGAGTTCACCAAGCAACTCGTTGTGTTATGGTATGGTACAAAGATTGGGTAAGAAGGGCGCCTCCCTTCCTCCGTTTCATGAGCGGCTGCTTATGGGCTGTTGGAAAGTCGAGCTGGTGTGCGCGTGTCCTACTGATAATTGGGTATGGTAGTTGCCAACACAAGCACCTCAAGTTCAACACCTCTTTTTTTGCCGGTATGGAGGACAGCGTCTGTAGGAACTGAGGCTAGGAGCAGCAAAAGAACGCAGGCGAGTCTGTACCGCAGGCAAGCGATGCAAGAGAGCATGTGGGGTAAATGTGGGGTGGGTTCAAAAGCCTCGAAGAACGTATTAATTTGGGTCAGCAGGTACGAGGGCTGGGATGATTAGCCAGATAAACGCAATTGGTAACATTTTTGCACATTAACGCCGAGGTAGCGAACAGACTTCATGGCATACACGACGCAGGCGCAAGTGCGGGCAGCGTCGGACGAAAACACGAGCTAGGCCGATATGCGTTTCTTGAAGATGTGCATTTTGTCTAAAAAGACGTTTTCTGGCTATGAACGGTTAAGCATTGCTGTAGGCCCATGATGACGGGCGTGTCGGGCCAACTGATCTTCATAGTTAGACGTGACGTTGGGATTTGGGGGACCGGCTTACACACTATAGGGCACAACAGGTTTTTAGTGTGTAATTATTTGCAAACGCCCTTCTATGCACTTGCTTCCTTTTGTGACATGCTTCGTGTCGTAAGACGAACACGCATAGTGCGTCCTCACTACTGCGTTAATTTGCCGCTGCATAGTTTAGAGAAACATTAACTACCGCTGTATGCCTGAAACCGTATCGAGGGTCAGCAGTCGTTAGGCCTTGCCCCTTGCCTCTGTCTTGGGACCATGTCCTGAACGGACGCTAGCGGAGGTCACCTGCCTTAAGTCGAGTTGTAAAGGGTCGGTGTATAATGTACAGAGCAGCTCTCGAGCTAGACTGCTTTCCTGGTGGTGCGTTCCTCTTTTCGAAGTCGGGAGAGCTGAAGGAATGCAATCAGAATGCAGGAACTTACATTACCGGTACGTGCTTCCTCTCATACCTCTCGTAGTCACGCTATAGTTGAACCAGTTGGCTCCATCCACAGGCGTGCAGTCGCTGGGCGACCTTCTACGGTACACAACGCCTGCGGCAGCTTCTAATATACTTAAGAGCCTAGAGCGCAATGGGTCCTGGAGCTCGGAGTGAGTTGTCTCGCAGCTTGGCCCTTGTTGTAATATTTGTCAGTTTATTAGTGCTTAGCATATGGCTTCCCTGGTGGAGAACATAAGGTTTGTTGCGGAACGTCTCTGGGATACTAGTTCTCCTAACTAGGGTGGCCCTCGCCATGCAGGGTGCCTTGCACGGGGCATCCTGCCACGAAGGCGTCCCCTTCGGTGTCGGTATCATTATGGAAGCTGGTGGATCCCTTAGGGGGCGACAACGGTCCGGTCCTAGCCCTGCTGCACAGCTGCGGCCAGGCCTCCGGCACCCACCCACCTAAGGTAAGAGCCTCACACAGAGTTCTCCATTAGGGCCACCTCCTACTGTCTGCTCGAACCCCTCTTACACCAAACTCATTGGAATGAAGAACCCATATGCTGAGCATGCACCGTACCCCTCAATATGCCTCTTGTCGCAGCTGGGAGCCTCGCCCTTGGCTGGCGCCCCAGAAGCTGCTGAGGAGCGCCTGCGTGAGCAGCTCCAGACCCTGCAGCGGAAACTCCTGCACACAGTCGCAGACAACGAGGCGCTAGGGACGCGCTTGGCCGGCCTGCGGTCCGTGTGTCTGGAGCTGCAGGAGCAGCTGCACCTGACGGAGGTTGCGTCCCGACTGGAAGCCGACACACACCAGCACATGCTGCACCTGTGCAGCACGGCAGCCAGCTACTGTGAGGTAGACACGCAGGCGGACTTCTTTGCACGGGCGGGCAGCTGTGACAAGCTCCGTGACGTGGAAGCGGATTTGGGAATATCGGTATCGAATCCAGGATCGCTCACAGGGGCCTCGTGCCCAGCTCCCGTTCCGCCGGCCGCAGCCACATGCGCAGCTGCTGCCGCAGCGACTGCGGCAACAACGGCAAACGCCTGTGTCGGCTTGCCCTCATCATTGGCTGCGCGGTGCAGCAACGGCGAGTCGGTGGCTTGTCAGTCGAGTGTTGGGGCGGGTTGCGGGGAGCGCGAGTACGAATCGCTCATGCAGTCCTTCATCACCCTGAAAGCTTCATACGATGTGTTGTCGAAGCGACAGGAGGCGGATCATGCTGCGGCCCTGGCCGCCGCTCGTGCAAGCACTGAAGCCGCGTCGAACCGGTCGCGATCAGCTGGGCAGGCGCTGTTCCCCCGTGGCAGCGGCAGCTCGGACGAGCACCTGTGGCCGGTCGGGCCAGCGGAGCCATCAACCAGACGCATGGGGACGATCAAAGGCCGGGGAGGCACCGCCGGTGCGATAGTCACTCTGGACGTAATCTGCCCGCCTGCTCTGGCACATGACGCGAATGAGGTTGGCGGGTTCTGTGCTCTCAGCGCGGACTGGCGCGCGGACAGCGTGGGTGAGGAAGCAGGCAGCGAGCGGGCTGCGGAGGAGGAGATTGAGCGCCTCGCAGCGCATGCGCGCGCGCTGCAGGCCAGCTATGACGTCATGCAGCTGCAAAGGGACCACGCGCTTAACAAGGCGGTGGCACAGAAGGCGAACTTTGACAGGACGCTGGCAGCAGCGCAGCAGGAGGCAGCCATGGCGACGGTGGGGCTGTGGGGCTGTCGGAGGACGGGCATGGGGATGGGGATGCGGAGAAATGGGTTGAGCGTGGGCCGGGTGCAGCCAAGCGGGGATGGTCCCTGTGGAGTGCTGTTTGAAAGGCACGTCATGTGCGGGCCTGCCTTAAACCAAGGCGTACTAGTGGTGACATGCGTGATGCGTATAGCTCTTCAGCTTCAAGTTCGTCGCTGTTGGCCGTCTGCCCTGCAGGAGTCCGCGGCAACTGCTAAGGCGGAGTTCGATAAGTTCGCAGCCGACAAGGCGGAGGAGAAGGCGGCCTTCGACCTCGTCCTTGAAAAGACGGTGGCTGACGCGGCGGCCCAGAAGGCAATCGCGGATAAGGCCCTTGTTGACATGGGGGAGCTGCAGGTGTGTCTCACGGGCGCTGGGAGCTGGATGGGGAATGCTTTTATTATTTTTTGTACTTCGGAGCAAGGTAACCCTAGTAGAGGATAGCGGGACTGGGGGGGCCCCTTGCTGATGCGCCCCCGTGCGGACCTTGCAGGAATCCGCGGCCGCCTCGAAAGCCCAGTTCGACAAATATGTCCTGGACAAGGCGGAGGAGAAGGCGGCATTCGATCTGGTGTTGGAGAAGACGGTGGCGGATGCAGCAGCCCAGAAGGCGATTGCGGATAAGGCGATGGTGGATATGGGCGAGATGCAGGTGAGGCTGTTCGGGCACGTATTGCAAAACTTCCTTGCAAGCTGCTGTGCATGCTGGCAAGAAGGCGAGCACGACCCAAGGGCGCAAGTTGGGCAGGTTCATATGCCGCCATGCACTTCGCTGTGCCTGCTCTCATGCCCTTCGTGCTGCAAAACCGGAGGCTCTGGACGCCTTTTAGCGTCGCAAACACGAGCTTAATCCATCCTGGACTTTCATAGCTGACCAGAACCTGCAGCATTCTCGTATGCTGTGTCGTGCGCGAGTAAGCGCTATTGACGGGGTGACGTACTCCCTTGCGAAAACCAGGAGTCCGCCGCTACAGCCAAGGCCCAGTTCGACAAGTTCGTGCTGGACAAGTCTGAGGAGAAGGCGGCATTCGATCTGGTGCTGGAGAAGACCGTAGCGGATGCAGCAGCCCAGAAGGCCATTGCGGATAAGGCGCTGGTGGACTTTGGAGAGCTGCAGGTAGGCATGGTGGGCGCGCTTCGCTTGTGATCACCCTAACCACACGCATTTCCATTGAAGCTGCCCCGGCTTGTCATTCCCGTTGCATGATGGTTGCGCATTCTGTGGGATGCTTTGCACCACATGTAGTGCGGGTGGCCTCGTGTTAGCTGTTGGTTGCGCTAATCGCTTGCGTGCATGCCGCTCACAGGAGACTGCCATTGCTGCCAAGGCCCACTTCGATAAGTTCGCAGCCGACAAGGCGGAGGAGAAGGCGGCCTTCGACCTCGTCCTTGAAAAGACGGTAGCTGACGCGGCGGCCCAGAAGGCAATCGCGGATAAGGCGCTGGTGGATATCGTGGAAGTGCAGGTGGGATGGGGCTTGGCATGCCCAAGGGTAATGAGCTAATGACCATACCTCGGTTCTGCCATGCTCTGAACTGAGGCCAGGATGTTACCTGCCTAGCCCTTAGGGGCTAACTGCTACACCCAGGGTGTTAGGTTGTAACTGGTGACGGGCAATCCAATGCATGGTTTGGTTGATGCAGGAATGCGCGGCTGCTGCCAAGGCTCAGTTTGACAAGTTTGTGGTCGACAAGACCGAGGAGAAGGTGGCATTCGACCTGGTGCTGGAACGCACGGCGGCGGAGGCGGTTGCGCAGAAGGCGATTGCGGACAAGGCCGTTCTGGATTTCGACAAACTGCAGGTTAGAAGTACGGAGGAACGCCACGCACACCGCGTTTCTGATACTGGGGCACATGTGCAAACGCCCCATGTGATTTGTCCCCTGTAGGATTCTGCTACAAGCGCGAAGGCCCAGTTTGACAAGTTCGTGCTGGACAAGGCCGAAGAGAAGGCGGCGTTTGACCTCGTCCTTGAGAAGACGGTGGCTAATGCAGCGGCGCAGAAGGCGATTGCGGATAAGGCACTCGTGGACTTTGGGGAGCTGCAGGTACGATAGCTTCTTTTAGTAAGGTTTAACATGTCCTCTAGCATCGGTATGCATGCCACCTGGGTATGTGCGGGCCGTCGTAGACAGGACCTGGGGTCATTGGGATACCCGTGTTGTCTCGCACACGTGCATAAATATTTAGTGCACGACAGGCCCCATTAAGTCTCAGAGGGCAGCAGCAAATAACGTTCTTGGCTCTCTTCAGGAGTCCGCCGCTACAGCCAAGGCCCATTTTGATAAATTCGTCCTGGACAAGGCTGAGGAGAAGGCGGCATTCGACCTTGTGCTTGAACACACGGCAGCGGAGGCGGTTGCGCAGAAGGCGATTGCGGACAAGGCTCTGGTCGACATGGGTGAACTGCAGGTGCGAAGGGTGGGCAGCAGGGCCTGATGCAGGCACACCGCCATGCCAAATTTGTAACCGTATAAGGGTGGTACGTTGACGGCCGCAGTTGCTGTATCGCCTTGTTAGCTTTGTGGGGCACTTCATATCACTTCCACCGCCCCAATTAGGACAATGTTACCGTCCCTAGGCAGCCATGGTTAGGTGTCTGAGGCTAACAGCATGGGCTAGTATGATACTGCCTCCATGGCTGCCATTCTTCAATCGTTTTCTTCAGCCAATCGTTACCTGTCTCACCGTTTAGAGTCCGAGTCTAGTGCACACTGGCTGAGGCCTGTCATCCGGGCTCCCCCGTTTGCTCCGTACCGTGCATGCACCCATCAAGGATGCTGCCGTAACTGCCAAGGCCCAGTTCGACAAGTTCGTGCTCGACAAGTCGGAGGAGAAGGCGGCGTTTGATCTGGTGCTGGAGAAGACTGCCGCGGATGCAGCAGCCCAGAAGGCCATTGCGGATAAGGCGCTGGTGGACTTTGGAGAGCTGCAGGTGTGGCTCGTGTCGGTATTGGTACGACTGTTGCTGCACCTGTTGTTGTTGTCGTAGAGGGTGCAAGCAGAGGCAGCCGGCTGCTGTAGCTGCTTAGGCGAGACGTTGCGATGATGGGCGGGAACCAGTCACGGCAGCGTTTGGACCCTTGTGGGGCCTCCTGTGGCCCTTTAACACCCTTGCTTGCTCATGACCCGGGAAGGTAGTGGGGCAATAGCGGCATGAAACACAATATCATGGCATCCTGTCTGCAGGAGACTGCCACAGCTGCTAAGGCGGAGTTCGATAAGTTCGCAGCCGACAAGGCGGAGGAGAAGGCGGCCTTTGACCTTGTCCTTGAAAAGACGGTGGCGGATGCAGCAGCTCAAAAGGCCATTGCGGATAAGGCGCTGGTGGATATCGTTGAAGTGCAGGTGGGGTCATGCACGCACGTTAGCAGCCTAGCTGGTCTGCTGCACTGAATTAGGTCGCATGCCGGAACTGTGAAAGCAGTAGCGGTGCTGTGGTGTCGTCCTGCGCATGCCTATGCTCCGCACAGCCTTAAGTCAAGACACACCGTTTCTAGCTTGTGCAAGTCGCTTACACATGTTTTCAACGGACGCTAAGTATGGGGCCGTGCTTGGTTGCTTTGATGATGTGAAACAGTTCCCTGTTTAAGTCCTTGCGCTTTCACTGCTTCTTGTATAGGAGTCCGCCGCTACAGCCAAGGCCCAGTTCGACAAGTTCGTTCTGGACAAGTCTGAGGAGAAAGCGGCGTTTGATCTGGTGCTGGAGAGGACTGTCGCGGATGCAGCAGCTCAGAAGGCGATTGCGTACAAGGCGCTGGTGGATATCGTGGAAGTGCAGGTGGGGTTGGGTTTCGCATGTCCAAGGGTTTCCATGCCGGCTGGTTACCGGTATCACCAATTCTCCATGCTCAGGATTGAGGCCAAGTCGCTTCTCACCTTGCCCGTTGGAGGTCTCGGCATTGCGCCAGTGCTCTGGGTTTAGCTTAGGAGTGGCTCACTGGATGACATAGTGCACGTCTGTGTTCATGCAGGAGTCCGCCGCTACAGCCAAGGCCCAGTTCGACAAATATGTCCTGGACAAGGCGGAGGAGAAGGCGGCATTCGATCTGGTATTGGAGAAGACGGTGGCGGATGCAGCAGCCCAGAAGGCGATTGCGGATAAGGCGATGGTGGATATGGGCGAGATGCAGGTGAGGCTGTTCGGGCACGTATTGCAAAACTTCCTTGCAAGCTGCTGTGCATGCTGGCAAGAAGGCGAGCACGACCGAAGGGCGTAGGTTGGGCAGGGGCATATGCCGCCATGCACTTCGCTGTGCCTGCTCTCATGCCCTTCGTGCTGCAAAAACCGGAGGCTCTGGGACGCCTTTTAGCGTCGCAAACACGAGCTCAATCCTTCCTGGACTTTCATCGCTGACCAGAGCCTGCAGCATTGTCGTATGCTGTGTCGTGCGTGAGTGGGCGCTATTGACGGGGTGACGTTCTCCCTTGCGAAAACCAGGAGTCCGCCGCTACAGCCAAGGCTCAGTTCGACAAGTTCGTGCTGGACAAGTCTGAGGAGAAGGCGGCATTCGACATGGTGTTGGAGAAGACGGTGGCTAACGCAGCGGCGCAGAAGGCCATTGCAGACAAGGCACTCGTGGATTTTGGGGAGCTGCAGGTGGGGCAAATTGGCTCTGCGTTGACATCAACAATGAAAGCTGTTGCCGTGAACACCTTGCCCCCTATTACTCCTCAGCGAAGGCCCTGAAGCCACTTATTGCCGGGCTATCGTGTTAGCTGGGGCCAACTGCCAGCAGCAGGCAAACGACTTCATGGATGCATGGCATTTCCCCTGTACCCTGTAACCCGCTTACCTCGGACAACCGTATTTTACAATTGTTAGGAGACTGCCACTGCCGCCAAGGCCCAGTTCGACAAGTACGCAGCTGACAAGGCTGATGAGAAGGCGGCATTCGACCTGGTGCTGGAACGCACGGCAGCGGAGGCGGTTGCGCAGAAGGCGATTGCGGACAAGGCTCTGGTCGACATGGGTGAACTGCAGGTGCGGTCGTGGAAGCACGGGCACACCTGCTTGGAGCTTCTGTTGGCGTCAGTCCTGCAGACAAGATTCCTGCTGGGGTAAAGCTGTGTGCTTAACGCTGCCCCCTCGGATGCGCACGCTCTTCCCCAACCTAGTCCCTTTGTTGAGCTGTAACAACCTGCCCCACTTCACACAGGCCTCTGCCGTAACTGCCAAGGCCCAGTTTGACAAGTTCGTGCTCGACAAGTCGGAGGAGAAGGCGGCGTTTGATCTGGTCCTGGAGAAGACCGCAGCGGACGCAGCAGCCCAGAAGGCCGTTGCGGACAAGGCGTTAGTGGACATGCAGGTGCGACTCACGGCGGCGCGTGGGGTTTGCTAGCTACCGGTATGATCTTGGGTTTCGATTACTTGCATGCTGCTATGTGTGCCAACATGTGCGCGGAATGCGGTGCGTTGTGGCTCATGCTGCGCGGCGGCCACGCCCGGTGCGCCCGTGTCCTTGCAGGAATCCGCGGCCGCCTCGAAAGCCCAGTTCGACAAATATGTCCTGGACAAGGCGGAGGAGAAGGCGGCATTCGACATGGTGTTGGAGAAGACCGTAGCGGACGCAGCAGCCCAGAAGGCGATTGCGGATAAGGCGTTAGTGGACTTTGGAGAGCTGCAGGTGGGAAGTACGACAGCTGAGCCCAGCTGCCGACACATGTTATATGCACGTGCAGTTGCCTTTTTTCAGTTCGAGATGCTTACCGCTAATTACTTTCCTGGTCTTGTCTTGTAGGAGAGCGCGGCAACTGCTAAGGCCCAGTTTGATAAGTTCACAGCCGACAAGGCCGAGGAGAAAGCGGCATTCGATCTGGTCCTGGAGAAGACGGTGGCGGATGCAGCGGCGCAGAAGGCGATTGCGGATAAGGCGATGGTGGACTATGCAGACCTGCAGGTAGGCCAGATGAAAGCTAGATGGAGTGACTGATGGTTAGTGCAGTTGTGTGTCGACTGCCTTGCCACCCTACCCTAGGCTAAGAACGCAACCTAACCCTCGAATTGGAGGAATTAGCTCAGCAGCACGTCCCAAACCTTCCTTTCAACACACCCACTGCAGGACTCTGCCACCGCCGCCAAAGCCCAGTTCGATAAATTCGTCCTGGACAAGGCGGAGGAGAAGGCGGCGTTCGACCTTGTGCTAGAACATACGGCAGCGGAGGCGGTTGCGCACAAGGCGGTTGCGGACAAGGCTCTGGTCGACATGGGGGAAATGCAGGTGGGAAGGGTGGGCAGCGGGGCCTGATAGGTGTGCCTAGCTACCTAGCTTGTACCAGGCTTACACGGAGCGAGCTCTGTCTTTGCTTTTCGCGGTAGACACCAGACACCGGCCGTACTTTAAAATTACGTACTTCCGCTTCCTAAGGCGTTCGCATTAAGCTCCAAAGCGGAGCACGACAAGACGCTCGTGGGCCTGGTGGCCCTGCAGGCGCGTCGCCGTGTTGCGAGCAACGTGTGCTTGCCTACCTTTGCCTGCTTCCATGACGTTGTCCGTTGTCGCATGCATGCATGCTACTACCATGCTCAACAGCTGGTCGTTATGATGCACCCGCGCTTCCGCTGTACGAACACCACGTGCACTCGTTGTGTGGTAAACACAAGTCGTCGCAGGATTCGTCCATGCATGTGTGGTTGCGCGCGTATGCTTGGTTGCTTGCCATGGGGCCCTGTCACTGTGCGACAGCAGCAACATGCGTCAGACGCGCGCCTGGGTACCTTGCCGGGGTCTACGCATTCCCGAGTGCTTGCATTAGCATCTCATAGTAAGCCATGGATTGCCTTGTTGTGGACGACTTGCTGTTGCAGGCCTCTGCGGCAACTGCCAAGGCCCAGTACGACAAGTTTGCTGCCGACAAGGCTGATGAAAAGGCGGCGTTCGATCTGGTGTTGGAGAAGACGGTGGCGGATGCAGCAGCCCAGAAGGCCATTGCGGACAAGGCGATGGTGGACATGGGAGAGTTGCAGGTGGGGGCTTTCAGCAGGGTATTTGGTTGCTTTGAAAAAGCATCACCCGACCTGCCGCTTGAAATGCTGCTTGAACATCCGTTAGTCTGAACGCTCTGCGTACAATTGGTGTTGCCCGCGTTGCAGGCGTCCGCGGCGGCTGGCAAGGCGGAACACGATAAGGCCCTTCTCGACCTTGTTGAACTGCAGGTGAGCAGGAGGTTTGTGTGGGGGGGTGTTCGTATGCCTAAAGCAGTGCAGCATGCTCTTTTTAGCTGTGCAATGCGTACCGCAACGCTAGCTTGTGGCGACTTTGAAGGATGGGGTTTGCAGCGTGGCATGCTACCGCGGGCAAGGGGCGCGCCTCTCGCGTGTATGCGGATGCTGTGGACAATGCGTGCAAAGAAGTGCATGGGTTGCATGACATCCCCTGCCGAGTCTTTGGCAACACCGTCCAGGGGGGTCTAGGGTCTGAGGCGAGCGGGCTTAAGGCGATGCGGGCTTCCACCTCATGAAGGTCAGCACATACTAAGCTGTGCATGTTTTGGGTGTTGTCCCCCTTGTCACTGCAGGAGTCTGCTGCGGCAACTAAGACCCAGTTCGACAAGTATGTGCTGGACAAGGCTGAAGAGAAGGCGTCATTTGACCGCATGCTGGAGCAGGTCGAGGAGCAGGCCGCACAGCAGAAGGCCATCGCGGACAAGGCCCTGGTGGACTTTGGGGAGCTGCAGGTGGGGTCTGCGTGATGGCGATGGTGTTCTGCGAACACTACCCGTGCCCGTGCCCGTACTTATGGGTACGGTAAAGGGTCAATAGCTGCATAGCTGCGCTGTACTTGGTAAAAGGACTGCGGTTGTGCACAACCGCCGTACACCCTTAAGCGTCCAGGGTGCTTCCCAGTTGTTACCAACCATCGCCATTCTGCCCTGCAGGAGTCCGCGGCCGCAACCAAGGCTGAGTTCAACAAGTTTGCAGCGGACAAGGCGGAAGAGAAGGCGGCTTTTGATAGCGTTCTGGAGAAAACCGTGGCTGATGCGGCGGCCCAGAAGGCGATTGCGGACAAAGCACTTGTGGATATGGGAGAGATGCAGGTGGGGGCGTTGAGGTGTTATTGCATGCAAAAAAGACAGCAGCAGGGTATCATCTATAAAAGCCTGCTTTGAAAATGGCGGTCAGTCCCATCGTGGTTTTACGCATGATACTACATGAGCCCTTCTGTCGCAAGCACCATTTGCCTGCGAAGTGGCCTACCGAGTGCTCGCTGATTCGCACCGAAGCACTGATAAGCCCATGCTTGCTTGCCAGGCACTTTGTGACCTCAGTCGCTCTTATTTGTATAGCACCCCGACAGTGTCGTGAGTGGCATCTCCCTGGAGCTGCACCACAGCGACCATGGAACGTCTTTGGCGTGCACCACGCCATGAAGACTCTCAATCATTGTCGTAAACCGTCTCCACCTCTGTGCATACCTCCCAAACTCCCACGCATATGCAGCAAACCTCCTACGCCTCCAAGGCCCAGATCGACAAGCTCCTGAAGGACAAGGCGGAGGACAAGGCGAGCTTTGATGCCATGCTGGCTAGGACGGAGGCAGAGGCGAAGGCGCACAAGGCGCTAGCGGATGCCCTCAAGGTAGATGATCCCAAATGCATGGCTGCTAACAAGCTGTTTTGATGTGTTCATGCCCGCGCAGGGATGACCACATAACCTGCCTACACTATGCTTTCATCAATGCGTTGGTTGTTACCGGCTTTTTGTCATACACGCGCTCCAGTGCCAATGAACGGTGTTGCAACCACAACCCCTGCGAAATACCCACCACCATCAACAATACCCCCCGCGTCGCTGCCACCATCGCTCCTGCCACCACCATCACCACCCCCATCACCGCCACTCCGCAGGAGGAGGCTCACACGGTTGCTGCTCAGCTGCAGCAGGAGCGGCAGAACCTGGACGACCTGCAGGCGCAGAACGAGCGGCTGCTGAAGCAGCAGGAGGTGCTGCAGGCGGAGCTGCAGATGGCGCTCAGCAACTACTCGCCCAAGGTACGCACCGGGTAGTGGTGGTACCGTACATGTCGCTTTTGCCTCTCTGTGTTCGTTTTCGCATCCTACACCATACACCGCCACCTGCTGCCCTCCCCTCGCCCCTTACCTGCTGCCCTCCCCTCGCCCCTTACCTGCTGCCCTCCCCTCGCCCCTCACCTGCTGCCCTCCCCTCGCCCCTCACCTGCTGCCCTCCCCTCGCCCCTCACCTGCTGCCCTCCCCCCCACCCGCACCCCCTGCCCTCCCACCCACCCGCACCCAGGCTGTCATCGACGTGGGCACCCCCGCCGACAAGATCCTGACCATGATGACGGACCTGCTGGACGGCTCGCCGCCCTCCATCCAGGACATCCTGCTGGTGCAGTCCGCCATCCTGGAGGCGCACGACATCTACCAGCCCATCAACCTGGGCAAGCAGCTGCTGCAGCAGAGCGCGCTGGACGTGAGTGGGGGAGGGTGCGGAGAGTGCGGGGCGAAAGCTGCGTGTGCGCTGGCTGACCCATGGGTCGCGAAGGCCGGCTTGCATGGTGATTTGACGCAGTTGACTTTGCGCAGGTAGTTGGCCCTGCCTGTCTAGGCAGTGCGCAGACTGGACGTGCGAGGAAATGCATTATGTGTGATAGTGCAGTTGCCATTCTATGTTAGCGCCTTCGCTCTTCCTTATTCCTGCTCCTGCTCCCCGCCTTCTTGCTGCAACCGCTACCGCGATTACTTGTTACTCCCCACCATGACCCAACCCCACTACCCCCCCCCCCCTCCGCTGCTTCTGCATCCTTTCGCCATGCGCCCCCCCTCCCCCTCCGCAGATGGACGTGGGCATGTCGCTGCTGCAGCAGCTGGGCAACCAGGATGAGGCCCGCGCGCTCACGCACAGCTCCGGGTCACTCACGCTGCACGACTTTGGCACCCGGGACGGCTGCCGCTCAAGCCGCATGCGGGACGGGCGCGCCATGGGCAGGTGAGGTCGCACGCACGGCGCCTAAGCGTACGCGCATGGAGACGAGGTCCAGAGGACAAGATACCGGTAGCAAGACCCGCGACCGGGTGACTGGTCCAGAGCCGGTAGCCAGCAGGCGCACACCTCTCTGCAGGCCGCAAGCAGTCCTGCAGCAACCTACCTGCGTCCCCGCAGTTACGCCGTCCCTAACCCTCATGTGGCTTGTCCACATCGCGTTTTTCCTTACACGTGTTTCGCCGCCTCGCCCCCTGCCTGCCCCTCCACAATAGTACCTCGAGCTCCACCAGCAGCCTGCCGGACGCCGCCGCCGCAGCAGCAGCCGCGCAGGAGGGCCCCTGGTCCTCTCTGGAGGGCGCCGTGGCCCTGATCATGGCCCCCGATGCGTCCTTCTCAGACGTGCGGGACGGAGCAGCAGCCAGCGCCTGCAGCAGCGGCGGCTACGGCTACAACAGCCCCACCCCACAGACCGACAGCTGCGGGGCGGGTGGCCTGGCCGGTCAACGCGCTGCTAGCTCCGCCAGTCGAGGTCTGCATGCGCGCGTGCGGCGGCGGTCTAGCTTCGTCATGCTGGGCGGTCCGGTGATTGGCAGCAACGGCGGCAGTGGTGGTGGTTTGGAGCTGGCATCCCGGCATGGCTCGTCCAAGCTCCTGGTGATGTCGGCGCTGGAGCGGCAGTACAGTGTGGCTACGTCGGCTGCGGGGGTGGACGGGGAGGCGGAGGACTACCCGGAGCAGCCGCTGTTTACTGAGGTACGTTGGAGGGGCTTCGTGTGTGTGTGTGGAGGACTGCACTCCACGCATGGCATACTGCCATCCTACAATGCACCGCTTCCGGTCCTATATGGTCACGGTCAGTGTTTCATCGCGGCTACAGTAATACAATACCCACCCCTTCATCCTCCTCACCTCCGCTCCCCTCCCAACCGGTTGCTTACTGGTCTAGATTGCCTGTTTTGGACAGCTAATAATGTTACTCCGCTTCGCCCCCTTCCCCCTTCTATCATTATCACACCACACTTTGGAATTTCTTTTTTCCCCCCCAGGTGGAGCGGGTGCTGTCCACCGCGCACAACTGGCAGTTCGACGTGTTCAAGCTGACGGACGTGACGCAGGACCACGCCATGAGCGTGCTGGGCTTCTACCTGTTCCACCAGGCGGGGCTGCTGGACAAGTTCGACATCAAGCCGCAGCTGCTGGCACGGTGAGAGGGGGTAGGGAGAGGGTGAGAGAGGGAGGGAACAAGGAAAGGATTCGGGCGAGGGGAGAGGGAGAAGGGGGGTGGATGGAGGGAGAGCTGGGGGATGAGGTGCCGGGGAGGCGACCTGGACTGCAGTTCCCACCACACTCCTGCCGGTTGTGTTATGTTGTGTTGTGCGCAATGCTGCTGCTGCTGCTGTTGCTGCTTCCTTCCAGGTTCCTGCGGCGGCTGGAGGAGGGCTACCGACCCAACCCCTACCACTCCAAGACGCACGCAGCGGATGTGCTGCAGGTGAGGCGAGGGAGGCGAGGGGGATGGGAAGGGGGACAGCGCTGGGCAGGGGTGGGGCACACTGGGAGGAAGGTAGGGGGAACGTTGCAGGTGGGATGCAGCATGCAGGGCACTGAAGCCATTGACATGCGTTTGTTTGCGCACACGCTGTTGGCGGACAATGCAGCACCGCTTCGTCAATCCTGACCACGTGGCGACGTATCCGACACACCCTATCGCTGCCCGGCTCCTGCCCGACTTCCGAGGCTCTGGTCCTCCACCCCAATTCCCATGCAACTACCCCCCTGTCCCGCTGTACTGCCGTACTGCACCCCACCCCACCCGCACCTCACCCCCTGCCCTCCACCTCCACCCCTACGGCCTCCGACCCCCCTCTCCTCCCCCTCCCTCCCTTCCCCCCCCCAGACCCTGCACGTCATCATCCACCGCGGCGGTCTGTCCCCCGGCTACGTGGACCCGCTCTCCCTCATGGCCTGCTACCTGGCGGCCCTGGTGCACGACTACGAGCACGGGGGGGTCACAAACGACTACCTCATCAACAGCAGGTGCGGGGGGGGGCCGGGGGCGGGCCTGTGGGTGGCGGGGGTGGGAGGCCGCGGGAGGGCCTGCTATACAGGCGGTAGCCGCGGCGGTCGCTCGCAGTTCCCCAAACTGACTTCCTCCTTACTCCCGCTCGCCCTTCCTCTTTCCTCTCTTCTCCGCCCCGCCTCCCCCTCTCCCAAACCCCCCACCCCACCCCCCAGCGACCTGCTGGCCCTGCGCTACAACGACCGCGCGCCCCTGGAGAACCACCACCTGGCTGCCTCCTTCATGCTCATGAAGAAACCCGAGTTCGCATTCCTGGCGCACCTGCCCAAGCCCGACACCGACCGCATGCGCAAGATGGTGAGGGTGGGGTGTGGGCAATGCGGGCGGGCGGGCGGGCGTTTGGTGTTTGCATGCATGCGTCTGTGATCGCCCACAAGCACGGGGGGGGGGAGGGGTTACCCCCGCATGCAACAGTAGTGCATTGTTACGTCGTACCGCACGCCACCCCTACCTGCCTCCATGTACAACCCACTCCCATGCATCCCCATAACCTCCCCCATTCCCCTCCCCCTCCCGCTCCCCCGCAGATGATTGAGCTGGTGTTGGCCACCGACATGAAGCAGCACTTTGCGCTCATGTCGCACTTCACCACCGTGCACCGACTGGGCAGCACCACCTCCGTGACGCCCTCCATCCTCAGCAGCACGGAACGGCGCAGGTGTGTATGTGTGTTGGGGGGGGTTGGGTCTGGGGCCATACCAAACCATAGGAAACCACAGGTTAGGGCAAAGGATAGGAGGCGGCAGGGTGCCACAAGATGAAGTGAGAGTTCGCGGTCCCTACCGGTAGGGAGTCCCGCGGTAGCGCTGAAGAGTGGACCGTCCAGCGTGCTGAGGAGGGTTGCCTTCGTAGCTGCCTACTGCTAGTGCTAGTGTCTTGAGGTCGGAGATGGTCACCAAGGTATCCCACAAGAGGCAGGCCCGAAAACCAAGTGGCAATGGCAAAATGCGAGCAAGCTTTTGCTTGCTCCTCTCCACCCACCCCTGGGGACACAACTCCAGCCCATAGCCTTTCTAACCCCCAAGGGCCCCAAGTCACCTGCGGCCCACCCCTCCCCCTTTCCCTCAGTCAGTTAGTTGTTTCCTCTTTACCTCCCCCTTTCCCTTCCACCACCCTTCCCCCTTCCCTGTCCCCCTCCTTCAGGTCCTCCTCCAACGCCTCCTCCATGACCTCCTTGGTTCCCGGCAGCGGCTCGGCCATTGAGATGGACAAGATCATGATCCCGCTGGACGAGAACGAGCGCATCCTGTCGCTGCAGCTGGCGCTCAAGTGCTCAGACCTGGGGCATGTGAGTGTGATGACGAGGGCGGGATGGTGGTGGCGGGACTCACCCACCGGGGTCTCACACACGAGACACGACACCTGTGCCCGCTTGCCTGCCTGCCTTGCACGCTCCTCGTGCTAACTTTTTGCGTGTGTGTACCTGCCACCCGCTTTTCACCGTGCCGTGTCGTGTTGCTCCCCGCAACCTCTAATCTTACCTCTTCCGCCTGACCTCCGCTCCCCTCGCCCCCCGCCCCCGCCCCCGCCCCGGCCCCCGGGCCGCCCAGGTGATTGCCTCGCTGCCGGTCCACTGCCGCTGGGTGGCGCTGCTGGAGGAGGAGTTCTTCCGTCAGGGTGACCTGGAGAAGCTGCACAGCCTGCCCGTCAGCCCGCTCTTCGACAGAGCCAAGCCGGGGATCACAAAGAGCCAGGTGCGGGGCACTGCGGGGTGCGGGTGGTGGTGTCGGGGGCGGCAGGGGGCAGGGAGTGTCGGGGGCGGCACGCAGCGCAGCGCATGATACACTCTTGAGGGGCAGCAGCGCTGCTCCATTGGACCAGCCTCTGTGCTCCCTCAGGGCCTCACAAGTATGACCTATACCCACCCTTGCCTTCCTACCTGCCCTTACCTGCCTACCTACTTGTGCACTCAACCTAAGCAAACCATCCCCGTCTCCTGCCCCTGCTGGCCGGCCTGCCTGCCTGCCTCTCCTCTCCTCCGCTCGCCCGTCCGCAGTTGGGTTTCTTCGACATCGTGGTCATCCCGCTGCTCAGCGCCTACTCGCGCGTGTTCGCAAACACCAAGCCGCTGCTTACCTACACCATGCGAAACTACAAGTATTGGGCAGACCAGCAGAAGAGGGAGCAGCAGGCGGCCGCAGGGGGGGCTGGCAGTGGCGGCGGCGGCGGCGGCAAGTGAGAGCCGCCGGCTTTGCGGGATCAGCGATGTGCAGCGGGGGAATGTGTGGAGGCGGCGGGAGCTGCTGAGCCGTGGGTTGCTCGATGCATGCTGAGGGGGCTGTTTTCCCGTCTTCTGTTGGACTGAGGGGCACATTGCGGCTTTCAGGAAGCACAGGGCTGGGCTTTGTCATGTGCGACTTTGGTGGGCGGGGGAAGGGGGCGGCGATGGGCGCTGCTTTGGTGCGGGCTGCTGTCTTCACGGGCGGGTCTGCATATTGCTGACGGTGGCTTAGGTGTGTGTACGGCGTTTGTTTGACATGTTGCCAATGTGGCCCCGCATTTGGCGGCAGTTGGTGGTGTGGTTGTGTGAAGCAGGTAATTAAGGCGGTAGGAAGCTGATGATAAGTGATGGCTTGGGCGGGAAGTGGAGGCGGAGGGAGGAGAAGCGGTGATGCGTGAGGGGAAATACGCGAGGAACACGTCTTTTTTCCTGTGCCACGCCTGTGCTGATTGCCCTTCTGTTGGCTTTCGATCTAAACTGACTGGTATCGCCAACAATGGCGCCCTGTATGTGGTGTGGAGTTTCCGCCTTTCGCGCATCAGCACTAAAGTGTTGGTTTGGTTGGTTTAGCGTGGGCGTCGCTGCTGCACACGCGCTGGCGGACTGCGCTTTGCCGCTTGTTTGTGGCAGGTTGGTTGCCTGTTTACCGTTTGGCTGTGGTCACGGCTTGCATTGAGATGCGTCGCTCTGCTTGGCTTGCGCATTGGGCCGCATTGAGCCGCTTCTCTTGGTGATCCGAATACAAATTGGGGAGGAGTACATTCTTGTATTGTTGTGCGTACGACGGGTCTGATGAGATGGATGTGGGGCGTGCTGCGGGGCGGGGCCGGGCTTCCGCGACGCCCTTGTTTTGGGATATGTGATGCGCACCGGGCGAAATACCGTATTATGTTTGCTGGTGGAAAGCCGGTTGGAGCTGTACCGGTATGCGATGATGCCTTTCGCGACCTACTGTTGCTTTGGATTTTGTCTGGTTTCGACTATTGTTGTGCCGTTACATAATATCTATTCTTTACTCATTGGAAAAAAAAGGATTTGCGCCGGTACGCCTGCACGCCTGCTAAGGCAGGCAGGCAGCAAATCCCTTGCCGTATTGTTGACAAGGCACGACGACGGAATAGTAGTATCGCCGGGGACTGAGAGCATGTCTAATACTCGTGTGCATCGTTTGGGTCTGGCCTGGCGTGCAGGTTGCATGCTTGTAGTTGGTTTAGGTGTGGATTGGAAGGTTTAGCGGTTAGCTAGTGGTGGTGGTGGTAGTAGCAGTGATGGTGGGAGATGTATGTGAGGTATTGGTGTTGTGTGTTCCAAGCAATTTGGGGTTCCCTACCAGCATGGGCTGGTTACTAAGTCCCAAAGCTACCTTTGTGACCGTTCCGTCCTCCTGTCCTCTTGCCCGGTCTTAATTTTGTGCGAAACACAATAATACTGGTAAATCACGGTCGGCGGTTGAGTCCGGTTTGGTTGTTGGGCTCTCCGCGGGCCCCAGAGAGTAGGTATGTACGGCAAGCTGGGTGTCTTGGTTCCCTCGTACGACACTGCGGACCCATGGGTCGCTTGCCATGCTAGATTCCGCTCACTGTGTGGAGGAAGCAGGGGACGGAGCTGTTGCTATGACGGGGGCTGTGTATGTGTGTGTGTGGGGGGGGGGAAGTGTATGTGTGTGTGCCAGTTCGGCCTGTATCGGTGGTCATACACCAGGGCGGTGCGTGCGGCCGATCTGTGGGACTGAGAAGGGGAAGGGGTGCTAGGTGCACTTGCGCACGAAGGCACTTGGGTGGGTCGCCTGCAGATAGCTGCCCGGTGCTATCTCGAGGAGGAGCAAGGAGTGCGTGTGTTGCGCACGTGCGTGTTCCGGGTGATGGAAACTAAGCCCTCAGGCGCAACTGGTTGAATCCCTAAGGCGTGTGTGATGCCGTTGTGTCTTTCTCTTGACAGTAGTGCATACATGGTGAGGTATGAACGATGCTACAATGACTGCTGACCCTTGCTTTGCTTGCGTGTACGGCGTTATGTGTACACTGCTCACCGCGTTAATGCGATGTATGTGTCAACAGAACTGGCCGCGATGAAGGCCGCTTTTGTGATGTGTTCCTGTGTTGCTGACCGTCCGTGGCGTGCAGCGCACTGGGCTGGGTCGGTAGTTAAGCACAGCATGGGAGGGTAGTGGTAGTAGTAGGAGGAGAAGGGGGCAGCTTGTTTGTCAGTGTCCGTAGTGACCAGGTGTCGTGCATGCCGATATTGAGCTAGCACCTCACTGCGTCAACACGTTTGTGTGCTGCTGCTGCTGCTGCTGTCTGCTGTATTTGCTGTGTACCGTCTCTCTCTCTCTCGTCGACTGCCGGATTGCAATCCTGTGAATATGCCGGCTTTCATGCTCATGCTCTTTTTGTGATGCGAAGGAAGGAGTACTTGCATGCTAACTTGTTTTGCCGTTTCCGTGTGGTGCACGCCAGCGCCAGCCCTGCGTCGTGCCGTGTTGTTCCCCTTTTGGCAATGACACAATCCTGCTGTATAGTGGGCTTTTTGAGTTGGAATCCGGGCGCGTGGTCCTGATACGCTTTGGGTACCATTGGGCTTTGTGCGTGTTGTGAAACTATCAGGCGTTACGAAATGCTTGGGTTCTGAGCCTGCGCGTGGCGGTGGGCTGTAGGGCGGTAGGCTGCAGGCGCATGGGGTTTTGTTTCCTGGCAGCTTATTTGTATTGGGGAAGGGCCGTGACCATCCCGGGATTGTTTGTCGGAGTTCTAGGCCGGTGCGTGAAGGCGCCGCATGAGTGAAGACGGGTGGAATTTTTATACCTGGTTGCCGTTAGTGGAACATGCGCTGTGAGGATGTGCTGCATGTGCTCGGGCTGGGTTGTTCGCTTGCGGGGCGCAAATCAACAATACAGGAAGGCGCCCCATGGGACACCACCGCCATCTTGTGCCTCCGTTGCCGCGCGGTGTGCTGTGATGTGAGGCGCAAAATGTTCCACCATGTCATGATTGCTGCGCGTGCTTAGTGTCATGTTTTCAGTTTGATCGTGTAATTGATCCCAAGGTCTGTTTGTTCGTAACGAAGATTGTAACCATCCTTGCACACAGAACTACACTGCAATTATTAGTCCTGCAGTCAATCCAAACCGCAGGAACTGCAACAGTAACTGCTTGGCCCCATTATGTTAGAGAGGGGCAGCCTTCGACTGCATCCATTACCCGCTGCTCGACGCTCCTCTGTAGTCCCCTCTGCCGTCGTGCGTGTTGCTGAGGTACATCACGTAGCTGCACAACGCTATACCACTCTACCGAAGGCACCTATGGCGGCAGCCGCTAGCGCCCAGGCTAGCTCAGCTCTAGCGGTGCTTGGATGCGTCGAACTTGACAGCGCTACGCAATTGGTTGAGGCTGTCCTTCAAACTCCTGATGTCTTACAATGCTTTGCCACTTTTGTAGGTAAGCTCCTGAACCAAAGGCAAGGGTAGGGAATGAAACGCCCGCGCGATGGTCACATCTCAGGATTTTTCTTTGCCGCCTTTGACAACCCAATGTTGCAAACAATACCAGTACTAACATCTTTCTTGTGCATATGGCTGGTAACCGTGCGGCATATGATTAAACCCATTGAAGCATTGTTGGCAAACCCGTAGTGAACTGTCAGTAAAGGGCTTGATTTGTTTTCAACTTGGCGTGTAGTGAGGCCTACAAATAAACGCCGTGCTGTTGTAGTATTTGCGTGTCGTGCATGTCCCTCTCCTTCATAGTCCCCACGTGTTTTTTCCTAACAAATAGCCATCTTGCGGCCAACTCAACGCCCCATTTCCCTACATGACTAAACTCGTCAACTGGAGCACATCCAACCCGCTGACCAACCTCAAAGCACCAAATCACCAACCCAAACACAACACCCGTAACTACACACCCGTAAGCCCCCACCTGACGCATGTCCACCTACACCACCCGCTCCTCACCCAAGCTGCCCCCAACCCTACCATGCCATTCCCCTCCCTCACCAGAGCCCCCATCCCAGCTACAAACCTCAAGCAGCCAGGCGCCGCCTGCGGAAACAAGCCCTGTGGTACCTCCGAGCGATGCCGTACCCAGCCTCACGACGCAACCCAGCGGACCGGTAACCGCTGGTGCGATCAACGCACTCGCGTGCCTGCTGGACGCTGTGGCTCTCAGCGCCCGCCCGCGCCTGCGCTGCGTGCCGCTGTTGCCGTGCGCCGGCTGGAGCCTGGGTGAGGCAGTGGGCATGGGAGGGGTGGAAGGGAGGAGAGGAAGGAAGGGAATGGTGTCAGGAAAGAAGTAATGCCCATAACGTAATAGTTGGACCATAGCTCTCTCACCCAACGTACCGGTACCCTCGCCCGCCCTCATTCGGCATCTCAGCGCTTCTTTCCTTTCTCCTCCCCGCCCCCTCCCACGACGCCACGACACAGAACGGATTGCCGCCCTTCCTCTTGTGAGCACCCTGCTCCTGCTGCAGCAAGAACCTGCACACCGGCATCTGCAGCGACACAAGGAGCAACAGCAACAACAGGACCAACTAGGAGGGCTGCCTAGCGGCGGCGGCGGCGTTGAATCTGCCTGCAGCAGCGACCACGGCGACGGAGCAACCAGCGGCCGCAGCAGCAGCAGTGGAGCAACAAGCTGCAACAGCACCCTCGAATGTACGGCTGATACCTTGGAGCGGCTGCGACCCGCGCATCTGCCCAGATGGACATGCCGTCCCGTGGTGATGCGGGCGGCGGCGATCCCAGCGGAGGAACGCTCCAGCGACACTCCAGCTGGCAGCGGCGGCGGGGCCGGCCGTCGTGGCGGCAGTGACAGCGCCGGCGGCGAGCCTTCCTCTGTACAAGAACATGAAGCAAGTTGCGATACCGACACCCCGACGGCAACAGCAGCAGCGGCGGCAGCGGCGCCGTCATCAGTACCCCAATGCGGTCTCTCAGGCTCGTCGTACATCACTCGTGTTGACGGCGCGCCCGCGGCGCCGACTGCGCCGCTGCGGTTCCGCCGAGTGGCGGTTGGCGGCACGTTCGACAGGCTGCATGCGGGTCATGAGCTGCTGCTGGCGGCGACGGCGCTTGTGGCGGAGGGGTTTGCGTTCGTGGGGGTTACAGGTGGGCGACAGGTGCTGGCGGATGGGTGGGGTGTGCTGGGGTGTTTCGGTGGGTGCGTGGAGCTTTTGCGTGGGGCTGTGGCCGACGTGTGGCGGGTGCGGCGTTGACTGCCGGTTTAAGGGGCAAGGACTGAAGGAAAGGGCCTTTTGTAGTATCGTCACATGCTGTCGTAGCTTACTTTGTAACACAGCTTAGGGTCACTAACTACCCCATTCCCATTTCCCATTTCCCCCGCTCCCCACGCATGCTTAACGCATGCTTCTTCTTCACCCACCTCGGTCGCCGTACAGCGGACGCGCTCCTCGCCAACAAGTCACACAGGGAGCTGCTGCAACCGTACGACAAGCGAGCCGAAGAAGCCGTGTCGTACATGAAAGCTGTTCGACCGGACCTGCACGTAGAGTTTGGGCCACTCTCTGATCCCAAGGTGAGGCCGCGTGCGGGTTGCGCCGAGTGATGCTGGACACCGAGCACAGCGCTCTTCAAGCGTCTCGTCTTTGAAGTGCCGTACCGGTATGTCTGTACTGTCAGTCTGTTCGTTGGCTGTGTTCGTGCTACACAAGGCCCTTGGTGCGCTGTCTGAGCGCTGCCAGCCCCAACCCCTTTCATGTCCCCACCTTCATTTCCACTTGTCCCAGCTTGTCCTCACTAAAGGTTAGACGCATGTTTACAATTCGTGTACGGTAGTTCCAAAGGCTCCCCGGCTTGCACCCGCCCTCCCGCCCACCCGCCTGCCTCCGACCGCAGGCGCCCACGCTAGCCGAGCTGGACCCCGGCATGGAGGCGCTGGTGGTGTCGGTGGAGACGCTGCCCGGGGCGGCGGCCATCAACGCGGGCCGGGCAGCCCGGGGCTTCCCCCCGCTCGCGGTGGTGACGGTGCCCGTGATCGGTATCAGGAGGGGCGGCGCGGGAGGGGCGGGTGGTGCGGGGGCGGGGGCAGCGGGTGCTGGGGCGGTGGGGTTGGCGGAAAAGTTGAGTTCGTCGGGTTTGCGTGCCGTTGAGGCGGTGACGACGAAGGCGGAGGAGGCGCGAGGGTAGCGGATGGGGCTGGTTTGAGGCGCATGTAGGGTTTAGATTTAGAGGGCTGGGTTGGGCGAGAAGGGAAGAGCTGGGCAAAGGGGGAACCGTGTGGCGAGAACTGGGCAGGGAAGACGGGAAGAGGCGGAGGACGTTTTGAGTGTCTGAGGGTCGCAGATTGTTTGTGGAGGACGGCGCGGAAGCGGCCGGAAGGGATTGGTCACGGCGCCCATCCGGAACTCCTGCCTACCTTATCTGAAGAAGCGATTGAGGGAGAAGAGGAGAGAAGAGACGACAGGAGTTGAGGCTTCACAGTTCCTTTCACAGTTCCAACATGCGAAGGCTATCAGGGCGTATGTCCCAGAGTGCGTACTTTGAACTGGATGTGAGCGAGCATTACCGTTGATTTTCTTTTTGCGGCCGGCCTCGGTGGTACGCCCGTTGTAGGATGCATCAAATCCTCAGTGAGGTGGCATGCCCTTATGTCACTTAGTGCTGAAACCGTAATGCCATTACGCCATACGCAACGCTTTGCGCAAACCGCATGTGCATATCCTCGTACACGCCCGTGGAGTTTGACGTACGTTTCCGCGGCGCAAGCGGGCGCCAATCCTGGCTTGCTGGCGCGTGCTGTACTCCCTGTTGGACTTCTTGGCTCTGATTTTGTGAAGTTAACTTGAAAAGAGAATCTGTCATGTCCAATCGTGTAGAATCCGTTACAGATATGTGCAATTTGTGGGTATATCATGGTACACACGGCCACTACTAGACACACGTCACTCGGTGTGCTCCCAGGCATCCCGAAGTCACCCTACAAAAGAGAACACCGTCACGGGTCATAAATTTCAACCAATCATACCACTTTCATAACACAATACGGTTGCTACCGAAATCGCCATCGGCTCATCAACCCTGTAACGCATCTCATCACAGGGGTTAGCCTCCACAGCGTGGCTTTTGCGTCAGAGAGCGAGCGCTTCCAGTGGTGCCGTAATTCTTCAACGGTATCATGAAACTCGCACACAGACGGAGGCACCGAAGCAAACCAATATAGCTTACATCTCTCTGGCAACACCAAACATATCACAAGAAGAGGCGCACACAAGCAGCCCTCGACGCCACCATCATCCAGCAACCGCAGCTCTGCCAAAACGCCCTCACGCTAGAGCGGCAGTAGTGTAGCTGTTCTTGCCAGCGCGGTACCGTTTGTAAGCGGCAGGCCGGCGGTCTTAGCTGGCCAACCCGGCGTCGTCGTCAGGGCCTTGCGGCGCTTCCTCGCGCACCACGACTGCTACCCTAGGGCTCAGGCAGTTTCCTGCCGCATCTTCCTCGCTCAGTCCCACTCTCACCGCAAATATACCCCTCCTCTCTCGAACGCACGAATGCACCGCGCACTACTGCACCCCCGCTGGAGCGACCCATGGGTCAACCGCCACCTGCAGCTCTTACCGCCACCATGACACAAAACACCACCACACGCCGACACACACGGAAACGGAATCATGGCATACACCAGACCAGACACAGGACCACCAAAATTGAACAGAACACCATTTTAACCATGTAATGAGAAAAACGCACTAAAGAGCCACAGCACGCAATAACTTTTGGGAGTATGACATTCTTCCGCATTCAAGTCGATAAGAGCAGCAAGGCACGGCATCACCAGCAAGCACACATCGTGAAGGCACTGACCAGCACGCCAGCCCTCCCGCAAGCTGTCCACGTGACACGTTACCGCCAACGAAAAGCCCTCTTCCGAATCACTTCTTCAAGCATCAAACCGCTCCAACCAGCAGTCCTGCTCCACCCGCAACGCACTTCCGCTATCAGGCGTGCTGATAAGGCACCGCAGCGCAAGCCCTAAAAGCAGCCATGCCAGCCCGCGGTTGATAAATGCACACCCCGCAAGGGCCTCTCACCAGCAGGGTGCGAACGAGGGATTGCAGGCAATGGACCACACGCCCAGGCCCACCTCTCCCGCTGCTGCAAGCAACCCGTTTAGACGTTATCGGGCAAGAAGCGGCGCTGGAAGGCAAAGAGCGGCTCCTCCTTCTTGAAGTCGAAGGGCTTGTAGTTGACCTTCTCGTCGTACACGTGGCACACTGTGCAGATGTTCTTCACCACCCGCCAGTTGAAGGTGCACTCGGTCATGTACTGCAGAGGGAGGGGTACAGGGCAACGAGGGTGTGAGGGACGCCACGCGACACATGAGACAGCGGAAGCATGCATCTACACACGTATTAAACCAAGCAGACAACAGAGGCACAACGCTTACTAACCCACGAAAGAAGTAAGACCCCATGTGAGCGGGCGCCCCGTCAGGCCCCCGCCCCCTCCTTACATCGCCCCAGTTCTTGCGCAGCGACTCGGTGGCCTTGCGCAGGTTGTACCAGGGGATCTTGGAGGCCACGTGGTGGGGCACGTGCCAGGAGATGTCGTGCGTCAGGAACTCAACCCTGCGCGCACGTGAGGCATCGCAAGCGGGAAAGCGGGAAAGCAGGATAACGGTGAATCCAAGCGCTGGTCGGAACATGCGCGAGTGAAACGATCCTCGCCATAGCAATAGCACCACTGCTCACATGTACCCAGGCGCCGTGCGTTACGCCCCGTAACGCCCCTCCTCTCTACACATTTGGCATCCCATCCCATCGCGGCTAGTCCTCCCCTTCCCGCTCCTCTCCCTCCCCGTTAGCTGTACATCCCTCACCAGCCGGGGTAGTCGCAGTGCACGGTGCCGCTGAGCTGCGCCTTGGCGGCGTTCCACTGGTCGGCGGGCTTGAAGGGGATGTGCGGCGCGGTGTGGTGCACCACAGTGAAGGTGCTCATCCAGAAGTGGTAGCCCAGCCAGGGCATCAGCCAGAACTTGATGAAGCCCCACACGCCGGTGTAGTAGATGAGCGCGGGGAAGGCGGTGGCCATGAAGGCGTACACCACGGCCAGCGAGATCACTGGAGGCAGGGTGGAGGGGTAAAGCGGGGGGACAGTGTGAAGAGGTTTGCGAAGCTAATTGGGAGGGAGCATGCAGAGAACCAGCGGAAAGAACTACCCTAAACACCACGTCGTCCGCCCTTCCCAATCCACCAATAGCACGGCCGCGAGCTTTGGAGGTGCACCGATGCCACACCCCCACAAGCGACCAGTCCGGCACCACCATAGAACCCGGCGCATCCTGTCGCCAGCGCGTCCCCCATTCTGCTGCTGCACCCTGGTTCCCACATCAGCCGCGCGTATCCTCTCCTCTCCTAGATAGCCCACTATCTACTCGGCTCCTACGCCGCCCGCAACCCCTAATGGAAGCCAGGCCTGCCTCCTAGCCGCCCGCTGCAATGCCACATTAGCAGTCCCCCCAACTGCTCTACCCATCAACATACGACCACTGCTCCTGCTCCATCCGCCTGCCCACCCGCCTGTGTTACCCACCACCCGGTACCCTATCCCCTCCCCGCCTCACTGGCCCTCCCCGCTCGCCCGCTTCCCACCACCACCCCATATCCACAACTCCGCCCCCACGCACCAACCCATGCACCCTTGGCCCCGCTGCCCCGCCCCACCCCACCCACACTCCCCTTCCCTTCGCCCCCACTCACTGACGCGCGTGCGCTGCTTCTCCGTGTACTTGTTGAGGTCGAAGTGCCAGACCCACCAGTGGCCCACAGAGGCCCACAGCTTGAGCGGGGTGCCCAGGAACACCTTGTAGATGGCGGCGGTGGTCTCGTCCCACTTGGCCATCTCCTCCTCCGTGATCGGGTGCCAGGCGGTGTCCTCCACCAGCCTGAAAGGGGGAGAGAAGGCGGAGGGGAGGGAAGGGAACGGGCCGAGAGGGGTGAGGAGGAAAGAGGAAGAAGCAGCTGCAGGAAGGGTGCATAGAGAGGACAAGGGGAGGGAAGGGGGAGAGAACGGCGGTCTGTGCAACCCAGCACTGGTCCCATTCAGCCCAGTGCCGCGGGGAGACTTGAGCAGAAGCCGCATGCGAAAGAACGCAGCCGTCGTGTCGCAGTCGCCACGATCCACACGGCTGCTACCGCCTGCTGTGCTCTACCGCCCGTAACGCCAACAGCAACTGCAGCCGAGGCGTCTTATACAGTCAACAGATGGATCCAGTCAAGCTAGCGACGAACACCGAGGCCGCTGCTGCGCTGCTCCAAAGCTGCATTCCAGTGAACCGCGGGGACCCAACCTCCGCTCTTTCCCTCCAGCCGGTAGGGAACAGGATTGTATCCTTCGGTGTATAACATGCCTGTTACCGTAATGCATGTACCTTCACCCCATGCCCAGTCTGTCAGCCCCCCCTTCAGGACAGAATTCTGCTACTACTGTGGTTCAGTCGCCAGGGCATTTGGCGTCTGTTCTGGTGACTCCATGGATGTCGCAACCCTGTGCGCACGCGCACCCTCCCCCACTATAGGCAGCCACTCACTTGTTGGTGTGAGCGTGGTGGTGGTTGTGCTTAATCCGCCAGGGCTCAAAGGGGTAGATGAGCGGCGCAAACATGATGTGGCCCACAATGTCCTCCACAAGGTTGTTCTTGTGGAAGCTGCGGTGTCCGCAGTCATGACCAACCACGAACCACTGCATGAAGGGGACGCGACTCATTTTTAGTTTACAACTGTAAAAACGTATCATAACCCTGTATACTACATCCTGCTAAATAATATAGTATACCTTTAGTATGCCTCTTCAACCGTGAGGCCTGACATGGTAAAAGTTGTTGATGCTAGGGTACACTGCTCAAGGCTTCTTACCCCGGTGAAGGCGGTGCCGGAGAAGGCCCATGCGAAGGGAAGCAGGTACCAAGGGCTGATGCTGATGAGGTACAGGCTGGCAGCCATTGCCGTTACAGAAATGAGCACGGCGCGCCAAGCCTTGCCATGGTCCAGCTCGAAAACCTAAAAGCAGGTTACAGCTAAACAAGATTAGAGAGAGACAGGTCGCGCTTTTTGCCAACGCCAGACACACCTCTGGGGGCATGCTCTTCACAATGTCGGTGAGAGAGACACCGTCGGGAAGCTCGCGGCCGACGCTCTTAAAGCCCAGCTCATGTGCCAGCTGCTTGCGCTCCTCATCAGTCAGATCGTTCACAGGAACCGACAAGGAGGCAGCCTTCGTCTGCACCTGCAATGCCATGTGCCATAGGTGAGCATGGCCACAGGTAGGGCGCCCCGAAGCCTGACCACCCACCTGGGGCCGAGCAGCAAACGCCGGAGTACGCAGGAGACCAGGCTTGGCCACACGCACGTCTGCAAGGTACCAAAGAAAGTGTGAGCTGGGCCAAGCTGGGCTATCCTGGGCCTGGCAACGCGCATAACGGCTGCATCATCGCTTACTGGGTCCGCGCTGGGCGCTGACGGGGCGCTGCAGGATGTAAGGATTCACGTTATTCATTGTTGTGAGGAACTTTAACCAAAAGGACAACAGCAGGCTATACCTACCAGCGCCCCCTTGCGTGCCAGGGCGAAAGCCATCGTGCAAGTTTGTATCTGGCCTTTACTGCGGCCGGAGTAATGCGCTCTAAGGAGCACCCGCTGGTGGAGATATGTGAAAAGTAAATGTTAGGAAGCGAGGGACCAGGAGTCGGGACCGCGTTCCTCGGGCCCCGCTTCCCTGGAGCCACACTTGCAAACCGGTACAATCACGTTACATCACATATTACTCTCCATTTACTGCAGTCTGTATGAAGTGGTTTGGTAATTTAAAACTTCTACCCATTAATATTCCTTAGGCTGGTCCTGCTGAGTCCTTGTTCTGTGGAAACGCTTTATGTCAGCTACTCCCACGGCATGTACTTTGAACTGCATAACAGCATCTTTTAGTTGACAGTAACGAGTAAACGCCCCGGCATCTACGCTGTGCGCTGGACGACGCCCACAGTTAGCCTTTCACGCTGTCCGCTGGAAAACGCCCACATAGAGTCTACAGCTGCCCATCCTGGCCCCTTCCCTTCAGCTTGTGATTATGATTTACGTCAATGAGTCGCGTTGTATGCAACAAATCAGCAGCACTTCAGGGGAAGATCATACGCTCGCTCACTTTCATACTACTTGTGTATAATGACACGTATTATTACAAGTACTTCACTTGTGTTGCCCCTGTGATGCAGTGTCAATCGCCACCAATGTATAGCAGCACTCTTGCTAATGTTTCCTTTGGCCTGCGGGTGTCAAGGCGATCTTGCGGTGCTGCAGTGACAGCTCTTCTTTGGGTTACCATGCCCTGTTACCATTAATCCAATGTTGTTGAACACTCACTATAGATTTTTCAATCCCCCAAATACAAAGCCCCGTCCGACTGTCCGGTCCCAAACACAACACCCGTCGACATCACTATCCACTGGGGAGCGGCCCCTTGCGGCTCGCAAAGGTGGTGAAGCATACAATGGGAGACAAAACTGTGGCTCCATACCACCTACGAACGCAATGCGTGAATCAACTCCTCGAGGCAAAGGTAGTCAGGTAGCTGCCACAACCATGGCCACACGCGGCCTGGCATAGGTGCACCCCCCTGCGGGCGCTCAGTTCCCGCCCAACATGACAGCTCGCGACAGTTGAATGAAGGACATCAGCACGCACAATACTCGTAGCGCGGGGCGTGCTCGGGAGCCTCCTCTGGTAAAAGAACCATACCCAAACAATTGCTCCGGGAATCCTCCCCATCCCCCGCTGCTCCTTACGAAAGCAAACGCAAGGCAACAGCAGAGGCCTCAGCCAAGCCGCGCCTCAACTGCTCTCGACGGCGCACTCACCTCGCCAGCAGGCGGCCTGCCTCATCTGCACCGGCGGCTGAAAGCGCACAAGCGGCCCTATAAAGCCCCTAGTCCACACGCGCCCCCACCTACTCCCAACGGCTGCTGGGAGGCTGCAGCCCACGAAGCACGAAGCCAGCGGGACTACCGCACTACCGATAAGCAACCGGATTCCAGAAGGCCAGCCTGTGACATGTCTGCCGGCTCAAATAGCAGCTTGCACGCGTAGATTGTTCCCTGCCTGCGACCTCCCTGTAAGCGAACCTTCACATGATCACCAGCGATCCCGATCATCCCTCACATCCATATGCGTAAACACACGCACTCTGTCCAAGCGTGTCCATGCTGACCGGCCAGCCGCCGCAACAGCAACAGGGCAGTCAGCAACAGGGTCGTCAGCTGCCAGCTCTGCTGGTGCAACCTCTCAATCTACGACTCATACCAAGCATCACTCCTTCCGAACCATAAATCTCCCACCCGTTGTCAGCTGTAAACCCCATGCGCACCGCCGAAACCCCCCCTCACCCTCACCTTCCTTCCCCGCTCCTCACCTTGCCCCTCTCATCCCAACACCTCCCTTCACCTTCCATCGCCCCCTCTCCCACAGCTTCCGTCTAGCACCCTTTCTCCTCCCCCCCTTACCTATACGGTCGCACCCTCCCCTCTTCCATTCCCTCACCCATCCTCACCAACGTGCGGCATGCTACGGTCACGGTCAGCGTCTATCACGCAGCTCAGTCTGCCTCCGTTCCTCCCATCACCCCATCCTGCTGCGCCCCCCGCCCCCTCCCCCCGCCCCCGCCAGGTGCCCCAGCCCCATGTTGGCCAGCTGCAGCGGGTCCATGAGGCTGGGGTCCAGCATGCGGGTGGGGCCCTGACCGCCCCCGCCCATGCCCATGCCCATGCCACCAACGCCGCCCGGGCCCCCCATGGCCGCCCCCCCGCCGCCTCCCTCTCCGGGGGGTATCTGGTGCGTGTCTATCTCGGGGTGTCCCAGCACCACGCAGCGCCAGAAGTCGAACTTGGGAGCCAGCGAGCGCACCTGCTTCTCAAGCGTGATGGAGAGGAGCTGCAGAGAGGGCAGGGAGGGAGGGAAGGGGAAGGGCAGGGGAAAAAGAAATTCCGATGTGTGGTGTGAAGGGGAGGGGGAGGGGGAAGATGGAAGGCGAAGGGAGTAAGCGGGGAGTGGGTAGTAAGCCTCCGCTCCGCTCCCACCCCACCCTTCTCCTCAAACCCCGCAGCCCGCACACCATCCTAGCCCCACCCTGTCTTCCCTCCCACCCCCCCACCCACCCACCCACCCACCCTGTTTTCCCTCCCCTTCCTCCCGCATAGCATTACCACTTCGGTCTTCCTCCCTCCCCTTCCCACTCCCACTCCGTTAATGCATTTATCTTTATCCCCCCCCCCAACACACACGTTCCTACTCGCGGCCAGTTTTCCCCACACACCCTCCCCTCACCGTGTGGTCCTTCTCCTTTGTCAGCTCCCAGAAGGAGCCGTTCTCCCAGCCCCGCACGCTGCCGTACAGCTCCCCCTCCAGCAGCACCCGCCCCGCGTGGCTCACGGACAGCGAGTCGGGCTTCAGGGCCAGGGAGATGTCGCGCTTGGAGGAGCCGGGAGGGAGCTGTGCGGGGGGGGGGGAGGAGAGGGGAAGGGGAAGGGGGGGAGGGGAGGAAAGAGACGTAAAGCACCGGATTCCTAGGACTTGTGCAGTGAGCTGCATGGGAAGGCGGGGTTGCGAAGGCAGCGCAGCCATGCAGGGAGGTGGTTCCGGTGAGGGGTGGATGGTGAGGGGTGGATGTGGGTGCAATGCCGCTGTGGGAACAGTGGCTGGGTTGGGCGTAGGGTGCCCTACCCCTTGCCTTGCCCCTCCCCCCTTGCTTTTGGTAGATCTCTGACCCCCACACCTTGAACATGACGCACACCTCAGAGGCGTTCTGACTCCAGCTGTACGACAGGTCGGGGCCACCCGGGCCGTACCCGCCCCCGTCGTTGACGGTTGGATCCAGCTTGGTGCGACTGGACACCGGCTCTGTCCAACTGTGTGCAGTTGAGCGGAAAACAAGTGTGTGTTAAAATAACGGGCCGCGAGGCGAAATGTACGTAAGTGTGTGTGTGTGTGTTTGGGGGTGGGGGGGAGAAACAGCAAAGCAAAGAAACAGCAAAGCTGTAACACCAACAATGAAGCGATATAGAGCGGGGAGCGGCGGAGGATATCATCTTATGGCGAGGAAATCTGGTGCCTTCCGCTCCCCCTTCCCATCACCTCCTGCCTGCCCCCCCCCCCGCCCCCCCTGCCACTCACCTCCCCCCCCCGCCCCCCCTGCCACTCACCCGCTGCACCCCCTGCTGTTCCAGGCCCTAACCCGGAACTCGTACGGCGTGTCGGCCTTCAGCCGGGCTACCGTGCGGGCTGTCAGGTCGCTCTTGCTGCGGGGGGGGAAGGAGAATCCCAAGGTGTTTAATGATGCTAACAAGGAGGGGGGAGGGAAAACATGATATTCCAATGTGTGGTGTGATAGTGGGAGGAGGGAGAGGGGGAGGGGGAGGCCGTGGAGAGGGGGTTAGGAAAAACACCGGTGTCGCCCTGTGCCACCAGCCCCCTGTGCTAGCCAGCCAGCACCAGCCGCCCCAGCACACAGCGGCTGCTGCTGCCGCCCACACATCCCTGCTGCCCCCCACACACCCCTGCTGCCCCCCACACACCCCTGCTGCCCCCCACACACCCCTGCTGCCCCCCACACACCCCTGCTGCCCCCCACACACCCCTGCTGCCCCCCACACACCCCTGCTGCCCCCCACACACCCCTGCTGCCCCCCACACACCCCTGCTGCCCCCCACACACCCCTGCTGCCCCCCACACACCCCTGCTGCCCCCCACACACCCCTGCTGCCCCCCACACACCCCTGCTGCCCCCCACACACCCCTGCTGCCCCCCACACACCCCTGCTGCCCCCCACACACCCCTGCTGCCCCCCACACACCCCTGCTGCCCCCCACACACCCCTGCTGCCCCCCACACACCCCTGCTGCCCCCCACACACCCCTGCTGCCCCCCACACACCCCTGCTGCCCCCCACACACCCCTGCTGCCGCCCACACACCCCTGCTGCCGCCCACACACCCCTGCTGCCGCCCACACACCCCTGCTGCCCCCCACACACCCCTGCTGCCGCCCACACACCCCTGCTGCCGCCGTATCACAACCCGCACCCCACTCCACCCGTCCTGTTCTGGCCTCGTGCAGCAGCTCCATTCCGCAGTGCACCCATGGACCTCTCCCCCCCCGGCCCCCGCCCCGTAGCGAGTGGGCCCTGTAGGAGTAGCCCTGTACACCCATGTTCCCCCCCCTCACACACACACAATCATAGTATGTTTCGCCTCGCGGCCAGCTATTATAACACATCGCCGCCAAACCCACCCCACGGACGTCCACTCCTTCGGCGGATCGCTGGTCGGGCGCCACTCCACCTCGAACTCCTCCACATTGAAGGGCGAGGAGAAGGAGGAGTCGATCTGGAGCCGGATCTGGGGTGTGAGGGAGGGGGTATGGAGGGAGGGAGGGAGGGAGGGAGGGAGGGGGTCAGTGCAGGTTGTAGTCATAAAACTGGCCGCGAAGATGCGCGCTAAGGACACTGTGTGAGGTAAGGTGTGTGTGAGACGTAGCAGGCGGAGAGAGGCGAGGCGTAAGGCGGCCAGGGGCCATAGCGCCGCATGCTGCCCCCCCTCTCCTGCTCTCCACACCCTAGGAGGCCTAGGCTGGTGTGAACCCATCTTCCCACCAGGGCCATGCGGGGCGCCCACAAGGTGGCGGGTGCGCCGCACACACACACATACACAGTGTGTGAGGCGCCAGTTGCCTCAACACGCTCCTCCACCTCCTATCAGCGACCCGTGTGCCACTGAGTTCCCTCCAGGGGTCAAGCCGCCTGTAACGCCCCACCGCCCCGCCCCCCGACTCATGCGCTCACTGCATGAGTCGGGATATGGGATTGGGACTTAGTTGTTTGCATTTCTTATATAATTTTGCCCCCCGCCCCCGCCTGGCCCCGAACATCCTCCGCCACCGCCGCGGCTTTACCCATGTCTACCCCCAACCCCACCTGCTACCATCCTATTCCAGCCCTCCCATCTTGTCCGGCCCTCCCTCAGGTTACCCCCCCCCCAGCAGCGATCGCCTGCTACCGCGACCCAGTCCCAAGCGTCGTCTGCTGCCCTCAGCGGCCCTCTCCCAGCCCACACAAAGCCCCTGGCCCCCAGCACACGCCGCCCGCCATGCACCCCTCTGTGGGCCCCCTCCGACCCTCCTGCGCACCCCCACCACCACCAGCCGGCACTGCTAGCCCCACACCACACGCCTCCTGCCACCTCTGCCCTAACCCAACCCACTGCTGGTCCCCTTCCTCTTTCTTCCTCATTGCATGCTGTCCTCATTGCTCACCCGCTTGCATCGCACGTCCTTGACCTGCACCCGGGGCGGGGAGGGGCGCCTGGGGGAGGGGAGCAGGGGGGGGGCGGCATAGGCACGATGGGGGGAAGGAGGTGTCGGAGAGGTGAGGAAGCTAGCCACTACACGGCACGTTTTATAATGTGGATGCGTTACAGAGGTAAGGAATGGCAATGGAGAGATGCAAAGCTAGCGGAGTGGGGCCGGGAGGCGGCCGTGGAATGGGGGACGAGGGCATGTGCGGGTTTGCGGGGGGCAATAAGTCTGCAGCCCTTTGCGGTACAACAAACGTGTTGGTGCTGTCGTTATCTGGCGTGTGGCGGCATTAGGCCATAGGCCCGTAGGAGTGTTACGAAGACTGGCCGCAGAGGTGTATACGTGTGTCAAGAAAGCTAGCCACGAGACGGACCGTACTGTGATTGCCTGAAGGTGAAGTATGTATATGTGTGTGTGTTTTGCAATGCTTTCACAGGCTTGATACACGGCGGGCAGGGACCACCCAGATGGCTGTATCTGTGTACAGTCCATCTACACCGCCTTTACTGCATACGCTGCGTTGCCGCCCTGGCACGCCATCCCGGATCGCATGCTTTGTCGCACCAGCCAACAAACCACACCCGGGGTGTCATATGGAGCCGCTAGTAATTTTCTCCCTCTTGCCCACCCTTCCTAGGTGTCTTTCCGACCATCGTTTGGCCCTGGCACACATTCGCACGTCAGGGGAGGAATGTGAGCGCCTTGCCTGCTAAAAAGGCGCCTGGTGACCGGCAGCGTGGACTCGTACAGAAACTGCTTCACGTAGCTGACGATGAAGACGACTAGGTCAAGAAAGAATAGGCGAATCTCTGTTATTTCTTTCCTGATTTTGCGCCGCAGCCGCCTAAAGTTTGGCAGCCGCGCCATTCCACCAGGAGACAGGACTAGCTAGGAGCTCCGGGAGTATTTTGTCCGCAGGTTAAGAACTAAACATAGAAAACTATCACCAGAATGTACTTGAGTTCAGGTTAGGGTAGAAACGCAGCTATATGCTCAGTTAAAAGGTAGTAGGCCTACAAGCACAAAGATAAGCAACCACGCTACACATGCCAGGCCTGGAAAATCAAACTTGATCTGGTAAATGACGTGGCCACAGCGGCCTGTAACCCTCTCTCGAAACCTCTTGTGGAAAGTGTACGGAGGCGTGCATAATGTAATGCGAGTCTATAAGGCGTCTACCGCGCCAACATTCTGCTTTTAACACCCTGTGAGGCGTGCGTTGTCTCAGTTCCCTGTACACCTGATATCTGCTTGCAACACTGACATAGCAAGGCAACTTTCCTAGGCACCGCGTTCCTTTCCTGCGTGCACATTGCACAACCCCTCCACCTGCGCACAAGCCGCAAAGCATTGAGTTCGATAGCTATGGAGGAGCTGGGACTAGACCCGCTCGGGTCTCTCCCATCTGACTTGGCTTCATACCTGGACGGGTCGGGCTTTGTTGGCGCTGGATTGGAGCAGCCATTCTTAGGTGAGTACAACTATGCGGTTTTTCCGTCGCAGTTACCGCAAAGGTCGCCACTTGCGCACCAACCTACCTCCTCCTCGCGCGCGCAGGCGACCTTGAAGCCATTGCAAACAGGCTTGAACTCCCGTCCTTTGATGATGCTCAGGATGCTCAGGAGATCAAGTAAGGCTGCCTGGATCGTGGCCGCTAACTAGTGACCCTCTCTTTGCGCGCGCCGTGCATTGTTGGGGCCCGCGGCGTGGCAGTTGCAACACCACGAGAACACGAAGTGGATGATATGGTATTTATTTACGCCTTGCAGGCTCGAGGACCTTCCTTCCACGAGCAACGCGGCGCTTATCTCTCAAGATGAGGAGGATGACACCGCAGCTGGGCGGACGGGGACGACTAAGCGGAGGCGACGGACGCGGACAGAACGGCAGCAAGTTTTAAATCGCTTAGCCCAGCAGCGTTACAGGTGAGCCCACGCGGACTAGAGAATTGCCGCTAACCATTTGACCGTCTGCCTTCGCGCCCTATGCCGATGAGCCGCACGCCCCTCCCTATGCGACGCTTTCCCACATTCCCTGCTTTTCGTCTCCCTCTCTTCGTCTACAACAATCACCTCCCGCTACCCGACTCACTCATTTCCCTCCCCCTTCTTCCTCTTCCCGCTCCTCATCCCGCCCCAACTCTTCCTTCTCCAAAGGCAACGGAAAAAGGAAAAGGTCCAGGCTCTACAATCCACCGTGGGCTGCCTGCAGAGCCAGCTAGACCGCCTCTCCTTCCTAGAAGCCGAAAACACCGAGCTCCGCGCCACCACCCAGCAGCTAGGCGAGCAGCTGGCCTCCAAGGACGCGGCCCTGCTGCACGTGCAGCAGCAGCTCCGGCAAACGGGCTTTGCACTTCGCGCGCAGCAGGAGCGCTGCGCCGCGCACGAGCGACAGATCGCGGAGCAGCAGCAAACAGTAGAGGCGCAGCGGCAGCAGCTCCGGTGCTCCACATTTGCCGGGCTGGACCCTCAGGCCCTCAGCGACCGGCTGCTCTCAATCGTCAAGGAAGCCCTGGCAGACGCCGCGGCGCAGGGTGCGTTTGCGGATCACGGTTCCAACGGGGTGACTGCGGCTTCCTCCTCCTCATCTGGGTCGGCGCCATTTGGGTCAGCATCAGCAGCCCCCTCCTCATCATCATCACCGTCAGCCCAGCAGCAGCAGCAGTCTGCGGCTTCCATGGCGGCTGCCTCTCTGCTTCTGTCAGATGCGGTGGTGCAGCGCATCAGCCGCACGCTAACCAGCTGCTGCAGGGAGCTGGTGTATGCGACCAAGGGGAAGCAGGGAGCGGCGGCGGCGGCGGCGGACACGCCGTCTGCGATTCCCGTGTCGTGCTGCTGATGGGGCGGCGTCTGATGGGGTGGGCGGTATTATTGTGGTTCGTCGCGGTTTGGGAGGGGAGATAGGAAGAGGTGGTATTGTGGTTTGGGCGGTGCAGAGCAATGGGGTTGAAGGGGGGGACGATGGTGGTGGTCCGGGTTTCGGACGGTGGGTGGGGGTGGGGTCGGCGCGGGTGTGTGATGCGGAGTTGAATATGCATAAGGGGTGGTGAAGGCGGCACGCCGAGAGGCCTATGTACGGTTCCTTTGGCGGCGGTCGACAGTTGCTGTGGCGATGAGTAAGTTGTTTTGTTTCGTTTTGTTGGACCCATAAGTCTTGTATAGGAGTTGGTTGCAGCTGCTGGTTCGGGGGTGGGATCCACATGGCAAGCCCGGGGGATCTGTTCTGGTGGGTTCGTACAACGGTTGGTTAGTACCGGTAAAACGAACTAACTGGACTCTTGGAAGTGCGGAGTGATGCGACTTGGAGTGATTGGTGGTCCAGGGTGTTTGGCGAAGGGGGTAATTCATACAATGGAAGATGCTACGGGACAGAGATGATAGGAGGAAGGCGGTTACCGGGAGGGAATGGGATGAGGAGAATGGGTGGCAGGGTGCATATATGGGCAGGTCATTTGGGTCGCTGAAGAGTTGTTGCTTAAAGTGGACACGCGTTATGACATGGAAGCTCAGTAAACGTGGCAGGCGGGTTTTTGCGTGCGGTCCGGTGTTATGGAACGAACGGTGGTGGATGATGCGGATGGTTCATATGACAAGTCGTGTGCTGAAGTGTTTATTGAGTCAGGATTTCCTTCCTTGGTAAGAGCAATGGCTTGGAAGGCACGCGATGCATCCTCACTAGCCGGGGATGCGTGCTGCCGGCTTGGTTCTTGCCTTGGGAGGCCCAGACGGCTGGAGGAGTGTTGGGTTTGGGGGACTCGATGTGAACCGCGTGTTTCCCTTTCCCATGGGTTTCTGTGCGTCGTGTCCCTTGTCTAATACAGATAGCAGTCCTGAGATAGGTGTGTTGTCGGATCTTGATTACTGCATGCCTGGTCGTAGCAACAGCGTATAGCATTTCGCATCGAAGCGGCGTCACCTGCTTTGGACCACCCGCGTGTGTGTGTTTCTCTTCGCCATGCTTTCGTGGTTTAGCGGTTTTCAGTCTAAATCAAAGACCAGTTTCGTATAGTTGTCGTTGTTACATGTAGGAGGCACCCCAGGCTCTCTACGACGTCGTTCTTAGCTATGAGCGGCGTTCAACGGTGTACATTAGTCATGCTAAACAGCCACTGGGGCTTGCCTGCGTGTCCGTGTGTGTGTATGCCGTATATGGCCCGTAGCGGCCGCTGCTTGTTTTCATGGTTATGCATTCATTGTTGTTAGTCGTGTGTGGAGGGCATTTGCGAACCACTCCTAAGAACCCACACTCGCCCCAAGAAGGTTATAAAGGGGGTATTGTAGGGGTAGTAGCCTTAGCGCGGTACCTTAACCGTATAAACTGAGCTACGCTTTGCAACTGCACCGTACACGGCACACGTGGCGCTAAAGGCGAACGGGCGGCTTTGCCTTCGTTAGTGGTTGGGCTGTTCATATCAATTTGTGTGTTGTCCGCACATGTGGACCGGTTGGAAGGGTGTTTGGTGCGCCCTGTATAGGGTGCAAGCATCCATGCATGGTAGCTACCAGTTTAAGTGAAGGTCAGGTAGAGGAGTGAAGGGTAGCAAGGTGGCTGCTTGCGCAGTGTAAAGTGTGGGGGGATGCTGCTATGCGTCATCACATGCAGCATATGCCTGGACAGCTCTTGGCGGAGAAGCCTCCAACCAGCAGATTGACGATATTCATGACGTGCGCGGCTGAGGGGAGAGAGGAGGAGGCCGCCCCTGTTACGTACCAGCATAACCATTGCTTAGCGAGGCAGCAGCTACAGTTTGCCTTGCTTAGCTTCTGAACGGGCGCCGCTGCAATGCTCAGCTTTGACAGTTTATAGTTTCGGTACCGGTACTCGACTTAAGGAAGTCTCAGCAGCGCATCATCGCCCGCGTGGAGTTCCCACCACGGCATGGTGACGCATGCCATGTGAACGCCCGCGCGTCAGCATCCGCATTACGGCCTCCGCTGCATGAACCTGCATCTGACAGCCAAAGGTCGCCTCTCCCAAGGAATCCAACGGAGGCCAATCACGCCAGCAGCCACACCACACTCAATCCCGTCGTTGGTGACCCACGGGTCGCAACCGCCCACCCCTCCACTCCCTAACTCTCTTTTTCCTCAAACCTTAACCCAAAGTGCACCATCAGTTTCAAACACGTACCAAGCTACCTACCGGTATACCATCAACCTGCTCGAGCACATCCACAGTGCCCAATCCATGCTCTCATCCCCATGCGCCATGCCGCCACTATCATTCAACGTATCGTTCCTCTCCATCTCTCCCCCATGCGCCAACATGCATCACCATCACCATCATCATCACTGCCATGCGCCCGCGCCAACCTCCTCGACCTGCGCCGTGCGATCCGACATGGGTGTGGGCTCCAGCCCAAACGTCTTGCGAACCTTCCAGATCTGCTGCTTCTTAGCCATCTCCGCTTGAAGCTGCCGTGCCTCGCCGGCAGGGATGACAGAGCTGCCGCCGCTGCCGCCGCCACTGCGGCCGCCGCCCATGCCCCAGCCCACGCCGGCGGCTGATACGGTGGCTGCTCAACAGGTGGCAAGAGGACAAAGCCAAGGGGAGGATGGGAACGGGGTAAGGGCTCAGAAGGACGTTCGGGTGTTAGGCGGTTCGGTATAGCCATCCCGTGAAGGCAGTCTGGGAGAGGCGAGCAGGGAGGAATAATGGAAGGGGACAGAGAGAGAAGCCGGGAGGGAGGGAAGCGCGAGAACTCGGAAGGACTGCTAAAGTGACCGACTGTGGGCGTCGGACACTTCCGCGCCATAACACCAGTATATGCCCACAGTTGCACGCGTTCGGCCCATCATTTCCCGCCTTCAGCTGCTCTTCCTCCTGCCGCCACCTTTGGCACTCTCCGACCGCTGCAGCCCCTCCATCACCGCCACCAGTGCACAGCCATTCCCAGCTCGACGAGCTGTTCGACGTAGCACAACGCCCCCGGCCCCGCGCCCGCACGCACCTTCCGACTTGCGGCTGGTCTTAACCTGCACCACCCGCCGAGTGCTCTCCGTCGCAAACTCCTGCAGACCCGAGGGGCCCCCGCCCCCGCCCCCGCCCGCACCACTGCCGGCCCCGTGAGCCAGCTCCTCCAGCACATCCCCGTCCCACTCCGCGCCATGCGCACCCCCTGCATGGATGAGTGTCATGGCATTGGGCCCAGCTGCCGAGGAGGAGGATCCAAGCTTCCCGCCGTGACTGGATTCGAGCCCTGATGCTGCTGCTGGTGATGCGGATGAGGGGCCCGAGAGGTGCTGCATGAGTCCCATGTGAGGGTGCGCGGAGGAGCTGCCGGCGAGGTGGAGCGAGGGCTGCTCGGGGTTGGCTGGTGGCGGTGGAGATGATGACCCATGGGTCACTGAGGGTCGCTGGTGTGGATGCTGGCAGTGTTGTGCCTTTGATGGTGGTGAACACGTTTCCCCCGCTTGAGTTGAGTTGGAAGTTGTGCGTGACAGGGTAGCTGTCGCAGGCTGCGAGGTGTACGATGGCGACGAGGTTGAATGCGGCGAAGCATGTGATGACAGCGACCCAGGCGGTTGCGGAGCAGCACCACAGCCCCCCGAGAGATTCGCGTCGTACGATGTACGGCGCGAGGAGGTAGCGGAGCCGGATGCAGCGGACCCCGGTGGAGACTCCTGAGTGAGGGCTGCTGCTGAGGCGGTGGGTGGCTTGGGTCGGGAGGTGGATCCCGGGCGTGTGGAGGAGCTGGAGCCGCCGCTGCTGCTGCCGCTGCTGCTGCCGGGTAGCGGTGCCCCGCTCCCGCTGCGGGGTGGGCCTCTGGGGGAGGCCGATCGTAGCCGGGTGGAGCCGCCGGGGACCAGGGGGGACACTGCACACAGTGCGCATGGGGTGTGGGTTAGCCATGCGGGGAAAGGGGGTGTTCACTTGTGACATGAGGGTGGATGGGATGGGATGGGATGGGATGGGATGGGATGGGATGGGATGGGATGGGATGGGATGGGATGGGATGGGATGGGATGGGATGGGATGGGATGGGATGGGATGGGATGGGATGGGATGGGATGGGATGGGATGGGATGGGATGGGATGGGATGGGATGGGATGGGAGGCAGGGGAAAAGGGGGGCGAAGGGCCCGCTGGAAGTGAGGAAAGGGGACCGGGCTGCTAATGGCCTTGCGCGGCTCATAAGCCGGAAAGTCACTTTCCTCCCCCCCTTTCCTCCCAACCATGCGCTACCCTTCAGCGCATGGTATCTCTTCTTTCCTTCACCTCCCAGCTCCCACGCTGCCCTGCGCACCAGGCGGCAGCTTGCTTGCCCGGTCCGCCGCGCGGCCGGTCGGCACGGGCGGAGGCGGCCGACAGCGACTCGCACTCAGCACTCGACCCGGCGGCTGGGGCGGCGGCGGCGGCAGGGGTGAGCCCAGCCCGCCGACGCTGCTGTTGCTGCTGCTGCCCCCCAGGCTCACTCCGCTGCCGCTGGGGGAAAGGGAAGGTACGGGTGAGGCGGAGGGTGCGCCTGGGTGCAGCGCTTGGGGGTGCGGGAGAGGGTGGGGGTTGGCGCTGCCCTCCAGGCTGCGGCGGGAGGCGAGGGAGGTGGTTGAGGTGCGGAGGCTGGGAGGGCCGGAGGGAGAGGCGGTGGAGGCGGTCTCCGAGAGGGAAGCCATGATGCTAGAGCGGCCTGTGAAGGAAGGGTGAGGTAGGAGTGGAAAGGAGGGAAAGGACAAGACCAATAGGAGTGATCTGGAGGGGAGAACAAAGGCGAGGGGAGGGAGGTAGGCCGGCGCAGACGGGAAGTGCTGGTTATAATGCATCCAGAAGCCGGCTGGGCGAGCTGTGGTTAGTGGCTTGCTTGGGGCCAAGGCTGGTTGTGGGAAGGTCTTACCCGTGTGTGGTCTGAGCTTAGGTGGCGGAGGAGGCGGCATCGTCGCGAGGACCTCCTTGGCTGTGGCTGCAATGTCCTGGTCCTTGGTCGCTTGTCGTGCAAGCGCCTCTGCTGCACGTCGCCGTGCTGCTTCGATGTCACGGTCAAGCCGCAACTCTTCTTGCGCTAAGAACGCTATCCTATTCATCATGGCCTGCGGAGGGTTTGCCCAGCGATACATCCCCATGTGCCCAAATGCGTCACCGAGCGAACCAACAACTGCGCAGAGTTAGCAGGGCTTCATAGTAAAGTGTTAATTTAAGTACCTGTAACTGCTCATCTGTCTCCTTCCTTTGTCTCCTGGCGTCCAGCAGCTGTGCTTCGTGAGCCTTAGTAGAACTTTGCTGCCTTTGCAGCAGCTCAGATGATTTAGATGCGTTCATTTATTTGACTACTGAACTGTACGTTTAGAGCTTCCTTGCAGCGTTGTGTGATTCAGGAGGAGCCGCGTTCCATGCCCGCATGGGCTCACAAGTTAGGAAGGATTGTATTCAAGAGGTACGTTATACAACGTAGTGGCATTTCAAGTGCTCCAGGGTTTGTAATGCAAAGATAGAGCAAGTGCGTCGCAGTAGCACAGCACGGTTTCGGAGTGCTCAAAGGATAGGACCCGGATTTTACACAGCAGCGTACCGGTATTACAAGGCATCCTTGAGATCTTAAGAACACATTTTAGATGTCGAAATACATAGTATAAACACTCTCTCACCCAAGTGCAGGACGCACTTGCACGCATACAGTAGCAAGCGCACCGAGCCACAAACAACGGATCGCAGCCCAACACCCTCGTGTTGGGCCCTTCCTACAAATCAGGCTTCTTGCACATAGTTTAGCCTGAAGATCATTTATACCATCTCATCGACTTACTAATTATCCACTTATGCGCCTGTACTACAGCCTGTACTCCTTTTAAATACCACATACCAGAACCACCCAAATTACCTGCATCCAAGCTGCCCGGAGCTACCCTATATGCACCGAGACTTTGGGCGAAAGCCACGACGGCGCGCCTCAAGTAATATAATTCCAAGCAGGACTTCCTCCTACCTAACCCAGTACCAGCGCTGACGCTTGCGAGCGCCACAGAAGCTCCCCACTTCAGCCGCCCTATCCCACAGTTGAAGAGACATATTACCACTTGTCAGCATGCGCCTGCTGACCTGGATACAGCTTGCAAATAATGTACATTTGAGCATATCGCCGCATGCCCAGCAGCGTGCGGTTGCTCGTGTAGCCTAGCGTACATACACCAACACAAGCACAAACAGCACCGTGCATTCACCCTTGGTTTGTCCTAACTATGCTTTATGCTCTTCTTACCTTTTTGCTCCTGGACGAAAGTACATATAGCTATGGTGTAACTACAGTAGTCTCCTATGTCGCTATGTCGCGAACTGACTTGTACGGCATATTCACAAAGAATCTACGGCAGCAGCATGCGGCAGTAAGGGCACCAAGCTCAGGTGCTCACAGCAGCTGTTAACAGCCAGCAAGTTGGGGCTTATTGATGTCGTACACTCAAGCGTTACCTCCACATCGACCGTCTCAATCCACGCCGTGCATTAGGCCCTAATGCATACCAGCTGTTTGGCTATGTGCCATTTCCCAGCCGTGAAGACCCACGTGCCGTTCATCCGTTGCCCTCCGTACGAAGCCCCACTCGCTGACCCCCCTGCTCTACAAGTCTACATTAAAAGGACACCAAGCCTGAGGACCGTAGTCGCTGCTTCACGGCCTGGCACCCAGCGACCCATGCAGCGTCATCGCCGCAGTAGCAGCAACAGCACCGCACCCACCTACGCCGCCTGCTGCTGACGCTGCTGCTGGTGCGCCTGAGCCGCCCGGTGACGCAGCAGGGGCGAGAGCCGGGCAGGATCGCCGTACGGGCACACCTTGTAGACCCTGCGGTTTAAGGTGCGAGCGGCCGAAAGATACCGGTAAGCGTTCGTGAGAGTACCGGTAGCTCTAGACAAGCATGCCGCAGTCCTCACGCCCTCACCTGTGACCTAGACGACCCAGGGCGACGCTGACTCCGTCTGCCAGCCCCAGCGGCTGAGCAAAGTACACACCGGGATGGCCGCCCGCCCCCATCGCTTCCTCCTCTTCCTGCTCCCCTTCCTGGTGCTTCAGTTGCCCGCTCTCCCCGCTCTTCAATGTGTCCGGCAGTGCCGACAGCAGTCCCATGCGACGCATGGTCTCCAGAGTGCTGTGTACGGCAGTCGAACTGTACGACAGGAACATCACCTCCGCCGTACCCCGCTGTACGGCAGCTAGCAGTAGATCCAGGGAAGACTGGAGCTCGCCGCCGTTGTTGATGTGGTTAATGTTATGGTGATGGTGGTTGGCAACCGTCGTGGAAGGGGAGACGCGGGGCGGTGGGAACGAGGAGGACGAGAAGGAGGAAGTAGCTGGAAGCCCACTTACGTCGTCAACCTACAGCGACAGTAACAGCAGCAAAGCGGTAACCAAATGTGCACGTGTTAGCTGCGCACTTGGACAGCGCGCAACGACCCATGGGTCATCGTAAAATCTAACAGCTGAGCAGAGTTTCTTCGATAAGGTGCCGGTAAGAGGCCAGCAACAAAGCACTCCCTCACAAAAGCAGGTACACCACTAGCAGCCTGTACGACTCCATTTCTACCCGTCCCCCCCTCTTTTTTCCCCTGCTTCCCCGTCCCTCCCTCCTCCCCACCAGCAGCAGCGACCCCAGCACGGCTCCCGCAGCCTCCGCCCGGGCCAGTTCCTCCGCTAGCCGCCCCCACTCGCCCGGCTGCTGCGGCCGGTAGGGCCGGAACACCACAGCACCGGCAGCAGTGCTGCCCGCAGCGGCAGCACCGGCAGCAGCGCCACTGGCCGCGGTGGTCGGCGAATGGGAGGCATGGGTTGTGGTTCGGTTGTGGCGGTGTGCCAAGCGGCGGATGAGCACCTCCCCATGCGGGTGGAGCTGCTGCTGCTGCCGTTGGTGGCGGTGGCGGTGGTGCGGGTCCGAGGGAGTGTGCCAGTGGGAGTCGTGCAGCAGCAGCAGCTTGACGCCCTGAGGAGCGGGGTTGGGAGGAGGAGAAGAGAGGGGAGTGGAGTTGAGAGGAGGAGGGGAGGAGGGTGAGAGGAGGGGAGGACAAGGGACATGACCACCGGTAATGCGTGACCCAACCTGAACGTTGAAGAGACACGAAACACGAGCCCAGCCCACACTCATTTCACTTATCACCATTGGCCTGGGTGGACGCACGCCTCCATGTACCGGCACCCAATCCCACCACACATCCCTCCTACTAGCTGGGTTCCTCTGCCGTATTGCCTCCCCATCAACTGCAGAGGCCCCACCTTGCTCGCAGCTCGCTCCACGATGTGGGTCAGAAGCACCCCGCCCTCCTCCGCCTGGTCCTCTCCGCCCGCTTCACCCCCACTCCAGGAGGATGCAGTGACGGACGAGGATGGGGAGGGAGGCCCCGCCAGCCGCTCCCCACGGCCCGACCAGCAGCCGCCCGCCACACGCTGTTGTTGTGCTGGCAGCGGCGCCAGCAACGAGCCGGACAGTCGTACCGCCACAAACTGCTGACCTGGCTGTACGGCAGCCGTGTCGATAGCGGCTATGTACTCTGCCAGGAGGCGGTGCTGCCGCTGCCGACCGCCTCGACCCTCCTCGAGCTCCGCCGCCTCCTCAGCACCCTCCTCCTCCTCCTCCTCCGCGCAATGCAGCACTGCGCCGATGCCATGCGCCCGCAGGGAGTTGAGTGTAGCCCACAGCCGCACGTCCCCCAGCGAGCTGCCCGCGCAGAAGTGCGAGAAGGGCTCGGGGTGCGGCCGGGGGCGGGGCAGCAGCAGCAGCGCCGCCGCCGCCGCGTGTGCTGCTGCTGCTGCTGCTGCTGCTGCTGCTGCTTCAGGTGCTGCCGCTGGCGGGGCGGTGGTGACCGCTGCTGCCGAGGATGATGCCGACCCAGATGGGAACGATGCAGATGGGGTCGACCCAGATGGCGCCGAATCAGGCAGTGCCGACCCAGATCCAGAAGGCGGTACAGCAGCGGATAGCTGCATGAGCAACAGCAGCGGGGCAGGGCAGGGGAGGAGTTTTGGGGGGCATCGGACAGGGGCTTGCGATAGCGGCGACGACGCTGGGGCTGCTGTGGAAGGGAGGACGTGCAGCATAAAGAGCAGCAGTAGGGCATGAACCGGCTGGCGGGTGTAAGTGCTTTTTAATAGCCCCATTGGCTGCTCATTGGGTAGGTCGGTGCCAAGTAGTTGAAGTGGGGAGGGCCAGGAGCGGAGGGTCTGATGCGGGTATGGGTTCGACATGTTGCACGCTCTGGCAAGGGCCCAAGGGAATTTATGAATTTAATTCGGGGTAGTGGGAATAGGGAACGACAGGCTGCGGTTAGGGAGATTGATCACATATGCCTTGTGTACGCCACGTCGTGTATTTCTACTGCGTGCGGAATGGATACGGTAACGAAGATAAAATGGTTGTGCCGTATGTACAGCGTTGCTGCTGCTAGCCTGAAGGCACGCGCAGCCTCGGACAACCTTCCCAGCTCTCATTCCAGTAAAATAACACATTTGCAAACGGCGACCACACTACATACTCTCACCGGAAAAAGCTGGGAAAAGCACGCAGGCAACTTCGCTACGGTACGCAACATACATGCGGCTCTGGCGCAGACCCTATCATGGCTATCAAGTAGCTTACGATCTGTAGTTTAACAGCGCTTGCGCTTACCGCGAAAACTGGCTGCCCTACTTGGTGCCTCTCTGCGTGTCCGCGCGTCAGGAGTCCGAGCGCCCTGCCATCCAACGTAACCTTGCCATGCACCGCGAAAGTCCGGAAACCAGCCCAGGGGTTTTGCCAATGAAATACTTTAGCCGTTAGGCTAGAGGATTGCGAATTGCGGCAGCACGTTAGGCGAGACACAGAAGTCCAGGTGCCAAAGTTGTTGGCAACCCGATGCCTAGCTGCCTTGACTGCTGGCATCGCAAGGAAAGCACGTCGAGTGCTGCAAAGCATTGTATGCCAGACAGGTGTGAACCTTTCAAGCAAAAGACAGGCCAGACACCTCGCGGGTAGTTGACAATAGCACAACAGCTGGAGCTCTACTTGGTTGCAGCTAAAGGACTGCCTAGATATTGTTGTGGGGAATGGGCTTCACTAATCTTAGGGAGAGTTGGGCCCGTGCAAGTGGGGAAGTCGAGCAAATGTTGCCTGCGGGGCTGCGGCATGCCGCATCAGAATACGAAACGTACGGAGGGAATTAGGTCAATCCCAGCAGTTTGTCTTTTTGGCCTGGACTTATAAAGGAAACATCATGTTCTGTTGCAGAGTGTGCGTATCATCTCATTGCGGCCTTCGCATGGGAAGCCGGAACGACTCGAAAACGGCGTAACTGCTTGCGCCAAGCAGTACGGTACCATACAACTGATGCGCTGAGGATGGAGCAGATCGATCTTCAGCCATTGCCATTGGTTGCCATTAGTTGCCATTTCCAGGCATGCTGTCAACTGAGTTCGCAGACGCAACTCCTGCCGTCATCAGCCAGCTGGCGTAACATGCAACGTAACACCAAGACTATGCGCGAAAGCCGGTGTGGCAATCAGCAACAACATTGCATACCGGCAGTATGAGGATTCGGTGCAACGCGGCTTCCGACAGGAAAGACGACGGTTGATCCGTGAAGCATCTTATGCCAACGGGCAGGGAGCTAAAGGTTTGCATTACAAAAGCTTAACCTACGATTACTTGGATGTTCTTGTCATTTTGTGGATGCCGTGGATGCCAAGAAGCTGTAGCGAGCGCTATGCGCACGCATGAAAGTGCATGTCGACCGAGTGGCCGTTACGGTAATCGCAAACCCTGAAGCGCGGTAAAGTGGGCGACATACGTGTCAAGTATTGCAGCAGTGCTTTGTGCCGCCCACAATTTAACCTTGATGATAGGGTGGCCAGGGTCGGCAGTCAACCCACAGTGTGAAGTGTTTCCTCCGCCAGGCAAACGCAGTAACTGAGGTGTGCGTGACTGCGTGTGTGCGCAATAGGAGGGGTCCGACCTCCCAGCACGCTGCAACCGTGTGGTTCCAAGAAAGCTTGTACTGCCATTGCAACTGCAACAAAGCAACCTCTTACACCGCAAGTTTATGCAGGGGGATGTGGAAGTGGCACAGCGCCAGCTTAGCAACATCACACGCCCGAGCGCGCGTGCGTGCGGGAAGTACCTAGAAGACAGCCATGCCGGGGAGGAAAGCCTGTTAGCGCAGAGGCACCCCTGGATACCGGGGGATACAGCTGCCCACCCCTGGATAGGCCGCTGGATAGCTCGCGATTGCAGCGACAAGATGCAGATGAGCCCCCGGCGTTGGATAGCGTGTCGGCCCGCACGTAGAGGCGCAAACGCCACCAACTCATGGATCGAGGGACAGTTAGCTGTTAGCCAACCGCCGCCCTTTTGGGGCAGCAAAACAAGCTGGGCCTCCGGGTAATCTTCAAGGAAGGAGACAAGTAATTGTTCATAACGCATGTTCGTCGCACGGTTAGGACGAAAAGGGATTTGTGGCCCGAGAAAGCCTTACGTGTGAGCATGGATGTATGCACGTTGTTTACCTCTTGAGCACACAGGTCGCGAAGCGGCGTTGCCAGGTGTTTGCATCAGGGTGCAGACCTCTGCTGGCCGTAAGAACGAAGAAGGCACGCTGACCTGAAGGCCCCAACGTCGAAACCCACGCGCGCCGAACAAAACCCAAGTAGGACATGCTTAGGAAAGCAGGTAACAAACAAATGTGTAGAGCCGCTGTACACATTTGTTTGTTACCTGCTTTCCGGGAAAGCTACCCGGACAATTGGCAAGTCACGGTCTGTCATATGAGTGTACGGTTCGGCATCAAAGGGAATCCCAGTAAGGTAACGGGAATATTGGACGATACCGATAACAATCATACTGGTTCAGCACCTAAACATCTTGTCAAACGGTAAAATGGGTTGAGCAACTGTTCGTAGTATCTGACTCTTTCGCAAAGCTTTAGTCGACGGCTTCACTTTGCAATACATGCTTCGTCACGAACAGCTGAACTATACTCAACTACAACTACATTACACATAGACCCAGGGTTCTCGTCAATGGCGGAAGACGTCGTGGACCCGTCGCCAGGTGAGGGCCTTTCAGCCTTTATCCATGGAAGACCATATAGGGTTAGCCTACTGTCTTCGTTAACGACCTTGTGTACCACTGCTGGCGCGCAGAGGCGGCAGCACCTACGTCGGTGGCACTTCTCATCCAGGTAGGCCCGGAGCACGCCTAGCTTGACACCCCAGGTTGTTTCTAAACAGGCTTACCACCTAAAATCTACCTCGCTTGATTATCGCTGGACACGCATGTGCTCCGCTGGTGGCCTCCCGGCCTGACCATCCACCCACACATTGCTTCAATGCCCGATATGCCCAACCCCACGATGCAACTACACCCCACGGCTCCTGCTAGCCAAACACCTATTCGTACCCCATCGACCATTACCCCTGCTAGCGGTTCTGGCATGCCACATGCTTCTCCTCATGGACACTCTCCGCCTCCCTCCCACGCATGCCACGCCCACACCTATCCCCCACCCCCCACATGCACCCCCCTCCCTCCGCCTCCACATCGCCCTATCCTACCCGCTCCCTCCCCTCCCTCCCTCTCAGCTCATCCTGCTGGCTGCTGCCTTCGTGATCGGTCGCTGGCTGGAACGCATTCGCTTCCAGTGGCTGGGCGAGGCGGGGGCGGCGCTGCTGCTGGGGCTGGGTGTAGGGCTGGTGCTGCGGGCGGCGGGGGTGGGGGCGCGGCTGGCGGCGGCGGTGGCGTTCAAGGTGGGGCGGAGGGGAGCGGAAGCAGGAAAGGAGGGAGGGGTAGGGAGAGGGAAGGGAGGAAAGAAGACGACCCGACTGGGGGCCTCCGGGCTGGGCATGTCAAGAGGGGACAGAGAGCGAGGGGAGAGAGGGAACAGGTTGGCAGGGCGACGGTTGTGTGCAGGATTGCCGGGTAGCCCCGCCTGCCGTACCCCTGCCACCAATGCAGCTCCCCCTCCCCCCCCCCAGGGCGGTATCTTCTTCTACGTGCTGCTGCCTGTCATCATGTTCGATGCGGGCTACAGCCTGGACACGCGCATGTGGGTGCAGGGGGGGGGGGAGGGAAGGGGGGGAGGCGGGGGAAGGAGGGGGGTGCGGCACCGCTGGAGGTGCTGCATTGGAGCTGTGTGCGCAGCTGGGGACCGAGGAGGCCGAGCTGACCTCACCGCATGTTTGCCCGCAAGCCCGTCTCGCTTGCCCTCACCCTCACCCTCCCAACCGCCCTCAACCCCCCTATATCCCTTCCCCCTCACCCTGCCTGGTTGCTGCCCCCTCAGGTTCATCCGCAACCTGGGTAGCGTGTGCGCCTTCGCCTTCGCGGGGACCACCATCTCCTGCTTCGTGGTGGGGCTCATGATGTGAGGCGGGGGCAGCGGGGGCGGGGCGGGGCGGGGAGGGAAGAAGAATACCCAACGTGCTGGATGAGGGTGGGTGGGTGGGTGAGAAGGGTGGGAGGTGAGGAGAGGCGGGCTCCCGGTATTACCCAGCTGCTGCTGCTGCTGCTGCTGCTGCTGCACCGCTGCTGCCCTATCCTGCACTGCACCCCACCCCGCACCTCCCCCGCACCCACCCCGCACCGCCCCTGCACCCCACCCTGCACCTGCAGGTGGGCCTTTGGCGAGTGGGGCTGGTGCTTCCGCATGCCGCTGCTACACAACCTCACCTTTGGTGCGCTCATAAGCGCGACCGACCCGGTGGGGGGGGGAGGGGGGGATGGGTGCCGGACTGCCGGTATTTAGGTGAACTGAGGGGTTAAAGGGGAGGCTTACTGCCGGCAAGTTAGCGTAGGCGCGGGAGAGGGAGGTGGGAGGCGTCGGCAACTCGGTTGGCGGTGACGATGCAAAGAAAACCCATACCCATACAACGTTCGTCCTCCCCTCCACCACCGCCGCCATCACCACAGCGGACCATGAGCCCTTGTTACGCAACCCACAGAACGACCCGCTCACACGCTCTTCCTCCCCCCCTCCTCGCCCCTTCCTCACTGCCTCACCCCCTCCTCGCCCCTCACCCCCTCCCCCCCCCTCGGCCCCCCCAGGTGACGGTGCTGGCGGTGTTTCAGAAGCTGCACGCGCAGCCCGACCTGTACATGAACGTGTTCGGGGAAAGCGTGCTGAACGACGCGGTGGGCATGGTGCTCTTCAACGTGCTGTCGTCATTCGCGGGGGGCAAGAGCGTGGGCGCGGGGAGCGTGATGGCAGGTGCGTATGTGGGGTGTATGGGGGGGGGTGTATGCGGGGGAGGGCGGCTGCCTGCTGCCTTGCTTGATGGATCCGGTACTGTAGTACGGTCATCCCGATCTGCCCTCCTGACCCTAACCCGACCTGCATCCTACGAGCATACCGTACTAGAGCTCCCAAACATGCATGCGACCCTCCACCCCCCCCCCCTTGCATGCACGCGACCTTCCAACCCCCCACCCCCCCTTGCATGCATGCGACCTTCCAAGCCCCCCCCCTTGCATGCATGCGACCTTCCAAGCCCCCCCCCCTTGCATGCATGCGACCTTCCAAGGCCCCCCCCCCTTGCATGCATGCGACCTTCCAAGGCCCCCCCCCCGTTACATGCATGCGACCTTCCAAGCCCCCTCCCCTTGCATGCATGCGGCCCCCTCCCCCCGCCCTACCGCCCAAGGGCAGCTCCCCCACACCAAATGACTCCTCCCTCGCGACCCCGCTGCCTCCTTATTGCCCCCCCCCATTGCTTTGCCCCAACCTGGGGCTTCTTAAGGTTAGGTGTGGTCTTTGAACCCCCACCCCACCCCCATCCCCTGTCCTCCTCCCCGCTGCCCCCACCCCCCAGGCATCGGTCAGTTCTTCGGCATCTTCCTGGGCTCCACCGTCATCGGGCTGGCGGTGGGGCTGCTGGCGGCGTTCATATTCAGGTGGGGGAGGGGGGGGGGTTGGAAAGAAGAATACCGTACCCAATGTTGGAGGTGGGGGGTGGGGGGAGGGGTGCCTCCATTGTACGGCGGTCGTAGCGTGTGTGTTTCGGATACCGCCCCAACCCACCTCTGCACTAGTATAAGAGAGCAACCAACAACAGCCGCATCAAACAAAGCTGACCAACCGCCCAACTAACTAACCGCAGGTCGAGGTATTTTTACTCGGGCCCTGTTGTACGCGCCCCCACCTCCTCCTCCGATGATGGTAGTGGCGGGGGGAGGGCGGCTGAGCAGCTTGGCGGCGGCAGTACGACCTTTGAGGTGGGGGCGGGCGGAGGGTGGGGATGAGGGTTTGCTGGGCGAGAGCATGCGGGGGTCCGAGAGCAAGAGCAGCCGTTGGCAATACCGGTAGTACTGCTAATCGATTGGCCCTTGCAAACCTCCTGCCGCGCGTGCAGTGGGGGTGTCGCCTGGTCCCCTGCTGCCTGCTCCTCCTTGCTGCTCTCTCAAGTGTGTGGAGTACGATACACAAACGCTTCCCCCAACCCCACCTCCCACCTGACATGGTTAAGGTTTCCTCTTAACCTCCTCCTGCTCTCCCCCTATCCCCCTCTCCCCCTCGCTTCACGGTTCTTCTTATTTCCCCCTGCTCTCCCCCTCTCCCCACCTCACACATGATGTATTCTTCTCCCCCCCCCCCATGCAGGTGGGCCTGGCGGTTGTGTTTGCGTACGGCAGCTACCTGGTTGCTGACGCGGCGCACTGCAGCGGCATCGTGGCGGTGGTGGTGAACGGCATGGTGATGAACATGTACGTGCGACCCAACCTGAGCGAGGAGGCGGAGCACAGGATTGAGGTGAGGGGGGTTGGGGGAAGGGTGAGGGTGAGGGTGAGGGAGGCGGGGAGAGGAGGGCAGGAGAAGCGCCTCTTCCGATCGCCTTGTCGCATATTCCCGCCTCTCGTCCCTCTCGCACCGCACGGCCAGTTAGTAATAACCATGAACCATGAACAACACCCCCCATCGCGGCTCTCCTCCCCCTCCCTGTAATTCTGTTTTTCACATTGCCCCTCCCCTAATCTCCCCCCACCCCACCCCCATCCCCCAACAGACCCTGTTCAAGACCCTGGCCAGCTTGTTCGAGCTGTTCGTGTTCTGCTACATTGGCAGCACGCTGTTCCTGCAGGAGGAGCAGTTCGACATTGTGGGATACACGGTACGACAGGAAACACACACACATGTCGTACGACAGGTTGTACATCCGCATGCTCCTGCACTCCGCTGCCTCCTACCTCCCCTCTGCTTTTCGCCTGCTGCTTCCCTGCCCCATGCACCCCCCACCCACCCTGTCACACGCAATCCCCTCCGCACTCTCCCACACCCCTCCGTCCCCGCTCCCATGCCCACACCCACACTATCTTATTACCCCCGTACCCAACCCCATACACACAGGCCCTCTGCCTCCTTGCGCTGGCCGTCTCCCGCGCCGCCAACGTCCTGCCATGCGCCGCTGTCGTCAACCTGCTGCGCCCCATGGAGCGGCGACTGCCCGCGCGCAGCCAGGCCATGATGTGGTGGAGCGGGCTGCGGGGCGCCATGGCGTTCGCGCTGTCGGTGGAGGCGAGCGACCGATTCGGAGTGTACGGCAAGGTGGGGTGGGGGAGGTGGCTGATGAGGTGGGGTGGAATGATGGATTTCCATGGTGCCGTGCTTAAGGGTTTTTACCCCCCCACCATGGCTTGGCTTGGTTTCTCTCCCCCAGCTCTACCCCCATGGTTCGGTTTGGTTTCTCTCTAAACCCCATGCGATTGCCCGCCTGCGGTCTCACAGGTTATGAAGACCTGCACCTTCTATGTCATCTTCATAACGGTCCTCATCAACGGCGGCTCATGCGGCTATCTGCTGGAGAGGCTGCGGCTGCGGGCATGCGACGAGGAGGGGCTCATGCAGGGGGCAGCGGACGAGGAGGGCGGGGGAGACCAGCTCTGCTGTGGTTGCGTCAAGGGCAGAGGCGGCAGTGAGGAGGGGGAGGAAGATGATGAGGAGGAGGGCAGCGGGCGGGGTAGGGCTGGGGAGCGGGTAACCACGGGGCTGCTGCAGCTGCCGGTGGTGAACCATGGGTCACGGGGGAGCAGGAACTGGCATGTGGGAGGTGGTGGTGGCGGCGGCGGCGGAGAGGTGTACGGCGGTAATGATGGTGGCTGTGGCAACACCGGCCACAAGGATGGTTTCAGGAATGGGCACAGTGCGTACTACAAGTCGCTTGAGAAGGAGGAGCAGGAGGAGCCAGATGGAGAGGGAGAGCAGGGGGGTCAGCTTGGCGCCGCAGCCTCCTCTGCCCGTCCCGCCCTGCATCCCCATCATCTTCACCTCCAACTGGAGGGGTATCAAGTCCGCCAGCTCAGCAGCAGCAGCAGCATCGGCACGGGCACGGGCACCAAGTACGATTTTGACATTACAAAGGCGATAGAAGCCGCCTCAGCCGCTACAGCGGTAGCAACACCGCCGGCGGCGGCGGCGGCAGCGGCGGCGATAACGGGCAGTCACCGCCGCCACCGCAGTGTAGACCTGGCGGAGGCGGCGGTGGCGGCGGCGGAGGCGCTATCAATGGCGGCTATGGTGGCGGGTAGTGGGAAGGAAGAGGTGGCGAACGGAGGGCGACACGAGCTGCCGCAACAGCAGCAGCCACTGCAAGTTGGCGGTCCAGCTACTACCCTGGAGGCGGCGGCGACGGCGGCGGCGGAGGAGGAGGCTACAGGGGGTTTCAAGACGCCGCCGCCGAAGGGGAGCCGTGTTACCGGCGCCGCCGGCAGCAGCCGCAGCCTCCGCGGTGGCGGGTTGTTCTCCGGGGGCAGCGGGGGAGGCGCCGGCAGCGCGGGTAGCAACGGCGGCGGAGGTGGCAGTGGCGGCGGCAGCGGCCCTCGAATGTCCAAATCCAAGTCCATGTCATCTGGATTTAGCGGAGAGGCGACAGGCGGGGGTGCAGGGAGGGGAGGAGCTTCCGCGTCGTCATCATCGGGGTCGGCGGCGGCGGGGGCGGCGGCAGGGAGCAGCGGTCGGGCGGGGGGTGGGGGCCATGTGCGGTCGCTGTCACGTCCCTCGGCGCTGCTTGAGAAGTTCAGGTCGCTGAACGATGGTCGACTGGTGGAGCGGTTTGACGAGTTTGACCGCAGGATGTCCAAGGTACGCGGGAGGAGGCGCCGGGCCGGAGGGAGGGAGGGAGGAACCGCATGGGGAAGAGAGTGGGAGGCGGGGACCGGTGGGGGGAGGCCGAACGGACCCCATGCATGAACTTGGCGATACACTTGACGATCGGTATGCCCATAACTTGGTGGATGTGACAACTGCACGGTGCGGTTTCACACACACTTAAGTATCCAATAGGCCCCGTCTGCCACCGCCCGCTGTGTTTTGCTGCTGCTCCTGCAACACACACCCTTCTTCCATCCCGCCCCGCCGCCCCTCCGCCCCACCAACAACGCCGTCAGGTGCTGATCCATCCGGACGCGAGGCGTGAGGCGGATCTGGTTGAGCTGGCCTCCCCTGGAGCCTTCCGCGCCGCTCTCTCCGCTCGCCACCAGCACCCCCACACGCCCCCGCCCCCACTGCAGCTACCGCACCCGCAGCATCCGCACCCGCACCCGCAGCAGCTTACGACACCACCTGCACAACAGCAGCAGCAGCAGAGGTCCTCCGCCCGACAAGGTTCTGGAAGTAGCGCCGGTGCGAGCATGAGCATGGGCGTTGGGCACTGGGCTGGCTCGGGGCCCCAACAGCCGACGCACCACGCGCAGGAGCAGCCGTCTCCGTTTTCATCGCCGCCAGCGGTGTCCGCGGCCCCATCCCATGGGCCCTGCACCCCGCTAGAGCAGAAGATGGGAAGCGCGGTGGGTAGTGGCGGAGGTGGATCGGGTCGGGGTGCCGGCAGATTGCAGCCGCAGATGCTCACGTTCGCGTCGCCACCCACGCCGCCGGAAGAGAGAGGACAGGGCGGGGAGGGGCAGCAGCGACAGGGGGCGGGGCAAGGGACGGAGGCCGCTGCCGGTATGGTTGGGGTGCCGGCGCGGGGGTCAGCGCCGGCAGCGCTCTCACTGCTTGGTGGCGAGTGCGACATGGTGGAGTCGGGTGGTCGGCAGCTGGCCAACTCCACATCGGCTCCTGCGGAGTCCTCGGAAGGGCGGTAACAACCGGCAGCCGGGCATGCGGGCGCGTGATTTGGAGGACAGTGCAGGAGAGGATGCGACCTGGGGACATGGGGAACGGGACGGGGGGAACGGGAACCGGACCGCAGATGTGACCGCTGCGACAGGCGGCGAGGGGGGTTCACTAGGTGGGTGGGTGGGTGGACTGGGTGTGGGTGCACCGTGAATGCAGCGCAGCGTTTTTGAGGCACTGGAAGCGGAGGGTGATAGTGCCGGGGGCTGCCGTACATTCGCATTTGGTGTGGTTCACGGGTATGCTCGTGTAGCCAGCTCGTGTGGCTATCTTAACTTCTTAAGTGTACCGTATGTGATGGCTGCGGGGTCATTCTCCTTCCTAAATACGTGCCAAAATGCGAGGGACTTGCTCTCTTACGTCGTTGTAGGTCGGCATTGTAGGCGCCCAGCAGACGTTATTGTGGGAACAGTGTGCGCCTTTTTGCCGCGTGCGTGTCGTACCGGTAATCAACTGCGATCAACAACAAGGGTGCGTGATGCGTACGGTGATGTGTACAATTTGGAAACACATGAGAGATCATGAGAGACGCAAGGAATGGTATGGAACCTTCAGGAATCTCAGCAAACCAGCAGGACCCATCCTAGTCACGGGCTTTCCAAGTCACCTGTGCTTGCCAGCGATTGACACGCTGGCACCCAAATGCAGGTCATCACACCATGATCCCTCACCCCGTACCATTCCGCTATAGACTGCCGAGCAGCATCGCAGCCGCCCTCCTCCACACACACCACTACACAGCGGCACCCCGGGCGGTCACAGGCGTTGCCGTACAAGCATTTCACACACCTCCCGCATGTGTAAGTAAAGAGCGAGAATCACCACAACAACTACCCTACGCGCTGCGCTGCTAAAATGGTGGTCTGCCATAATGGTGGTCCAATCACAAGACATCAGCCGTCTAGTCGTTTCGTCGTGTCTGCCAAGCGCGTTGTGCTTTCGAGACGTAAGTTAGCTTCAGGGACAAACAAAGGATGCAAGGAAGCTGTAACGGCCTGGAGCATGCAGCCATGCAGCGTATCCAGTGGACGCTAACCGGGCACACAAAACACATTACGGTACTCTGACCTAGCGCATGTGCTAAGTGCATATATTCCTTGAGGTGCGCGCGCGCGCGCGCACGCGCAAGCAACACGCGCTCGGCCCCTCCTCAGCGGAAAGGCTCACGTCGTAACCCCACCCCACCCCAGCCAGCACACATACCGGTATGTCACACGGTATGTCCTCCCCGTGACTGACTGCGCTTTGACGCCAAAAAGAATGGAGAACCACCACTTCAACCTTGCTAGCAAACAGATACCTAGCCCTACGGAAAGCCTTCATCACCGCAATCTCATAATCGCACCCAAGCCCTAATGCCTCCTGCCGTCATCCGAACGGTCCTGACCTCTCCACACTCCCTCCTCCAGACGGCTCCCTGCCTCCCTCCAGACAGGCACATATAGCCACAAGCCACCCCTACCGGAGCAGAGGCTCTTCCACGCCCCCTCTCCCACTCCCCAACCACCCCTAACCACCACCCTCACCGCCTAGCGCCGCGCCCCCAGGCCTCGCCCCACCAGCACCCCCACCCCCAGGGCACATGCCACCGCCGCCCCGCCCAGCGCCGCGTAGCCCACAGGCGAGCTCAGCCACTGCTGCATTCCCGCACCCGCACCCGCCGGGGGCACTACTCCAGCTACATTACCGACCCCACCACCACCGCTGTACGGACAGCAACCAGCTGCAGCGGCGCCGCCGCTGCAGCCGGCGCCAGCGGCGCAGGCGCCGCTGCCGGAGGGGTTTCTAGGTACCGCCGCCGGCTGCTGCTGCTGCTGCTGGGCTAGCTCCGCCGCACCCGAGGTGCCGCAAGGTGCGGTTGTGGTGTCAGAGGGTGTTGCTGCTGCTGCGGTGTTGGGGGCGGAGGCGGAGGCGGAGGAGGCGGCTGCTAGGGCGGCTTGCACGCTGGTTGCGAGTTGCGAGGTGGCGGCGGCCAGCTGGGCCAGCTGCTGGTTGGTCTCGCGGTGCTGCACGGGAGGGGTGAGGGACGGCGGGGTGAGAGGACGGTGAGGAGAGGGAGGTCGGAGAGGTGGTGGTTGGGAGGGTGGGTTGTGTCCTTGTGTGATGCGAGCAAAGGAAGCGGGGAAGCGGTGGCACAATGCGCGTGACGAGTGGGCGGTACAGCTGGGCCCCCCTGGTGCGCCCAATACGGGTCAGGGTGGGGCGGATCAAGGTGGCGGGTCAGGGAGGTGGTGGCCGACCTCATCACAACCCTTTCCCCCCTCATTTCACACCCCGTGTGCCAGGGTTGCCACCCCCCTACCTGCTCCACCATCGCATTTAGTTGGGCCTGCGGGAACAGCAGGGACGGGAGGAGGAGGAGGAACAAGGTGGAGGAGGAGCAGGGCTCAGGACGCGGCTCAAAGGCACGAAGGAGAAGGTATCGCAGTGAACGCGCCAAGGCTGAGGAGCGGCATCCGCCACCATCACCGCGCTAGCACACAGGTGAGCAGCGGCGGCTGTCAGTGCAGCCGGCTGCCTATGAAGCGCTCAGCACGCCAGGATGCGCTAGGGTTGCTGCCGGGGAAGATCCCACCCGGAAAACGTGAGCCTCTCGCCTCAGCCCACCCCACCCAGCTACAGATTGTTCTTCCGCTTTCCCCTACACCCTCACCCGCAGCCCTCACCCGCACCCACCTGCAGCGTGCTGATCTGCTCCGAGCTGCTGCCGCCCATCTCCTCCAGCCGCTCCTGAAGTCCGCAGGTGGGGGCGGGTGGGGTGGGGGTGGGGGGCGTAGCGGGGTGGGGTGAGCGAGGGTGCGAGGGCAGAGGAGGGTGATTGCGGCCGTGAGCGGGTGATACCGGTAAGTAGGCACAAGGCCCATGCCCACAAGACCCATGCCCACACGGCAAATTTCCTGCCCATATCTCCCCCTCCCCACATACACCGCGCCCGGCCGCACCTTGAGAGCGGCGATCATGGCGGTCTGCGGCGCGGGGGCGGGGCTGGTGCCGTGCTGCGAGAGGGGGAGAGCGCGGGAGGGGAGAGAGCGCGGGAGGGGAGAGAGGGTGGGAGGGGAGAGAGCGCGGGAGGGGAGAGAGCGTGGGAGGGGAGAGAGCGTGGGAGGGGAGAGAGCGCGGGAGGGGAGAGAGCGTGGGAGGGGAGAGAGCGTGGGAGGGGAGAGAGCGCGGGAGGGGAGAGAGCGTGGGAGGGGAGAGAGCGCGGGAGGGGAGAGAGCGTGGGAGGGGAGAGAGGGTGGGAGGGGAGAGAGGGTGGGAGGGGAGAGAGGGTGGGAGGGGAGAAAGCGTGGGAGGGGAGAGAGCGTGGGAGGGGAGAGAGCGTGGGAGGGGAGAGAGCGTGGGAGGGGAGAAAGCGTGGGAGGGGAGAGAGCGTGGGAGGGGAGAAAGCGTGGGAGGGGAGAGAGCGTGGGAGGGGAGAGAGCGTGGGAGGGGAGAGAGCGTGGGAGGGGAGAAAGCGTGGGAGGCAGGTGGGGGTTAGAGAGGCGCGGTGACAGGAGAGGGACTCTGCTGGACGTCGGAAATGCGGGACAAGCGGCAGAAAAGAGGGGCGGAATGGGAACCGAGACGAAGCATGAGAGCGGGGAATGTAAACTCAACCGCCACACAACCGCCCACCAGTGCCTTGCTCCGCACACCCTAGTGATACCCCCGCACCACCACCCCCCGCACCCCCCTCCCATTCCTCTCGCACCCCCCTCCCGCTTCTCTCGCACCTGCGCGGCTCCATTGAGGCTCACCCCGCCTCCTGCTTGCACAGGGACGCAGGGAGGTCGGGGCGAGCAGTAAAGCAACGTAAATTGAAGCAGCGGCAGTGGACGTAGCGGCAGCAGCGGCAGTGGCGGTAACAGAGCGCAGTGGCAGGAACGGAGGCAGGAACAACGCGGGCCCAGCAAGCATGGAAAGCAACCACCCTCCTTCCCCTCACCACCTCCTTGCCCGCCCTCCTCCTCCTCACCCTCCGCCCGGGGTGTCCCCTGGTGCCCCGCCGCTGCCGCCAGCTGCTGCGCCAGCAGGCCCCCGTTCAGCTGCACACTGCCCACTCGGCTGCCCTGACGGCTGTTGGCGCCTGGGGGGAAGGAGGAGGGCGGAGGAGGGGGAGGGTAGAGGGGAAGAAGAAGGAGGAGAACCATGCGTTGAGTGATAATGGCATGGCACTAGGGGTGACAGGTGCCCGGTGAGCGGAAACGACTTGGCTGAGCCGAGCGTGCGATGTTGAGGAAAAGAGGGTACGGAGATGGACAATACCCTTCCCCTCATACCGGTACATGGACTAGAAGACCACGTAATGTGACAGCGCCCTTCCTACTACCATAGTACGTGCCATGGTCAGTGTCGGTTCTGGGGGGCTGGTGACTTGCATCCCCAACACACTCACTGGGCGGCGAGGGAATCCTGACGGGCTTGGACAGGGGCGCTGACGTGGACAGCGCGGGGCCGTTGGGGTGGTACGGCAGGGCGCGGCTGCGAGAGTGAGGGTCGGGGGGGGGCGTGTGTTTCAACACACACGGCGTGCATGTGCGTGGAACCGTGGATATTTGCGTGCATGTGGGTGGGTGCTGCTTGTAAACATGGGCTCGGACTAAAAGCTTGCTCCACCTGTTATCGGTTGTTCCATACTTGGTTAGTTTGGTAAGTTTGCTGACCGTCCAGACGCTGCACGTTCTGCTCAACTGACTCGATTCCATTCACCAGAGGAGCTTGTCGTCTTGTTTGCCATTCTCATTCAACACATGGTTATTCTTCTTTCCCCCCTCCCCTCCACAGACACACACAATACGTTAGCGGCTCGGATTGAAAGCCTTCCCGGACTTGAACGTGTTGCACCACCTCGCTATCCCTCACAACCCCACAACCCCACCCACACACGCTCGCTCACACCTGAATGCCGCCGCCGCTGCGTTGCTTCCGTGGTTGCCGCCATGCGATATGCGGGTGGGGGAGGTCATTCCGGACACGCTGTCGGGCATCACCACCTCGCCGCTGTGAGGGGGTGGAGGGGGAGGGGGGAAGGGAGGGAAGGAGGGAAGGAGGGAGGAGGGGAGGGGGTGGAGGGGAAATATGTATGGGGTTACTTGAAACCGGCTGGAACTGTTGCGAGGGGGCGGGCGGGGCGGTAGGACATGGGGCGGGTGTGGTGTGGGGTAGGAGGCGGCACCTGCTAGGTGGGTTCCCACACTCGGGGCAAGGCGGCTCCAAGGGGCAGTACACCTCTATTTTCCCGCCCGAAGGGCAGTAAAAGGGCTCCCCGCCTCCCTGCCGCCGCTCCCGCCCGCCCTTCTTCCTCCCCGCCTCTCCTCTCCCCTTCATTCCCTCGCCCCCACCCCCCTTTAAGGCGCCCCCACCTCCGTGTGCTGAACTTGCGCTTCCAGTCCTCAGTCACCGTCTGGAACTCGGCCGTCAGCCGCTCCAGCTGCACCTGGGGGGGGGGGAGGGGAGGGGGGGGAGAGGGAGGGGGGGAAGAGGGTGACGGGAAGGAGAAGGGTTAAAAGGGTTAGGGTGTAGGGTAGAAAACACCACAATAAACATGACTAGGGGTCCCGGCACACATGCTTAACCCCTCCCCGACCCCGACCCTGGCCTTCTCCCCCAGACCCTAACCCTAACCGCTATTGATCCTCCCCTCCTCCCTTCCTCCCCGCCCCGCCCCGCCCCCTCACACCTGCTCAATGTACGAGCGGGGGATGTAAGACCCCTCCAGCCCCAGCTCCCGCCCCAGCGCCGCCACGCGCTCCCTGTCCCTGCCCAGGATCTGCACGAAGCGCCCCAACCCCCCCACATCGTCCAGCTTCACAATCAGCTCCTCTGCAGCAGCTGCAGCACCCCGAGCAGGTGTGGGGGGAGGGTCCAACACCATGAGAGAGGCCACGGCGGCGGCGGCGTCCGGGGCGGCGGAGTCGGGGGCAGCGGCGGCGGCCGCGGCCGCAGCGGCTGCTGCTGCCGCTGCCGCGGGTGTTGGCGGGTGTGGGCTGACGGAGAGGATGGTGGAGGTGCGCTTCATGATGGTGCCGATCTCGTAGCCCAGCGCCATGAGGCCGCCCAGGATGCGCACCCCCACCTGCAGACGCCAGGTGAGGCGGGGAAGGAGGGATACATAGTCCAGGTGAGGGAGAGGGAGGGGTAAGGAAGAAGACGTGGGGGAGGGTGTTCAGGCCAAGGGGCGGGGCCGGCGCGAGAATGAATGCAAACCGCAACGCAAGTGGCAGCGAGGGGTTGAAGCCGTCACCGCCTGCAAGTGTAGTGGCCCCCTCAACGCCCTCTTCTCACCTTTCCTCCCTTTCCTTCCCCCACCCCATCCACAACCCACTCCCACCCGCACGCCCCACCCCATCCCATCAGTGGTTCTTCGCGGCTCGGTGTCTCTAATCCCCATCCCATCCCCCCCCCGCCCCAGGGAGTCGGGATTCGGGATTGGGACTGCGTTGTTGCACTTATCTATAATCCCCCCCCCGCCCCACCCCCCCGCACCTCGAACGCAATGCGCGGCGAGATGATGAATGGCCCCTCCGACACCCACTCCTCGAACATCAGCGAGTAGCGCCCGTCCCGGTTGCGCATGCGCAGCCAGGACTGGCAGGTCTCGGGGTCCTCGTTGGGCGGCAGCAGGTAGATGTCGTAGATGTCCACCTCCTTGCGCTGAGACACGTGGCCGTGGGACTGCACGGGGGGGGGGAGCAGGGGGGGGTAGGGGCGGGAGTGGTACGGCGGTTTGGAAGGTGCGGGAGTAGTACGGCAGTGAGATGGCGGGGTGGGGGGGTAAGGCAGACGGGGTTGTGATGCGGGGGGTAGGGAAGGTACGGCGTATCAGAGCAGAGGTCACCCCCGTTCCTTCCCCTCCCTGGTGAAGCCTTGTCGTACAGCTCCCCTCCAACCCCTAGTCTGTATATACGGCTCCCACAGTTCACCAGTTCGGCTCGATTCACGAAAAAGTCCCCCCAGGGCTTGTCACCTAGTTTACCACTGTCACACAACACAGTGGATATCCTTCTTTCCCCCCCCCCCTTCCCCTCCCCAATGCGGAATATGTGTCCCTAATAACCCCCACCTGCAGCGCCTGCGTGACCCGCTCCAGCAGCGGCACCCGCTTGGACTTGAGGATGTAGGTGGCGTTCATGAAGCCGGAGAAGGGGTTGAAGGAGTTGACGACGCGCAGGTGGGCGGTCTGCAGGTCGGGCTCGATGAAGGCCTTGTACATGGGGTACACGGTGTCCGTGATCTGGGGGGGAGGGGGATAAATGAGAAGTGGGGGGTGGGGGGAGGGTAGAAGGGAGGAAAGGATGGAGGAGGGCGAGGGAAGGAGATGTGGGGCGGGAGGGAGAGGGAAAGAGAGGCAGATAGAGTCGTCAGGGTAGTGCGGACGGGCGGGAAGGAGAGAAGGTACGTGCTGTATGTGACCAGGGGTACGCCTTTCCCCAAAGCCCCCTTCTGCGTTTCCTCACACCCACCCAGCAGTATCCCTGCTACTCCCACCCCCACCACCCCACCCCTTCCTTTCCCCTTAACTTTACCCTAACTTTTGGTTTCTGCTATGGTCCTTGACCCCTTCCCTCCCTTCCCCTCCCCCTCCCCCTCCTATGGTTTGGTATGGTCTTTGATCCCCCTCCCCACTCCCCCACCTGCTGTATGATCTCCTCCGGCCCCTGCCCCGACCGCTGGATGTCGCGCATGACCCGCTTCACCAGGTCGAAGTGCACCCCGCCGGTGATGGACACGCGCAAGTCCATCAGCGGCCGCAGCCGGTCGCTGAGCGCGTAGATGCCCTCCACCAGCACCACGCGAGCCTCGGGGACGGGCTGCGGGCGGTAGCCCACTCGCCGGGAGGAGCGGAAGTCGTAGATGGGGATCTGGGAGGGAGGGGGGAAGGGGTCAAGTAAATAGAGCAAACGATTGGTCAAAAGAGGAAACTGGCGAGCTGTATGACGAGGCTGGGATGTGGGGAAGAAAAGAAGGATGCCCAATGTTGAATGAGAATGGGGGGAAGGGAGGAGCAGCAGCAGGGTTACGCGTGATTGCAGGGCTGCATGAGAAACCCAAACTGCGGGGTCAACTCCCGTTGTCAAAACCCTTTTTCTTCAGTTTCATACTACGATTGCACGCAAGCGGCTCAACCCAGCCTTGTGCGGAATTTAGCCCTCCCCCCTCCCCCACCTGCACATCCTTGCCGTCCCGCAGGTCCGCCAGGTTCTGCAGCAGCAGCTGGTAGTCGGTAAGGCGGGGGTCTGGGGGGAAGGGGGAAGGGGGGAGAGGGGGGCAGAGAGGTGAGCGGGCGGGGGAAAGGGAAGGGAGGGAGAGCAGCAGGCATCTGCCTCGGATACCGATAGACTCTCCGTTGCCTCGCCTCTTGTTTCCGTCAATACTAAGTCGGTCAGATCATCCTTTCCCTCCCTCCCCTCCCCTCCCTCAACCCCTCCCTCCCTCCCACCATCAAAGTTGTCGTCGATGACCTTGGTTCCGTCGTTGTACATGTCCATGCTGATGAGCGCCACGCCCGGCATCAGCGTCTTGATCTTCTCGCTGAAGGCGGTCTTGCCGGAGCCGGAGGGGCCGGCAATGCCCACCTGCAGTAGCAGCAGCAGCAGCGGCGGTGGGGGCACGGCAGACATGGCGGTGCGTGGGCGGCTGCAGTCGGCGTGTGAGAGCCAGCCAGGCTGGCTGTCAGCCAGCCGACCCAGATGGCCCCAGCCTGCCAGCAGGGATGTCATAGACCCCCATCGCTGGCGGCCAAGAGGCGAGCGGCCCAGCTGCACTCCCCCCTCACCCGGTGCCCGGGCGGGTGCTGCCCCCCGGCCCGCTGCTTGGTCCGCCGCATGGGCGCACAGCCACACACCCGCGCGCATGCCCGGATGTTGGCACGAGGCCCCATTACCACCGCCTTCCCTTTCGGAGGTGTGGTGGCATGCATGTGCTCCCCATGAACACTCCTCCCTCCCTCCCTCCCTCCCACAGTCCCACTCCTGCCCTCCCTTTCGAAACCGCTTTTGGAGCTTAGCCCGGTAGGGTGGCGGATGTACAGCTGTCAGGGCCCACGGCACCCGCTCATGTAAGTAACATGTGTCCGTACAAACCCCGACCCAAATCCCCTCCTGCGGTCTTCCTCCTGCTCCTGCCCTGTGTCTCTTCCCCTGTGGTGAGACCGCGACCCAAAACCCGCCCCCCCGGGGCTTACCACGACCGTGCCCGTGTTGCTGGCCTTGAGCATTTGCAGCGCCCGAACGAACACATAGAACCCCTGGACAGCACCAGAGGTGGGTTAGGAGGTGAGGGGGGGGATGAGGGGCTCACGCGTTGCATGTAAAACGCATGCTGCTGGGCCGTGACCGAGGGGGTCATTGCCCAACAGGAGACTACAGCAGCACGGGTGCAGGTAGCCGAGCGAAAGATGGGCAGAAAGCAAAGGGGCGAAACTGCGAGACGGGGGACAGAAGGGAGACCGAGCGAGGAGACAGCGCTAGGAGGCTAAGGCACCCGTAATGGGGTAGTGCAAGGGGTCAGACGATTGGTTTAATGGTTTGGGGGGCCTTGGCTGGCGTGGGCCGGGGAAAGCAGCAGTCAGCAGACGGAAGTGCGTGGACGTCCAGATTGGATTAGGGGCCTAGCATGTCTTTTACTGTTGAAGTGCTCTAATAGTGTGCGTGTTGCTCCGAAAGCCACGCGCTTCCGGAGGTCCACAGGCCTGCGCATGGGCATAGGAACTGCCCGCACGTGCGCCTCCTCCCGCACCTTGTCGAAGCTCAGTGTTTCTTCAATTGGCTTGATCGAGTAGCGTGTTCGCCCATCTTCAAGCCTAATTTTCACCAGCTCAAGCTGCTCCTTTAGTAGGCCCTGTACACCCATTAGGATGTGACTTTCACAACTTCCAATAAAAGCGCTGTTGCACGTCATCCAACGATTTTGATCAGCCACAGCTGCACGATATCCATGGAAACGTCTGCCAGCATCGCTCACCTTCGCCTTTCCCTCTTTCCGTTGACATGGCTTCGGACTTTGCGGCCTTGCGTCCGCCATCGTAGCGAGCACTACTATGGGATTTCAATATAGTGCTTGTTGCCCGTGTAGGAAAGCCAGGCAAGGGCCAGTACACCTTCCCTACCACTGCCCAAAGCTGCGGCGCCGTGGTAAGAGACGGTTCAGAGCCAGAGCAAAGAACAGTTATGTCTAGCTTGTGATCATTATTAGTAATTGAGAAACTCTGGAAATGGCGAGTACTATAGGTGTGGATTTGGTATTTGTCAGGTAGGGTCTTCGCCTTGTCAAGAGCATGTACTAGACGTTCCCATAAAGCGCTCGATCGCTTTTCTGAAACTAATTACACTACAGGGTTTAACGTTTCTTCAGGGCTTTGCCAGGGAAAGTCCTTGTCTCCTCCACTTCCTATCTGATAGCTGCCAAATGCGTAAGGCGAACGCCACCCGTATCTGCAAACTAAACCCCTCGTGGGGACTGGTTCTGAAGCTGGGAGTTGCAGGTGCCCTGCTGACCAGGTTGTGCCTTTGGCTATGGCGGTTAGTTGCCTTGCGTGAAGGGCGCGACGCCGCACCGCGAAAGGTGAAAACGCTTGTAACATCCGCCTCCTAAAACTTCAGTGCATCCTTGCTGACAGAGCCTAGTATGCTTGCTCGCGTTGCCCAATGCCCCCAACACAGTCGAACGCACTTTGGCTTTAGAGAGTTGCCGCTGTGCCGTATACCCATAACATCGCATACTCTTGCAAGGTTACTTGCGAGAACAGCGAGCATGCATAGGGGATAGCCGCCCAGAATCCACGCCGTGGTACTGCATATCATTAGCGCAAAGCCCCTGAAGCTCTGTTACTGTGGTCGACGCATGGGGACCGAAGGGTTAGTCCTGCAGTTGTCGCTAACATGCATGAGGCTGGTAGAACTAACGTGTGCGGCATGGCTTCTAAGAAGATGAACACACTGCACGTGCAGTGCGGCTGACTCGTCTCCACACCCGCAATGCAATGCACACCACAACAGGTCACAGACTTGTAATGCACAAGCAACACGCCTGTGACAGGCCTATAGACTAGGCAATCTGGCCAGGCTATGCATCAGGCGCTAGCGCTGGTTCTGTACAACTTGCAGGTCTCGCACTGTCCCGGGCACCCGTGTTTCGCTCGCCGTTCTTTCTTGCCGCGATGATCTAAGCCTCCGCGACTGAGGGCGATGCTCCCTGCACACCAGCCACGCCCCACCATGCTGCTTCACTGTCCGGCTGGCCCAATGTCCGACCCTCACCCCTCTTACGTGATGCTACTTTGGGGCAGGATCTATAGCGCTACACGCACAGAGAACAAAACGGACGCTCAGAACTGGATCCCCCTCAGGATAGGGCCAAGCACTAGCAAAGGAGGATCCCAGACCGGAGAAGCGAACGCCACGAGAGGGGCCGAATTCGGACACTAGATTGATCAATAATATGTGTAGATCATGTCCGCTTACCAAACGGATCATACCGCCGCAGGGCAAAGGTCCCCGGAGAAAGCGACGGAAGTGACGAAATATTACTGGAACACACGTAGGATAAGGACGTCAAGTAGACACATAAAGTAACGTTGCGTACGTGATATAGAACTATATGTCCCCGAGAATTCCGCTGCCGCCTTACTAACTCGCATGCTGCATAGCACGCAGTACAGTCACAGCACGCAATTTGATTTCACACAGGTACATGCATGAACCTCAGCAAAACCTTTTCTATAAACTACCTGTTCCTCAACGTGTAAAGGTTTTTGTTTCCTAACAATATCCACGGTTCATCGGGGACGGACGGAACTCCGCGGAGCTTGTGTGCAAAAGGCGCAGCTTACAGTGAATTGCCCCTATATACGCAGCTATTATTATTATCTATCGGGTGTTCATTAGGCTTTTCAATTGAGCTGAAAGATGCAAGGAGCTGGTAGGAAGCGCCGGGCAAGCGCAGGAGCGGGAAGCAAGGCTCAACAGGGCTCAAAAAAGCAGAAACGGAGCAAAAGCGATGCTGCAGCCTTACCAGCTACGAAGAAGCGGCGAAGTGCGCCAGAGCCACCTAAAGGCTCAGGGCCAGGGCACGCGACGCCATACAACTTGAGGACTAGAAGTTCCATGCCAGCAGCAGGCAGGTTTTGTGCAAGGCGATTATGTGTAGATGTTATCGAGCCTTGGCAGCAGCGGGTTTGAATAGGAATTGCCGAGCCTAGGCATCGACATTCCTGCAGAAATGAGTTACAATGTTGTCCGGAATGCCGATACCGCTGTGCTTTCCACTGCAGGCACTGTTGCCACTGGGACAACGGACAACTCACAGCCAAGCAGCGCTCCAACAAAAGGGCTGCCAAGCAGCGTCAGGCCTCGCAACCCAAACACCAAGGCCACCTGGAATGAGCTGCCTGCTGAAGTGCTCAAGGTAAACGAAAACAATAGAATGCCCCAGACCGCTTCCATTCGTTTCTCCTGCTAACACCTCGTTCCCGGCTCTCATCTTCCATCGCCAACCCATATTCGGCAACACTCCCCCAGGTCATCTGCCAGCAACTCGACGCGTCTTCAGTCCTGTCGGCTCGTAGCGTCACCGCTGGCATGCGCGATGCCTGCAGCGGTGTGCCCGTCCAGCTGCGCTTCACGCTGCCCATGCAAAGCAGCCCCTGGATGCCGGTGCAGCTCGAGGCCTGGGATCGCCGCATCAACGGTGTCGCCGGTCTGCTGGGCAACGGCAAGATGCGGTCCTCAGAGCTGCAGCTACGCATGGAAGGAGCCGCCGTTTGGAAGGTACGTGTGGGAGATGTTTGATGTAATGCCTTGTTGCTACGGGATGCCGCACTGAACAAAAGCTTTCGGCCCCACCTGCTTGCGCCGGTTGCGCGTAGACGCTGTTCGTCCTCTCCCTCTACCATATTCTTCAAAATACGCAATTTCCCACTGCGCTCCCCGGCCTGCTCCACCCTGTCCGCAGGGTGAGGAGAGCATGCCGCTCTCGATGATCCACAGCACCATTCAGCGCCTGATGCCGCTGCTGCAGCCGCTGCGCAAGCTGGGCTCGGTGGCTGCCAGTCCCATCACGCACCTGGATGCGGAGCTGCCCCTCAGCGTGGAGGTGAGGGAAGGGGGTCTCCGGGGTGGGGGAGGCAGGGGGGGTGAGGTGTAGTGAAATGAAGGTAGGGGGTTTAGGAAGGTGGCGGGGTCTTGATGTAGGTGGCTTGCGCATGACCCCTGTGGTGCACGGATTGATCATGAAAGGATGCCGTATGCTTGCTTTCCAGCAGGAAGAGCCGAATGGGTGTGGCCGTGGGAGTCGCGTTTCCCATCGTAGTCCTGCTCATTTGCTGTCTCTCACCCTTCTCCGCTCCTTTCGACCTTTCTCCGACAACATTCCCCACACAGACGCTGGCGGTCCTGAGCACCGCACTGCCCGGCGTCACCTCGCTGCGCCTGGACAACCTCATCCCGCCGCCGCAGAACCACGTGCAGATCATGTCGGACATTCGCGTGTTCCCCGATGTACGGAAGCTCGACCTGGCGGTCACCGCATGGGACCAGGTGCAGCACCTGGCGCCGCTCACGCAGCTCACGGAGCTCAAGCTGCGGTACTGCATGTGGTGGGTTGCGGGAACGGGAGACGGAGCGGAAGGCGAGGGTTGAGGGTTGTGGTTTCAGAGGAAGGGCGGGGACGGTTGGCATGGCAGCAGTTTGCAGTTTGCGCGTGGGTGCGGGTTACGGATTGGGGCCGGGAATGGCCGATGGGGAGGTGTGGCTGCGAAGAAATTACGGGCTTGGGAACTGCACACCCCTGCAGGAACATTCCGGAGCTGACGCCGCTGGCCAGCCTGCAGCAGCTGCACACCTTCAGCATCGAGGTAGGGAGTGCGCAGGCTTGCCGGGGCCTCAGGGTTCTGCTACTGAATGTGGTGGGCGATGCCGCCTGATAAGATGACGCCAGCGTGTACCCGCACGTTGGCACGTAGGGCAAGAGCACCCCCCTGGCGGCCATTCCCGCGCACCCCGTTTCCCCCTCTAGGTCCTGGACGACCGCGCCCGCTTCCAGCTGGACTTCCTGGGTCCCCTGGTTCGCGGTCTGCCCCGCCTGCGCCACCTGCGCGCCTCCCTCATCCTCTCCCGCACCGTGGTGAGCGAGGGCGGCCCCGCCAGCTGCGACTTCCTGTCGGGCTGCGGCCTGCAGACGCTGGAGCTGGACGTGCGGGCGCCGCAGGACGCGGCGCGGACGGTGCATGTGCACTTCCGCAACCTACACCTGGCGCCGCAGAGCTGCAAGGTATGGGCTTGATGTGCGTAGGGGCTGGGGGTATACTTCAGCGAAGGGCTACCGAAAGGGCTTGACTTGTGCCTTTTTGGACAGGCTCAAGAGGAGTACACTGCACCAAAACGTGTCTTCTTCTTTTCGCACCCTGCCTCCCTCCCAGGTGCGCCTTACCATCCGCGCGGACGCCCTCACCCGCGAGACCTCCTTCGAGTCGGCAGCCACCCGCAATGCAACCATTATCGCGCCACGACTGGGCATGGCTAATCCCTCCCCCCCCGAGCCCCGGGAGCGCTGGGGCGCCCTCAACCTGCCCGAGCTAGGGGGCCACCCGCCCGGCGCGCTATCGCTGCTGCACCTGCGGGGATACCATGTGCCCCTCACCACGCTGCCAGACCTATCGGCGGCGCGGCTCACAAGACTGCAGATCAGCAACGCCCGACTGTGTCCTGCGGACTTCACTGCCCTGGCCGGCTGCACCTCCCTGGAGCACCTCTTTGTGAGGTTCATGTACGCGTCAGACACCTCCACTAGCACGGGCGCCAACCACGGCACCGGCGCGGCTGTTTGCGAGGGCGGTGGAGCCAACGTGCCCAAGGGCCCCACGGGAAGCGCTTCCACCAGCGGTAGCGGGGAGGATACGAGTGAAGCCGCACTCTTTGGCTACGTGGGTGGTTTCAAGGCGCGTGTAGCGGCGGCCGGCTGCCATTCCATGCTAACGCGATCGCGCAAATCGCTGCTTGGGAACGGTCGACAAAGCATAGGGGCTACTGGCGGAAGCGCCGGCGGCGGCCGCCCGAGCACCGGAGCCGCCGGAGGAAGAGCAGCACTCCCGGCGGTGACGACGCCGGTGGTGGCAGCGGACTGTACGGTGAGCCCAGTGCCGTACGTGCTACAGCCGCTGTTGCAGCTCCGGCGGCTGCACAGCTTGGAGCTTTTGGAGGAGGGTGACCCGGAAGGCGCAACGGTTACGAGCACACCCACGGCCAACGGTGTTGGCTCCTCTACTGGGCATGCGCTCGCTACCACCACCGCAGCGGCCGTGGGACCATCAGGGGCGGGTGCTGGCAGGGGGGTGGCGGCGGCCAAGGGCTCAGCGGCTGCTGGCTCAGCGGCAGCACATGGCGGAGCTCGGCAACACCGCGGGGGGACCAAAGCAGCCACAGCTGCTGCTGCTGCAGCGGCGGCGGTAGGTGGCGCTGCTGCAGCATCGCAGCACCACCAGCAGCACCACCACAAGACTCGCCGCCTGCCATCGCTGCCCATGAGCCGCTCCGCTCTCACGCACTTCCTGCAGCACCTGTCCCGCGCACAACAGCTCACCCACCTCTCCATCTCGCTGCTGGCAGATGAGTCATCCCTGCCGGACTGCCCATGCAAGACCTCGTGCTTCACCTCGGCAGCTAGCTCCGGAACCAAGGGGACGAAGGAGGCATCGTTGCGGCCCCTGCGCCCCGAAACCATTGCGGAGCTGCTGCTGGTAAGCGGAGCAGCGGCTGCAGCAGCAGCTTCGCGGTCCAAGGAGCGCAGGTACAAGGTGGTGCTAGGTAGTCTAACCGCTGAATCGGCGTGTTGGTACCGGCCCAGCGCCTGGCCTGCGCTGGATGACTGATTGGACGGGTAGAGCGCCCCTTCCATGACCCATGGGTCGTTGGGAAAGGGGCAAAGGCCGGGGATGCTGTCGTCATTATCCGGTGCAGGTTCGGTGCAGGTCAAGTTTAACAAAAACAGATGGATGACGAGCGACAGTTGGCATGCATGTGGAGGGAAGGAAATGGAGGGCGAGAGCCGACGTGGAGGCTGAGGAGTTATTGCAAGTCATGCGCTGCGCAGGATGTTGCTGCAGATGTCATAATGGTTGTGGATGAGGCCGGTTAAGGGGAATGGGGATGTTCCGAACGCCATGGCGTGGAAGGGGCGCTTAGTAGAGACCTTATTCAGGCGCTGTGCAGGCTAGGGCCCTGGCATCTGCGTTCTGTAATGTCCTTATTGTTAAAGTTCACATAAGTACGAGTTGTCTAGATGCAGATTTAGACACAGGGTCCGGGCTAGAAGCGACCAGAACAGGATAGCAGGTAGGGATGGCGCGCGTGCATCCGTGCCTGTGAGTATGCGTGTGTACGGCACGTACTGCCGAGTAACAGTACCGCAGTCGAGTGAATTGGGGAAGAGGGTTGTTTAGTGATGTGTTCCTTACAGATACCGGTATGGACTGGTTACAAGGTAAATGAGGTGAGTATGCAGCGTGGGCGGTCGGTGAAATATGCGTCTAAGTTAGCAACGTTGATTTGTTGGAGAAGGGAACTTATAACGCGAACGATAACGCGAACTTATTGCCCGTACTTCCGTGTTGCTCTTGCTCCCGTGTTTTTCGTACACAGGAAACAAGTGACGGCGTGGTCACTGTCATGCCGAAGGTTAAAACTACACATGTTCACATGTGTGGGTAGCTACCAAGACCGCGTTTGGGTTTGACTTTGCATGCGTCAGAATCCCTGCCTGCTGATGACGACGCTGTGGCAGAGGTGTCCTGCATGTGCACGCGGTATTGCAAGAATGCACAGAGTGCGGCAGGTGTATGCAAACTTGACTTTTGCCTTGCACATGCTTGGGTAAGAACATCTGGGTTGTTAGTGGGAGCTATGGCTGGGCACGCCCTAGCTGCCGAACATAGCGCCAGGTAACGTAAAAGGCAGACTTAATAGACGACCCCCCAATGCTAGGAGCTACCTGCGCCTACCGCTCCTGGCTGGGGGGGGCTGTTGGTGGTATGTGCCTTTCCTCTTACGCAAGGCGGTCGATGAGATGCCTGTCTACGGAAACTGTGTACCAGAAACGAGGGCCACGAAGACCTTGACGAGCTGGCACTGTGTAATGAAGGCTGCATTAGGGAGACTGCAAATAGTTCGTCGATGGCCTTGATGCAAAGATCAACGTCTCCGAAACCCAAGGACGGTAACGTATCGACAATCGAACTAACAACGCCAAATGCATACCCTCTTTATTGAGTCCTGAGAAAACCTACTTAGTTATCTCACAGGCGAAGATCCACCAACCATAGAAGAAGGCTTCAAGTTGTTGTAAGCCGGACACTACCCAAGGTCATTATTCTCTGTGAACACGCTTGTGCACTGCGAATTTATAAACTGTATACCTTGGGATGCCGGGGCAGGCCGGCCCATCTAACGGTGGGCCGGGCCCTAATAGGGAGTCCTCAACACAAAATGGTAAAAAGGATGCTCGATTTCCACGTCGTGCTGTCAGCCCTGGACCTCTCTCGGATCCACGGCGTATATCAGCAAATTCGGGGCCGCTAGCGGCGGCGTCTACTCTGACGACTCCTCGGGTCAGTAAGCCCATGCTGCGTACCGTTGCAGAGTGCCGTTTGTAGGGAGGACGATGCTATTCGGCGTGCTATCTATGTTAACATTACCTTGAAAGTACGTACCTAATACTCTCGACACGGCTGTCCGCCTTCATGCTTGTCGGACAACTTTTGCTGCGCAGCCCGCAGTCGGGGTACGCATTCGCGACAAGTTCGTGCCGCTTCCAGATGCCAGCAGGAAGCCCCAGGTAGTCGTTGAGGAGCTAGAGGAGGAGCCTGAGGGGTCTCCGGAGCCATCTCCGGTTGCGGCACCTCTAGCCCAGAAGCGTGGTCGCATCACAGTGGTGAGCCAGCAAAGCTGATCAAGGGCAGAGCTCAGCTGCTCACGGAAACATGAGGGGTTCCACCTTGAACACCAGGGATACGACGGGAGGCATCCGCTAAAGTTAAAGAAGCTAACCACGTGGGGAGAGCGGGAGACTGGGGCTGCTGGGGTTAGCGTGTATGCCCTTGCGATAGTTCCCCGGGGCGCCAGGCGCTTTCAAGAACGGTTTACAGTTATCTCATTACCAACTCAGGGCACCGACCCAGCTCTCTTTTATCCATACGCGCCTACCACGAGTCAGTCTGCCTCCCTCCTTTCATATGTTGTCCCGACGACCCCACTCCCTCCCGACCCAGATCACCGTAGCCGAGTCCTTCAACCGTAAGGCCCTGGAGGCCGCCCTACAGCAAGTAGCAGCAGCCGCAGCAGCAGCAACCACCGACACCTCACAACCAACCACAAGCAACGGTCAACCCCTACCAGGCACCCCAGCGACAGCATCCAAGTCATTCCCACACCGCATGTCAGCACCTGGCACCGGCGCCGTCTGCAGCATGCCCCCCGCGGCTGCTGCGGCCTCCGGCTCCTCCTCCTCCTCAGCCTCCACCGCTGCTCCGACGGGAGGCATGCCCACCGCTGCGGGTGGCAGCAGCGGAAGCGGCGGCGGGGGCGCAGCAGCCCTCATAGCCGCCGCAACCGGACCCGCGACACCGGCCCGCCACAGTGCGACGTCCATAGCTGGCGCCGCCACACCTGCTGACGTGGGCGCCGCCGCCGGTGTGGCCAAGGTGACGACGGCGGTCACCGCGTACCCGGAGGTGACGTACGCTCGTACGGCACATGGGGAGGCGGCGGAGTCCCCCGGGGAGGTGTTCTTCTTCGATTACGGTGCGTGGGTGCAGCGTGTGTGTTAAAATAACTGCGTGGGTGCAGCGTGTGTGTGCATGTGGTGTGGAATATATAGGTTTGGTAGGTCTGGGTGGTGCAGAGTGGGGTGCAGATGCCGGTAGATGTGCGAATGCGCCGCATGTCCCAAGCAGCCCTGGTTGTTTAGGTCACCCACCCTGATGCCGAACCCCTCGCCGGCCCGCCCCCCTCCCTCCTCCCCCTCCATGCCTGTCCGTCAGGTGTGGTAGCGTTCTGGGGCATGAGTGAGGCGCAGGAGCAGGCGCTGCTGGGAGCGGTGGTGGGCAGCCCGGGGGTGGCGGTGCAGGTGCTGGAGGAGGAGGAGAAGCAGGTGGAGGAGCTGCTGTTCGTGTACTCGCGGGACTCGCAGCCAAACATACGCAACGGTGCGTGTGGGGGAGGGCGGGAGAGGGCGCTGCGGGTGGTGCCGCTGTATTGCGTTGTGGGCATCGTCGGCATGGAGTTCGGTCCGTACGGATGGTCACTGCCTGCTAGGACAGCATGTTCTTAGCGGTTCCTCCATGTTCATGTTCATCCATGGGTGTGTGCACATGTGCCGCGGCGTGTTAGCGACCCATGGCCGCATGTCGTTGCCCCTCGTCATCAGCTACCCATGCCCCAAGTAGTTCCCCCCTCCGATGCGCACCCCCGCATGCGCCCCGCTGCTCCGCAGACACGTTCACCATCGACAGCCGCCTGGCTGGGGACCACCATGTGAGGGGGGGGTGGGAGCGAGGAGGACGGGACAGAGGATTGCGGGGAGGGCAGGAAGGTGGCAAGGGGCAAGAAGATAAAGAGTGCTATGGGTGTTGGCTCCATTGGGAGGTTGCATGCGCGTGCGCATGCGTTGTCCTGCACGACCGCGTGTGCCAGCCACGCCCCTCCCACCCCCCTCCTCCCAACCCCCCCTGCTGCCTGCGCTGCCCCCTCAGGTCAAGATGTCTATCAGCCACGCGCTGGCGCAGTCCTCCAAGCTGTCGCTGTACGAGGAGCGCATGGTGGCGCTGGTGGAGGAGGTGCGGCACATTCCCCGGGAGATGGCGGAGCGGGGCGCCATCAGCCTCAGCAGGCGCACGGTGGCCCAGCTGCAGGGGAAGGTGGGGAGGCAGGGGGGGCGCCGGGGGGTGGGCCAGGGAGGTGAGGGCGCGCTGAGGCGGCCACAGCAGTACATGCTGCGGAAGTGAATGGATGGGTCGGATGAACATGCAGGAGTCCCCGGGCACCTCGAAGGCCTTCCCCCCGTGCGTCACGCCCCTCACGCCCCCGCCCCAAACCCCCTGTCTCCCCCCCTGTCACCCCCAGGTGTTCCTGCTCAAGGCGGCGGTCAACCTGAGCGCCACCATGCTGGACACTCCCGAGTTCTTCTGGAGGGCGCCGGACCAGCTGCAGGTGGGGGTGGGGGGTTATGGAGGGGGTGGTGGTGAAATGAGGAGTATAAGGAGGACAGATAAGGCAGCTAAAACAGATACGGCGAAAACATGGCGAGGAAGGAATGAGGGTTGGGAGCTAGGAAGACGGTGCCGTGCCTCTAATGAATGACTCCTGCCGTCATTCCCCGTCTGACCGGGTACATTTGTAACCACGCGCAATCCCTTGGGACCCTTGCACGCATGCTTGCATGACGCCTACCGCCCCCACCTGCCAACCTGCCTGCCCTCACGTCCACCCCCAACCCACCCCCCGGTACGTGCCCCCCCCCAGGGGCTGTACGAGCGTGCGTGTGAGTACCTGGACATCCAATCGCGGCTGGAGATGCTGAACACCAGGTTCATGGTGCGTGCATGCGCCAGAGAGGGGGAGGGGAACAAAGAGGAAACAACTGGTTGGCTGTGGTGAGGGGAGCGGTTGGTGCATCGCCTGCTGTATCGGCTGTACCCGCTATCCCTCCTCGCGCTAGCTACATTGCGCACGTGTACTATAACCCTACTCACCCTTCAGCTCACGCTACACGAACCCCCGCCCTACCTACTCGCTCCCCTGCTCTACTCATTAGCACCTCCCCTTCTCTCCTTTCCTCCCCTCCTCTCCATGCTTCCCTTCCCCCAGGTGCTTCAGCGCATGTTGGACATCTGGTCCGACCACTCGGCGCACCGCCACATCGCCCGGTTGGACGTCATCATCGTGTTGCTCATCCTGATCGAAGTGGTCATGGCGGGAATGGAGGTGCTGGGCTTCCTCATGCGCAGGAGGGGGTGGAGCTGGGGCGGGCCCAGGCTGGGGGAGCTGCTGATGCGGGCGCTGGGGTGGGGGCGGGCGGCGGGAGGGCTGCTGGGGAGGGGGTGAGGAGAAGCAGGACAAACAGGAGCAGGACGAGCAGGAGCAGCTAGCGGGGGTGGATGCATGGGGAAGGAGATGCTGGAGGAGCGGGTAGGGAGGTGCAGGATGGCGCATGTTTGGTGCATATTGCATGATGGAGCGGATGGCTGGAGATCAGGACAGAGTGGAGGGCAACTACCGTACTGCTGGGGCAGTTAGGGCGGGCCGTTGGTACCGGAGGCAACTGTTCCTTCGCTGAGCCGACGAAAACGCTTAGGGCTTTGGGAAGGGGTTGTACTCAGGCCCAATCCATATCTCGCCCAGTCACGCCAGCGCGCGGATACATGGATGTGTCACGCCGGCTGTGGAGCATTTGAAAAGTTCCGCGTTATGCAGCAGCTGCTTGTCCTGCTTCTGTTCATTGATGACCCGCAGTCGCTAGGCCACCGCATTCAGCGTTCCGGTATCTCAGTTGGCCATACTCGAGCACAGCCATTTCTTGCCGGCGACCACCCTAGCCACAACCCTAGCAGCAACAAGCTACCGCTACGACGCAACCCAAACAAGCTCCGCCAGCCCAGCAACCGGCCGGAAGCCAGGTGCTTGATCCCATGCGGCTATCCTGGTGTTGAACACGTATGCCACCAAGACGCTGCCGCCTCCATCAAGTAACACATGCAAATTTACCAATCGGTCAAAGCCTTCGCAGCTCCCTCCAGCCCTCAACGCCTCCTATCGCCCGTTTCCCATGCCGTTCCCCGGCCGAGGAGGCTCACTCGCCGGCAGGGAAGTGGGCAACATCTCCAACCCTCCTCCCCCTCCTGCACCCGCCACCCCGGCGGCCCCCTGCGTTACCCCCATCCCAGCTCCTCTAAGCGACGACGGCTGCTGCTGGTGCTGTTGTTGGGAGTAGTGCTGCAGAAACGGCTGCTGGTGCTGCGGGGTCGGGTAATGCTGTTGTGGCGGGAGCTGCGGTGAAGGCTCCTGCGAACCCGTGTCTACTGCCCAGGCCCCGCGGTGCTGCAGCGGCTGCATGCTCACCACCGCCTGCTGCTGCTGCGGGTGCTGTTGTTGATGCAACCGCTGCTGCTGCTGCTGCTGCTGGTAGGATGCCGCGGCAAGCGCTGCAGCCGGGTGTTGCGGGGAGGACATGTCCGCAAAGGATTCCAAGCCAGAGCTCCCGCCACTAGCACCGACACCACCACCCGCGCCAGCAGCTGACGACCCAATGGCCGCGTTGCTGCTGCTCTGGGCGTTCAGGAAAGCCGAAATGGGCAACGGACCCGGAGCCGCCGGCGGCCCACCTGCACCTACCGCCGCCCCCGCTGCCGCGCCCGCACTGCTAGGCTGAAGCGCAACTCCAAAGCCCATCCAGGAACTGGCCCCCCCGCCCCCGCTGCCGCCGCCCCCTGCTGCTGCCCCACCCAACGGCGGTGGAGTGAGGAAGGGGTTGCTGCTGCAGGCGCCGCCGCCGCCAGCCGCCGCCGCCCCTGCCTGCCCCCCAGCGGTGCCGTCAGCAGGCCGTCCATGGCTCGCATGTGACGAGGTGGGCAGGCGGGTCAGGCCCCCGGAGGTGCGCAGCAGGGACGCTGCGGGCCCCGCTGCTCCTGCTAGGACTGAGGAGGAGGCGGGGGCGCCCATGCCGGTGCCGCTAGCCGAGGGGCCGCCGTGGTGGGGGTGGGAGGCGCCTCCGCTGACGCCGCCGCCCCCCGTGCCGCCAATCCCCGTAGCAGCAGCTGCTGCGCTGCCACCGGTGCTGGAAGAGCGGCCCGTGAGGCGCTTGAAGGTCTGGAAGGGAGGGGCGAGTGGCGGTGGAGGGAGGGATTGGAATGCTCATCAATAAGCTTCTAGGACGAGAAGGCGCAAGACATACCGTAACCAAAGGGCGGCGGACTTCCCCTTGGGGGCCACGCTAGAAGCGGTCATGCAGGCCGCTGTCAACATGTACCAGCGGACTCCTGACCCCGACCCTACACAGTCCTTTCCTCTCCCCTCCGCCTGCGCGTACAAGAGCCCTTTGGACATGCTCGGAATCCGTCTCCCCTCCCCCGCCCCTCCGCGGCTTGGTTTAGCTAATCTCCCCCTCCCCTCCCTCCCCTCCCTCCCCTCCCCTCCCCTGCCGTGCGCCTCTCACCATGTGCCGCAGGTGCCACATGTGCGACTGCAGCTCCGGCAGCGGCCGCTCGGCCAGGCTGGGGTCCACGTTGTGCTCGGAAAGCAGCTGGGGGGCGGGGGGAGGGAAGATGGCAAGCTAAAATGAATAGGCTGTGAGAATGCAAGGATGGCGGTCGGACAAGGTGTGGTGTGGAGCTCCCCCGTCACACCTCACTGCTGTGCCCCTTCCGCTCACCCAATAACCCTGCTGCCCTCTCCCCTGCCCCAGCCCCCTCTTCCCCCAGCCCTCCCCCACCTCCAGGGATGCCAGCGCGGTGGAGTCGAAGGAGCTGAAGTCCAGACCCAGCGCCCCGTTGCGCATCTCTAGGTGCAGCGGCAGGAAGGACTCGTTCACGTGAACCTGCGGGTCATCATGCAGGTCACCATGAGGGGGGGGGAGTGGGCGCCATGGGTGGGGCGGGGGGGGGGGGGGCGGACACGGAGGCAAGCAAGCAATGGGGTGGAACTGAATGGCACGCATGGCCGCTAGCTGCCGTGGGTGGTGCTCTACTTGGTTTGCCGCCGCACGTACGTCGTCTGCTGTCATCTTCCAACCATCCATTGCTCCACGTCCCTTCCACCCCGACCGGTGCCCCTTCCCCATACCCCGCCCCTACCGCAGCCCCTCCCCCCCCCCTCCAAGCAGCAGGCCCCCCAGCAGCTCCTCCTCACCTCGTTGGTGTTGTACGCGTGGCGCGCGGAGAGGTTCTTGGAGGTCATGGCGTCGATGCCGTCCACGAACACCAGGATCTGGAGAGCAGGGGGGCAGCAGCAGCAGCAGCAGCAGCGGGGAGACGAGGTGGGGTGAAGGAGGGGAAGAAGCGGGATGGTGGGGTGGGCTGGCTAAGGGAAGGTCACGGGGAGGGTGGCAAGAGGTGGGTACCCCAGGAAGGTGTGTGACGGGCGAGACGGCAAGGTGAGTTAAGGGCAGGGCGGGGTAGGGATGCATGCATGCAGACCCTGTGGCAAGCCCCACACCCCCCCCACCTCCTGCCCCCGGAGCATCAGGCAAACCATCCACACCCGCCCAGCACACACCCTTCCAAGGCCCTCTACCGTACCTCCCTTAGGAACCCTCCCCCTTCCCCCTACCTCCATCATCCGCGTGTCCATCTCCAGCAGTGAGAGGTTGTAGAGCGGCGAGGCGGGCGAGATCACGTGCGTCACGTTGGCGGGGAAGCCCAGCTCAAGGTTGGTCTCCTGGGGTGGGGGGAGGGGGGAGGGGGGCCACGGCGTTGGGTGGGGGCAGGGAGTTGGGGCGATATGGCGCGGTAGGCGGGGCATGGCGGGGTAGGGTAGGGAAGGTGAGGCAGGAGAGCGGAACCGGGAAAAGGAAAGGTCCGTGCCGAGGTTAAGGGCACGGGTGTAAGAAGCACAGGATGCCTTGTGCATGCCTAGTTTCCCTCCCCCCGCCTCTCCTTACCCCTCCCTGTTGCCAACCACCATCGCCCAATTCATGTCCCCCTCTCCCCGCCCAACGCCTCTCTTTCTTCCCCATATTCTTTCACAGCCCGGCTTCTTGTCCGTCTGTTCCCCTCCCGCTCCCCCTCCCGCTCCCGCCCACCTGCGTGCTGATCCCCTCGATGGCCAGGTGCTCAAAGAGGTAGTTGGAGGGCGTGATGGAGTCCACCGCCGTCAGCACCATGCGCAGGCTGGGCTTCAGGATCTGGTGCTTGCGGATGTTGGCAACCCGCAGAGACACGCACCAGTAGCCGCTGGCGTGCCGGTTGCACACCATCACGCTGCTGAACCTGAAGGGGGGGGGAAAGGAGGGGAAAGAGGAAGGGAGAGGAGGGAGGGAGGGGAAGGGAAGGAGGGAACGGAGCAGGGTGAAGGCAGAGGAGTGGAGAAAAGCATGAACAGAGTGGTAGCTGCTCATTTGGTATCAATGTAGCGGCCGTCTGACCGGTGCCATGCAGGACTGACCCTACCTTGATGTAGTACCCTTCCCCTGTCCCAGTAAACAGTATCTACATGTGCGGTAGCCTGCCCTCCCCCATGCATCTGTTAACCTGCCTTCCCCCATGCATCTGTGCTGCGCTCACCTAATGGTCGAGGCCCGCTTGAAGGGCGCCGAGAAGCGCGCAAACACCAACCCTAGCATGATGAAGTTGATGAGGGAGGAGGCAATCACCTGGAGGGAGGGGAGGGGTAGGGGAGGGGCTCAAGACAGAGGGACGGTGTGTTGGGACTCGGGTGGGATGGGGGAGCAGCAACAGGCTCCCCGACAGCTTCATCCCTCTTCTCTTCTCTCCTCAACTCCCGATTCCTCACTGTCCATGCTCGCCCCACGCTTTTGGTGAAACCACAGTCCATGGCTCAACGCATACCTGCAACATAACCGTTAGGTTGGTTACGGCGCAGTTGGGGTTGGGCGAGATTTCGTTGTACCCCAAGGTGGATGCCGTACGACTGCTCAGCCAGAGAGCGTGCGCGAACTTGCCGTCCTTGTTACTGATGCAGTGGTCGGGCTGTACGGCAACGCGGGGAAAGGGGGGTATGGAGGTCGAGGAAGGGGAAAGGTAGGGGGTTTCGGGGCCGTGTAGCAAAACTTGCATAAGTCACGTACCCGCCACATGGGTGGGATGGGAAGCGGGCCCAAGTGGGAGGGCAAGCCCTACTGCATCCTCCTTCAGTAGCCAACAACACAGTGTCAACCGCCAGGGTGTCACGGCGTCTAGGGCCGGTAAGTTACTAGGTGAACGCTGTACCAGCCACACGGCGCACATCGGCCATTTCCCGCCCTTCCATCCCCTTTGGCTGACCTGGATCCAGAATAGGAACGCAAACACCATAAACTCCATCACGTACGTAACGAAGAAGATTGCAATGAACCTCCCCCATGGTAGGTTGAGGAGCGTGTGGAAGGGGTCCTGCAACAGTGTCAACAATGTTGGAGCCCGACGCCACGCTGGTTGCCCGCGGTTATAGGCTGCGAAACGGCATCAGTTAACAGTCTACCTGCCAGTAGTGCTGGAATTTGCTAATACCAAAGCGCTTGATACCACTAAAGTATGGCGCTGAGCGATCGAGGAGGGATGGAGCGCGAAAAGGTATTCTTATGCGCGATAGGCGTCGCGCGGCTCCAGTAAGTAGGCCTTCTCCATCTCCACGCATCCTTTCAAAGCGGTCACCGGGAGAACTCGGCATTCCCAATGTTGGTCAGGTGGCCAGAAGAATTCACAACAGCATACTATTTCAATGCAAGGCCGAGGCTTGTAAAATTTGGAATTGCATCTTCTCAGCTTACAGGCCGTATACTTTTGGTTTTGGCTGTTGTACGCTGATGTGACTAGTGACTTGCGAGTATCTTTGCCGATTGTCCAACGTGGGTGCGAATACTATCCAGTAACCTTATGCTTGAATGCTACTGGACCTTTGCGCCGTCCTCCCAACCTCCAGGGCGTTGTAACTGTCGGGCACAGAATGTTGCAGCTGTCGGGCCCAGGGTTCTGCGCGGTTCTGGCTCCTCGCCTTCCGTATCCGCATGTTTCCTCCAAAAGCACCCAAATTGGAACCGTATATGCTAGGTTTACGCTGGACCAAGCTTCCGCAACAATGCGGCTCTCCCAAAGGTGCCGCGCATGACATCTTGACATGCCTGTACTCCCCGGCTGCATGCCCTTATGAGGCCCATAAGCGCAGCAGCAGCCGACCGGTCCCTCCGTACACCCAATCAGTGGCCCGATTCTTCCACTTTACCTAGCTACCAGCTGCCTAGCTACCTAATCCCTTAAGAAGTACAGCCCACGCTGCACTTCGCTATACGGTAACCCACGCTGCACTCCGCAAACGCGCGGCACCATGCAGACAGGCATATAGCCGTAGTGTTTATAATGGAAAAGACGCGTGCACAAGGGTCTCACCCCTAATCTGTACTGCACTACCAAACGCGCCGTGTATAAATCACGATCAGGGGATCATCCACACGGCCGTTGAGGGTCACTCGCCTCTCATAGCAAGCTAACTTACACATTCACACGCTGCAGCAGCCCTCGCCAAGCAGCATTTCTCACTCATCCAGCCTGATAGCACACTGTACCGTGCATTCGCACCCTCGTTCCTAACCACCCTTCCGCCTTCTCCCTCCTGATTCCTCCTCCCTGTCTCTCTGCCCTCCGCCCCCACCCCGTCATCACCCTCCCACCATCTCCGTGAACGCGGTGTGCTGCAGGCGGTGCTCTCGCGCCTTGAGCTGCACCACGAACAACATGCCGTTGCGCGCGGGACCCAGACGGGAGAACTCGTCAGCTGGGGAACAGCGGGGCAGCGGGGGTTGGAGGGGCGGAGAAGTGGGGCGGGAAGAAGCGTCACAGGGGGGTCGATAGAGTGTGGGGGTGGCGATTGGGGAGATGGGAGGAGGAGCGGACAGAGGGCATACAAGGACGAGGGCGGGGGTCTAGGGACACGAAAAGACAAGTTATGCTTCCTCTTCCCCTCCGTATGGCGGGCTTGCAAACCCCATCCATTCCACCCGGCCTACCGTGCATGCAGTGTCTGCGTATCCTCCAACCGCACCCAACCGCTCACTTCCCCACCCCGGCTCATTCCACCAACCCCTGCCCTCCTGCCCTCCCCTCTCACGTGCGAAGCCGTACGTCCAGGAGCAAGTGAGCACCACCTTGAGCGGGTCGGCCAGCTCGCGGAAGTTGCAGCTGGGCTCGCCCTCGAACTCGCCCGGGTGCTCTCGCGCGTAGGCACGCAGGGCGGCCTGGATGTCCTCGCGCACCTCCCAGGCCACACCCATGTCGCACACCAGCCTTAGGCCGGCGGCGGCAGAGGAGGGAGAGGGGCAGGAGGAGGGAGATAAGGAGGTTGGACCAAGGGAGCCGCGTAGTTGGAGTATGTGGGTGTGGTATAGGCCGGTGGTGAGTGTGGAGTCGGGCCCTCCCCGGTCGAGCTGCTTCCTTGCCTGCCTCCTCCCGGCGCCCTGCTGCTCCCTGCACGCACCTGCAGGACTCGGACTTGTTCTTGGAGCGCGTCCAGTTGGTGATGCCCTGGGTGATGAGGCTGGTGTTGGGCATGTACACGCGCTCGCCGTTGGCCCTGCGCCATGCCAATAACCACAGTTACGTTTCATCTTGGGTTTCAATCCAGCAGCAACAGCAACAACTGGCATGTTAGCAGCCGCCATGTTACCAGGGGGCAGCCCCCCGAGCCCACTCCCGCTCCCCGCCCCTCCCTACCTGACCAGGTCGGTGAACAGCAGGCTGATCTTCTTGACGCGGTACATGTCGGCCCCCACCAGGATGCAGTCACCCACGTCGTACGGGTGCGTGATGAACAGGAACAGCATGCTCTCGTACATGTTCCTGAGGGGGGTGCGTGAAGGGGGTAGGAGTGGGTTCAGAAAATTGTTCAGCTGAGTGGAGGTTCATCAGGGAGATGGGTACAGGGAGGAGGTGGAGGTACTACAGGCGTAGGGGGTTACAGTGCAAACGGCAAGTGCGGTTACAGGCTGGACAGGCCGTAAGGGGGACTTGGGGCTTTTCTCCATGTGAATGCAATACGCAACATCGATGCCCGAGCACAACGGGTTGCTTCCCAGCGAGCCTAGGGCACGCGCTGCCCCCCTACGTCATCTGTGTGTGAGACCCATCACAATGCCCACATGCCAGCCATGGGAGCAGCTGCGCGCCTCCTTGCGCACCCACCACTTACTTGACGCTGTTAGGCGGCAGGGCGGATGTCACCACAGCGGCATGGCGCCACAGCGGCATGGCAGCATCCATGCGGCAAGAGCACCGACAGTAGTGTGCACCAGTCCGAGTGCACATCGTTCCGTGTCCATGTAGGCATCGCCGCATCCAGCGATCCGAGGGAGGGTAGGGGGACACACCAGTGAGAGGCAACAAGTGAGGGGCAGCTCGGGCGGTTCCTTCCCTGGCGCAGAGGTAGCTGACTTTCGTGGCAATTACTGCCGCTCCGTCCCATTCTACGTTGAATAGCATTTTACCATATTGCACGACAACAACGCGCATGCAGTCCTACGCGTGATGTGCATTGCAGCTCCGTTCGTCTGGCCGTTATTCAAATGACGCTAGCGCTATTGCACGCCTCATGTCATATACCGTGCAGTGCTCCTTGCAACATACCCTGCTCGCAGCAACGCTTGCGTACCTGTTCCCAAACACGAACGTGAGCGCCAGCACGGTGGCTGAGAAGGTTGAGAAGCCAGTGAGCAGGTCCACCCCCCAGATCAGCAGGTACACGGCGGCGAACACGAAGTGGATCACACCGCCGATACCAAACTCCAGACTCTGCTCGCAGGTGGGGTGCACACGCACAAGGAGCAGGGCAAGTGGGGCGTGTATCGGTAAGCGCAGCCAGTACTAGGAGGCAGTTACGGCTCCGGTTAAGGCTTGGGAATGCCATGACGTCACAACGTGTCTGTGCATATGGTGTGCCGTGCGAAGCGACCCATAGACCTGCAAAATTCGCGTTAGGAAGCGGACATTTCTTGACACCCTAGCACCATTGTAACGGTCATTCATTCATTCACCCTAGCCAGTCACATGCATCACAAGAGCTGGGCCCCTCCGATGCCGCCTCCGATGCAGTACCTGTCGCACCCACCTGCACAATGGTCTCGGTGTCTTGGAGGCTCCGAGCCATGTTGCGCCGCTCTGTAGGGTCGTGCGATGAAGGGCATGGAGAAAGTGATAGCCAAAGGGAGGAGGGAATTGGGAAACTGAGCCGCGATATAGAAAGCTACGGTCATTCATTCATAGAAGGGAGAAGGATTTTCACTACAAGCTGAGCTGGCTGTTTTTGAGTGCTGCATGGGTCATCTGACACACGTGCTGCTGGCGCCGCCGAACCCTGTCCCTGCTGCTGCAGTGCTCCCACCCGCTGGCTGCATGTGGGGTGGGCGGGGTGTGCGAGGTGTGCTGCCGTCACAGGCGCACCCACCCACCTTTGTAGATGTTGACCACCGCCTGCCGCACCTCAGAGCGACTAACCTGCGAGCAGCAGCCAGAGGGACAGGGAGGGAGAGAGGGCAGCGAAGAACAGGTGTGGGGAGCGGGCCGTTCGGAGAACTCACGGCAGCTATAATACGATATTGCACACCGGACTACGATCAACTACCGCTGGCAGGGGAGGTTTCCTCTGCACCAGACAGCAGGCCGCACGCACCTCCCCATTGCCGTCCGTATCGAACACCGCAAAGGCCTTCCGCGCCGCCTCCTCCGCGGAACGCAGCCGGGCAGCTCGAGCGCGGTCGGAGCTGGCAGTAGCCTGCTGCTGCTGCTGTGGTGGTGGCGGCCCTCCAGCCTCCTCCCCATCACCGCCGGAGTCGCCAGCAGCGCCCGTCACCCCCCTCCCGTCCCCATTCTCCCCTTTCTGCGTCTTGCTACCGCTGCCTTCCCGAGCAATACCTGCGCCTCCACTGCTGCTGCCACCCGCTCCCTGCCCTTCCTTGTCCCTCTCGCCCCCCGCCTCACTGCTCCCCTCCCCCTGCTCCTGCCCCTCTAAGAAGAACGGCAGCAGGTCCGCCAGCACGAGGTGCTGCCGGCCCGAGTCAGGCGGCAGCAGGTTGAAGTACAGCGCCTTGGCGAAGCGCCGTACGCGACCCAGCTCCTTGTCCTGGAGGTGGGGGTAAGAGGCGAGGAGGATCGTTGTGAGGGTGGGGGATTGAAAGCCGCAAAACACCAGGGCCCAACATACTGTTCAACACGTCTGGCCACAGTGCCAGTAGGACTCTTCTGTCATTCCCTCGCAGCAGCGAATCCCTCTCGCTTCCCCTCCCTGGCGATAAAGAGCTGTTCCATGCCCCTCCATCCGGCGCCCTTCCCCCATGCCGCAGTCCCACCATGTCTTCATCGCTCTTGTCCGCGTACTTGCCGATGAGCGCCGACTGCGTCTTGATCACGATGGCGGTGCGAACCTTCTCGAGCTCCGCCTCCGTCAGCTGCCGCAAGCCCTGGGGGCCAGGGCGGGCGGGAGGGAAAGAGGCCTTGCAAGTTAGGCATGAAGGGTTGTGGGCGGCATGAGCACAGTCAAGCAGGGAAGGGGGGCAAGGGGGGGAGGCGCGGCTGGATGGCGGATTACAAGCAATATAGCTTCTGTATTCCAGGATAGCGGCGCAGGATGTGCACGTAACTAGGAGAGGGGCGCCGGGCCATAACTGCATGGGGGGTTGCCATCCACGTGTCTTGCCGGCCATCCCCCCGCATAGCTCCCCTCCGTGCGTCCCGCACCTATCTACCTTTTCCGCGGTGAGTGTGTTTCCCGGCGGTACCACCTCCACCATGGCCTGACTCACAGCCGCCTCGGTGGCGGGAGCAGCAGCAGCGGGATCTGCGCCGGCTGCGCGGTGGGTAAGCGGAGAGGGGTGTGGTACTAGGCGGGAAGGGGGAAAGGATTAGTATGTGTGAAGTGGATGACTGTGTGCAAAACAGCTGAGACAGGAAGTAATGTGGTTGCGGGGTGTGCATGAAAGCCAAAAACATGAGACCAAGGCATGCAGGCGCCAGACTCATGCCCCGTCAATAGTACCCCGTGGCATACATGGGCACCTCCCATAAACCACGTTTGCAGACCGTTGCCTAAACAGTCAAACAGGAAGGATTTGCATAAACAGACGACCACTTCTCCGTCCAAAGGTTTGGACATATGCCTTTGCCCCAACCGACCTCCTGGCAGGCTTTTCGCCGTGCCCCTCTTTGCGGTTACCGACGCCCGGCTTGCTCGGCTGCCCTGGCTGTCCTGCCGCCGGAGCGCTGGTCCCTGCCCTTGCAGCTGCCCTTGTCCCCGCCCTTGCGCCGACCCCGGTAGGTCCGCAAAGTCCCTCCGTCGGAGCCAGAATCGCTTCGCTCCTTTAATCGGCACCAGGGGGACCCCCGGGCCCCTCTTTTCCGCTTGCATGGGAAAGTCGCTTGGTGGGCCGACGGCTGGGACAGGGCCCTCTGGTGCTGCAGGGCGGTTGCCATGAGCCAGGGTGTTGTCACCAGCAGCAAGCGGGTCTCCCCCAGCAGCAGGAGCTGCGCCAGCAGGAGGCAGGTCGGCAGGTCCGGAGGCGCCGAGAGAGGTGCGAGAGGTGGAGGGCAGTAGCCGCCGCAGGGATGGCAGCGGTGAGAGGTGAGCGGGTAGCCGGGCGCATGTGTCCGGGGCTTCGGAAGACGTCCCAGTGCAGCTCCCTGCGAGTGCTAATATGCCGGTTGCGGATCCATCAGCGGCTGCAGCGGCTGCCACGAGTGCATGAGCAGCTGGGTGTTGAGAGGGGTGGGAGACCTCGGGTCCAGCAGGGTGATGGGCAGGGGCAGACTCTTGCTGCTCTTGATGCCGTACCAAGTGCCCACCGGAGGAAGGGGGAGTGGAAACCGCTGGCGGGGCATCAGGGGGCGGTGAGCCAACTGGAAGCTCCGCGGGTGAGACGGAAGACACGCTGGCAAGCGGCGTCGGCATAACCTCAGGAATTGCTCCAGCCAACGCGGCCTTAGCCTTCACCTCAGCATTAGACGTGTGCGCAGTAACAACGGCCATGCTTCCCGCTTTCCCTCCTCCGTCGTTCTGCCTCCTGGGCTCCACCTGCGGGCCTTCTACCTCCCGAGGAGCCATGCCGGCCGACTGCACTTCCGGTGCCACTCCTGCCTCCGGTATCGCCATAGCAGCGAACGCCAGTGGGGAGGTAGCTCCTTGCGACAGTGCTTCTGCTCCTGCCGTGGTTTCCGGTCGGGTTACTGCTACTGCCGGCGCTGGTGCTGTTACATTTTGGCCGGGGGCTGGGGCTGTTGCTGCTGTTTCTGGCGGCTGTGCAGGAAGCCGCTTGCTGGCACTGGTAGCGGTGGTGGTGGCCACACCCGCCTGGTGGAAGAAGGGCAGCCCCAACCAGCCTCCACCGCCCGCTGCACCCCCAGCGGCAGTGGCGGCTGCAGCGGCAGAACCCCTGGTGTGGTGCTGCTCCCCCAGCACCAGCCTGCGCGGGCGGGACAGCACCTGCAGCACGTACTCCTTCTCCAGCGCGCTCTTTAGCTTCTTGAAGTGCGCGGTGCGGTAGAAGTGGGTCGTCAGCAGCTTGGCCAGCACCGCCTGCGTGTGGGCGTGCGTGCGACAGGACACACGGCAGCAGGGGAGGAGGAGTGGAGGAGCGCAGCAGGCGTGCAGGCCATGTGTGAGGGCCGCCTTCACTGCTGCAAAAGAGAGGGACCCCATTGAGTTCCAGCCAGGACGATCACTAGCCACGAGTACACAGCGCAAGCCGGGGTGATGCAACAACTCGCCGCCCACCTTGAGCACGTTGGCCAGGCAGAAGAGCATGAGGCACAGCAGCACCCGCCACACGACGGAGGTGGCCTGCACGTAGGCGGGCTGCTGGCAGCGGCGCGGCAGGGCGACCGTGCTGCGACACCAGGCCCACCTGAGGGGCGGGGGAGAAGGCCACATGGAGGCACAAAGGGCTGAGGAGGCGGTGCGCTGCGATGCCATGGTGGGAGCATTATTGCATGGAGAAGGACAGCGTCTCAGCTCGCGGAATACGCGCTTGGGTCAGGGGGTCCGTGCTAGGCGGTGATCGGGCTGGTAAGGATGAGGCAGCTGGATGGCTGGATGATGAGGCTGCAGCGCTGTTCCCAAGTATATATGGGAACACGGCGGGTGTACGGCTGTACTGCCGTTCGAGCGGCCTACCTGAATACGGTGCAGTACCAGGGTAGCAGCACGAGGAAGAACAGCAGCCACACCGCCTTGCGCTGCACGCTTAACAGGTACAGCAGCGACTCGCGGAAGAATAACCACTGTACGGCGCCAACCCGACACAGCAAGGGATGCGTCAGAGCATGCGGTACATTGCTGAGGTAAGGAAAGGAATAATTGAGCATGGACGATAGGTTTAAGGAACGTAGGACAGGTGATGGCTAAGCGAAATGCACCCCACACTCTAGGCAACACGCTTCAGAGGCCAGCTGGCGCCACCCTTGTCTGCACAGTTAATGCTCGGGGCTGACCCTTGCCGACCATGCAACCCGCCACGTTACTTCGCCGCACACCCTCTGCTTCCCGCGTGCCTAAATGTGACTCACCTCCAATACCGCAAACGCATGCCCTACAATGTAGGACAGGATGTAGTACAGCAGTGGCATCGCAGCGAAGAAGTAGAACCAACGGAATGCGTCTGATTCAGAGGACTGCAGCACGTTGTGCAGGATGACCCCCACCACCAGCAGCAGCAGCCCCACACCCACGGGACACATGAACCACAGAACCGTGGGTCGGCGGTACCAGGGGGGAGGAGCGTCGTCGTCGTCTGCGGCTAAGTCATCCTCGTCCTGGTTGAAAGGGAGTTAGAGCAGGTTGGGAGCAAGCCGCATGAGTTGCGTGGCGCCTCGACCCGATCTCTCCACATCCGACCCCGCCCCATCAACCTGCACCCACCTCCTCCGCCTCAAACAGCGCCAGTGCCTCCAGGTTACCCAGGTTCTCAGCCACCAGCTCAGCATCAGGCGCCTCGCGACCCGCCTGGCTGCTGGCACGCTTGCCGCCACCCTGCTCCCCCGCCGCGCCGCCGTCCGCCCTGGCTGGCTGGGCACCCGGCTCACGTTCCGGCGTGCTGGCGTTGTTCGTTGTTGTGGTACCAGCTGGGGTTGGTACCAGCGGTTGCGTTGGCATGGCCTGTGAGGGCTGGGGTGGCAGTGGCGCGTGTGCTGGTGGCGCCGCCTGTATGGAAGGCGTCGTGCCGGGGTTGCGGTTTGGAAAGAGACCGTCTATGGGAGGGACAACAGGGAAGGCAGCAGCGAGGGCAACGCCTGCCGCTGCTGCATTGCCGCCAGCATTCAAGCCGCCGCTGCCACCGCCACCGCCGCTGATGCTACTAAGCTGCTGCTGCTGCTGCAATGGCTGCTGCTGAGATGCTGGTGCGGCGCGGTCAAGCCCTGGCGATCCCGATGGAACGGGTATTGACAGCGGCAGCAGCAGTGCGGCTGGAGCACCGTTTCTGCCCGCACCAGCGCTGTTGTCAGTGTCGACGGTGCCTGATGGAGCTTGACCCTGCAGCGACTGTAAGGATGACGTGACCGGACTGGGATTGGAGGGCTGCGAGGGCGTGGCCGCCCTCAAGGGACTTCTACTGCTGGTACCCTGCGCGCCGGTGGTAGCAGCGGTATCGACATTGTACGGCCTAACTTCGCTCCACTGTCGCAGGTAGTGCTCCTGCAGCCCCTGGCGGATAGCAGCTGGCGTTCCAACACTCGCGGTGGTGTTTCTGCTGCTGCTTTGCACGGCTGCTGATGGATGGATTGCGGAGGGCTGCGGACGTAGGCTTCCCATGGGCTGAGCCGTGGCTTGCAGGCTCTCTGTTGCGGCTGCTGTTTCTGCTGCTGAAATAGAGGCGCTGGGAAAGGCAGGGGAAGGGCTGCTGCCCACTGGCCCAACGCTTTCACTTCCTGAATTTTCCTGGGCGAGGTATGGCAAGTGTATCCCATGTAATGGTTGGCTTTCAGATTGCGGCGCCAGCTGTTGCTGCTGTGCTCGTTGCTGCTGCTGCTGAAGCATTGATAGCAGGGCCGCCTGATGTTGAGCAGGACTGAATTGGTTGTGCGGAAGTAGCTGCTGCAGCTGTTGCAGTAGCAGCAGCACTTGCTGCTGTTGTCCCGTCACAGCTCTCTCTACAGTCTGGCGGCCTGCCAGGAACGCTGTCTGGGCCTGCGACGTTAGCGCTGGACCCAGATCGAGCCTGGAAGCCACAGCAGCACTCTGGCCGCTGAGGCCCAAAAAGGTCCCGCTTTTTGCCGCCGCCGCCGCCGCTGCTGCTGCCAACGTGGATGGCGCTGCGAGAATGTTGCGGGGTACCATGCGCGCGGACCGGCGAGCCAGGTCCTGTTCCTCTGAGTCCGAGTTATCTGAGTCGTCAAACACAGAGGATGCCACGCTCGCAGCCGCATGCGCCTGGAGGTTCAGGCGGCGCAGGGTGGCGGGCGTGATGCCGCTGGGCATCGTCGTGGAGGAGGCGTAGGGATCCGGGAGGTGAGGAGGGGCCGCGATGATCTCGGTTGCAGGCCCTTGAGGGGGTTGCGGGGGTGCTTGTGGAGGGTTCCGCTGGTAGCTGCCTGTAGCTGGGTTGACGGAGACGCTGGTGGTGGTTGCTGAGGAAGTGGACGCTAGCGGGTAGGGCCATGGCTGTGGCAGCGTTTGCTGGAGTCCGGTGTAGGGGCTGGTGGTTGCGTTGTAGGGATCTGGGAGGGGCGGAGCGTTGCGGCTGTCAGCGAATGGGGCGGTATTGGGGTGTGATGCTTGGTCAAGCACTGATGAGGAAGCAATGCTTGGCTGTCCACTGGCTACCGGTGCTGCTCCACCACCTGTGTCTGCAGGAGGGGGTGCGAACCCAAGACCTTGGAAGGGTGGGTAATCTGACGGAAGGCCCATGCACACCGCAGGAATGGCATTATCTTTGGCTAGGTTTGTGGAGGAGGTGTTCACATTGGCCGCTTCGATTTCGGATTGCTTATCCACAGCGCGTGGTCGCAGTAACAAGATGTTTGGTCGCTGCTCGTTGATGGCACTTGCTAACCCTGTGGAGCGCAGCGGACGCATGGGGGCAACCGTGAAGGTTTGTCGTCAGCGAATGTCATTAAAATTGCAAGGCAGCGGCGCCTATAATACTGTTATTAGGGACAACTTGCATGTAATTGTTGGATGGTAAAGTAGATAACTAGTCTATTATTCTTTACCTTCGCTTCTTCCTATCGAAGGCTTCTTAACAATGTCGGCTGTTGCTGCACCATCCTCATCGGCACAGTGTCCGCCATCCATCTTTTGTAGGAAGGCATAAAAAGAAACTATTATGTTTGGTTACTGCACAAGATGTCTGTGGTTGTCCTAGGGTACTGCGACCTCCTGAGCTAACTTGCAGCCAACTGGGGATGCCGCCTATTACAAGCGGCGAGATACACTACTGTATATGCATTTAAACATATTTTGTGTGGCGGCCTGAGTGAATACGCAGCTTCTTTGTTCGGTGTTTCTTGCGGCATAGGGTTTGATCCACGAAATTGGATCCGAACAGAGAACAGCTACTTCTGGAACCAGCGCACCGCGGCATGCTGCTTTAGTCGTATCCGGTTGTTAATAATGGCTGTTCCGCTTTTCCATCCGCGCTATGCTGTATAGGTGAAAATCCCTTTTCCGTATATAGAGGGTCTATGCGCGGTGCCACTCGAGGTTGTCCTCCTCCACATGTGACCTGTACAACTTGCGTTAGGATTTGGGCACATCACAGACGCGCGTATATATGCGGCCAGGGACAATGCATATGTTGCAAGGAGCCACGAGGAGTGCCCCCAGGGTGTAGGTATCCTTACATGCCATGTTATCAGCACCAACATGATGCCCCCCTTGCCCATGAACGTTGTGTCACCCCATTCACACATACCGGCTGCATCCAAGGACCAAGAACAACCATGGTCACTTGGAAAACAGAGCCAGCATGGGCCTCACGCAACAAATGCTCAAGCGTAGAGTCAAAGTCCTGCGCAATAGCGACGAGATACACAGGCGACGAGGACGCCAGCCAACCCGAAGCCAAAGCCAAGGCACGCCACCCGTCATAGCTGGGAAACCAGCAGGCACAGGCAAATCCGTATCGAATGTGTTTGCCCATCGGGCATCGATGCTGGGCGCGCCTGATACGAGCACGCCCGAAGCGTTGATGCGCCGCACACAGGGGCTTAGGTTAAAAGTATGAATGCTAAACCGTACCAGATCACTAAAACGCCGAAGCCAAGACGAGAAAGAGCTCAATTTTGGCCAAACAATGCAAGAAAGGAGTGCGCTTCCTGCCTATCACCTTCAAATGACACAGCTGAGAAACACCACAGGCATAAGTAGCGATAAAACCAGGCAAGAATACAGGTACTACATCCTGCTGGACGCTGAAGCTAAAACATCCAGCACCTCAGGACCTTTCCCTTTTAAGATGCCGCCAACCCTGCGCACAAACGCATGTACAACTGCGCAGTAGGGAGCAACGCATATCTAATATGTACGGCTCGCTTCTTCGAACATACAAGGACAGTAAAGCGATTAAGTCTCACAGTGACGGCAATGTCAGAAAAACACGGCGTGGCAATCGTAACAGCATGAACATACTTCTCGACGTAAGAGCAACACAGCTTGGAGATAAATGCATTAGTTATTCTGTCTTCGCTGCCGTGCTAAGAAACACAGGCGACGGCGACTTGCTACCTACCAAAGTAAACGCCGGGAGCACTCTTACATGCGTGACGACTCTTCGTAAAGGTGAGCTCTTCACAAACCGGCTCCCCCATGTCCAAAACTCCCAATGCTCTAAGCTGTACCCAACTGCATTGGTTGCTGGGGGGAACCAACTGCGCAGCATCTACCCGGACGCGGTCCACAACGTGACTCCGCTGCATCGTAGCATCATCGCTCCCCTTACTGCTCAGGCGGGCATCATGGGGAGAGCAGGTCCGCCACAGAGGTGGTGGCCTTTGCCACCTCAAACGGCAGCTTGCCCGCCTGCGCACCGAAAAGCACACGCAGGGGGGGGGGGCTTCCAGCTGCTGGGTACCGTCCAAGATATGCAAAAAACCCTTTAAAAAGCACGCAGCTTTTGACATGCTATTGATCATTTGCCTGCTCAACAGAGCTTCACTGGCGGATCCCGTCTTCAGGTTTCCGTACGCAGCCGTCTCCCCCACATACACAACGGCGGGCCTCTTACCGCGTTCGCAATGCGCTCGTCCGCGCCGCACCGCAGCAGCAGACGCACCACCTCCGCCCGCCCCTCCTCAGCCGCAAGGTGCAGGGGCGTGTCGCCGTCCTGAGAGCAGGAGAGAAAGCACACATGCATGCGTGCACTAGATTGCCATTGGCTGGGCCGCGACACAGCCCACATCCGAAGATATCCGTAGAAAGGGAGGTTGCTCTATTCCCGCATGTAGGAGGAGAACACATGGCTATTATGGGAATTCATGCGGACCCCTAGCCCCTGGAACGGAGCCCCGTGCAGCTGCGATTACCCGTACACGAGCACGCGGCAACAGCCTGCATGCTGCAAATCCACTACATGCCCTTTGTACAGCCGAACTGCAGGACGGCGACACTGGCGGCACAGCAGCAGCAGCACCACTTAAGAAGGGGTAAGCGAGCACGCACCCACCTCCGTCTGCGCGTCCACATCCGCCCCCGCATCCAGCAGCACCTGCGCCACACGCACATAGCCCCGCGCGCAGGCCCGGTGCAGTGCGGTACGACCGCCCTGCACGTCATAGCAGTAGCAGCAGATGCAGCAACAGCAACAGCAGTCGCATGGTGGCAGCAGCAGCACATGAGCATCGTCTCAGCTCCTAAATGCCTTGGCAACAGAAGTTATGCCTTGACAACATCCGTTCTGACCCAGCCAGCTACTAGCCAGCTCTCGCTTCGGCTACAATTGTCAAAGCAAAGCCAAAACAGAACTGAATCCCTAGCGTTCCCCAGCGCCCAAGCCTTCTGGCCGCTTCCTTCCCTCTTGCTGCCTCCCTCCTGCTTGCCCCCCTCCTACCAGCAGCTCGTCTGCCTTGAGTGCAGGCGTTGCCAGCATCACACGCACCACATCCAGGCGCCCCTCGTCGGCAGCGGCACGCAGGGGGTTGGTGCCGTACTGTTGATGGTGAGGGGGGGGCAGCGGCAGTGTGGGTGGCTAAGTGGGCGGATGGCAGTAGCTGAGGAGGTAGTGCGGGGAAGCGGCCAGGAAGTCGCGCTGGAAGGGAATCGAGGGTGACTTTCAGGTCAGACCAGGTGTACACGACTCTTTGGCCTCTCTGTGTGCTTAGAAAACTGACCGCGGGTTCGCTCTCTGTATATCGGTGCCCAGAACAGCAGCGTGACAGATACCTCTTCAGCGCATAGTGTAGGAATGCTTCTTATACCCTTCCACTCATTCGCCACCCCTAACACGAACATCAACTACACACACACACCCACTCACCGCGTTCAGTCGGGATGGGTCCGCATGCAGCCCCAGCAGCACCCTCACCACATCCACCTTGCCCTTGCGAGCGGCGTGCAGCAGCGGCGAGGAGCCGCCCTGCTGCAGGTACGGCGGTACGACACATGGGGGAAGAATAAATAAATAATGAAGTAACTGGAGTCCAAATCCCATATTCCGACTCATGTAGTGATACAAGGTAGGCATCATGGCTCAGCTGCTTTGAACACATGGGAACATGATACAACCAATTGATACCCCACTTGAGAGAAGGTGGCACCTGTTGGCTCAGCCCAAGACAATGCCCTAGGGAAGGAACCGCCTGATAACGGTAAAGTAAGGCGCAAGCAGCCACTGATGAACTTAGCGCGCGCGCGCGAGAGAGAGAGTATAGCCAGCATAGATCCCCGGGGGCGAGTCCGCGTCCTTCCAGCACAAAACACAACCGACGTGCAGCCCGCTGCCATGCCCATGATGGCTTACACACATACATGCGGAGTTCCAACCGCCAACCAACCGTCAACTAACCAACCAACAACGCACTCATACGGTACGGCTCCCACCTGGGGCGTGGAGTCCTTGTCCACACCCGCCTCCAGCAGCACACGAACGACATCCACGTGGCCCTTCTCAGCGGCCAAGTTCAGCGGCGTGCGGGCATCCTGTTTGCGTTGACAAGGCAGCACAAGGCACCTTCACACGACACATGTTTGTCGGCTCGGGTCTCGGCTCACCATTTTCTTGGTGACGGCAACACGAACGAGAAAGCACGCCATGAAAGCACAAGGAGAGGGAATCCAACGCAACGGAAAGGCATACTGTGCTGTATACCAAGAACAGAAGGACATGACAACAGCGGACAGCCACGGAAAGGCGGTGCCGGTACTAATAGCAGATATGACAGGCGAGTGGTAAGGTTGGCAGCAGTGCGTGCGGCGCTGCATTACCTCCATCTCGACCTCCTTGTTGGCCCCCGCCTGCAGCAGGACGCGGACCGCATCCACGTGGCCCCCTGCAGCCGCGAGACACAGCGGCGTGGCGCCGTTCTGCAGGCGGGCGGGAACAGAGGGTGGTGCATGAAGCGATGGGATGCGTGAGGAGATGCAAGTGCTCTGTGCCTGTTGCCGCGCGGTGTGACAAGGTAATACAGGTGATGCCGGATCAGAGTAGTTGATAGCAAGGGAGCGTGGGGAAGTGTGGGGGAAGCATGAAGAGTGACGGATGAAGGGATTCGACTGCGGGAATGCAGTGCTGGTCAGCAGCACAAAAAGCTGCCTATATCCGGTGGACAGTGGTAGCTAGGATCTGACTGCCGCAAAGACTGACGGTCGTCGGAATCACCAGGAAGAGCCCGCAGCAATGCAGCCAATCTTTGGGACAGGGCAGACACCGACATGCCTTCCTGAGCCCCTGATGGCCTGCAAGCCGGCCCGCCCCGTCCCCCTCACCTTGCACGCAGCCTCCTTGTTGGCCCCCGCCTCCAGCAGCGCCCGGACCATCTTGGAGTTGCCCTTCTCAGCAGCCACATGCAAGGCTGTGGCGCCGTCCTGCAGGCAGGCATGCATGCAACAAGGAACAGCACGTGATGTAATGGCATGCGTGTGCGTGCAAGCATGGGAACAGAACCCTCGTCAGGAAGCCGGGCGTACTGCTCTGGTTGCGAATGCATGGGCAGCACCGTCAAAGCAGCAGCAGTATGGCAGCAGCAAAAGCAAACAAACTTCTGCTCTGCGTAACTTCCACGGCCTGCTGAGGTCCTGGGAGGGCAGCCGTCGACTCCATGCATGCATTGCCACGACGCGTGCACGTGTAGAGCCAACTGTGGAATCACCCACGCCAGTAACGTATTCTAGTTCCCAACCCGCTCTAACTCACCGCTGCGGTGCTGTCAATGTCCACGCCGGAAGCAAGCAGGGAGGGCAGCGCCTCAGCCACGTTGTGCGCCGCAAACCTGTGCAACTGCGTGGCGACCTCCTGCGAGATAGTAAAAGCAAAAGAAGAATTACTTGGTTATCCAACACACGCCTGCAAGTTCTTGTCAGATACAGCTACACAGCTAGCACCATAAACGTACAGGTCCTTGCCGCTTATCCGGAAAGCGCTCATGCAGCTTAGCTGCTGTAAGCCCACACCAGCTGCCATAGCCTACACGACACGGCAGCATGCCCGAGTTCCCAAACCCCAGCCGTACTCTAGAGGCCGCATCGCCGCCGACGCCAGCGGGTTGCATCGCCCGCAGCATCCCCGCAAAGCTTCTGTCACCCGCTAGGGACATGGGTGTTGCGCCACCCTGTGGAGGGATGGCACAGGTGGAGCATGCGGCCCGGTAGATGGCCCAGAGCCGTTGGTTAGACCACAAACTCCCCCCTGAACTCGAATTATGCATAGCACGGGTCGGGCCCAAGTACGGCGCCAAACCAATACCATACTGCGTTGGCTCTTCGGCACATGGCTACCTACGGCCCTAGAGTCCAAGATATGCAGGGATCTAGGGAGCTCTGCAGCAGGCCCTCCTCGCATGTGTGCGTTGGGAGATCTGGCTGCAAGGAGGAACGTACTGTAGTTGTTGCATGCATGTCTGTCCCTACCTTGTTCTTCACATCCGGCCTGGCACCAGCGTCCAAAAGGGCGCGCACGGCCTCCGAGGAACCCTTCCGGGCTGCGATATGCAACGGCCTGTCAAGATTCTGCAAGCAGCAATTGGGGATTCGCACGGTGCGAAGGGTGAATGAGTTGGCAACCAAGTGGGGCATGCGCAATGGCAACATGGCTTTATGGATGGCGGGGTTGCATGGCTCTCACCACTCGGTGCGGCACGTCCCACGAATCCACCGGCAGCAGCACTACCGGCAATATCGCACAGCTGCTGCGCTAAGCTGCTACGGTGCGAACGCCCGTGTGGGCCCTGGTCTGCATCCTTTCCTGCATGACTGCAACCCCATCAGCGCCCCACAAGCCTGGCTCCCCTTCATTACTAGTGGGACAGCGCGCGTGCAGAAGTACTGACGCTCAGCCTCTCTTGCAAAGGCCCTCCTGACAAAGGAGTCGCGCAGTGGCATCCCGGCAGTGACACCCCTGCCTACCCACGCCACATGTCTACCCAACTTTCAGCTCACAGCACCCCAGCATCCCCACCTCGTCAGGGAGCTCGACGTTGGCCCCCGCCGCCAGGAGAGCTCGAACCATTTCCAGGTTGTTCTTGTCGACGTAGTAATGCAGAGCAGTGAACAGGCCCTGAAGGCACAGAACACGGGATGGACAAGGTCATACCGGCAAGGCTAGCCACACAAAGCTGTGTTACAAGAGGGGGTTAGCATCCAGCCGGGGACACGTAACAACGTGGGAGCACCGCATTTGCAACACTTGTGGAGAAAGCAGGCAGCTGGCCCCGTCCCTTAAGAGCCCCGTATTCCCTCTCACTCCGCAAACGGCACGTTCTCCCCTACTCCGGACGGCATACAAGGCTCCCCATACTCGCCCCGCACTTGCCTTTGTCACGGTCACATCCCTGTTGGCTCCCGCTCGCAGCAGCGCCCGCACCACCTCCAGATTGCCGTCCTGCACCGCAATAGCCAGCAGCGTGGCGCCGTCCTGCAGCAGCAGCAACAGCAGCATAGGGTGGAGGCAGCAGGTGGTGTTGCAGGCAGCAGCAGGTGGTGTTGCAGGCTGCACCAGGGGTGTTGCATGCGGGCGAAGCAGGTGTGCGGGATGCTTCATGCTGTTGACGGCGTGCCCGCGGTGTGCCGCTGCTGTTTCACTGCACATGCGGCCAGTAAATCTGTGTGTATCGCATGCATGAAGCGCCACATAAAGTGCAGCCACATCCTTGCCATGCCCAACCCAAGTTAACCTGTCCCAGTGCCATTCATTCCCCGCCCCACCTCGTAGGTAAGCTCCTTGTTCGCTCCCGCCTCCAGCAGCATATGGAATATCTCCATGTTCTTGGTCTTGTAGGCAGTGCGCAAGGGCGTGGACTGGCTCTGTATGATTACCAGCAGAGACGGAGGGGAGGAGGGAAGCACAAAACACGCGCGTTCGAGGCGTGATGGCGTGTTGGCAAGGGGCAAGGCTGCAAGACACTGGGCCTTGTGAATGTGCGGATGCAGCTATAGCTGCGCACAACAGGGGCTGGCCCATGCCTGAAGCAGCATGTGCTTGGCTGCATGCGGTTTCCCACTGACAAGGTCCGCGCGGCAGTGCACACCCCGTTGGCCACCTGTCAGGAATGGAACCGTGCATGGCCGTGCGAGAGCAACAGCGCACACAGGTGACAAGGTAACATCCACAACACTGTCACATACACACCAACATGGAAAACGCGAGTATAGACACCGCCGGGTCCCACGAGGGAAGCTGCTACTCGCCGGCATGTTGTCCTTGTAGGCTCCGGCCTCGATGAGGGCCTTCACGACGCCCGCATGCCCGTTTTGCGTGGCGATGAAGATGGGTGTCGCGCCGGACTGGGGGTAGGGCGAAGCCGGCGGAACCAGGCAGCGCAGACCAGCGGCAACGGTTGCATGCAACAACAGTTAGAGAAACATATGCAGTACAATTCCTGGCAACCGCAAAAATGAAAGGCGGCATGAAACTAGGTTGAATGCACTGGCTGCGTTGTTTAGGCTGGTCGGATTGGACACCTCAACGGCATGGATGTGACGTGCTTTTATGACATATGGTACAGGGCAGTCCTACGCTCTGTGCCCTAAACGGAAGGGCTCGGTTCCTCAAAGAGCTGCCGACCCATGGGTCACTCGCACTCACCGCTTGCCTCACCTGGAAGGTATGGTCCTTGTTTGCCCCCGCCTGCAGCAGGGCTCGGACCACATCCAGATGGCCCCTCTCGGAGGCCACGTACAGCGGACAGGAGCGGTCCTGAGGGATATGAAACAGGCAGGGAAAGATGGAACGGAAGGGAGGAAGAGGAAGCAGTGGCAAGTAAAAGTTAAGCCTGGAAAATGACAGCGTGCACCAAAGTGCAATACCACTTTTCATGATAGGCTTCTGCGACCGCAGAATCAAGTACAAGCAGTTCAAAGTTCAGGGGAACGTGTACGGGAAGGCACTTGTCGTGTTTGCTGTTCCGGAGCGGTTCCAAGGTGCGTAATAAGGAGGTCGATCTCAGCGGGGAACGCGGGCGCGACTCACCTTGCGGCAGGCGTTGGGATCCGCACCCGCCTTCAGCAACGCCTTCACCGTGGCTACATCCCCGTTCTGGGAGGCGATGTAGAGTGCCGTGGCGCCGCTCTGCGTGCCAGGAAGGTCGTCACGGAGGGGAAGCAGCGATGCAGGGAGCAAAAGGTTCGTCGCCAAAGGGAAAGGGGCTCGTGCACTGACCGGAAAAATAGCCAAAAGCCCCCCCAAACCATACCCAAACGCATCTCAGCTAACATCAAAAGCTAATACCCCATGCATAGCATCTCCTTCATCCAACACCCCCTCTCCTGCCCGCACTCCTAACCCCCGCCCAACCTGCAGCGTCGCCTCTTTGTCCACCCCCGCCTCGCACAGCAGCTGCACCACCTCCGAGTGCCGCTTCTCCGCGGCCAGGTACAGCGCCGTCGCCCCGTCCTGACAGAACAGCACAGCGTGAGAACAGCATGAGCAGAGCACATCGTGAGCGCAGCATGAGCACAGCACAGCACCCAGGATACCGGGGATAACCGGCGGAGAGGGCCAGACGGGTAAGTGTAAAGCGTTTCAGAATGGACTTGGCACGGTGCCCCCACTCTCATGGAAACGAGGGGGTGCCCGCGTGCAGAGAAGCGAGCCCTGGCAACGGGCGAGCCCTGACTTAGGGCAGGGCTGAGGCAAACCACAGCAAGTCAGGCAGGCTAGGGTGGTGCACGCTGCATGGTTGCTGGGGCCATACGCCTGTAATGTGGCAAACCCAGTAAGCCCCAACGGCGCGCCCGCATGCCCGTCCTGTGGGATACTCAAGTCTTCCTCTGTCCTACCCTTGTGTCCCTGCACCCACTCACCGCCAGCGGCTTATGCCTGTTCACGCCAGCCTCCAGCAGCACACGCACGACCTCCGAGGAACCGTGCAGGGAAGCAATGAGGAGCGGCGTGTAGCCAAGCTGCGGGGGGGGCAAAGGGAAGTGTCCCATGGGTCACAAGCTGAGGTTGGTCTGGGGTTGTCATGCAGTACAAGTCAGTAATTCCAACGTCTATGGAATCCACAAGGGAGGGGAACGCTGCCCCAGCCGCAGTGTGTCACTAATGCATGACATTATACAGATTGTCAAACGTGAGGACTCAATGGACGGCCTGCTGCCACTGTTTGGGCTTCAATCGCCTTGACGCCTTGACTGCTCTAGACATTCCCACCCCACAGACCCCTTTGTGCATCGCCACCCCTCGAGCGCATGCTCACGCACTCCTCGGTAGCGCACCTCGGTACTGGTGCCTTTGGTTACTGCTGGGGCCTCCGTGTTGCCATTCTTCGCTCCCGTTGCTGCAGCCTTGTCATCCACCTTCGCTGCTGCCGCTGCTGCTGCTGCCGGGGGCTTCCTCCTCAGGGTCACCTCGGCATTCGCCCCCGCCTCCAGCAGCACCCGCACCACCTCAGTGTGGCCCTTCTCAGCGGCGACATACAGCGCCGTGGCACCGTCCTGGGGGGGCGGTGGGGGGGGTGCATGCATGCACAACGGGGGTGAGCGTGCAAAGCAGTCCTAAAAAGGCACAGAAGCGGTTGCACAGGTTAGTGCTTTTGCCTACACGCACGGCCATCATATACTGCATAACTGCATTCGGCTAGGCAGCCAGCTAGGCTGCACGCATGAGGGCAAGGGAGCCGCTGGGGAAGACGTGTCGGCTACGGCTGGTAAGGAATCATTACGTTAATACCGGTATCCCACACAACCGTTTGGGGTATGCACCCCAAAGTTGGATGGACAGCGGCTCCCTCAAACAGTCAATACCTGGTAAGCGGTTTCCTTGTTGGCGCCCGCCTCCAGCAGTACACGGACCACCTCCGTGTGGCCGCCCAAAGCAGCCAGAATGAGCGGGGCAGCACCCGCCTGCAACAGCAGCACGCAGCAGAAGCAGCAGCGGCACGCAGATTGGGATGAGAGCGCTGAGCCGCGAGGCAAGACGGACCGTGAGCACCGGAGGGGGAGAAGCTCCGTCCGTGGTGTGGCTTGATGATCCAAAGACATGGGGAGCAGTTGTGCAGCAGCCAGCTGCTATGTAGCTCCGAATGCGGAGTATGCGTCGCGGAAGGTGAATGCTGCGAACCAAACGCTGTGTTGCACATGCGACCAGGGAATGGGTTTGCGTGATGGTTTCCGTTCTGCTGGTTGTCAACCTGGGGGGGGCATCCGCGTTCGGCCTGCAGGCCACCACAGAGCACGCCTGTGGCACCTCGCTTGCTCAGCTGTCCTGCTTACCTGTCTCTTGACCTCCTTGTCAGCTCCGGCCTTCAGCAGCACACGCACAATGTCGACATGACCGGCTTTCGCGGCAGCCAGGAGCGGCGTGTAGTTATCCTGGCGGCAGCAGTAGCGGGTAGTGACACCACACGTGCAAGGCGTTGGGGATGTGGGTAAACTGGGCCGCGAGGCGACTGGAGGGAGGGTAGGGAGTCTTAACGTACGGTCGCTTCAGCCAATCAATTGGGGTGTGCTACCTCGCCACGTTATGTGCGTGCAAAGGTACTGCCAGGTGCGTGCCCCAACCCAGGGGAACTCTTGCATTGGAGCACTGAGGTTCACCTACCTGGCTTACATAGCTGTATTCGCACCCCAGATACAGCAAAGTATCCTCTCAATTCCTAATGAACAGTCAACATGACACTCACCGACTCTGCCACATTGGGATTAGCTCCCTCTGCTAGCAGAGCCTCCACACGACCCAGGTCACCGGCCTCTGCGGCCCTGCACAGGGGCTGCAAGGAGAAAGGGAGGCAGCATGCAGCCGTTAAGCACCACCGCCTGGATAGGCGTTAGCGCGGCGCGCGACAGCAAAGCACAGACGCGCGGTGCGCAAGATGGTGTTGTGTGTGCGAGCGGCGCGGCGCCAGGGTATCAGTGCTAGCGTAGACCAGCAGCAACGGTTGCATGCAACGACGGTTAGAACGACGGTTAAAGAAGTAGTATGATTGCAGGCAAGATCAGAAGATTGGAATGCGGCATACAAAGAGGTTGACTGCACTGGCATGGTTTCTTTGGCTGCTGGCCACATGCGGAACCATTGGATCTGGTGACGGCGACGGTGGTCGGGGGCGCGGGCCCATGGCCATGGCTTAAAGGGCAGCGCAGAGCTGAACCCGCCAGGATTGTCAGCTTACTTCTGGTATAGGTTGGGTCCCAAACACTGGATTTTCGTGCGAACTGTCGGTCTGCGCCGCTTTTTGGACGCCAATCTGCGAGGCATTGTATTTGGAACATGTAAATGCCGCCCGGCATGCAGGCCAGGCTGCATCCCTGCTGCTATGACAGTTTAGCTATTAAGCTCACCCGCGATACCCCGCAGCCCATTGTCGAAAATCCTGCCCGGCTCCCCTCACGCGCTTCGATGCAAGTTGGCTTTGCGCGGGGACGTCGCCTAGCTTACGGATAGTCCACCTCACGGTTACGTGTCTCGCTTGTATTTTGGATGCTGTAAGGCCCGGTTCGAATGTGCGATTATGCCTTGAAATAGGTTTCCGCGGGGCAAATGTACGCGAGTCGTAACCTTATTTAGGGCCGACGGACTTTGAAACCGTTACAGTACATCTAAGGCAGTATTTAACTGTGGGCTTCATTTTTAAAATCCTGCAAGACGTGTGCGACATGTGCCGTACTTCGGGCGTTGATCTCAACGGCTCCCACGGCAGCTCCTGCTAAGGACTGAGCCCCGTTAGCATAGGCAAGGTATCTTATTTTCTACGTTCGTGCATTCGGAAACGGTCATTGTAGGAAAATGTTTCATACCAGGGTAGCGATGACACGGCATGGCATGCCTGCCTTCCAGTTAATTGCAAATGCACAGCCATGCAATCCTACATCATGTAGTACAACTATATCATGAAAAATAAGCATTAGAGACGGTTGGCAGGGAGGTATTGCTGGGTTAGCAGTAGGGAGGAAAGGTGGCTGAGGCGGATGGTGGCTGTCCAAATGTTCCAAAGTTCCAGTGTAACCCCGGGCGAACAGCTCATTTATCGTAAAAGGGCGTTTAGTTGCGCACCGGCCAGCTATGCGGAAGCCAGCACAGTTGCAAGCAATGGCACTCTACTGGGCTCTCGCCCCGTGCAGCAGGGCGCTACATGACATCCCCCTGCGTAGCCCGGAATGTCCTTCGATTCAACTTATCAGCTTCCGTTGCTTACACGAGGAAGACGGGATGCCCGAACATGTGTTTGTTGTAAGCCGTTAACTCCATTTCGCCGAGACCCACACAAAATGCATAGAATATAAAAGAGTGAGCCGTATTTGTTGCCGTACTACCGGTATCTCAACCTGCTGTATGGGCACATCCTGGGAACATACATGTATACTAAAGGAATTGGAAACAAAGCAATGAATTGAGTGCAGCACAGACGCCTGTTTGTCTCTTAGCTAACCCCACACTCAACGTCACCTTCCTAACGGCACACCACCTCTGCACCGCCAAAGCTCTCTACTACAGTTTGTTGGCTACACCCGTGATTACTTCACATTCACCTGCACTAAGCTGTGCCGACTAACTGCGACCCCTACGAGCCAAGGAGCAGAAGCATTGCCGTACTGCCCGGGGCCGACTCGCATGAGAACGATACCATCAAGTGCAGCAATATAGTTACGCATCTGCACCGAGCTGCCAAGCTATCCAACGGGGCCGAGGGACGCAACTCCCTCCCGCTCTCCCCATGAAGGTAAAACACAATCCCCTATTATGACCCCAAGACCACAAAACATCACAATATGACCCCCAAGACCACATCCGTCTTTTGTATCGTTTGGCATTGCTATTGAGCGCACTGTACACGGGTTTAGTCCGTGGCTGCAAGGCACTCCTCCATTTCACTCCACCGCACGCTTGTACTCCCAGGCCTGGCGACACATGGGGCACTTCTGTTCTGCGCTAGATGACAACCATTTCTGAATGCACTGAAGATGGAAAGCATGCTGGCAGGCGCCCCATACAACAGGGCTGTCGTCACCCGGGTACTTGCACTCTGGTGGACAGCCATCGAAAGGCGCGCGACAAATGCCGCATACGTCATCCGCTTCCCAAGTCCAAGCGGCCACCGCGTGCCATTTCTTGATCCTAATTTCGAATGCCATTGCCTGATGACAGATCCTTGCCACCTCCGTGTTAGGATGAGTAGACCTAGCCGATGCCCGATGAGTTATTTCCCTATTTGAAAAGTGACAAGATATTGATGTGCAGAGGCCTCATTAGTACTTGGTTAAAGGTGTGCAATTAACGGGCTCTCCTCACTGGGCTCTAGCTGTCCAAGATAACTTGGCGAATGGCGTTGCAGCCGCTGTGGAAAATGCGTTATGCTATACAAGATAAAATAACTCTAAGATTCCGACATACTAACCCCTTGGCGTTACCGGCTAGGCGCAGTCAGTTAGTAGGTTGACGTGCACGACAACGCAAAGAGGAATCCACAACAAAGAAGAGTATTGTGTACTCCCCTTGTTGACATGGCACCATATTGTTTCTTTTACATGGATTGCTGCTTTGTCGAAAGACGCTACCCTTGTTTACCCTCTTTCCTTGCAAACGCACACCGCTAAGGCACTACAGGATGTGAGTCGTTGAACGCTTTCTCCTTACGAAACAGTCGCCGGAAAGTTTGCCAAACTTTGGCCATGGCGCTTCCCGGTGAGCTCCACACTCTTGACGATGTGGATGCTCCGACGGAGAACCCGTATAGCCCGGGAGTTTTCGGAAAGCTGGATATTGCGGCGCTCTTGGAAGACCACCTCCTGGAGGGCTTGGACACGGAAGCAGACACGGCGGTACTGGTGAGCTGGCAAGCTTCCTGAACATTTGGGCAGAAGGATGACATTAGACTGCATCGTCAGCGTCGGCAAATGGACCCCTTAGTTGTGGCTGTGTTGCTCTACTTTAGGTCGTCCTGCGACGGTATGCCTGGGGACCTGTCGCAGTTGCGTATATATTAATGTTGATATAATACGTGATGCAAAGCTTTAAATTGGCGACTGTTATTGGCTTCGGTAGCAGCCTTGCTTGACGCCGCTGTGGAGTCCGAACGGGCTCCAGACTGATATCCCCATGGCTGAGTTTGCGGCTCTCGTAGGCATTCTTGTAGGGCTTTCTGTTACATGTCTTAGCAATGCGAACGCTTTTTGCAACCGCCAGCAACTCCCGACGATTCCGCTGCAGCTCTACTTTCCTCCCAACAACTGGCCAGCACCGTTTTCCTTCCTGTTCATCTGACCAGACTACTTACTGCCACGCGCCCTGGTCCCTTATGCTGAAATCCAGCAACTTTCCTTCTCATCACTTTCTTAATCGCCTTCTTCGCGCACCCTCTCCTCTTCCTTTCTCCTCCTTCTCCTCCCGCTCTCCACCATTGCCCTCCCACAGGAACGCATCTTCGACAACATCCGGCCCCAGTCGGACCAGTCCTTCAGTCCGCAGCTGCGCCCCTGCCGCGACCCAGCCAAGGACCACCTCCTAGCCGCACTGCATGCGGCGGAACTCGGCCACCCCGCCGCCTACGCTGCCGTACAGGATGTACTGCTGGCGACGGCGGGGGTTCTGCATGTGGGGGTGCTGGGGCTCAATGCGGCGGCCGTATGGGTGGGTGCAGCATGCTGGGGCTGGGCGGTGGTTGCGGCTTTGAAAGGACGTCGCTACTCGCTAGATGCTAGCTGTCAGTTGCCGCCATGCGGGCTGCGGCGGGATGATACCGGGGTGCGAGTGGGAGACGTGGACGAAGGGGAGCTAGGACGAAGGGGGACAGCGCTGCCTCCCTGGCATGGTCAGGGTCGCATTGTCGTGTTTTACGCAACGCATACCGTCTTCCTGCGCAACACAATGCTGTGCGCCCCCCCCCCGCTGCTGCTGCTGCCGTTGCTGGTCCTCCCCTCCCCTCCCCACCCAGGCCCTGTGGACGCACGGCCTGCACACGGCGGCCATTGCGGGTGTCGTCCTCCTCACCCTGCACCTCCCCCTCACATCCGCCCTGGTAGCGGCCTCCGCCTCCACCACTGCCCCTTCCAAAGGAAAAGCAGCCGCCCCTGCATCCTCACGCCACCACCGCTTCACCGCCTGGTTTGTCGTTCCCCTGTACGACATTGCCGTGCTGACAGCGCTGCTGCCGCTGCAGCGGCGGTCGCTGTCGGACCGCCGCCGCCTGGCTCGGCGGCTGCGGTGGCTGCCGGCTGCGGAGCTCTGGCTGTGGCAGTACCGGGCGTGTCGGCAGCTGCTGCTGGTTGTCGTACACTCCGTACCCATGGCTGTTCTGGGGCTGGTGATGTGCATCGTGGGAAGCTGCCGGGACGCCCTGCAGTCAGCAGGAGGAGTAGCAGCAGCAGGGGCAGGAGCGGCTGGGGCGGGTACAGCAGCAGCTGCAGCGGCAGGAGGGGCGGGGATGTTGTGGTTGTTGATCGCAGCGACGGCGGTGTCGCTGCTGCATGCGGCGCTGGGGCTGGGCGAGGCGGCGCTGAACGCGCGGTGGGCGGGGCAGATATCACTGCTGCGCTACTGCGGGCTGGCGCTGCGGCTGAGGGGCGCTAAGAAGCTGCCGTACGAGTGGCAGGTGGGTGGCTGGAGGGTGGAGAGGAAGAAACGGACGAGCTGTATGACGGGTGGGGGTGGGAGAGGAGGCAGGTGGCGGGTTGGAGAGCAGACCAAGAGAGGATAAGTGGTTGGTGGCAGAGGGAGGAAACGGTGTCACCGAGCGCGCGCAAGAAGGGAGACGGAGGGGCTGCATGTCGCCCTCCTCACCCCTCCTCACCTCTCAGCGCTGTGCCGTCGTATGCACTCCGACTCCTTCCGCGTCCACACTTCTTCCCGCACCCCACACCGCCCCCCCTCTGCCCTGCAGTCCCAGCTGTCCGAGCCGCGGCTGGTGATCCGCCCCGACTCCTCCGACTTCTCCGACCTCAGCCGCCCGCAGCAGTGCCAGCTGCTGCGACTGGCGCTGCAGAGGCCCTACTTCGCCATCGCCAACGCAGTCACACACCCGCGACCGCCGCCGAAAGCATCGCCCGGAGCACAGAACGCCTCCTCGGCGGCAGCGGGGGCTGCAGCAGCAGCGGGCGGAGGTAGTAGCAGTGGCGGCTGCGGCGGCTGTACGGCAGCGCTTGCAGCGGGCTGGAAACGGTTAACGGCTTTTTGTCGGGCAGATTGCATGATGCCTGGGTGTTGCAAAGCAGTGGCATGCTGTGGAGGTGGGAGTGCCGCCGGCGGCGGCGGCCGTCGCCGCCGTCGGTCGTCGTCTTCCTCGGATGATGACGACGGACCCATGGGTCGCCCGCGTGCGCCGCCCTCCGCCTGCTTGCTGCTGCAGAGCAAGGCGGCGGTGAAGGCGGTGGTGGGTCTGCTGCCGGGGCCGCTGGCGGCTGCGAGGGGGTCGCTGACGGGGGATCCGCCGCAGTGCGACCTATCGGTCAACCTGGTGTCGTTCAGGGACGCGGCGGCATGCAAGTGGGTACCGCACCAGCGTGGGGGTGGGGTGGGGGTGGGGGTGCATGTTGGATGACTTTGAAGAACCTAGGTTGTGTCTAAACCCCTCACATGCACTCTTGCCTCCGACTGTGCTCCTTGATAGGCCTGTGCTTCCTCGCACCCTGCTTCCGGATCTCTTGAGCATACGGGCACACGCACCATGTTGACACCGGGTCACTCCTGGGTTGTCCCGCTGCTCCTCCTGCCGCTCCTCAGGCATTGCCGTGCCCTGCTGGAACTGGTTGTACGGCAGGGGCTGCGCTCGCTGGTGGTTGGGGATGCGAAGCTGCAGGTGAGCGTGTGAATGAGGCGTGCAGGTGGCAGGCGGTAGCAGGCAGTGCAGGTGGCAGGCAGTGCACCTCTGACCCCCGCTCCCTCCCCCTGCCCCCCGCCCCACCCCAGCTGGACTTCTTCGGCGTGCTGACTGCCTACCTGCCCTCGCGCAGCTGCGTGCTCACAAAGCTGGTGCTCAAGGACGTCATGTCCAGCGGAAGTGAGGCGGACAGGGCGGGCGGGTGGGGGGGAGGTGCTGGCGTGATGGGGGGAAGGGGGTACCCCGGCATGTAGTTTGGGATCAGGATATTTAGCGGGATAATCAGGAGGGAGACTTGAAGGGTGAGGAAAGCTGCGGTAGCTCGCATGTACTTCTCCGCTGCGCTCTGGCCTCCCGCTCCTCCCCTTCCTCGCTGCTCTCATTCGCCCCCTGCTCCCTTGCCCTCTCCCCGTCTGCCTCGCCTCGCCTCCCCCCTCCCCGCGCAGTCAGCGTGTTGTGCATGTTGTGCGAGGGCATGGCGGCCAACCACAGCGTCACGCACCTGGACCTGTCCAACAACCAGCTGTGGGGCATGCGGGGCGCGCGGGAGCTGAGGACCATGCTGCGGGGCAGTGCGGGGCTGCGGGTGCTGCTGCTGCCCTTCTGTAACATTGCATCCGCGGGTGGGTGGGTGGTTGCGGGAAGGGAAGGGAGGGGATTGGCTGCGGGTGTGTGACGTCCTCTATAGAGTGGGGGGCCTGGCGACCCTGGCGTGTTGTCCCCATTCGTGCCACCCCACCCCTGCCCCACCCCTCTGCCCCACCCGCCTCAGGCGCGGCTGAGATCTTCAAGGGGGTGGCGGAGAGCGCCAGCCTGGAGCAGCTGGACCTCTCGCAGAACCACATCGGGGACGACGTGCCGGACTGGACGGAGCTGCTGGGGGCGCCTGGGGTGGCCGCAGTTCCGCCCGCCGGGGGGGTGGCTGCGGGGTCTGGAGGCCCGGGTGCGGGTGCGGGTGCGGGAGGCCGGGCGCGCAACGGGTCGCTGCGGGAGGTGGACCTGAGCTTCAACTGGGTGCAGGTGGGGCAGGGAGGGGAGGAGGGAGGGAGGGGGAAAAATTAAATAAGTGAAACAACGAGTCCCAATCCCATATCCCGAGGGGAGGGTGCGAGGAGGGGCGGCATGCAGTGCCGGGTGAGGCAGGTGTGGGGGGGTAGGCCAGGGCGCAGCTGGTTGCGGACAGCCAGGCTCTGCCACTCACTCACTCACATACGTGTATGCCGTGTGCCGTCTGGACCTTCACAAACAGCCAGGCGTGTTCCATGCCTCCTGGGCCCGCCCTGAGGCACTCGCTGTCACACTCTTCGTGCACCGCACACCAGCACACCACCGTACACCCCTCCCACCCCCGCCACACTCCCCGCCACACTCCTCGCGCCTCCCAGGATGCGCTGGCCGGCTGGACTGCCGCGCTGCTGGAGGTCTTCCCCACCCTCTCCCGCCTGCACCTCAACCACAACAGCGACGCGGCCAGCTCGCGAGTCGCCTCGCGCGCGGCAACACCAAAGTAAGTACCGGTAACGCGCCAGCGCCAAGCTGTGACCGTGTGTGTTTTCAGACTTTTCACCATAGCGTGCCAGTGCATGAAGCTTCTGGTAGACCTCCTGATTGCATGTGGGGGGGAGCGAGGCGAGCAGGAATGCTGGGCGGCCCGCTTCCACAGCACCAGCAGCAGCAGCGGCGACGGCTTCAAAGTGACTTGACCTGCCCTGGATGCTACTTCTTCCCTGAGCTCCCGGCTACATGTGATCATCAGGGCGGCACGTCCCCTGGGGTGTGTTGGCCCGCGCTTGCTCCCACCCCTGTCAGGCCAGGCCACACCGGCACCTCCTCACCGCTCCCCATGCTGCTGCCCCACCTGCCTACAGGTCGCTCACGCCCCGCACCCTCACCCCGCGCTCCCTCACACCCTCCAACCTACGGGTCGCCAGCTACAGCGTCGCATCAGCCACTGGCCTCGCAGCAGCAGCAGCAGCATGCGGTGGCAGCGGAGCACCCGCCACCGCCACCACCGCCGCAGCCGCCCCGGCTGCGGGGCTGTCCTCCACCTCAGCGCCCGTCGGCCTGCCGGTGTCGGCTGCTGCGGCCGCCGGGGCTCAGGGCAAGCAGGCCGGAGGAGGAGGAGGTGGTGGTTCGGGCGCGGGCGTGTGGGGGCTGCAGCGCATGGCTTCCTCGGCGCTGTCGCCCTGCGGCTCGGAGCGGCACGAGGGGGGCCAGCTGCTGGCGAGCGGGGCGGCGGCAGCGGCAGCAGCAGGCGGTGTGCAGGTGAGTGAGGGGAGGGGATATTCGCGGTATGTCCGGGATTTTAGCCGTGACACAGGTTGACGAGTTGTTGGCTGAGGACTGTAGCGGAGGCGAGGGCAAGGTGTGGGGGAGGGAGCTGGGCGGTGAGGTCAGCGCGCGGTGAGGTGGCGCGTTTCAACGTACCGGTAATTACGCTGCTGGATTGTCCGTCCGTTTGTGCCAACCGCCACTCCTCTCCGTACTTCCTACTCGAGTCTCACCCATCAAATCATGTCCCTCCGGCTCCACGCGATGTGACGTACCTCCCCACCCCAACACCCCACCGCAACACCCCACCTCAGGCCGCTGCCGGTCTGCGTCGGAGCAGCTGCAGCATGAGCAGCGCGGCGGGCGACTGGCAGGTGGGGGGAGCGGAGGGGAGGGGGGGGAGCAGGGGGAGGAGGAAGCAGGGAGAGGGGGAGGCAACAAGGGCTGGGGGAGGCAGCAAGGGAAGAAGGCGTTTAAGAGAGCGGCACGTGCTTTGGTTTTTTCTCCACCCCTCCATCCCTCCCATCAGGCCCACGCCCAGGCGCACGGCGAGTTGCCGGGTCGCAGCCGCGGACAGCACCTGATCGCCCACTTCGAGCTCTACACCCTCGCCAGACCCCCCACCGCAGCCGCCGCTGCCGCCGCCGCCGCTGCTGCTGCGGCCGCTGCAAAGGAGGCACTAGCCAGCATGCACCATGTTCCGCAGTGCCAGCAACAGCAACAGCAGCAGCAGCAGCAACCCTTGTACCGGAGCCATAGCCCCAGCCCGCTGTCCAGTCCCTGCCTCAGTCGCGACTCGCGCCTCTCGCAGCCTAACCTCTCTAACCCGCAACACCCCCAGCCCGGACTGACCCGGGCGGGCTCGGTTCCGGGTCCGTCCTGCCTTACCAGCGGCAGTGTCCTAGTTCCTTCGTCTGCTGGGGCGGCTGGGTGCGCGGCTCCGCTGCTTCGTCCGGCTAACAGCTTGTGGGCGGCAGTAGCCGCGATGGAGCGGTTGGACTTGCGAGGGGTGGCCATGCCGGCTTGGTGGGCCCGGTCGAAGCTGCACCGACCCGCCAGTGTGCTGGTGGACGAGTCGTTGGTGTACGAGGATACGCCGACGTCGGCGTCAGGGGCGGCGGCGGGGGCGGGGGCGGGTGTGGGTGCGCACGGCAGTGGTGTTAATGCAGCGGCAGGGGGCGGTGGAGGTGGTGGGATGGAGTTGCCGGCACGTGTGGTTCGGTCGCTTGAGATGGGATTGGCGCAGGGGCTGCTGGTGATTGACCTGACGGTGAGGTTGGCGACGAGGGGCGAAGAGGCGGGGATGTGGTGAAGGGAGGGAGGCCATGGCCATGGCAAGGGGACGGAGGAACAGCTCTGGGGATCCGTTTTTCTCGTCATTCTCATCATCCATGTGCGCTTCCGACGGGGTACTTCGCCCACTGCTTACCCGCTCCTACTTCCTGGTTGCCCGCCCTTTCTACTCTCCAGAGACACATCCACACCCTGCCCCCGCTTGCGCCTGACCCCCATTACCCTGCCCCTCCGCGTCATTCCACCGCAATTCCAGAGCCAGGAATACAAGAGCCTGGGTCGCTGTGCCCAGCTAGCCGCCATCTACCTCGCCCTGCACCACGCCACCCACATCACCATCTCCAACTCCGCAACCTCCCGTGGCAACATGCCACAGCCGCCGCTGCAGCAACAACAGCATTCGCTGCACCGCAACAGTGGTGGCATGGGTGGCGCATACGGAGGAGGAGCAGGAGCAGGGGCGGGGCTTTCAATCCTTCGCTCCGCCACCTCGTCGTTTGTACGAGCAGGCTCAGGTGTCGTACCACTAGGCTGCGGTGCCGGCGGGCGGCTTGTGTCCGATACTGGGCTTACCAGCGCTGTGCAATCGCCGTCGCGGCTTCCCGCGGGCCGCTGTGGCGCAGGCGGCGTGGGTGCAGGCGGCAGCTACACGGTCAGCGGCGGCGTACAGGGCGGTTTGCGCTCCGGTTCGTTTCTGTACGGGGCGGGGCGACCCAACCTTGGCATGACGTCACCGCTTCTGCGGGCGTCGGCGGCTGCCGCGACTCGGCGGGCGGCGGCGGGACATGGCGACGGCGGCGGCGGCGGCGCGCTGGGCGGTGTGGCCAGTCTGCGGCGGCTGATTGCACGTCACGGCGGGTCCGGGGACAGCTTCTCCGCCCTGTGTAGCAGCTCCATGTCAGGCGGCGGCGGTGTCAACAACAGTGGCGCTGCTGCCCCTGGCGGCGCCGCCGTACCGTACGGTTCGTACAACACGCCGTTCGATCCTGCAGCGCCTGGGGCGCTTCGTACGACAGGCAGCATGAGTACCCTCGGTGTGCTGCCGCCGCAATTGGCTGCCGTACCGACAGCTGGCGGCGGCGGCGGTGTTGGGTACGGCGGGAGTCACGTGTTTGGCAGCGGCCGCTCTTCTAGCGTCAACGTTCCCCTTACCGGTACGGCGATGTCAGGCGACGTCGCGGTTTCCATCGGCGCTTCCATGTTCGGTGCTCCCACTCGGTCTCACTACCCTTCTGCGGAGGCAGTTGCGGAGGCCTCATCGGCGGCGGCGGTTGGGCTCGAGGTTGCCGTACACGAGGCGGGAGCCGATGCGGCTGCCGCTAACAAGCTCACGAGCAGTGGCGTGTGCTCCGCCCCCCTGGTCACCGCTAGCTTGATGGGAATGGGCCTCAGCGGCCTACACCAGCAGCAACAGTATTCGCCGCATCGGCAGTTGCTGCAGCAGGCAGCTGGGATGCAGCAGGAGGGGCTGTACGTGATAGGGCAGGTGGGTTGGCACGCGTGCATGCATGCTTGTGCAAGAGATAGCGCGTTATGTACCATGCATTGCTGGACATTTCCGACTCTCGCCCATGGCCAGTTAAACCGCGTTATAGGGTAACTGCCGACGCAACTCCGACGTGATGCTGCACCCGCAGACCGCCAAGCCCAGCGCACCGCGACAAGCGAGCGTTGCACGGCTGCTTGCGGAGGACAACGACACGCCCACCGGAGGCGACACCGAGGACGAGACTCTTCCCTCCGACGATGCCGAGGATGGTTTGTCCCCCTTCGTCGCCATGAACGCAATGTCGAGGGCGGGCCCGGCCCCAGCAACAAGGCTTGCAGCGGCGACGGCGGCAGGCAGTACAGCGGTACGGCAGCATGGCGACGGCGGCGCGCATGCCGTACACGGCTTGATGGGCCCGCCGCCATTGCCACTGCCGCCGCCGGCAGGGCCTCCGGTTGCAGCTGCTCGCAGCACGGCTACTACTTCTGGCAGCGGCAACGGTGCCGCCGGTGCAGCCACGTCTTCATACCTGCTGGGATCCGGGATGCCCCCGGAGATCATCGACGCAGGCATTGCCATTTTGCGAGGTGCCAGTGACAGCACACAAGACAGCTCGACGAAGCGTGGCGTTCCGGCTGCCGCTGACGCCGCCCCAACCACTGGGAACGTCAACGGTGCTGCTGAGGTCGTCGCGGCAGGCGGCGGCATCAGTCAGCAAGCAAGCGCCCAGCCCTTTGCACTGGTGCTGCCGCCTCCGTCGCCGGCGCCACCGCCGCCGCCGCCAGCGGCGGTATCACCTCCCTCTGGCGGCGTCCTGCCTCAGCCTCTTCTTGGGCAGCCAACCCTAGCAAACACGACCACCACCAACGCGGTTCCACGGCAGTCCTTCTCCTTCATTCCCTTCCACCGCAGTGTTGCAGAGGAGCCGTCGTCACCCATGGCAGTCGCGGCGGCGGCAGCACCCGCGGGCGCAGTCCTTGGCACCCGCCTCGGCCCCAGAAGCGCTGCGGCAGCCCCGATTCCTGGTAGCTGTGGTGGCGACGGCGACGGTGTATGCTGCAACTCCTGCTCCGCTCGCCTGGCAGCGCCAGCGCCGGCTTTCGGGGCGACGGAGGAGGAGGATGCACTGCTTCGGGACCTGCTGTCGCTGCAGATACCCCGTACAGTGCACAGCGGCGGTGATAGCGGCCCGTTCCTGGCGGCGGCGCCGGCGGGACCCGAATGCAATGCCAGCAGCAAGGCGGCGTCGGGACCTCGAAAGGGCTGTGACGAGATGGACGTGTCGTTCAATGTGGAGGATGTGATCAAGGCGACGGTTCCATGCGTTGGGGTTGACGGCGCGGACGCTGCTGCAGCTGCTGCAACGGCGAACGACGCGGCTTCGTGCCTTCTGACTGCTGACGCGGGTGCTCGGATTGCAATGCCAGCGGGGAACCTTTTATCCAGCGGCAAGGACGTCGCGTTGCATTGTTGCGCACCTGCGGGCCCTACCGCACATGGTTTGGAGGCTAGCGGCCGCGTCGTCAGCTTCAAAGCGGCCAGCGGAGCAGCAGCAGCAGCAGCGGCGGCGGCAACCGCCGGCAGTAGCGTGTTGGATGCGGTTGCGGCGCTGAACCAGCTGACGTTGCGAAGCGAGGATGGGGAGCAGGGCGACCGGTCGCGTAGGACGTCCACGGCGGCGACGGCGGGTAGTACGACAACCGTCGTTCCTGCCCGGCCACACACGGTCGGCTCTCCGCTGCGCATCGCCCCCACAACGTCGTCGTCGCTTGCGGCGTTCTCGTCGTCATGCACTCAGCGCTCGGGTGGACTCGCGTCGGCGCCGAGTTCACGGCACATGAGCGCTTCCGCCGCCGCCGCCGCTGCAGCCGTCAGTCCGGTGGTTGCCGCCGGCGGCCGACGGGCGGCTGGCAAGAGCCCCGGCCTTTCCACGTCGAGGTCGCAGCAGCCCGAAGGAAAGGCTTGGCCCATGGCAGCAGCGACGCGTCTTGCCGGCGCCACACCCTTGCCGCCTCCGCCGCCGTCACCGCCCGCGCTGCAGCTGCCTCCGCCTCACCCTTCAAACAGCCAACCCCAGGCTGCTCCGCTGCCGCAGCAACCCCAGGAGCGAGCTCCCAACCTCCTTGCAAACTCCACTGCCGCCGCCTCCTATAACAATTGCCCCCAACACCACCGGGGCCACGCCAATGCGGCCCACATTAGCCAACCCCACTCCATGCAAAGTTGGCCGGACGCCGCCACCGCCGCCGCTGCTGCCGCCGCTGCCAATCCAACAGCGGTTCCGGGCCTTTCTTCCGCTGGCGTCAGGCTTATGGACCACGCCATCAATTCCGTCGCCGCCGCCTCCGCCAGGCGGGCGTCCAGCGGGGTCGCGGATCTCGACGAAGCCGCAGCAGCTGACGGCAGCGCTGCCGTACCGCCGCCATACCCCTCCGAGGCGCCTCCACTGACTGCAACGGCGGCGGCGGCGGCTCCGTTGTTTGCAATTGACGCCGCCACTGCCGCCGGTGGTAACCGCTCGCTCACAGCGACAGCACCAGGTATCATGCGCGCCTTGGCGGCTGCGGTTGCAGCGGCCGGCTCCGCCGGCGGCGGCGGCGTCGATGCTAGCAACGCCGTATCCGTGGTGCTGGTTGTGGGACATGACGGGGGGCTGCGAGTGCCGTTGCGCTGCTTGGAGCTGCCGCTGAGGGGGGCGATGGCGCGGCGGCCAGGCACCACGGTGTCCTTCCGGGTGTCGGGTTTGAGCCATGACGGCATGCGGCAGCTGCGAGCGCTCATGTCTGTGGCCAAGGTGAGGATGGGTGGTGGGTCATGGCTGGGGGGCTGTGCGGCCCAATGGGGTTGTGGGAGTACGGCGTAGCAGGTGGAAAGAGGGGTGCCGCTTGGAAGGGAAAGTGTGGGGGGCAGTGTGCTCGCTTGGATCTATAGCTGGGGTGGGTGTGGGCGTGGGTCGTGTCGGCATGTAAGAGGACCCGGGTACGCATACTTGCCTACGGCGTCCCCGCGCCCTAACCTGGAAAGTAGCTGTCCATGACTCCTTGCAGCCGTGTTTTTTCATTTTACATTCAAATGAGCGAATATGTCCCCGCTCCATTCTAACCGCCTTGCGCAGGTTCCCATGCCCGAGCGAACCTACGCCTGGCTGCTGCCCTCGTCCTCCGCTCGGCTTCCCTCAACCACCACAACCGCCAACGGTTACGTCCTGCCCAACGTCATGCACGGCGGAGCGGGCGGCGGCGGAGCCGGCAGCCTGGCCCGCTCTAGCTTGTCCCTCGGGCCCAGCCAGAGCCTGGGCTACGGTCAAGGTCTGGGTCTGCTGGGCGGGCCGGGGCTGCTGTTTTCCCAGTCCATGAGCCGCATGGATTCAGGGCCAGTGTACGGCAATGTGTACGCCCACATGCCCTCGTACTGCTTTGAAAACCGCGGCCAACCGATCGATCTAGGTTACATCTTGCCAGCTGACAGCATGACCGAGCGCTCGGGCTGTTTCTCTGTGGCGTCTGTGGCCGCTGCCGCTGCCGCTGCGGCCGGTGGTGGGGCGTCGCAACAGGGGTACTCGAGTGCGAGCAATGTCCTTGAGACTGCAAAGTCGATGCAGCAGCAAATGCGGCTGTCGTACCTCCTACAGCAGAAGTCCATTAGCCAATCACAAAGGGACCGAGTTGCAGCTGCCAATGCTACCGCCGCTGCAGCAGCAGGTCTAGTCACTTCCAGCGGCGCGTCGGAGCGCTTGCGTGGGGCTGTTGACATGGCACCAGCGGGGCCCCTAGCCACGCCCGCGCCCGCAGTTCTGCCGGCAGCAGCAGCTGCTGCAGCAGAACAGCTCCAGCAGCACGCCTCACTTGAGCTGAAACCCGCTGCCGCCAAACCTACTACCGGTACAGCAGCAGACGCAGTCCCCGTTGCGGCTGCGGCTGCGGCTGCTAGCGGCCTCCCACCGGGCGGCTGCTCCGAGGCAGCAGAAGGTCCAAGCAGGGCATTACCGACGTCGCCGTCGGCTCCTGCTCTGCCCGATGATGACAGCAGCGCCTGCGGTGGCGTCCATTTTGTCCTCCAAACCGGCGACCTACCCAGCTGTCAGCATCCGACCACGCCCGCTGCACAGGCGACGTCGGCGGCGCCGTCTGCGGACGTTTCGGTACAATCCAGGCGCAGCCCGGGCACATCGCCTCCTAATCTGCCGCATGGCATAATGCTGGTGAACCTTCCGTTCGGCCGCAGAGCGGTTGTGGGGCAGGTGCCGGCTCGTGCGGATTCAGCGCCAGTGCCGCCTCAGTCGCTGCCTGCTGGCAGCGACTTGTACGGCGGGGGCTTCGGGGCGGAGGACTTCGAGCAGCAGCCGTACACGGGCACGTTGGAGTACGGCAGTAATCAGGACCGGAGCGGCTACAGCCGCGTCTCCGCCGGCAGTGCGGCGGGTGTCTCAGCCGTTGGCGGCGGCGGCGGCAGCAGCCTTAGCAGCAGCCCTCCCAACGGTGGCAGTGGCGGCGCAAGCAGGCGAAGCGGCGGCAGCGGTGGCGCAATGAACACGGGAGTGAATGGCGGGAACGGTTTCGGCGGACTGGCGAGCGGTTGCGGTGGTTTGGCGGTGAGCTTGGCACCTTTCGGCTGCATCAGCATGGGCCCAAGCGGCCGAAATCGGGCCGCCGCGAGCGACCCGCAGGTTACTGCCCCCGAGGATGCGTCTGAGACCTCCGCCGCAGTATCCGGGATGCCAGCAGCAACGTACACCGCCGGCAACGGTGCGGCCATGGGCGCAGGCGTCGGCACCGCGATGCTGGGCTCCGTCTTTTCAACGCATGCCATGATGATGGTCGACGACGACTCCATCTCACCCCTGTCTGAACGCCCCATCAGCCGGGGCAACCCGCAGCTGCTGATGATGGGCCGAGCCAGCAGCAACGGCGCCGGCGTTCTGGGCGCTGCCGGCGGCGCGTTCGGGAGCACAATGGAGGTCTGCAGCTCCGTCGGCGCCAGCCTGGCAACGTTGCGCAGCTTCGGCACCTCCACCGCCGCCGCCGCTGCCGCTGCTAGGGGTGGTGGTGGTGGTGGTGTTACCTCAGGTGGCTCCAGGGCCGTGCCGACAGGCGCCGTGTTGCCTGCACGCGGCACGTACTCAATTGCGGGGACCTCGCCCCCCGAGGCATGTGCAGAGGGGACTCTGCCTCCGCCGTCGCCGCCGACAGCGACGACGCAGCATGCAGTACCGCCGCTGCTGGCGTCGGCGGCTGCACCCTGGCTCACAGACACGCCGGCGGCGGCGGCGGCGGTGCAGCCTCCATCTCGGCAAGCTAGCGCCGCTAGCGTGAGTCGTGAAGGCAGCCGTAAGCTGGTGGGAGGCGAGAAGGCAGCAGCAGCAGCTGGCGGTGGTGGCGGTGGGAAGGCGAAGGCGGCGTCACCGGTATCGTCCTCACCGTCGTCGCCCTCGTCGCCATCCACGGAGTCAAAACGGCTGGGTTCACCTCGGGCTGCGGCGACTGCGGCGGCGGGAGGCGGCGAGGGTCGCGGCTTTTCGCGGTTTGGCGGTTCAAGTTCGAGAGGAAAAGGCTCGATGGGGGCTGCGGTGCCGGCTGCTGCTTCCATGGGGAGCCGCTAGGGAGGCACCGACACCGCGCCGAGCTGGAGGGCTGCGGTGTAGGTTGGGTGGGGATGAGGAAGGACCAAAGTAGTGAGCTTTGATGAAGAGATGAGCACTAGGTACCAAACCGGTGAAGGGCTGGCATGGAGGCTGGCATCCTCCATTCCGCTGGGTCCGCCAGCCCTACTGTGGTGGTCCATTTTACACATGTAGGGGCTGCATAGCGGAAAGCAGGTCAGGGAGAAGCAGGGAAGGCATGTTTCGAATGTGTGCGTGTGTTGTTGCAAGAGTGTTTCTACACACCATAGAACCCATGGGAACGACACCAAGGACGAGGTTTAGAAACAACACAAGAACGGCTTGCTAGGTTTCGCGTATACTAGCTCATCGTAGCACATCATTGAGCCCAGGTGCAATAAGGGGCCGCCTATCTGTCACCGCATGCCCAAGTGCGGGAAGGGAGTTGCGACCCACCCCAGGGTCACCGCACCATCGCGAGGGCTCCTGCTTGATTCGGCATCTGCTGTCGTTGCATGCGTTTGATTCCGGTTTTCACCGCGGGGTTTGGCTGGTTACTGGAAAGCATGCATGTGATCATGAGGTGTGCGTGCGGCGCTGTGCTGCGCTTTAGCCGGTTGTTTGGGTTGTGGTTGCTGCTGCTGCTGGAGCTGTTTGACATGGTTGTCGGTTTACTTTAGTGCTCATCTTTGGATTCTGTTGTACGGCTTCGGGTATGTAGACGTTGTTTCCGTGACCTAGATTTTCAATGCTAGCCTAGCTGCTGCCCTCAATGTAATGGTTCATGGGACTAGGGCCTGTTGTTTGTGTTGTCATACGTGACGTGAAAAAGCATTTGTTTGTTTGGATGCACTGGTAAGTGCTGCATGTGCTGCGGTGTTGGCAATGGCTTGCGTTTAGAGGTTTCGGCGCGCATATCGGTGTAGCTTTGTCCCACGGAACTTATGACTGTGGACAGGTAATGGGTGCTTAGGACATGCTATCTGGAAGCGTTCATTGCTACAGAAGGCTGTGTCGGATGTTTAGCGGATGTAAGCATAGCCATATTACTACGAAGTCGATTGGTTGGGTGCCAACATGTGTCGATGCGACGGGTGTTGCGCTTCTAGCTAGCTTCTAGCTGGTTTTACTGTATCCGCAGGGGGAGTGGAGGGCGGGGCAGGTGCGGGCAAAGGCGTGGGGCGAAAGTTACGTGCTTGTGGTTCCGGGCTGTCCTGCTCTCCCGGATTGTATGCAGCACCTCTCTCGAGCGTGCAAATGCAACAAGACGTTTGGCATTCCGGGCAGCGGCCAGGGCTCGTTCCGGTACGGCACGGCATGACTTGCACGACATTCGTGTCGCGCACTTTGGGGCGGGAGTCGGAGGGGCGTATTGGCTCCTCCCCTGCCGCAACAACAGCAACCCGCAGCACTTGTGCTGTGTGAACATGGTAGCCGTGGATGGCAACATGATAGGCATACCTTGATCTCAACCAGTCAACCAACCACCTGTGGTGCTAGACCTTCGTCTTGTGTGCTGTTGTGTGGCTAAGGCCATATGTTACAAGGTTGGACGGTTGACCTAACCACTCGTGTCTCGTTCGTTGTTTGCTGTGTTTGTGTTCAAGCTGGTTGGTGGCCCCTATTCGTAGGCTTAATTGTAGTAAGGTAGTATTGTTCCTTGCCCTTCCATGGCATGGTTCTCTCCCACGTACTGTTAAGTAGTTTTACGTTTGAGATCCTGCAAGAGGACTGAGTTGCAGGACATGAAACTGAGAGGCTTGCCTCAACTTAAGTCGGTTGTTGGTGCGTTTAGCGTGTGTCTTATTAGCACCTTAGTGCGCCACTGTTCCGCCCAATGGTTTAGCGGCTGGTTACCCATGCTGTGCTACAATCGGCTGTCATGGCTACGTCGGGTGTAACTTCCCACCTTTTACCCGATGCGGAATGGGAAAGGGGGAGTCAGCTTTCTCAAAGCTGGAAGAGGGCAGAGCCCCTTGATGAGGATAGTAACGTATATGGAATGACAGGGTAGGAGAACCCGTCACCCCGTATGGCCCCAGCTAAGCTGACACATCCTATCGGAGACCCCTAGTTACAGAGGCTATATGTCTGATAAGCGAAAGCCTGGAAAGTTAACATGCCTTGCTTGGAAAGGTAGACCAAGGAGGAATCTGGGGAGTCAAGGCACCAAGACGCACCGCATGTGGGCGTCAACGGCTTTGTCATTGTTCCAAGCAACGGACATCCGACGTTTTGTGAGGCCGCTGGGCGGTGCGGCTTCCTGTTCAGGAATGTCTTGAGGGAGCAAGCACTGCAGCGAGCCCGCATTGTCCTCGCGCGCCTCTACGAGGCACACACACCCGCATACGGCATACCACCTCCTGGGTACACGCTCTCCCCACATGACATTCCCTGCTTGCATGCCCCCCGCTCTCCACCCGCTCCTCCAACCACCAGCAGCACCACTTCTTCTTTCTAACCCGCCACCGCTTACCCCTGTTACCTCTGCTACTGTCCCTCTGTAAGCAGCACGGGTACACCATGTCAAGCAGCAGCCGCACCAACACCGCCACAGCTACACCAGCCATGTACCTGTGGACGCCACCCCCACCCCCACACCACTGGGTCGTGGCTCGCCTGCGGCTAGTGTCACCCCGCAGGCGGGCGGGCTGGCGACCTGGTGCCTCCGCGCAACGGCTGAGGGGCGCTACCGTACACACAGGCCGCGCGCTAGCCCGCAAGCTGCATGTGCATGAATGCAGATATCCTAGTATTTAGTCAAGCGTCAGCATGCGTGCAGCTCAGAGCACCAGGTAGCTCGAGGTAGCTCCTGTGCTTGGGGTGAGATGCACCTGCACCGGCAGCCTCCCCATCCAACCCATGCGTACGTGAACCACCTTCCCTATCCCTTTTGTAAAAAAGAGCACCTCAAGGCGCCACAAATCACATATCCCCGCCTCTCCCTCCCTCTCAAAACACGCTCCCCCCCTCGTAGCTGCCGGGATCCGGCCGCGCATGCCGCCAGGGCCCCCCCGTGATGGGGTCCCCGTAGGGAATGGCGGTGTCGGGCTGCCACTCGTGTGCACAGCGGTAGGTGTCCGTGTGTTTGATGCGGCAGCAGGGCGGAGTCAGCTTGTAGCGCCAGGGGTTGGGGTTGCGCGGGTAGCCCTGCGTCAGCGCGTACTCGAAACCATGTTCCTGCATGGCTGCGAGGAGGGGGGGGGGGACAGCGGGCAGCGGGCGGAGGGAGGAGGAGGAGGAGGCAGCGGAGGGAGGGAAGCGAGGATGGTTATCATAAGCAGAAGGGTGAGGAGGAAACCCATGATGATGGCTCACCGCGAAAACCGCTGTTGAAGGCTGCGAATACCCGAGTCCCGGCCCTCCTCCATCCTCCCCTCCCTCCCTCCCTCGTACTGGCTTCGCTAATTCGGGTTGGGCGGGTCGGGCTGGCTCACATGTTGCAACCCATGTTGACGCCTTATCCCTCAGTCAGTTAGTTGTTTCCTCTTTACTCCCTCCCCTCCTCCGAGCTTGTGGTTTCCTAGGGGTTTCCTGTGGTTTTCTGACCCCCCTCCCTGCTCAGGGTCCTCACCCTTGGACCTGTTCCACAGCGCCTCCGCCATGTGCGGTGCGGGCAGGCCGTAGTGGCGCTGCACGGCGGGCGGGTCCAGGGAGGAGATGTGCGCCAGACACTGGGACACCTGCAGGGGGGGGGAAGGAGCAGGGGTGGGGGATATGTAAGGGGGGGGAGGAGGATGGCTAATGGGGAAGGGGAGGAGGGAGGAGGAGAAGTATGGGGATGAAAGGGCATGGCGTGACAGCGGGTGCGGGGTTGGGGTAACAATTGGGAGGTAGGTGCATGCGCCCCCGGCTACATCGCAGCATGGGTGAGGAGGTGCTCATGGGAGGGAGGGAGCAGGTTTGGGCGGCGAGGTTGGTGTTCGCTTCTTCTTCGGTCTTCTGGCAGCGTGCGGTGCTTCAGCCCAATCCACCAAACCCTACACCTCTTACCCACTACACCGCGCATCTGCCACCCCGCTTCACCCGCATCCCCACTTGCGCCCGAACCGCCCGTGTCAAGAGCCCAGGACGCCCCGCCCCCACACAGACCCGCCCGCCCAGCACCCCAGCCGCACCCCCTCAATTCCCACCGCACCCTGCCCTTCCCGCCCCTACCTCTCCCTTACATTGGGTATTCGTCCCCCCCCCACCTGCGGCGGCCAGTTCTTGCCCAGGACGCCCCCCTGTACGTAGCAGCGGTAGTCGAACAGAAGCGCCACGTTAGCCCAGCTCTGGGGAACCTGGGGGGGGAGGCGGGGGGTGAGGGGAGGCGGGGGGGGGCGCGGGGAAGTAAGGACGATAGGGGTCACCGCAATGGCAGGGTAGCAGGGGCAGGAGCAGCAGATGCGGCGTGGGCCGCATGGGAAGGTAGGCGGGGCGTGGGTCGGAAGAACGGGGCGGCCTAGCACTCCTAACACACACTGTTGCCGTACACCACCTGGGAGGTGGAAGCTCCCACAACCCTCCCCACCACTCCCCTGCGCCCCTCCTTCCTCTTCCCCTCCCCTCCCCTGCCTTCCCCACTCCCTCCCAGCCGCCCCCCCCCACCTCCAGCTTTCTTCCGCCCGCTCGCTGGAGCGTCAACCTTTCATCATCACCGCGGACCCGGTATCGGTAGGGAATACTAACAACACTTTGTCTTGTGGCACCCTGCCGCCTCCTACCCCCATTGCTTTGCCCTGAACTGTGGTCTCCTATGGTTTGGTATGGTCTTTGACCCCCCCATCTCCACCCACCTTGTCCCCCCAGTTTGCGAACTTGTGTATCCACGCGTTCTCCATGACGTTGATGGTGTACTTCTTGGTGCTGGGCAGCAGCAGCGAGTCGGCAGCTAGCAGCCGGTTCTCGTAGAAGGCGCGCTACGGGTCGGTAAGGGGTAAAAAATACAATGAGACACTGACGATGCAACTGACGAGCTGTATGAAGGTAAGGGGGGGGGGCAGGCCAGGGGGGCGAGGAGCAGGTGCAGGGGCGAAACAGAGCCTGAAAGAAGCCTGACGAGGCACAATCAACGAGCTGTGTGACATGCAGCTTCCCCCGGGTAGCCGGGTGGCGAGGAGGGACGTAGGAGTGGGGTCAGGCTGGAGAGGACGCTGGGTAGCAGTGACGGCCTGATACCCTGCAACCGCCTGCGCCGCCACCGCTACACTTCCCCTCCCTCCATCCCAGCACCACCACCCCCACCACACCCCCCACCCTGCTCCCCTCCCCACACACAAACACACCTCGTTGTCGATCAGTCGGATGGACCCGTCCCCGTTTATGAACAGGTTCTGCGCGTGCCGGTCGTTCTGGCTGGTGAGTAGGTCGAAGATGGCGGCGTGCACGGTCTGGGGGAGGGGGAGGCGGGGGGGGGGGAACACGCGGAGGAGGACAAGGACGTCAAAAGGGTTCCTTCCGAAAAGTGCTTCGGGCATCTCCGACCTTCGGACCCATCGTAATGACGCCAGTTCCGCCTGCCTGCCCTCCCCTCCTCCCTTCCCGCACATCCCTCCCCAACCGCCTTCTCCCCCGCTCCACCCCCCCGCCCCTCCGCCCCCCTCCCCCCACCTGCGTATGGTTGACCTGGTTGTGCAGTATGTCCAGCAGGTCGGTGGGGTGCATCATGGGGTTGCCCAGACGTACCTGGGAAGGGGAGGGGGGGGAGGGTAAGAAACGAGGGGGTCGGGCGGGAGGGGAGAAGGAGGGATGTGGGGAGGGGCTGGGTTAGCAGGCAGGCTGCGTGGGGGAGGGCAGGTGGAGCACAAGTAGTGGCCGGGGCGGGGCGGGGCGGGGGGGAAGAAGGGGGTGTGTATCGTTCCTCCCCTCCCGAGGTGGTGTGGCTGGCCTCAGACTGCAGCAGCTACTGGTCGGCAGCAGGTCGGCAGCAGCAGGCGGGCACTGCTGGGGCAAGCAGGGCCGCCGGGTACCTCCGCCTCCCGCTCCTTAACAACCCCATGTACCGTACGTGCTCTTCCACGGACCGGCAGGAGGGGCGTCCTCCCAGGCAGCCCTCCTCGCCCCCCACCCCGACCCATGATAAAGCCGTGTCATGCAGCGCGTCAGTTCCCTCTTTTCACCCAGCCGCCCCCCCAACCCGCCACATCCCACATTCCAGCCCCCCACGCGTCCCCAACGCATGGCACCGCCCTCCAGCTTCCCCAGCTGCCCTGTCCTGTCCTACCAGGTTCTCCAAGCTGATGCCCTCCACCATCTCCATCCACAGCCCCAGCCACCTGACAGGGAGGGCCAGGACCTCGAGTGGGCATACACACTGCGGGAGGCCGGGGCTATGCACCAACTATGCATGCGGTTCGCTGTTGTCTGCAGCCCGTCCCACCCCTCCCTCCCTCCCACTCCTCCTCCCCCGCCCCCCACCTGATATGGTATCCAACCTCCGGAATGACCGCGTGCACCCAGTCCACCCAGATCTTGGGGATGATGTCTGGAGGCGGGGGGGCGGGGGAGGAGAGGAGGTAGGAGGGGAGGAGGGGAGGGCCAGGGAGGAGAGGAGGGCGGGCTGAAAGGGAAAGACGCTGAGGGGGAGCAGGACGTGCGAGAAGACTGCAATAGAAATAAGAAGACGTTGGAAGGAACAGTTTAGGAACACCGGGAAGCACCACCAGTGTGCCCCGCTTACACCCCGCGCTCACACAGCCCGCCTGGCGCACCCCCCCGGGCGACCGGCCTACACCCCCCCCCCTTTCGCCCCCCTACCCGTGAACCCGCACTCCTCCGCGATCTTCTCGATGGCCAGGTAGATGCGCGCGTACTTGAGCGCCGTGTCCGCGTGGCAGACAGCGTGCTTGTCGCGCGCGTGCTTGCCCACCGGGATGCACGCAACCTGGGGGGGGAGGGTTAAGGAGTCAACATGGGTTGCAACATGTGAGCCAGCCCGAAGAGAGGGAGAAGAAGAAGGGGGGAGGCAGGTAGACGGAGAGAGAGTGGGATGGGAAGAGGAAGGGGTGAGGAAGGGGTGCAAGGAGGAGGAGGACACGAGCAGCGGACAGAGTAGTCACGCTTTGGGGGGAAGGGCCAGGCGGGCAGCGGACAGGAAGCAGAGGTTTGGGTCTGTGGGGGCTGCGAGGGGAGGAAGCGTGCAAGCCGCCCCCTCATGCGTCATGGACGCCTGCCAGCCCCCAAGCAGCCTACTAGCCCTCACCCTGCCGCCCCCACTCCCCCACTCCCCCTGCCTCCCGCCCGCTGCTAGCCACACTACCCAGCGCCCCCTCCCTCCCTCCTTCCCTCCCTCCCTCCATGGACATTCTTCTTTTCCCTCCCTCCCTCCCTTCCCGCCACCCACCTTCACCACCGCCTTCCTGGCCGCCGTCTTGTTGGTGGGCGCCACGAAGAGCCAGGAGGGCGAGGCGCCCGCCTCGTCCCGGAACCAGGTGTGGAACAGCTTCTTTTGGCCGGAGTGGCCCTGGGGAGGGAGAGGAGAGGGAGAGAGAGAGGAGGGGGCGGGTGGTAGTGGTGGTTTGGGACTTGGGAGTAGTGGATCCCTCTCCGTCCTCTACCCCCTTGCGCCCCCCCAGGTTCCCTCCGGCTCCAGGCGCCAGGGACACATCCGAGCCACCAGCTGGCGCCTCCTCAGCACACCGCTCCTCCGCCCGCGCACCCCCGACTTGGCCATGTGCATGCAAAGCCTCAGCCCCCGGGCCCCACCCGCATGCGGCTCCCGGTACCCTCCCTAGGCCGCCTCCCTAGCACCCCTTCAAACCCGCCCGCTCCCTCCCGCCGCTGCGCCCTCACCAGCAGCTGCAGGTGGGTGGTGCAGCCCCGGCACTGCTGACACATCTGCAGAGGGAAGGGAGGGGCAGGGGTCGGGACGGAAGGGGCGGGTGGGAGGGGTGGAGACGGGGGCTGGATGAGGGGGCTGGGTAGGGACGGCATGCAGGGGTAAGGTTGGCCTCCGGGCTTGTCATCGCTACTCCTGGAGCTTAACTCGGATCCCAGGGCTTCCTGGTAGGGCACGCCCCATCCTACCGGAAGTTTCTGCTTCTGGTTAACGTTCTTAGGCTGAAAGTTCTCAACGACTAGGTCCGAGTCCAGCACAGGCGCCGGCGTCGCGTCCACAGAGCAGTGGAAGCAAAGCGCGCATTCGTCAACGTGCGGGATTGCATCCTGAGCGACTGCCTGTGGGTTGGCAAACTTACATTCAGCACGAGCTGTCACATGTACAGAACTCCTCCGTCACTTTCAAAGTTCTAGTAAGCCATGTTGAAAGCCATTTATAAGTCAATGGCTAATAACGCTGATAAGTGGTGAGCCTACCCCTTTTAGCGCAAGCAGCGCCCACAATGCAGCATACAGAAACAGCATCCCTGTCGGCTTCAGATCCATACGTGCAGTTACATTACTGTGCGAGGACTCATGATCAGGATGCCTCCCTCGCAAACGTGTAGCCTACGTTCACAACCCCTCGTCTCCCTCGAAATACAGAATTGATGATTCTAGAGGAAATAGAAATAGACGTAATATGGTGTTGCGTATGGAAGGTTTGAGGCCAGCGACACGAAGTAAAATGAGTGATTGATAATAGCGTTAACTGTCTCAACCGAAAGCTACTCTTTCCAAGTGTCCAGGAAAGCGGAGCTTCTACAAATAAAATACCTTTCAATATACCCAGTTTTGTTTTGACGTTAACTGATTTAGGGAATTGCCAGATTTGGCGAGTACCCCGAGGAAGGCGAGTAGTTTCGGAGCCAGTCCCTCCCAATCGCAAGGAATGCTTGGGCGCAATGCGAGCAGTTGATCGACCCGCCTGCTGGCATAGCGGAACTGTGCTTTGGTAAGGGCACAGATAGGAGGCATGGGCAGCAGGGCCCGGGAGCAAGCCGGGAAGTCGTTCAAGGACCAGGGAGTTTGCACGCGTGCATGTGGTCAGGGCTGGGGTGGTAGGGACATATGCAGCGAGGGAGGGCCGGGCAGTGGAGGGAAAGGTCGATGATGATGAGCAGGGCCGATTCCCAAGTTGGTGAGCGTCAGTCCGAGGGGACAGCGAGGTAGATGAGGGTATGGGCGCCGCTAGAAGATTCTGCTAACGACCTAGCAGACACGCAACTTCTCCCCACCAATCCCCGCCCCAGCCATTGCAACTGGCTTTCTCCCACACAACAAAAGCGTCAGCAAGCCAGCACCTTCAGCCGTTTCAACCGCGGCGTTTGAAAGTCATAACACACTGTGATACACACGGACATGTCGGCCGCAGACTGCGTTGCTGTCGCCAGGATTGCTTCGTGGGCCATGACACGCGTACATATAGCCTGCCGGTACCGAAGCTAGCTGGCTACCAATGCCGTGGCACTTCAACAAGCAATGTGTGTTGCTGGATTAGTGCTTTGGGCGACGGTAAACAGCACTTCACGGTGACTTGATTGCCCCGGAGCGTAACTGCTGGCATGAACTAACAAAGGGAAAGCAGCACTCGGCAGGCGGGAATGCCGCAACGCCCAGGCGTCCTTCCATGTTCGGAACCGGGGCGCAGAAAGCCCCGCCGGTAATCTGGGAGGTTCCCTCCTCGTTCAAGCACCCCGTTCAAGACCAAAAGTGTAGTCATCACAGACGCATTTGAACTGGTTGCACAGTAACAAACCAAACGCAATGGAAATAAAAGCATGTCACAGGCAGCACTACGCGCGTTTCCAGCATGCAACAACCACCGCGCACGCTACTGAACTTGGTGCGCGATCAACCAGCACATGGGGTTTCCCAAGGCTGTGGATAAAGCTTTGGGGGCCAACAGGACAGGCCCCAATCCTATGGAAGGAGACCTCAACACGCACAGGACTCCCAAAAGAAAAGGGTCCCCATCAAGACTTCCTGTCAAGACACGTGCGTCATACACCCTTGAGCAGTTCCCAAATCTCATGAGCCATGCCGTAAAAATTGTGTTTCGGAATAGTACGGCAATCCATGCATGCACATGCATATGCGCCTACCCCCTTCACATGCACACACCCTATTGTTGCTGCGGTAAGTTGCAGCGCGCGCCTAACCCTCATTCCTGGCCAATTAATACACGCTTCAGCTCTACAGCTCAGCCCTGCAAGATGCGCCCCCCCGACGCCAACCCAGTCCACGTTTCACTCTGCCCAATCACTTTCATGTACCCTACTCCCACAAGTCATCAGTCGCCCGCCTCTGTCGCCGGAACCCCCCGTTGCATCAGGCCTCATCCAACACCCAGCTGGCTGTTCTGCAAGCCCCATCCATGATGCGTTCATGCCAGTTTCCCCATATGCCCCTGACGACGCTAGCGCCGGTGCCGGCTACGGTGGTGGCTGTACCCCGAATCGCTGCTGGGATCCCGACTGCTGCTGCCGCTGTGGTGGCAGTTGCCAGTGTGAGCCTCGCCATGGTCGCCGCGACGGCCACGACTCCCTTCACTGCCGCCGCCACCACCACCACCACCGCCGCCGTCGTCGCGACTAGGGCTTCGGCTTCGGCGGCGGCTGTGGTGCCGGCGCTTCCGGTGGCGATGGCTGCTGCCGTGACGTCTGGGGCTTCGGCTGCGGGGGCTGTGAGTACGGCGCCGCCGCTTGCTGCGGTGCCGGCGGTGCCGTCGGCGGCTTCGACTTCGGCTACGGCTACGGCTTCGGCTACGGCCTGGGCTACGGCTGCGACTGCCTTCACGGCGGCTGCGGCGGCGGCTCCCACTGTAACGACTGCGATGGTGCGAGTCCGAGCGATCACGGCTGGGGCTGCGGCTGCGGCCCCTCTCCCCTCCGCTCTCTCCCCGCTCCATGCAACTGCCCACCCCGTCCATGTCCCAATCACCCTCTGCTGCCGCTGCATGCTCCTCCACCGGCACATCAGCCTGCGGCGGCACCAGGGAAGCGGCGGCCCCACCTGCAGCGGCCGCTGCAGCTGCAGCCCGGGTTTCGCCTCGGACCCTGCCGCCCATGCCACCCTCATGCCGGCTACCACCACCGGCAGCTTTGGCAGCCCCCGCTGCGACCGCCCGCTCGCCGCTGCCCTGCCCTCCCACCGCACGCGCCGCCGCAGCAGTTGTCAGCCTCGTTGGGCGCTTAGAGCTCTTCCGTCGCCGCCCTCGCGCCTGCTGCTCCCCTGCCGCCGCCGCTGCTCCAGGGGTGGCTGCTGCTGGGGCGCTGCTCGGACTGAAGGCGTTGAGGCGCCCGGGTGCTGCTGCCGCCTCCACTGCCGCCTGCTCCTCTCCAGGCTCCGGAACCTCTTCCCCCGCATCCTCCGCGTCAGGTTGCATCAGTCCCACCAAAAAGGTGACGCCGCCGGGGAATGCCGGCGCCGTCGCCGTCGCTGCGGCGGCATCCCCACCAGCCCCGACGACCACAGCATCCGCCTGCTGCCCTCCATTCGCTCCTTCTTGGGGCTTCACCGATAGGAGCAGATAGTCTCCTTGCTTGCTTCCCCTCGCCCTTAGCCAGGGCATGAGACCACGCATGCGCCACTCGTGACGCGGCTTGGTCCGCACCTTGGCCACTTTGGCCCCCCGCACCTCCTCCACCTGCCCCTCCACACCCTCCCCCGGCGCCAGCTCCACCGGGACGCTCTCCACCCCGCTCGCCTCGACCTCAACGCCCAGCAGCTGCCGCATGACCGTCCTGGGCACGTTGACCCGGTCGTGGGCGAAGGTGCTGTTGGGAAGTTTGATGAGACCCAGGCCTGACGCGCTCACGCCCCTTTCCAGTAGCACACGGCCGTCGGGCAGCCGCTTCAGCCGGACCACCTCTCCCTCAGCCAACCCCAGGAACCGCGCCAGCTCCAGGAACTTTGACATCCGATAGGAGGCCTTGTCCTTGCAGGAGACGTGGATGGTGGCAACGAAGGGGTATGGGTGCAGCTGGCCGCCGGCGTTCCTTACCCACAGGTCGACGCTCTGCGGCATGCCGGTGCGGGCGATGGCCTGCACCTGCTCCGGGAAGAAGTTGCGGATGGCCATGCTGCCGTTCAGGCGCTGCTGGGGCTTCTGGTAGCGCAGCACAACGTCCCGATCGTAGGCGCAGCTGGCGTTGCAGAGCTGCCCTCCGTCGCCGCCGCCGCCACCACCCGGAGCTCCTTCCCTCGCGATCCCCTGCTGCTGGACGGCGCCCCGCTGCCGTGCCCCGCGTCCGAGCTGCCCTCCCGGACTGCCTAACGTCGCGTGTGTTGCTGCTGGGGCTGTGCCTGCTGCGTTGCCCGCCGCTTGCCGCGGCTGTGGCATGGTCCGCCGGGGGTGTGGCTGAGCAGCAGCAGTTGCACCCACTGCTGGCAGGCCTTCAAATCCGCTTGTCGCAGCTGCTCTTTTTCCTCCTTCTCGGGGATCATGAGCCGCCTCGCCCTCATACCTCATGGTTGCCGCGTGCGGCGCTGTCACGTTGGGGTGGCGGAGGCCGCTGAGGAGGTGGTTGTAGCCTCGGGCCATGGTGCCTCCGCTGCTTCCTTGCGAGTTGGCAGCGCCCGAGGGAGCCAGAGCCGGGCTTGCTCCGGCGGTTGCTGCTGTTGCTGCGGCTGCTTCATGTGCGCTGCGGTGCGATGGAAGGTTTGGCTGGTTTATCCGTTCCACGGTCGCAACTCCCGGGCTAAGGAGGATGTTGTAGGCTTCACAAAGGTCATCTTCTCCATCGCTGTTGCCGATGGTGTCGCGGTCATGGGTGGAAAGGCCATCTTCCTGCTCAGGGCCTGAGGACCGCAATGAAACCCCAAGCTCCTGCTGCATGACCAGGCTTACTTCCTCAGTCGCCATTGGAAGGCTGTCAGCCTTAAAATTTCCTAGGAGGTCTATAGCGAGTACATCCCAAACTAGTCGGCAGGTATCCCTTGCACAGCAGTTGCCATGGGTAGAAAAATTACATTGCGTTGTTTCTGATGCAATAAGCCGCACACACGTTTGCCTAGACCTATGCCAGCAAAGGTAACTGGACCCCTACACTTCAGGTCCTACTTCTTGACTGTCATACGCGCAGTTGTAAGCTACACAAGGACGGGCTAAGCTGCAGCTTGGAATGTAACATGGGGAGAGTTGGTTTGCTTCCTTCCGTTATCGTTAATAACTACAGCTGATGAGTGGCTTGACCGAGGAACCCGGGGCGCGGTCTTCGTAGGACTGCTGAAATGGTAGAAGAGGGACAGAGAGGAATCGGCATAGACCATCCCCTGGTCGGCGATACCGAATGTAGCCTGTAACAAACCCCTTGCAGCAAAAGCACTACAGAAGGTTGTACGGTACCGGTAGACCACCGCTGGGCAACATGTACGGCAATTTAAAATACGGCGACGGCCATGCGCAAAATAAACCTTACCCAGATCCCACACTGGCCCCGTGCATAACCGCCTGCTCACCCGTTGACCCGCAAGCCCTCAACAACCGCCGGGGCAGCACTGCTACCCCTCCTGCCGCCGCTGCTGCTGCCGTACACCGATCGGGTTGCGGTGATGTACCTGACAGCGCTACATGGTCAGGCTTCCAGCTTCGCGTCCGACAGCACAGAGTAGAGAAAGCAGAGAAAGGTGTCCGTCTGGAGGGAATAGGGAGCGAGTGTTGGTCCACCGAAGATTGCCCCGGCAATCACCTGCCACGTACAATTGCCATTTTCAGTCAGGTGTTTGGTATCCAAGTAGGTTTGCATTTACAAGACGCATTGCTGTAACATTGTTGTCTTCAGTATATTAAGACTTGGAGCCCATGTGCATAACGCCACACAGCGGCTAAAAGCATGCATGTAAGCCAAGCTCCCAGGCATGTATGGATCAAGGATCCGCGAAGCAAGGGTACTTCCCATACGACACGCCCTACACGCATGAACCCAGCATGAGTGCACGCAAGCACACCCACACAATATTGTATAAGGACACATTGCCTCGGATAGCACTCGGTCATGCATGCACTGGAAGATGCGAAACATCATTCGCAAGTTATGCCCCACCCAGCCCACCCACTTCACGACCGCCGCTTCAAGTCAGTGTCATCAGTTTATCCCGCGGCTCTGCAGATCGCTAATACCCACAAACAAAACATGCGACACAATCGTTCAAATACTTGGCAGTGCGCAGGAAGGGGCATTTGTTCATGGTTGCACAAACACGGTCTACGTGCTTTCCGCCGTCATCCTGCTCCAAGTCCCCGCTACTCCAGCACATGAGTCCGTGACACTGTACGGCGCGGCACCAAAAGCCCTCTCACATGTCACATCGCCCCCGGGAGCCAAGGGAACCCCCTGCAGTTCCCAGTAAGGGGGCTGACCCCATCCCGTTGCGGCCAATCATTGGGATTCACGCATTCAGGACCGCCCCAGGACACCACGACAAAACCCCCACGTAACGCCTTTCACCATTTCTACGCGGGAAGCGCAGCACACTCCAGCCGGAAACACACCACACAAAACATGCCCAAATTAGTATAAATCCTGCTGCTGCCTAAGGGGACAATTCGTACTCGGTCTGGATTTCGGTGTACGGAGGCCGACAGCAAAGCAGGCTGATAAGATACGCGGCATGCATACACGCACGTGTTCTAGGGTTCTCTATGACTCTTCCTTTGTATATGAAAGGAAGGAGGAAGGGTAAGAAGTGACGAAACGACACGTAAGGTTTAACCAAGGACGAGGAAAAAGATCGAAACGTGAAACACCACACCACACTGCGTAAACCGCCTTGACAAAATGGGTGTGCGGCGATGTGTGTCTTGGGATTCACGACCCAGTACGTTCGTACGGACACCCCAGCGTACGACATGAATAACACTGCTGCCAGAGTAGCAAACGCAGCCGCCAATACTCTTGATCTGGATCCGGACTTCCTACCAGCCCAGATGCACAAAGCCAAGTATCATTGCCCCTGTGAAATGAGTGAGGATAGCGACTTCATTACCAGCACGCAGAGCATGCCTCCTAGCACCATCACACCCGCTACCTCTTGCAACCCACCACCATCTCCATCACCACCGCTCTGCACACGCGGCTCTTAACTAGGGTTTAAGGAACACGATACAAACAGCGCCACGGAGCTCAACAGCTTAGGATACTGTCACCACCCAGCCTGACCCGCCCAACCGTCTTTCATCCCACACAGCAGTTAACATGGCAAAGGCAGCAGCCCCATCCATGGACTCGTCGCCTGTAGGCGTATCCTACACCATTTATCCAGCCAGCGCAGCTCTCAATCGGAGCCGGTCTAGCATGGCATTAGCACATATGCCCACGATTGCCAAGCACCATCAGCAAAATTGGGTTCGCAGAGCCCGTTGTGTTCGGACGCAACGTTGAAGTTGCCGTTACGAAAAAGTCCTTGGCTTGTTCTTTCCTACAGACAGAGCGTTGGTAGGAAACGGAGCAGTGAACTTCAAAGCTTATCAGCGGCCGGGCAGGACAAGCGGGGACGGGGATCGCCAACTCGTACTTCCTGTTAACCCCATCCCTGCCTGTCCAACCACCATCCACTTATGTCAACAACCCACGCCGCTCGCTCCGGTCTCTACCTTACCCACATCACCCAGGCCATTCCTAGCCGCCTGATGCACTGCTGCCGACACCCACCATCGGCCCTCAGCCCGCAATAACGCCGCACACACCCCTCGCAACCAGCCCCCATGCACACACCCCTCACCCCTCCCCCGTGTCACCCCGCACGCAACGCTGCACCCCGTGCCCTCCCACCTGCTCTCCTGCGCCACTTCCCGCACCGCACGTCACGCTGCAGCAGCTGCCAACGGTGCTCAATGCGACCACCGCCTCAGCCTCATCACTGCTATTACTGGTTCTGCTGCTGCTGCTGTCGCGCCGCAGCCGCAGCCGCCTGCTGCTGTTGCTGCAGTAGCAGTGCCTGCTGCTGCTGCCGCACCTGCTGCCGGCCCCTGCAGGGCGGCACCACCAGGGTGTCCGCGCGGTTGCGCACCCGCCGCACAAAGTCCTTGAAGCGGCCCCAGTTGGCGGGCTCGAACATGGAGTCGCACATGCGGCTGAACACCAGCGACTGCACCTGCGGCAGCTCGATGCCTTGCTGCGTGCTGGTGTCGAACAGCGCGCTCTCCAGCCGCCCCAGCGCGCCGTCGTCGAAGCGCTCACTGCCGTTCTCAAGCCCCACCGGCACGTGCAGCGCGGCGGCGGCGGTGCGCTGGGCCGCGATGAGGCGCTCGGGGTCGCAGCAGGCCTTGTGGGGAGGGGGGTACGAAGGGGGGCAGGAGGGCATGACTGCATGAGGTGAGGCATGGGGTGGCGTAAGAGGCGTCTTAAGGGGCGAAGGGTCCGGCTTGGTGAACCCGGGCTGGCCCTGGCTGGTGCGAATGGCGCGCGTGCATGTATGTTTCCAACCAGAACGGCTTCTTCTCAAACCCCTCTCCTTCTTGGCAACACCCCATTCCACCCCACCCATCCCGCCCCGTCCTCTCCGCGCCACTACCCTCCCGCCCCTCCTCCTCCCACCCTGCCGCCCCTCTCCTCCCTCCCTGCCCCCCACACTTTGGAATTTCTTTTTCCCCCCCACCTGCGGCGCCAGCTCACTGCTGCGCAGCTCCGCACTCCGCAGCCGGGCGCTCACACCGTGACGAGCAAGGACCTGGGGTATCGGGGGAGAGCAGGGGGAGTAAACCTGGGGAGACCAGGAGCGGATGGTGAAGGTGGTGGTGGTGGTGCCAGTCCCCAAGCTGGTGCCGTACGCCACAAGGCCTCCGCTTTCCGAAACCCCGATGCCCCCCAACCTTTGCACGACAGAGGGACCACCTCACCCCATGCCTCCATCCTGCAAAGGCCAATTTACTCTAAACCCCTACTGCGCCTCCTGCCACCCCACCGCCTGCTCCCACTGCCCGCCCCCGCTTCCTTAGCTCCCACCGCCCGCCCGCTCCCGCCCCACCTGCATAACGGGCAGGTATCCGTCCCGATTAGCCGTGTTGTAGTACCCAGCTGTCAGCTCGGGCGCATGCGAGGCGGTGTTGTACCACCAGTACAGCCCCGGCAGCTTGGCGTGCAGCCGCACGGGGGCGGAGGGCGAGGGCGGGGCGGGGGACAGCAGCGGAGAGGCGGAGGAGGGGGAGAAGGAGGGAGGGGGGTAGAGGGAGCCCCAAGGAGAGGTAGCGGAGGGTGGGGAACCAGTCGTGGGAGGAGGACCCTGCCAGGCAGCCCATGCAGCTGCAGAGGCAGGTGTTGATGGGGCTGTCATGGCCGGGAGGCCTGGAGCGACCCATGGGACGGTCCCCGTGGAGGCTCTGCTATTGCCATTGCCGGCAAGGACTCCATTGCTACCGCCGTAGCTGCTGCTATTGCTCATGCTACTGCTTAGGCTCATGAAGCCGCTGCTGCTACTGCTGCCGCATCCATAGCTGCTGCTACTGCTGCCGTTGCTAGCACCGCAAATGGAGTAGTACGCAGAAGTCGAAGACGACAACCACCCGGCAGCAGCACTCGCACCCCCCACCCCTCTTCCACCACCTCCACCTCCACCTCTTCCTGCTCCACATCCATCCACCAGCACCTCCCGTGCCGTACCCAGTACGGCATCCGCATGCTGTACGAGCATGTCTCCGTACCACTGCAGGAAGAACCTGCCGTACGGCGAGCCCCAGTTGCCCCGCTGGTGATGGAAGAAGCCGGTCTGCGAGGGCCACACACAGTAGGAGCCGGCGTCGTGCGGCCCGCCCAGGCCCCAGGAGGGCTGGTCCACTTGCAGGGCGCAGGCGCGCAGCACGGAGAGCATGTACTTGTCGTAGCACTGGTAGGGGGGGGGAAGAAAAAAGAAATTCCAAAGTGTGATATGATAATGATACAAGTTGCTGACAATCCCTGGTGGAATCAACCGTGAGGGAGGGAGAGGAGGCAGGGAGGGGGGGTGCGCGGTGGGTGGGGAGACATGGACAGGAGGGCTAGAAGGGGCAGTATGTTGGTAAGATTACGAGAGGGGGGGATGAGCTGGTGCATTGGTAGCACGTACGCTAGCACGCGGGATTCCCTCCCTCCCTCCCTCCCTCCCTGCCTCCCTCCCCCCCTCCCAGCCCCCACCTGGAACTCGCCCACCCCGGGGAAGGTCCAGCGCTTGTCCCGCGGGTGTGCCGGGTACTTGAGCTCGCCGTCGGGACCCAGACCTGGCGGCGCGGTGGGGGCAGGGGGGGGCAGAGAGGTGGGTGCAGGGTATACATGACGATACCAGGATACCAGCGCTGCGTTGGGTGGGTGCGTTGGCGTTGGGTAATAAACCAAACCACAAGCGAGGCCAAGACACACGCTGGGTGGGTGGTTGCCGGGTGACAGGCCGGTGTTGTAGGTTAACAGGGGCATGCGGCAGCAGCAGCAGCAACTCAGCCGCTCAGGTCACGCTGGGGCGGGCCCACACGCTGGAGCCAAGACACACGGTAATGGCGAGACCCAACTTGCACTCCCTCCCTCCTACCTAGGGACCTAATCATTTGAGTTTTACTAATGTTATCCGTCCCCAACCAGCCTTGTCACACGGTTAGGCTCTTGCTTCCGCCCCCACCCACCCACAGCCTCGCCCCCTGCCGTCCAACCCAGCTCCCCACCCACCCACAGTCACGTCCACGATCACGTCCCCCACCAGCTCCCCCAGCTCCCGCCGGAAGGACAGCATCAGGTCGCGGTAGCAGCCCAGCGGAGTGCGGCCGCACAGCACGGGGACTGCAGGGGGGAGGGGTGGAGGGGGGAGGGAGGCAGGGGGGCAAGGGGGCAAGGGGAGGGTACTGTCGCATGTGCCCGGGAGCACAGAGTGGGAAACAGAGGTTGAAATTACCCAACATCGGCTTCCCTTGCACGTGAAGTGGACTGGAAAGCCCCCACATATTAAATCACTCTTCCGCCCTGCACCCTCCTTTCTTTGCCCCTTTACAAAGCCAGGGCACTACAAACCCCGCCCAGCCCGCCCCACAGCTCCCTCTCCTGTAGCCGCTCGTCCACGTCCATCCTCCTCACCTCTCCTCCCTGCTGTCCCCGCTCCTCCCTGCTCCACCTCTCCCCCTGCTCACCCTCATCCGCCCCCAGCGACACGTATTCGCAGCACCTGCCCCCCGCCCGGTCGCTGTAGAAGATGTCCGGGTTGGCTCGCCCCGCGGCAACCACCCAGGCGGGCAGCGGGACCGCATCGCTGCCGTGGAAGCACAGACACACCTGGCGCAGGTGGCAGGGTGGGGTGTGTGGGGCAGGCAGGGGCTGGAGGCGGGAGGACGGCGGTGGGTTGGTGGCAATGCGAGGAAGGCGGGGCGCTGGGATTCATGAAGCATACCTCTTCACATTCCAACCCTCCAACCCTCCCGACCCACCACCCCACCCATACCGGTAATCACCTGCGCCATGAAGCCCTCGTCCCGTATGAGCGCAAACAGCTGCTTGTAGGCCGACCAGTCGTACTCGCCCGGCCGCTGCCCCTCCACGATGCCCCAGTACACGTCCACGCTGATGCCGTTGATGCCCAGCGCGCGAAGAGCCTTCAGACCCGAGCGCAGCGCCTGGGAAGGAGGGAGGAGAGAGAGAGAGAGGGGATGGGAGGGAGGGGGTTAGTACCTTAGTAGGGATACATACCGGTATTCCGGAGGGAGGGGAAGAGAGAGGTACACGGGGTGGGTTGATTCGGGGGAGGAAGGAATATCCGCGGGAGAGGAGGGGTAGTGTGGAAGACATAGGAAGCCTCGCATGTGGGCTTTCCCCTCGACAGATTAGGGAGGCAACGGTCCATGGGGAGCCCCGTGGGTGGCCGTGGGTCGTGGGTCATGCCGCAAGGACATGCACGAGGAATGCGAAAGCAGTATAGGCGTGTTACGACGCTGGTGAACAGCAGCAGTGCGGATACCGCTCGGCAGAGTTGCACTGTTTTGGCACAACGAGAAGGTCGGGCGCCGTCTGCCTGGCTGGGGGCATGAGAGTTTGAACAGCGGCCTGCCGTACTGACTGCCAGTAACCGTGGGCTTACCTCGTAGTATGCAAACTTGTTGGCGGGGGTCAGAATATCGCCATCAAGGCAAGCATAGAGGGGAAGAGCCGATTCCTGTACAGGGGAAAAGCATGGTAGGGTGCTGACAGGAAGCATGTCGTGCTCGAGGTAGATGTAAACCACGCGTGCGTCTTTTGCTGCAGGCGAATTGCAGACCGGGTGTATAATTTCTTTTCAGTTGCAGGGTTGCAGAAGCTGTGGGCACAAAACCCACAGCGCCACAGGGCTTGTTCCACAGCCATCCACGTGGGCACGACTACGACCGGGCGGCGAATCGCACGGAAGGAAAGTCTATGTTATACCACAAAACGCGTTCTTGTAAAGAGTAATCATACTGTGTTGGCTGGTGTTCAGTCCGTGTCGACCGCTTGCAAACGTTGGAATCGTGATGGACTCGACAGGTATCGCCGTTTTACACAGATACGCCGGACTTACCTCATCCGGTATTCGTCGACTTGTTTCATGCTGCGCAAGCCTACCCAGAGCCCCGCTCCCAGCGTTTGTTCCCGTTCGCCCGGAGGCCAAAAGGGTCTCCTGGCTTAGCTGCGAAGCATGTGCTAAGCGTCCGCGTATAGGCTTTGCCTGTCCTCGAAAGCAGGGTCCTCGGCATGGCATCAGCGGCACGGTGGGCCTCGATGTGCTGGCTACCCCCATGCTCCGTTGTTCCGCACAGGTGTTCATAGTAGTGTGTGTATACATTTAGGAAGTTGAGCTCTTGTTGTGCTAGTCTGCGAAAAAATAAGCGACTGGATATCCAACTACCTCTTTGCTGAGTCAGATAAAGCCAATACCATCTGGCCACACGTGTATCATCTTTAATGGCAGCTGTTATTGTTTACCAATTTATCAGTGAATTAATTTGGCGCTTACTCGGGATGTGACGTACAGCAATCGCCGATGGCCGATCGCCAAGCAAAGGCCATCACAACCTCTGTTGCCCTCACAATCCTGTATGGTAGGTAAAGTGCTTGTTTTTACATACACTTGTGTACAGCACCATCCACTCATCTTACCAAAAGTTGACTCCGGAACTAGCTGCACTATGTACCTCAAGAGCGTGCCTGCTACTAGCACGGGGCTACGTCAACGTGCTCCATGCGGCTGCCGTGTCCGTGCACTGGTCGTCCCTCGCGCCGCGTCTGCTGGCGCTGCGAGCGATGCCGCTCCGACAGCGAAGGGAAAAGCCTCTGAGAATGCGGCCGCTGTTCAGCCCGTGGAGCCATCTGATAGCCGGCAGGCTGCTAATAAGCCATCTCGGTCCGCAACTAGCAAGCCAAAGGGCGCCTGGACGCCGTCCTTTCCCAGCCTTGTCAACAATAAGCCGCTTCCGACTGAAGATGTCAGGACCAACATCGACATGTAACACTGGCGTTCGTTCTTTAGCATAAGCATACACGATGGTGGAACAGCCTAGGCGCCCGTTCATCTTTCGCGCTGCGGGTGACCCTAATAACTCCGAGGAACACAGGGGCAGATCTGGGGAGATCTCGCTTAATCCCACATGGAGACGCAATTAATATGTATGGAAGGCAGCTGTCGGCCGGTATCCGTCGCTGCCAATACAAAAGTGCCGGTTTTGGAGCGTTACGGAGTTTTGATATCGTGCTGCTCCGGCGGTGTTGCTAGGTGTTGCGAACCCGCTTGTGTTATGATGCGATGGTTGCATAACGGAGAGCTGTAGGATTTTGGGATCCTGTGTCCTCTTACAATAAACCTGCGTTGGGGGGGGGGCCGTGGTGCAGTTGCATGGTGTGCGCATATTGCGTGTAACGCTGGCACGTACAATCAGAGCACCGTACGGTTGAATACCGGTACCCCTGTGCCAATGTGTTTTTTCCTAAATTATCATTGGCCGTATTTCTGGGGAGTCCGTTTTTCTAAGTAATGGTTGAATACATCGGCGGTTAGGGCCACTCTTCCTTCCAAAGGACGGCGGGTTCAGGGGCGTGGTAAGGCTGTGTACGGGCACGGCATTGTACGACGCGCCGGTGTGGTATGTATGTTTGCTGGTAGGCAGGTGGCTATGCCTGTGCCTGCATCCAGAACATCCCAACGCCTGGGATTCGTACAGGGATAGCACGGTGAGGTTGGATCTTAGAGTGTGTGGGGGACGCCCAATCCGCGCATCTACATGCGCCACGTTTGGACGGTTTGTATGTATGTAAGCATGGAAGGCAAAGCAACCTTGAAAAGCCGCCGACCCCGTACCTACCCTACATGGTTTTTAGCTGTCATTTCACTGGCACCGCACGTTTTGCACCCCCTGCATATCTAGATCATAATACCCATACTGCGCTTGCGCTTCATTAAGCATGCTCGTCCCATGCCGTACTTCGCATCGCCGCCTTTCGCAAAAATACTAACTCTCGGCATAGTCCCGTCTCTTTCATCTTGGAAAGCCAGCCATCTTCATCGTCATACAGCCTGCGTCGATATACAGCGCAGCTTGCAGCACCAGCACAGCACAGGGACGCATGCCTGCCTTCTGTTCGCTCGTCGTGCCGCCTTCTTGTGTCTATGGACGCTTTTCGCTCACTATTAACGGAATTTGGTACGTCTTCGTTGCACAATTTTTCCCTTGCTACGCAGGTTAGTCGGGGTTCGCACTAGTGGGTGGGCTGGGCTTTGTTAGACCCATGGGTCATTTGCGAGGGCCGGGCAGGGTGGGATGCTTTGGGGCACACAGCCGCATGACAGCCCCAGCTAAGCAGCGGAGCTTACACACGTTATGCTGCTGACAGCATCGCAGCAGAGACATCAGGTCTAGCGCCGTGGAGCCAGTTATCACAGTTGCAGCCGCCTTCGGCAGAGTGATCTCAGATCATCCCAGCCGCCATAGAGCTTACAATACGGTTTGTTATTGATTGATGCTACTAACTATACAACAACTACAATTATTTGCTATTCCAACTATCCAGCGTAATGCGGATTCTGTCTCCAAATTAACCCTACATTGGCAACTGCCCCTGCGTCCCTGCACAAAACATGTCTGTACACCCAAAGTCAGACGGTTTAACTTAGAGCCCTGTCCCAGGGGTCCCAACGTGAGCAGAGCATGCCGTGTTCTGTTGTTAGCGCCGTTGCCTGTCAACAGGCAGCATGGGGAGGGGGCCAAAAACAGTATGGCATGTACGGCGCCAGTACGACATGCGTATGCTTGTTACACAGGCTCAAGGGGACGGTGTCCTGAGCTAAACTCAAAGCAAGTGCGGAGGCAGGTGGCCGAGGACAGACCGGGGTTCAGTTTAGTTGTGGAATGTGGTAAGAAGCCCAAGCACCCGCCGACCTAGCACCCACCGACCTAGCACCCATCGACCTGGCACCCGCCGACCTGGCACCCGCCGACCTAGCACCCGCCGACCTAGCACCCGCCGACCTGGCACCCGCCGACCTGGCACCCGCCGACCTGGCACCCGCCGACCTAGCACCCACCGACCTAGCACCCACCGACCTAGCAACCACCGACCTAGCACCCGCCGACCTAGCACCCGCCGACCTAGCACTCGCCGATCTAGCACCCGCCGACCTAGCACTCGCGTACCTAGCACTCGCGTACCTAGCACCCGCCGACCTAGCAGCCGCCGACCTAGCACCCACCGACCTAGCACCCACCGACCTAGCACCCGACGACCTGGCACCCGCCGACCTAGCATCCGCCGACCTAGCACCCGCCGACCTAGCACCCACCGACCTGGCACCCACCGACCTGGCACCCGCCGACCTAGCACCCGCCGACCTGGCACCCGCCGACCTGGCACCCACCGACCTGGCACCCGCCGACCTAGCACCCGCCGACCTGGCACCCGCCGACCTAGCACCCGCCGACCTAGCACCCGCCGACCTAGCACCCGCTGAACTAGCACCCGCCGACCTGGCACCCACCGACCTAGCACCCACCGACCTGGCACCCGCCGACCTAGCACCCGCCGACCTGGCACCCGCCGACCTAGCACCCGCCGACCTGGCACCCACCGACCTGGCACCCGCCGACCTAGCACCCACCGACCTAGCACCCGCCGACCTAGCACCCACCGACCTAGCACCCGCCGACCTAGCACCCGCCGACCTGGCGCCCGCCGACCTAGCACCCGCCGACCTGGCACCCGCCGACCTAGCACCCGCCGACCTGGCACCCGCCGACCTAGCACCCGCCGACCTGGCACCCGCCGACCTAGCACCCGCCGACCTGGCACCCGCCGACCTAGCACCCGCCGACCTGGCACCCGCGGACCTGGCACCCGCCGACCTAGCACCCACCGACCTGGCACCCGCCGACCTAGCACCCGCCGACCTAGCACCCACCGACCTGGCACCTGCCGACCTAGCACCCGCCGACCTGGCACCCGCCGACCTAGCACCCGCCGACCTGGCACCCGCCGACCTGGCACCCGCCGACCTGGCACCCGCCGACCTGGCACCCGCCGACCTGGCACCCGCCGACCTGGCACCTGCCGACCTAGCGCCCGCCGACCTGGCACCCGCCGACCTAGCGCCCGCCGACCTGGCACCCGCCGACCTAGCACCCGCCGAGCTAGCACCCGCCGACCTGGCACCCGCCGACCTGGCACCCGCCGACCTAGCACCCGCCGACCTGGCACCCGCCGACCTAGCACCCGCCGACCTGGCACCCGCCCACCTAGCACCTGCCGACCTAGCACCCGCCGACCTAGCACCCGCCGACCTAGCACCCGCCGACCTAGCACCCGCCGACCTAGCACCCGCCGACCTAGCACCCGCCGACCTGGCACCCGCCGACCTAGCACCCGCCGACCTGGCACCCGCCGACCTAGCACCCGCCGACCTAGCACCCGCCGACCTGGCACCCGCCGACCTGGCACCCGCCGACCTAGCACCCGCCGACCTGGCACCCGCCGACCTAGCACCCGCCGACCTAGCACCCGCCGACCTAGCACCCGCCGACCTAGCACCCGCCGACCTAGCGCCCGCCGACCTAGCACCCGCCGACCTAGCACCCGCCGACCTGGCACCCGCCGACCTAGCACCCGCCGACCTAGCACCCGCCGACCTGGCACCCGCCGACCTAGCACCCGCCGACCTAGCGCTCGCGTACCTAGCACCCGCCGACCTGGCACCCGCCGACCTAGCACCCGCCGACCTGGCACCCGCCGACCTAGCACCCGCCGACCTAGCGCTCGCGTACCTAGCGCTCGCGTACCTAGCGCTCGCGTACCTAGCGCTCGCGTACCTAGCACCCGCCGACCTAGCACCCGCCGACCTAGCACCCGCCGACCTAGCACCCGCCGACCTAGCACCCGCCGACCTGGCACCCACCGACCTGGCACCAACCGACCTGGCACCCACCGACCTGGCACCAACCGACCTAGCACCCGCCGACCTGGCACCCGCCGACCTGGCACCCGCCGACCTGGCACCCGCCGACCTAGCACCCACCGACCTGGCACCCGCCGACCTAGCACCCACCGACCTGGCACCCGCCGACCTAGCACCCGCCGACCTGGCACCCGCCGACCTGGCACCCGCCGACCTGGCACCCGCCGACCTAGCACCCGCCGACCTGGCACCCGCCGACCTAGCACCCGCCGACCTGGCACCCGCCGACCTAGCACCCGCCGACCTAGCACCCGCCGACCTAGCACCCGCCGACCTGGCACCCGCCGACCTAGCACCCGCCGACCTGGCACTCGCGTACCTAGCAGCCGCCGACCTAGCGCTCGCGTACCTAGCGCTCGCGTACCTAGCACCCGCCGACCTAGCACCCGCCGACCTGGCACCCGCCGACCTAGCACCCACCGACCTAGCACCCGCCGACCTAGCGCCCGCCGACCTAGCACCCGCCGACCTAGCACCCGCCGACCTAGCACCCGCCGACCTGGCACCCGCCGACCTGGCACCCACCGACCTAGCACCCACCGACCTAGCACCCGCCGACCTAGCACCCGCCGACCTAGCGCCCGCCGACCTGGCACCCGCCGACCTAGCACCCACCGACCTAGCACCCGCCGACCTAGCACCCGCCGACCTAGCGCCCGCCGACCTAGCACCCGCCGACCTGGCACCCGCCGACCTAGCGCCCGCCGACCTGGCACCCGCCGACCTAGCACCCGCCGACCTGGCACCCGCCAACCTGGCACCCGCCGACCTGGCACCCGCCGACCTGGCACCCGCCGACCCAGCACCCACCGACCTAGCACCCGCCGACCTAGCACCCGCGGACCTAGCACCCGCGGACCTGGCACCCGCCGACCTGGCACCCGCCGACCTAGCACCCGCCGACCTAGCACCCGCCGACCTAGCACCCGCCGACCTAGCACCCGCCGACCTGGCACCCGCCGACCTGGCACCCGCCGACCTAGCACCCACCGACCTAGCACCCGCCGACCTGGCGCCCGCCGACCTAGCAGCCGCCGACCTAGCACCCGCCGACCTGGCACCCGCCGACCTAGCACCCGCCGACCTGGCACCCGCCGACCTAGCACCCGCCGACCTGGCGCCCGCCGACCTGGCACCCGCCGACCTGGCACCCGCCGACCTAGCACCCGCCGACCTGGCACCCGCCGACCTAGCACCCGCCGACCTAGCACCCACCGACCTGGCACCCGCCGACCTAGCA